CAATATACATGTAACGATGACCAAAAATGCTGAAATTTTGTTCCAAAGCAATCAGCCGTTAGAGTTTATTTTTGTTGTGATATACCATGTGGGATATGTTGTCGTGATGGATGGTGCTGTCCTCCTGGCTCTGAATGTGATGATGAATATGGTTGTGTTTTTCAAACACTTTATTAAATGAACATATTTTGTCGCGTACGTTGATCTTCTCATAATTAAAATTTGGAAACCATAGTAAAATTTTGTCCAAAGAATAATGCATTTTGTAGATTGATCGGAATCAACACGTACGTTTATAAATTATTTCCTGTCATAATCTTGGCGACTCATTATATTCCTTGAAAATATTCTTCTCATTTTTGCTAAAATTTGACGAAGACAAAGAAATTGGAATTTTTGCAATCTTTTTATTTCTTTGATTTCTTTTGGATTCGGCTTATGTTAGTGTTCGTGTCATAAATTTCTGAGAAATTCCAAGAAGCAGATGTGCAAAAAAAAAAGAATAAAATTTGCGGACAGAAAGTTCTGATTACAGTAGACAAACGATGATTATTGCACTACTTAATATAAAAGATAATTTAACAATACCGATGACCAGGCACTGTCAATGTTATTAAAGTCTGCCAAAACATGGTCTAGTCATTGAAAATTTCATTAATTTGCAACTCAGGAAGTGCAATTATAAAAAAAAATACAAATATAAAAAACTTTAATTTGGTTGAGCCATCACACAGAAACCATGACCAAGGTTTCTGTGTGAAGGTTAGCCTTTTATAACAATTACTTCCCAGATGTAAATATTTAACTATAAGAAGCTTCATCAATGAAGCTACTTATAGAAGCATGGATAATAGCATTGAAAAGGAACATATATGTATAGGTATGACGTCGAGATCTTTGGGCAGCACTTTAGAAAAAAAGAAAAATCGCTCATTTCCTACACGCTAATGAAGTGCAGCGATTGAGGAAGCATGCATGCTTACCAACATGCGAAAATGTTCCACTTTGTATGGCGCGCCGATACAGACAAAAATACTTTTTCTAAAGATGAAACTTCTATTTCAAATTTATTACTATGTTTAATATAAAATTATAGTACTTCTGAAAAGTTTAATACTTTATTGCTGCCTGCAGTATGCCAAATGTAATTTCAAGCTAAACTTCATGCTGTCGAATTTCGATGTAAGTTATAAGATCGCGGAAGATATTGAAATCCTCGATCGTGAGAACGTTGGAGTTAGTGATTTTATAAATATTCTGGAACATGGGAAAGAGTTGTATCAAGAAATAAAGCGAAATATGTTTTCGGCTTCCTTTGTGGAGGCTGAACATCTTAATATGCAGACAGAACAATTTGTCACGACTATAGTTATTTCATTTGGCCATCTTCGTAATACTTTACTACAAGATGCATATATGATTGAAACCATTGCTACTCTAATCAACATGTTTCAATGCCTTGTGCGTCAGTTAATGGATCGTTTTGAAACATCTGTATATGATGACCTACAATATAATTGTCCCAACAACGTTTTGCAGTGAAGGTCGAGGCCGTCACCAGCTATTGATACCAAAAGAGCAATTAGAAGGATTGAGATCTCTTGCTTTTTCATGGAAATCCGTAGCAACTATGCTAGGTGTGTCAGAAAAGACAATAATGCGTAGGAGGGATGCCTACAGTATTCAATTCACCAGTAATAAATATATGGAAGTGTCAGATGATCAATTAGATGATATTGTGAAGGCTGCTTTATCTGCTTCACCTAATTCAGGTGAAAGAATGGTTTTGAGTTACATCAGAGTACAGAGATTTTTTGCACAGAGGTGGAGAGTGCGTCAGTCGATTTGGAGGATCGATCCTGACTACCGGATGTGGAGGTGCAGAAAAATAACAAAAAGAAGATTATACAATGTAACACCAAATTCTTTATGGTGAGTGAAATTCTTGCTGGAGCAAGACTTTCAGGAAGCTTATATATAATTTTTTTCTTTCTAGGCATCTAAATGGCCAGCATAAACTAATAAGATGGCGAATTGTTATCCATGGTTGTGTAGATGGATACTATCGTGCAGTTGTCTTTGTGTAACAATAAAGCTTCCATTGTTCTTGATCTTTTCATTGATGCCACGACTAAGTTTCACTATCCATATAGAATTAGAACAGATTAAGGAACAGAAAATATTGCTGTGGCCAGGCATATGCTTAATCGTTATGGTCTGTCTAGCAAACCTGTTCTTACTGGACAGTCCGTTCATAAACAGCGCATTGAGCGTCTTTGGCATGATGTTAACACCTATGTTTGGCATCTTTCCGATGGTAAACACACGTGTCAAAAAAACGTGATCAAATTACAAAATTCGTGCAATCAAATAGTCGGACATAGTATTGCATTTGTAAAAGAGAGCCAATAAAATAAAAAGATTCTCTTGGGGCATTTGTAAATATTATTTTAGAAGTACAGATCGACTAATCATAAAGGCAGAAGGTGTAAGAGTGAATAAAAGCCATTGTCCGTCAAATCAAAGGAAAGCTTGGATATGACATGCAATATGCAGGTACAAAGTTATAGAGAAAAATAAAAAACATTTTTAACGTTGTCGCGGATATTACGAGTGCCGTAACAAAGTGTTGATGAGTTTCACATGCATTTGTCAAAACAAGCTTAAGAAGACAAAGAGCATGCCAAAAATATATGATTGAAAACTTCCTCAGCGCATCTACAAGCACCAATTTCAGAGCTCGCTCTGTCACAAATTAATTGAGAATCTGAGCATGCGTTGTCAACTCCACAAACTGTCCAAGCTCATGGTAACGACCAACTGGATGTACTAGTACAGATTTTGGAGTAATTAGCTCGCTCAGTCACAAGTTTTAAGACAAATCATCTGCGCATGCGCAGTCTGATTGAGCATGCGCAGTCAACTTGACCAGATACCCAAGTTCATGGTCATGGCAAAGACCAACTGCATCTACTTGCACCAATTTTGAAGTAAATAGCATGCATAGTAACAATTTAATAGAAAAATCGTCTGCGCATGCGCTGGAGCATGCGCAGTCCACTCGAATAATTGTTCATAGTCATGACAACGACCAACTATATGTACTTGCACTACATTTGTGTCAATTAACTCACTTAGTCGCAAATTATCAAAGAAATCATCTGGGCATGCGCAGTAACGATAACAATCATCCCACAACTTTCGTACGCCTTTAAATTTTGGTATATATATATAAAGCTAAAACTTCATATAGTAGATGTCAACTAGCAGTGGAAGCTGGGTGCGATATAGTATGCAGTGGCTTAGGGGCCCACACTTCGTTGGCGACCGGACTTTCCCTGCGTACCCTGAGTAAAGCCTATCGCAGGTGATTTCAGGGTCTGATGGGCGGAAGCTTGCTATTGGCATCTCCCAAGTAGGATAGCGTGGAGCCGAAATCTCCTACCGAAACGTTAACATGCGGCGTTCTAGTGCCTTGCGCTTAAGAAGGTATCGGGAAGCATGGACCGAAAACGGTGTTTTTTTGCCTTCGAATTTTATCTTTTTGTTTTATCTCTTCTCATAAAATAAACAAAGCAATGTTTCAATTAACTTCTTCTGACATTGTGCCTTTTATTAGAACACATTAATTTAAGACAACCTTCAACACGTTTTATATAATTTTCATTAGTTTATATCTTTCTGATTTAACTCTCTCATTTACTGTTTCTCATGTATCACGAGGAAACCATCCAAGAGCTTCATGGCAAACAAGGATTATCTGGTTCCCTTGATTAAAATGCGTTGTTCTAGTGCTCAACTATCTCGGGGTATTGGGAGGCATGGACCGAAAACTGGACTTTTTGTTTTTAAAATTTGTCTTTTTTTTACAGGAATTCTTCTCATAAAAGAAACTAGAACATCCACGGATACTGCAAAGGTTCAAACAATTTCTGCCTTTATGACTTATAAACCAATTTCTAAACCAATTCTAAGCATGTTTATACGTTTTTTACTTGTTACATTTTAAAATGTAACTTTCTCATAACTCTCTTGTGATGAACGAAAGCTTCCTTATACAATATGACTATCTCATTATGACTACCTGCTCACCAAAAATACCCAGTGGGAACAGAGTTATCGATTCTGCAATACGTCGATTCAACTGTCGTGGAAAAAATCTATGATTTGGTCAAACAAAATATCACCAGCGTCGCCGAAGTAAAGCGATAACAGGACGATTTCGTAAAGAACGATCTATTTTTAGGTGTTCCTAAAACGCAGGTTCTCAAAACAGAAAGCCAACGATATTATCAATCCTTACAAGACATTCCGAATCACATTGTTACAACCATTTCTTAGTTAAAATCTTGAGAAAACGACAAAGAATCATTGGTCAGATCAAATCAGATTCCTCGTCCTAAAGGAAAGAGTTTGGTAGTTATTTTTAAATAAATTCAACAGTTCCCACTACTATATACCACGTGAGACAACAAGCTTCCAAACTGTATATGTGATTCATCGATATTTCTTTTGAACATATCTTCAGAAGACTCAATGTTCTAATTTTGTATTGGAACCTTATCCTCGCTAGAGAATTTAACGTCAACAACATGCTTAGAATCATTCGTGCTCTCATTGGTTCACAAGTCCTCATCCAAAACTCTCAAGCGTACGCTAGGTGCTGCAACTACGTTCAATTTCATAAAGCTATCTTCAACCTTGCGCTTTGTTTCTCCTCTGTAATGCTTGATTTTGTTTCACTGTTGGTAGTTTCATTTTCAAGTATTTCTTCCACCTCAATCCACAAATTATAATATCTGTCATAAGTATTAGAACATTGTTTATGCACAAAATATGCAAATACAAAGTGATGCTGAAAAATAAAAGCATCTTTAACATTGTCACGGATATTAAAAGTGGCTTAACAAAAAGTTGATGAGTTAAATATGCATTTGAGATGGTAAAATTTTATTTAGAAAAATATTATATTATAAAATATAATATTATATTATATAAATATTTCATAATGTAATATAATATATTATATATTTAATAAATTTTATTTATAAATTGTTCTGTCTGCATATTAAGATGTTCAGCCTCTACAAAGGAAGCCGAAAACATATTTCCCTTTGTTTCTTGATACAACTCTTTCCCATGTTCCAGAATATTTATAAAATCACTAACTCCAACGTTCTCACGATCGAGGATTTCAATATCTTCCACCATCTTACAACTTACATCGAAATTCGACAGCATGAAGTTTTGCAGGAAATTACATTAGGCGTACTGCAGGCAGCAATAAAGTATTAAACTTTTCAGAAGTACTATAATTTTATATTAAACATAGTAATAAATTTGAAATAGAAGTTTCATCTTTAGAAAAAGTATTTTTGCCTGCATCGGCGCGCCATAATTTTACGTCAATTAATATAGCACTTAACATTTGTTCCGTATAATGTGACGTATGTCATTGAAATGTCATTCATTAATATCATGTGACGTTGTTAGTAATTACTTTCGGTTTGTAATTCTAACATTAGTTGATTAATTTCTGAGCAAATTATCTTGTTTATATCTGTTTGATACAAGGCAGATAGTGTAATAATGCGATTAAAATAAATGTTTTGAACATTACTTTTATGCTGTTTCTTATCTTCATCGACTTTTTCTTCCATAAAGATGCTACCTATAACGATTTGCAAAAACTAAACATTAAGATCAAATCATGCATGTTATGCAAAGATTTGCATGTTATTTTTAACCTTTCTCGAGATTAGTTTTACTCTTTTCACAAAATAGCCGATAATTTTCTTCCGCTTCGGCAGAGTCCATTTTGTTAAATACTAAAATCTTCGGTTTCCTTAATACATCTTCGTTATACAACGTTAATTCCTGTACAAACCGCAAACTTAAGAAATTATATGTTTGAGAAACGTACCGATCACGAATTGGAACAAACCTGAGCCAGTAAATAAGTTGTTTCAAATGGTGATCTTTTAGGATGCGTGCTTGATAGTTGAAAACCATTAATATCCACCTTAATGTATTAATAGAAGAAATAACAGGTTACATTTTGCATATTGTAGAACACGGTATAATTGAGTTGATTCTCTCCATTACTATCCAGTTAGGAGATGCAGAGCATTCTTATGCCTTGAGGTGTAAGACCAGAAAACGCACGAACGATCGATTCTTACCACAAATATCAATATTTTAGCTTTTTCAATATGACGCAAGAACTTCAACCCCAGTCCTTTGTTTTTATGTGCGCCTTCGATTAAGCCAGGTAAATCAACAACTGTGAACTGTTATAAAAAGGTTTGTGTCAATAATACGTTTCTTCAAAGTCGTTGCAGACAAATTATTCATCACTAACGATTAATGCTTACATTACAACATTTGCATGTATAAAATGTAAGAAATATCATGCAAATTAATTTAATTATTTTATCAATTTGTATTTTTGTAAATTAATATTTAACTTACATCTCTGAGTAAAGCATAAAGTTGTGAAATTGTAACACACTTCAACTTACTATTTGTTCAATTTGGATATTTTCCATCAAAAAACATGTTACAAATTACACGCAGGTTCAAATGCTTATTCTGCATAATACGATTGTGTAGCTTTTTTTAAAGTAAATGGTTTGAACCCGGGAGTATCGTTACATGTTTGTAAATGTAGATCGTCCAGGTTGGTATAGTCCTGAGAAGGACTGTTTTTGTTGTTGTTGACTGACGTTTCGACAACCTTAGCGGTAGCCATCTTTAGAAGTCAAATGTGGAGTAAACGTCAGGTTAGCCTTATTTGTTATCTGGTTCTTACGTCATTGTATTGTGTGTACAGGAAATGTGTATTTTCATTGTGAATTAGTGTGAAGTGAAATGTTTTTAGTTGTGATGTGTGATTTAGGTGTGATGTTTTTAGTTGTAATGTGTGGATGTCAATTGTGACAATTGTGGACAAAAACAGTCCTTCTCAGGACTATATCAACCTGGACGATCTACATTTACAAACACGTAGCTTTTATTCTTGAATCAATAAAATTTCTTTCTTATAAAACTTTTGAAATTTTAAAAAGAAAATATCGACTTCCATTATGTAAAGAGAGCTTGGAAACTGTACACTAAAAATAGATTTCTAAAAAAACAATAATGACCAGTTTATAACAACATACCTGAGTAGAATCATCTATGGAGATTCGTCCCAGTGTCGGTTTGGTTGACGTAACTAAAAAGATGAAAAATGTATCATATAAAAGTTTAACAGCAAAAATCGACACTCTAAGTTTACACATTTATAAACATTAATCGGTAAACTGAAACCAAAACCTTACACGCATATTCTGCAACTTTTGGCTTGGCATTGGAAATGGCCCGCAATAATGTGGACTTGCCGGCATTAGGAAAACTGAATAGGAATGACATAAAACAAACACATTAATCAAACGTTAAATGAACTGAATCAAATAGGTTATTGAGGGATCACGAGTTTATTGTGAGATTCATAAGTATAGTTTATACAAGGATCACAAGTGTTTCGTGAGATTTATAAGTACATGTTATAGAAGAATAAACAGTGTTCTGTGATCTTTGTAAGCAAAGACGAAGAAAGGATTATGAGCTTTTAAAAAAATATTGATAACTTAACTTTTAGAGTAAAATTGTAAGATTTTTATATAAGTTTTTTATATTTATATATTTTAGTTTTATAATATCTTTAGCAATAATATTTTGTAGCTACATATGTGAAGGTGAATGATATTAATGCAGCGATTCTTGTCCTGTTCCATTCATTTTTCATGAATGTAATTATTTCAACTACAAATTTATTAAACTCATATTCGAACAAATGTAATATGAACAAAAGCATGTAACCTAAATTTAAAGTATTACATCTTAATGCTGCCAATCTTGATACTTGACAAGCATTATAGTCTTTCATTAGTGAACATATTAACTTGTGACATGCATTATAACATTCTTTCTCTAATGTACGTACGTGTTGACACGTGACATGCATTATAACAGTCTTTCTCTAATGTACGTACGTGTTGACACGTGACATGCATTATAACAGTCTTTCTCTAATGTACGTACGTGTTGACACGTGACATGCATTACAACATTCTTTCTCTAATGTACGTACGTGTTGACACGTGACATGCATTATAACAGTCTTTCTCTAATGTACGTACGTGTTGACACGTGACATGCATTATAACAGTCTTTCTGTATTGTACGTACGTGTTGACACGTGAAATGCATTATAACAGTCTTCTTTTAGTGTACATGTTAACACGACACATGCATTATGACACTTAAACAATAGTCTTCTCTTAAGCCTAGTCCTCACTTGCAATAAATTGCAATAAGCATAAGCATATATATGCATTAAGAGGAACGGAGAGTTTTGATAATCCTGTGTTTATGGTTTAGGCTTATGCTGCAAGTATAGCTTTAGTGTATATATGACATGTGACGTGCAGAAATAATGAAAAAACGAAAATACTTCAAACAAAAACACGACATGATCTGTTGCGTTGAGTTTTTCTTATCCACAATCCTATTTAAAGTACTTGACACTGGGTTGATTTCACCCAGTGATTATCCTTCCATTTCTACGCATTATAAACATGTTATTCTAGGTTGGTTTATTTATTTGTTTTAGTTTGGTGGACAGACATTTTAAAAGATCATTGGTTGATAACAGTAATTTTTCTGAAAGACTGAAGTGTTGACCAAAATAAATATATTATTGCTTTTATAAAAATAGGCACGCAATGCGTACATGTGGGTAGCCAATCAAGTATGTTATTATTAAATGAGATAGATGATATGAGCCTAATTCAAATAAAACTATATATGTAATATTATTTATGTCAAACTTGTTTAAGATTTGAAAATGTTCTTTAGTTATATGACCAATTAATTGTTTAACCCTTTTTGCATTTTTCGAACGCTCTAGATTAGATAGCATGTCACGTGACTCAAGCCTCACATCAAGGAAACTAACGTCATTTAGATTTTTCTCGAATTTTAAAAGTTTTTTCACGGTCCTGGAACGAGATATAATTGTTATTTGCGGTCGTTTGTGAGCAGGCATTTGAATAATATCTTGACTTTTATTTATTATGCTTTTATGAAGTTTTGTGAAGAAAAATTGTTTGTTTTTACATCCCATTAATCCAGCTCATGTTTAGTTCCGCTTGAATAGATTACAACAGGCAATATCGTACAACTATACAAGTCAATTTTTGGACCGTGATGTTTTTAGTTATATTTCTCAAAATAACGACATTTTCTTAGGATTATACCACCGACGATTCTGTGCTTACTGCAAATAACTTCTGCTTTATACGCGGCCAGACGCTTCACAGTTCGCGCATAGGAAATGTATTATTACATTCATACTATATTTATATACGCTTGGATTCATTGTTATTCTTTATGTCGAATAAAAAAAACGGCATTGTTCGCCATCGTTCGTATATCCGACTATCACCGAGGATTACGACGAACAGACAGACAGACAGACTGAAGGACGAACATTTTTCAGTGTAGATAATGGTTAAACCGCGCATGCGCAGCGGCTACCCACAAAAACAGAAAATACATACCCTACAAGGCCAACATCTGTATGCATCTTGTAATCCAAAGTAATCATTCTTCTTTCTCCCTTCTCTCCACCAGCAGAAGGTGTTAATGAAGACCCCACGGCCACCACAAGCTACCTTAACACGCTTTCCCAATTTATTCATTTCCTCGATAACTTGACCTGATTTATCATCCCGCACAACTGTACCCAAAGGAATAGGTACAAGTAGATCGTCCCCACGTTTCCCACAAACTCTCTTTGCTTTCATCCTACATTAAAACAATCCAATGTATGTAAAATAAAATATTATAGGAATGCACTTGTTTTAAAATCGATGCAAAAATTATGAAACAAAAATCAATTAATGGCCATAAATATTCAAAATGAATTATTTTTCTTATGGCTGTTCTTCTAGTCCAGTAAGTCTAATGATTTGAGTAGAAAGACTTACGAACAATTCTGTCCATGACTTGCTTGAGGTCGTCGATTTTCTTTATACCAAAAGTGACGTAATGTTGCTTTTGGTTGACATTCTAATATTACATCACCACCATCTCCACCACTAGCAGCTAGACTGCCATTTCCACCACTACCGGCTATAACATACAAGCGTACTCTGTCGACAAACGAAGCAGCACGGATCTGAAAAAGACTACATATGTTAACAAACTACGTACTAAAAAATAATTAATAGCTACAATCATTACACACAAGAAAAATCAATAAATGCCAGACTTCAGTTGCCTGGTAGTACATAACACACCTTTGATCTCATAGATGGATACACTGGTTTGAAAAGAGCCGTTTTAACTTTTCTTGAGACTGCAGGACTCTTAATGAAGTCGTTAACAATCGAAGGTAAAAAGACCTTTAAAATTAAAGTCAGAAGAATAAAAAAATCTTCAAATAAAAGAATGCGAGATTATTGTAAGAATATAAAACTAAGAACACGCGTGTACCTCATGATTCACTTTAGTTATTTCACTGTCGCACTCGACTTTCATCGAAATATTGCTGGATATCAAACCTTCACTTTTGCATTCCACGATATCACCAAGCTATAGGGAAACGTTATTGAAAGTCAGCAATTGTATGTAAAAAACATTTAGTCTACAAAAAACTCTTCTTGAAGTGATCATGCAATGAAAACCTTTCGTGTTTCTTAGCTTACCCGTTTCATTACTGCATTATATTCAGTAAATCTTTATCTATCAAGTGAATGCATTGGACAAATGTCACATTGTCATCATGTAGACATAAAAAAGTAAGGCAGCAGTAAATTTGATCAGTCTTGTTGCTTCTTGCATTAGAGCAAATTGATAATGTTTAAATAAATAATGTGTGAAGTACAACTTTACACAAATGTTTTACTTATGTAAAATAACTGATAACACTTGTGCAAGACTTTAAAACACACTAAAAACGTTGACTTAATCTAATACACCTCCAGTATTTGGACAGCAGTTTTTAACAAGGGAGTCAGCTTACTGGATGTTCGACCGCATAATGTTTTATAATTTTAATTTGGAAATATATAATAATTTGGCAATGACATTTTTTGCTGAGAAATTGAAACATACTTGCGCAATACAGCTAACATCCTCATTGTTATATAAAAATAGAGCATTTGCTTGGTGGTTTACAAAATTACTGACATGAAGACGTTGCTTTAGAGTATGAACACCAGATAATGGAGCCTGTACTACAAATGTAAGAAAAACATAAACAGAAATGAAGTCTTCTACGATACAACGGTGTTCAAACTTAAGTTTGCGTTCGTCACACATATAAAATGAGAAAAACACAAAACTTTGCCGAGCGTAGAATTAGCGAAAAACTAATGACGAAAAAGGCTGATTTTTGTTTGAATTACATGAAGTTGCCCGGAAGTGAGAACTTACCATTGAACTAAAATACACGGAACGCTACCAGTAATACAAAACCCTAATAATTTTTGAAGCCGTGATTTTACCCCAGACACGCAAGATTACACCACAGACATGCGTGTGTAGTCAATCAATTTTCACTTCGCAAGAGAATCTCGAAACACTATACACGAGGATCTGGGGTAAAATTGCGCGTGTCTGGAGTAAGATTTGGCTTTCATTATTTGCTTAGGTAGCGTTCCATGTATTTCACACTTTCAATTCAATGGAACGTACTGGAACAAGACAAACACAACAGACAAATTTCCCTTGGAGTTGACATTGGAATTTTTCAATTTAGCCCATTAACCAACTTTTTAAAATAAGTTAAAAAAAATATCTTTTTGTAGCTCAGGATTTTCTACAGAGGAAAAAATCCCTGCAACAACAATATCACCCTGATTCAGTGTGCGAATTAACGGTGTGCAATGTGCAATTTGCACATCGTTTTAGATAAAATGAAAACAATTGCACATCACTTTTTCAAACGATGTGCAAAAATTAGCGGTTTTAACGAAAAACACTGTCGCAAATCGTATGAATTTGTTCACGTTTAAGAATATTAATTTAGCAATTAATTTAGCTATATAATAATTAACGTAATATCGATTTGATTATGCCTCTAAAGAAACACTTTTGTCAAAAAAATTGCACATCGTTTTTTTTGAACTAATTCGCACACTGCCCTGATTTAACCGTTCACCTAAAGAACACGAATATAATATAAACTTTAATACCTTGAATAAGAAGATCACTTGGCGGCAAGGTTATTTTTTGAGCCATTTTATCACTGCACTAAAACAATTAAACACGTACACAATTTAACGAAATAACATATAATAAATCATAAATAAAAAACACACTGAACTCACCACAAAAATACGGTGATGCATGTCTTCAGTATTAAACTATCCATAAAAGATTATATAAAGAAACTAGATATATTGGTAATATAAGTTGTAATTTAGAAATTTTAAAAGATGCATTATATAAAATAGCTATGAAGACATACACGTTTGTAAATGTAGATCGTCCAGGTTGGTATAGTCCTGAGACTATTGACTGTTTTTGTTGTTGTTGACTACAAACAAAAACAGTCAACAGTCAATTTTTGTTTGTAGTCAACAACAACAAAAACAGTCCTTCTCAGGATTATACCAACCTGGACGATCTACATTTACAAACGTGTAACGATACTCCCGGGTTCAAACCGTTTACTTTATTATGAAGACATAACTAACCTTAAAAGATTCATTCACTGACTTAGCATTAATACCATTTTCTGCCAGTTCTTTAGTCAACTCTTCTGATAGTGCTACGAATTAAAAATACAAATTGAAATTTCATGGCAACGATGAAAGACTGCGTAGTTCAAAAAATAGTTAATTATCACACTTTATGACTTTAAAGGTTTCTTTTTCGCAAGATTAAGTTTACGTAGACACTCAAAGTTCGCAAATTTTATAGTTTATGCTAAATTTTCAACAACAATACATATAAAGGGCTACTTCTCAATCTGCTTGATTAATAATAGTGTCAAACCAAATCTATTGTGTAAATGTAAACTCAAGCAGGCTTGCATTACATCTAGAAAAAATAGCGATCATTTGGCGTTGATCAAATGCTTTTTCCTACGTAGTCAATTTGCACCAATAAAATAAAATAAGTCTTTTGTAACAGTGCACATGTGCTGCTTTTATACATATTTACATTTATAAAACACTATATTTTCTGTTGATGTCTTCTTTGTTTATTTCGTCGACAAAGGTGAAAAAGTCTTAAGTAGTGTAGTCATTGGGAACTAGAGGATTGAGAAGTGAAGAGATATTTCAATTGGTTGTAGTTGTAAGAATTAATGGACGAGACTATGGGTCTAAGAGGAGGTGGTATGTTGTTGTCAATGTGTTTGTTGACTTTGGAAAGCCCATAAAACCTTACAACCAGTCATTTGACTCTGAAGATGACTGCCTCTAAGGTTGTCGAAACGTCAGTCAACAACAACAAAAACAGTCTTTCTCAGGTCTATACCAAAGTGGACGATCTACATTTACAAACATGTAACAATATGCCCGGGTTCAAGCCATTTACTTTATTAGCTGCAATAAGTTAATACATAATAAAAAATAAGAAAATCAGATAAATATGGTAAGAATTACCTAAGGTCCTGACAAATATCACAACAACAGAAGCTGAACAATAATTTTCAAGGATATTGACAATGTGTTTGCCTCCTTCAACCAGACTGAATGGAAGGACCTAAATAAGCATATGTAATTCAAATGATAATTGATAACATATGCACAAGAATGCAATTATGTCAAAAATATACCTTTACTTTGATTGACTTTGAGGTAGTCCTATTTTCATCCCTAAATAAAAACTTACAAATATAAACTTTACAAACAATGTAAGTTTGTATAGTACTAAAGCCTCGATCTTCAGCCTTGCTATACATAGCTAGCCTTCAAGTTTTGTAATGCCATGTAAATTTCATAACATTAGAACTATTCACCAATCTAGAAATCTTAGTGAACTCAAAATATTCGCACAGCAAGAGTGCCATAAACAAGCTAATTACACCGCTGGCAAGTCTTCTGTATTAAATTATGATACATATAATAACTAGACCAAAATGCTCATTGTGTTTTTTTACATTGTAAAGGCTGTGGTCAATTTAGCTTTCCTTGTAAATTTAACTTTCTTTGTGCAAATATAACTCTTTATAAATTACAAACAATGAAATGCGTGTGCTGACTGATCTATAGCTGAGTGTGCATTAGCCAGTACAAATCAATCTATAAACTCAAACAATTAAATCACTCAATGAGAATTTGCAAATGAATCATGAATACATGTTGGAGAAAAAATTGAAACGTTTGTTTTAAATTTAGCTGATTTGCAATGTTATTTTATAAAAGAATTAAGATGTTTTTGTGTTTGCACTGGCCTATGCAACCATGGAGACGTTGATGAGAATTCTCAAGCAGTTGCAGAACTCTCATTCTTGGGTCTCAGATTTGTACTGATCTGCTCTTGAGTTCTCCCTAAGGTCTCCTCGGTTTGCACATACCTGCAGAAACACTGCAAGCAAATTTTATTTCTAAATCGGTACACAATTATCAAACTTATCAAACTTGGTAGTGGATGCCAGGTTAAATGCTAGTTGACAAGTTCAGCAAAATGCATTTACTTAATTCACAAGTTTGTGTCTGTGCTATTCAACTATGTAATAAATAAATTAGTGAATTTCATTAAAGTTCGTCCCAATCTGCATTAAAGCCTAGCAAGCAAATAATTTTGACACGTACTTATTTGGAAGAAATGGCTTTCTAGCATTGGAGATGGAGGACACATGTGTTTTAATAAACAATTTTTCTAGCAAAGGTTGTCCAAAATTTCCAAAATCTAAAAAAAAAGATCGTCAATTACGTATGATTATCAACTTTGTCATCAATGTAAGCTAGCTTTCAAGTAAACTACATTTCGAAATCTTCAAATAGGCATATTACATGTGAGCCTTACACGATAAAAACCATCGCATTTGACACCACGAAATAGCCCGTCTTCTGTCAAGGTAACAAAATGATTGAAGAACTTGATAATTTTAAATGGTTTCTTTATGAGAAACGACATTAGTAAAGAACGTTACAATTCAAAACACCAGCACCAGTGTACTAAAATAAATATATATTTTCGACATTACATGCTATGCACAATGCATAAATCGTCTTACACAAAGTACTCCTCAAGCACTACTTTCTTGACATTCGTTCTGTTGCTGTTGAGCTGCAATATCAACACGTTAAAACATTCTACTACATGCCAAAACTTGATACAACATGTCACTACGTGCTACAACATGCAACAACATGTTACAACATGTTACTACATGTTAATACATGCTACAACATGTTACTACATGCTACAACATGTTATTACATGCTACAACATGCTACAACATGTAACTACATGCTACACCATGTTACAACATGTTACTACATGCTAAAACAATACAACATGCTACTACATGCTACAACATGGTACTACGTGCAACAACATGTTACTACATGTTACAACATGTTACTACATGCTACAACATGTTAGAACATGTTACTACATGTTACAACATGCTACAACATGTTACTACGTGCTACAACATGCTACAACATGTTACTACGTGCTACAACATGGTACTACGTGCAACAACATGTTACTACATGTTACATGTTACTACATGCTACAACATGTTAGAACTTGTTACTACATGTTACAACATGCTACAACATGTTACAACATGCTACATGTTACTACGTGCTACATGTTACTACATGTTACTACGTGCTACAACATGTTACTACGTGCTACAACATGTTACTACGTGCTACAACATGTTACTACGTGCTACATGTTACTACATGTTACAACATGCTACAACATGTTAGAACATGTTACTACATGCTACAACATGTTACTACATACAACAACATGTTACTACATGTTACAACATGTTACTACATACAACAACATGCTAAACATGTTACTACGTACTACAAAATGTTACTACGTGCTACAACATGTTACTACATGTTACAACATGCTATAACATGTTACTGCGTGCTACATGCTAAAACATCGGTGTATTGATATTCTACTTTTACACGCCATATCAAAGATTGGAGAGCATTTCAGTTGAATGCTCAAAAATCAGTCGAACCACATAAAAAGATCATGTTAGTACTTGGCAAATAGCGATGAAGTCAACTATCATAAAAATAATCCTCGATCGTTGATAAATGATGCTTCGTTCACAACTTAGACGTTTCATGAATTTTAATATTTCATTTTTCAAGGAAGGCAGAGATTGCTCGCATCAGCTTCTCTGTATCCGAAGCTCACCATTTATACTCAGTTCAGATAGCAGTATTCTCACCGCTAATCATGGGCTAAATGTCATAAACTTCTTTACACCCATTTAAGAGTGCCACCGACATAGTCCCATTCTTAACTCTTTCGAGGGTAAGAACGTTCAAAACACAAAAGAATAAAACTCAGACAGATCGTCTTAGTCGCGTAAACATAATACTAGAATACGTAAAGCTTGCAATAAGGACCACCAATCGTTAAATTCTTCGTGTTGTGTAATATTTTGATTATAATACTTGCTTGTCGAATTAATTGTACAAGATGTAATGTGTATAGTGATGATGTATAACTAAATAATAAAGATTTCACAACTTGCTCCATGTGCTACGTTAGTACAGGACTCCGGTCTAGCATATTTAAAAGTCACAGAGCCTCCTAATACTTAAATGAATAAGGGTCAAGTCAACTACTCGTCGACTTTAGCCCCCACTCCACTTTAGCTCCCACTCCACTCCTTAAATTCAAATTGGTTTCAAACGCCTATGCCACTAATGGCTAATATTCCACATTTCTATAAATAAATGACCTATAAGAATGTCTGCGTCATCTGAGTTAGGACTATTTGTTAACGACGCTAAGGTCTTTATTTCATTTCTAATAGAAGCAATATTTAAAACATAATCTTCATCAAAAAATTTGAAACATCGGTTTCAATAATTTGCGTGAAGTTTTATAAGTACATTAGGCCTAGTTGTCATTTATCACAAAGCATCGCTAGAATCGGTGATGTTTATAGCCGATGGTAGGTGATGGCCAGCGCACGAAAGGTTCTAATAAATCGGCGATGATATACAAGCCAATATCGCTTGCATACCGATGATATCGCTTTGATATTCATATCAAGTAAAAATGGCCCCATTTAATCTAAAGTTAACGATTTCTGTTCAGCTTGAAATGTTTATAGTAAAAGTTGTCGCCAAAGTTGCCCGACTCAACTGATTGTCGTTCAAAAAGATATTTTAAGCAAGTAGCACTCGGCAATGATCGTGACGCCGATGTTCAGCGACCGTCACAAAAAATCCGAAACACAATTTTTAATGCATTCTCATTAATCGTAAGCGCTCGCTAAGTCGTAGAAGTTCTATCGCCCACGTTTTGCGATGAATAAGAACTAGGCTTGATAAACAATTCAAACTTGAGGTATTTCTGTAGAGGTTTGATCAACTCGACAATACATTTTGCAACTCTCCATTGTCATGCTTTTAGTCTATACTATTTATATTTGAGCCATACTAGTTGTCCTCACTCTCATGAAGAGGTGATGCTGTGAATTTTCTTCAAGCAAACTTGGAAAATCATCCCGGCCGAGGCCAACATTGTCGAAGTCTTCTCGATACAACTAAAATAGGAAAAACACTGTGGGTTCGCTAAACCAAATTAATCTTTACACTAACTAGTACAGCCAGTTTTAGCCCTTTGTTGGAACTTTTCAATTTTCACAATCAACTATCAACTTACTTTAGGACATGACCAATGTAATACGAATCTTTTCAAATTCAATACGTAAGTTCAAATGGTTTTTTACAATGATAATCATTCCCAAGATATTCTTGTAGTTGAGTCCTTTTGAAGATAGCTAAAAATTTGAACAGCTCCAGGTGTCGCCAAGTTGCTGGTACTTCCTGAATGGTTTAAAACTTCGGCTTTCTAATAACTGTAAATATTTCCTGCAACAAGTCATTAAAATTAACATGAAAGTATAATAAAGATTATTTCTTAAGTAAAAAACACTGAACTTATCCTTCTAGAGTAACAGCTAAAAGAAATCAACGTTACCACATGTAACCCCCTCCACAATTAAGGTTTCAGAAGTTACACAATAATGACGTCATATAATACAATGGTAATTCCCATTTATAGTTTACCAGGACTAAACTGACAAAAAACAATAGTTCTTGGAAACGTCATACCAAATAGTGTGAACGTGAAGTCCGACAAACCTGCATGGTGATAAAATACTACCAATGTAAATAATGTTGTCGATGTGCTGTGCTATAGTTTTCTACGTTCGTTCCAACTTTATCCATCTACAAAGTCGTGTAAATAACTTCCATTTCATGTTTACTGTCATAGTTGCGTTATGTTGACATGATCGGCGTCCCAGCATTGGCGTAACGTCAAATGGAAAACATCCACAATCACCACGTATTGATTCATTAGGAAAATAGTTGAAATATTTATTACATGCCCTTTTTAAAGGATTTGTGTATGTGCACGTTTTATTGAAAGAAATAATATTTCTTCTACGAAATATGTCGAAATACGAAGTGTCTACTTACGTAAAACAGTAAAACATTTATTTTAAACAGCATTTATCGTAACCATAGTTATATATCAGGCAGTTAAAACACTCAACACTTTATAAAATCTTTATGATCAGCACACATTAAAGTCACGTCTACGTACATTGAAGTCATAGAAAAAGTTACAAAGAGAAGGTCTTTAACAAACAATCGTCGCACCAAATGTAAATAAAAAGGCAATGAGATAAAACCAGCTACTGTATTGATTGTTTTTAATCATGTTAGAAGAGTACAAGTTTCGTCAAATAATGTTAGTAGTCGACTGATCGTAAAACCTCAGTTTAAAACAGCAATAATGTCCAACTGTCCATCGTTAAAAACAAAACATGTCCAAGAACGATTTAATGAAATGGAGCTAAGATTACTTTCATAACATTGAATCAATACCTTATGACGACCAAACCGATAGCACGCAAAAACACCAATATGTGAAACAAGTCTTTCAAATAGCAACTTTATGCAATCATCTCAAACACGTGGCCGTTTTCTGGAACTTTCGTTTTTTGGTGGATCAGCATGAAGTACCTTCATTTTCATTCCTAGAACCTCCTGGCCATTTAAACCAGCGATAGCTGCATTGGCTGAATCTTTATTTGCAAACTTGGCATAACCAAAATTACGATCACTAACCATCCAGATATCAATCAGGTTGCCGTAACGACAAAACACATCTTTCAATATATGCTCTGGAGGAGCAACAGGTTGGCATACTATAAAGAGACGAGCAGCAACTTGAGAATTCGGCTCTGCAAGTGATTGGCGATCTGGTAGTGCAGCTGTTGAATACGAAGGATTGGTGCTTGAAGATGTTGCAGCAAGTGGCTGGTGCATCTGTGATTGGCCAGCATTGAAAGGGATTGACATCATGTTTGTCATAGGATTGACAAAACTCTGGCTAGCTGGGTTCACCCCAAGGAAGGAAAGCTCATTGCCTTGGTTTGTATTGCTCTTGTTACCATTTTGATGACTTGTATTTTCTTCAGCAAATTTTACAACAAGTCTTGAACCAGGAGGATATTCAAAACCATTCAGTTTTTCTTTGGCATAGATTGCAGAACCCACCGAAGTATACATGACATATGCAATACCACGTGATTCATGCGTGTTGTGATCACGTTTAAGATCACAGTACTCCATTCCAGGCACAAGATCAAAGAGAGATGAGACTTGATCATGGGTTACCGACGGTGATACGACAACAAAAAGACGCTTGTTTGTTAATGTTGAAGCAATTCCTTCAGACACAGTAGCCTGAGCAGCAACAAGAGAAGTATTGCTACTTGTGTTTTTTGCATCGTGGAAGTTCAATGCTTGTTGCTCCATGAAAGGATTCACTGGTATTCCCTGCATAGCTGCCGCAAACGCAGACATAACATTCTTCTCCTTTTCCATTTTTTGCTGTTTCAACTTCGATGACTTGGGTTCTGCAATCACAGCCTTTAAAGATCGATCACATGTTTCGATCGCCAATGCAGCTGTCGATGGTTTCTTGAATTTTACATAAGCAACACCTTTGGGTTCTCTCGTGTCACGATCTTTTAAAATCTGACAATACTCGATACTGTCATTGTAATCAGCAAACTTTGCACGTAGTTCATCCTCCGTAAATGTTTTTGGTACAACAACGAAAATACGACTAAGGTCTGAGTCATTCTGCACTTCGTGTTGCTTGCCTGGTGTTCTTGATTGTGCAATCATAGCCTTAAGGAAAAAAATCAATGGTCTTTAATATGAAATATTGAAGCTTGGTAAATATGCTTCGATGCATAAAAAATTAAAACTACCAACATGAGACCAGTTTGGTGAAAAAACCAGAACATGAAGGATTTTGGATGAACTTATTCTCTATAATTGTAAACTGCACCTCTCAATATGAATTGATTAATTGATGAATTGATTAATCAATGAACTGATTAATTGATTGATTGATGAATTAATGAATCCATTAATTGATGAATTCAATAGTCAGTTGTATTAAATTGTTAAATATCATTCAAAAGTTAAACTCAAACATAATGCAATTACATTTGAGCAAGGTAATGCTAAATGTGACCAATACAAAGCTTTTAAAAAAAACTATTTTTTGGTTTGCACTAGTTTTGTTCAAGAGTAAAAATGTTATATCACAAGAAAATGAAGTTTTCAAATGAAATATGATTTGAAAGAACATTAACTTGTAGCTGATAATTGGCCAGGTGGAAATGTGTACTTAGTATGATTAATGCCCAACATAACAATTTAATGTTTGCTACTACACACATAAAATTTCAAGAAATGTTTCTTTTTTTATTAATCCATCTATAACATGAACGCAAATGGAAAAGCTTTTCCATAGCACACATGTGTTTCTCCCATGAGAGAAAATAGTACATAAGCTTTTTCTACCTGCTTAATTCCTTCCAGCATGTTGTTGTACAGCACAGCAACAATCATGAAATGCAATGAAATTCAATTGACAAGAAAAATTATAATGGGAAAGATTAGACAATAGACATGGTATCTCAAAAATAAAGGACATCCATCTTCAAGATGCTAGTGTGGTTAAATTACTGAAACAACAATAATTTTGAACGAGGCATTGGATGTTGGATGAAAAATGAGCAAATGCAAAAGTACACAATTTTAGTCAAAATAAACTGAAGTTTGTTTTGGACATCTTTGTTATGATTTGTATCCAACCTTGCAAATGACAAGGGTTATGCTTTCAACAGTTAATATTTGAAATTGTATTCTATGAAACAGCAGTAAGATATAAGATAAAATAACTTGAGGACTTTAGGAAATTATAGGAGGAAGACCAACCCTAAATGATTGTTTCGGGCATTTCCCACATGCTTCCTTGGTCCCCCCATTATGCTTCCCCTGTTTGAATATTTTAAAATATGTAATTTTAATAGTTCAGAAATATGTACGTGGACATACATAAGTAGTTTAACATTCTTAAACTGTTTAAACAATTTCTGTAATTTTGTGTATGTCCAATGTTGCTGGCTTGTTGCCCACTGCCTAGGTCTTAAGTCCTTCTCTTTGCTCTCAAAATTATCTTAAATTAGTTAAATAGCATGAACAATTGTTTTACGAAACAGGCCAAAATTGTTGCAACACAGAGTGTCCTACCTTGATCGGTTTAGCCTCATTTCCAATGGCCTTACCATCTAAATATTCAATAGCAAATGCAGCTGATGACGCTTTGCTGAACTTCACAAAACAAATTCCTTTGTTTTCCTTCGTAATTTTGTCTTTGACCATTCGCACGTTTTCGATACTTCCGTACGCTGAAAATGCTTCTTCTACTGCCTCTGCAGTTAAACTTCGCGAGCAAACCACAAAAACTCGGGAAAATGGTGGATTATCAATGTCAATGCCGCCAGCTTGTGAATTACTCGAGTTAGATGAGTGACTTTCAAACGCCATTTTGAATATTCTGGCGGTGAAAAAAAAACCTGCTAAAAGTTTTTGATATTGCGCATGCTCGAAGGTAAACATTTACAATGACAAGTAGCCAGCGTTGCCAATGCCAACAGTTTAAGATTACAACAATAGCGAGTGACCTGCAAGGCGGGAAACGATTCGTGTTAAAAAAAATTGCCCAGCATAAAATTCTAAATTTGTAATTGGCACACGGCGACACGCAACTAGAAAATAGTTTACTAATTCCTGTTTTGGTTAGCCGATGCAAAGATTGTATTATCTTGAATCAAGTTTGCTAGTTTTGACTTATTATAAGCCATACTTTCAGCGTAAAATCTTAACGTACTCCACAGTGTTCACTCGTCTTTATTATCATTGTACTTCCATGGTCCATACAAGGGGATGACTACATTCGATATTGACGACACCACTGCCATCAAATGCATTAGAAGTACTAACCAATTCACCAAACTGTAAAGGATCATTACCTAAAATTCGATAAAAAAACAAATACCTTGAAGAACAAACACCGTTGATACCAATGTATCGACAAATAACAGTTACTGTGAAATTTTCTTCACAGTATTTTTGACTTACTCAGATTCCATTTCAATCCATCAGTTTTGACTTTGTCACACTTGACGCCAATTGGTAACAAGCCACATTTCAATTCCTTATATCCATCATTCAAATCAATTCGATGTTTACCCTAAAAAAGATTTTTGACGCCTAAGCAAATTAAAAGAATTTACATACAAACCCCACTTATTTTTTTTACAATGCCTTGGTACATCCCTCTTTCATCTACTCCTGTGAGGTTTAGGATGTATTTGGAGAAAATTTTCAAAACAGAGCTGAAAATTATTTTAAGCATGGGCCCATATTATCCCATCATCATCTTATCCCATATTAATACATCACACACAGCTTCCTTTCACGACTTCACTATTATTTCTTCTTCACCCTACATCCCTGAATTTTTATTATTCCATGAAAGCCTCCGGAAATCACACCAACACTCAATATCCAAGGCAGTTTCATCCCACTAAAACTTTTTTAAGTATCCCACAACGTTTTGTACTCATTTGTACCACATCGTACACATATCCTCACTCTATCCACCTTTCCGACGGTAAACACACGTGCCAAAATACGAGATCAAATTATAAAATTCGCAAAATCAAAATATCAAATGGTCGGATATAGTATTATATTTATAGAATAGTGGCAGTAAAATAGAAAGAAGATGTTCTTGGGGCATTTGTAAATCTTATTTTAGAAATCCAGTACGACTAATTATTAAGGCAGAAGGTGTAAGAGTGAATAAAAACCATTTTCCGATGTCAACTAGCAGTGGAAGCTGGGTGCGATATAGTATGCAGTGGCTTAAGAAGGTATCGGGAAGCATGGCCCGAAAACGGGTTTTTTTGCTTTTGAATTTTATGTTTTTGTTTACAAGAGTTCTTCCCATAAAATAAACAAAGCAATTACCTTCTGCTGACACTGTGCCCTTTTCTGACACTGATAATTTAAGACAACCTTAAACATGTTTTATACAATTTTTATTGGTTTATATCTTTCTGATTTAACTCTCACATTTACTGTTTCTCGTGTATCATGAGCAACCCATCCGTGGGCTTCATGCAAACAAAGATTATCTGGTTCCCTTAATTAAAATGCGACGCTCTAGTCCTCAACTATCTCGGGGCAACAGGAGGCATGGACCGAAAACTGGACTTTTGTTTTCAAAATTTGTCTTTTTCTTTACAAGAATTCCTCTCAAAAAGGAACTAGAACGTCCAAGGATACTGCAAAGGTTCAAACAATTTCTGCCTTTTTGACTTTAAATTTAAACAAACTCTAAGCATGTTTATACGTTTTTTAGTTGTTATCTTTTACAATGTAACTTTCTAATGACTCTCTTGTGATGAACGAGAGCCTCTTTATACAATGTAACTCTCTCATCATGAACGAAAGCACCCATGGGCTTCATTGTAAAAAGGGATTATCTACTTTTTAATAATAGTTTTACAAAGATAGCATTTAATAAGCCAAGCCATTTGTATCGTCTGAATTGAACCCCTTATGTCATAAATTTTAATTCATTTTGGATAGTAAATTTCTTTTCACCTTACAATATTTTTATGATTCATTCTAGAAAGTAACTTCACTTCTCGAGTAATTTTGGGATTAAACAGTACACTTTTCGGATTGAAAGGAGTTTATTTGATCGCATAAAGGCAGCCGTCCAATTTATTACATAAAGGCATGTAGTATGCATTTCGTTGTAAGAAACCACCCTACCCATAGGCGGCCCGGAAAATCGCTTAGCTAGCTAATACGATAACTCTCCCCATTCCATCGTAACAGACCGCGCGCCGCAAACTTTGTATTGATTGATTGTACATATATGTAGTGATGCTGAAAAAATCACGAAAACTACAGATTCATCCCGACAAGCCTGTTTCGTGATTGCTCACTCTTCAGGGGATTGATTGTATATACATATATACATATATACATTTCAAAAGTAGAAGGGGGGCTCCTCTCCCAAGCGCCTCCCCACTTCTACAGCACTGTATATATTTTATTGTATATGCGAATCCGCCCGTTTCTCTGCGTTTCATGCCTGACAAGTCACTCGCTATTAAACACTATAACAATTAAATAAACAGTAACTTTTTGAAGAAAAGTTTTATGTATGATGAAGCTTAATTTTCACAGACCAAATAACTCACCCGAAATATCAGGGTATTTTAGGTGGTAAGTATATATCGGTAAAGTTCAAGTTGAATCGACAGTCGAATGAAAAACATTTCGATGCTTCATTAACTTACTGGTTGGAGAAGGAATGCTAAGCAATCACTAGCCAAAAGAATAACATCTTTTTGTGTAATCTTTGCAGCTTCATACAACGTATTGACATTGGCCATAGTTTGATCAAGAAGCCCTGAGAACTCGGCCAGTACAACAACTGCTGATACCTAAACAAATAATAAGGTTGAAAAAATTTGCAAAGCGAAGACTTGCTTTAAGCGTTTTTTACGTAGCGTAAAATATGTCTAAGAAGAATGTGAAGACAAATGCCTTATGCCTATGGTCATTTGCGCGTATCAAAATACGTATTGCTTGAGGAACAGTTTTAATTTTGCCATTCCCAAATCATGATCAGTCATAAGCTTTTCGTAGCCATATTGTTCGAGACGTTTTTTGTCATTTTTTTCTCCTGAGGATTACGAACGACATGAAACGGCGAGAAAACTGGGCAGTGTAAATGTGTTCTATTCTAAAATTAAAGATGGACAACAGACAGGTGAAGACAACTGTTGTCAAACAGACAAATAGCATTAAATTTCAAATAACGGACGAGTAACAAACTCATAATTTTAACCAAAAAAGCACATGTTTCTAGAAAGGTGATTAAAATAATTATCAGGCAAATGTTTATTATTTTTTCTCTAACTCTGTACCACATAGATTCTCAAATGCCCGATTAACCCTCGATCTAAGGAACCAAAACAAAATATATTTATAACAACCTTAAAAAAAACTTTAGCGAACCATTATAGCAAAAACTGATTTTCAAATTCCTCAATTAAATGATTCCCTCATTTACGATCCCCATATTCCAAGATTCCCCCATTTCTCAATCTCCCAATTCTCTGATTCCCCCCTTCTACGATCTTCCCATTTCCTAACTCCACAATCTCACCATCCTCTAGATCAGCAGTATTTAGCAAAGTACTGCTATATCGTACTTAAGTAACTCCTCAATTTATACTTAAGTACAAATAAACACATCGTCTGAAAATTTTACTCTAATAAAAAAGTATAAATATTACTGGAAAAGTTTTTTTAAAAGTAAAAACATGATCTATAAAATTACTTAAGTATAAGAAAATTTTTACCAACGAGCCCAAAAAACAAATTGTTCATTTTCGTAACAGGAAATTTTTTAAAAAACCCAACACTGTTTTTCATCATGGAATTTGCAAAAATCCCGTCATCAATACTAATAGTGCAGAGTGGAAATGCTCAATTGTTACCATTTATGTTTGATAAATGAAAACACGTTGTGGATAGCCAAAAAGTTTTAAGTTTTTTGTTTAGAACGCCAGTGCAATATGTATGTTGACCTTCCTCCACAGACAACTGCGTCACCGTCTCGGATTGTTGGCTGGATCGGTGAACGGTGAATAGCTGAATGCGCCCCAGGCTGAACTAGAGAGTACTTTTTTAAAAATCAACGCACATTAACTAAGGAAAGAGATGGCATCTTGTCTGCAGAAACAGCTCAACTACAAAGAAATAGCTAGAGCGTACTCAGAATATAACGATGTTCAATTTATGTTTAGAGAAAGAATTCTAGAATAATTAGACATTGCGCTTGGAGATAAAGCTCTTGATATCGGTTGTGGTACTGGAGAATACACAGCTTGTATAGCTGACATAGTAAAGGAAGATGGTTTATGTGTTGGTTTTGATCCTGAAAAGTATCGTATTGAAGTTGCAATGGAAAAGCTTCTTCCTGGTCGAACAAACATTATTTTCTTTCATGGCGATAGCTCGTCTAAATTTCCTCGTGCTAATGAAGAATTTTATGACTACGTGTTCTGTTCTGGAGTCTTCCACTGGATGAACGAAAGTGAAAAGACAGCTTTCTTAAAGACTGCATACCTATCTTTAAGACCTGGAGGAAAATTAGCCATTGTAAGCTCAGATAAAATGTTGGAAATTGCTATTTGCACACAACAGTTAGTTGCGGATGTTGATATGAAGTCAGGTCGTGCACCATTGAAGCTTTTGAAGAAACAAGATGCAGAAGGAATGCTGCAACAAAATGGCTTCGTAATAAAATCTAGCCTGTATGTTGATTATCCATATCAGTTTAAATCGCTGGATTACTACTTGACCTGGTTCTGTGCTTCAGCCTACATTGACAAACAAAACTGCCTTTTTCTACTATATTTCTGAAATTAAAACTAAATATATAGATAACAAAGAAATAAAGAAACTAATTTATAATTGTTTATACATGTATGTATCATACCTGATCATCACAATGAGAAATAACATGACGAATGGCTTTTGTAAAATCTGTGTGATCTTGATCAGGAGTAGAAACAAATGCAGTACCCTATAAAACAAACAAAAAAACAAATGTTTGAAGCAAAAGAATTTAATGCCTGACTTTTAATAGCACAAGTATTTAAAATACATCACATATTTAATAACAACAATTGTAAAAAAACCTTGCAGATAATGTATAGGTAATATATTTACCTTATTTTTGTAATACTCCATAACATCTGGCTTAATGGAATCAAAATCCCCTGTGATATAAGTTGGTGTCCACTTAAGACTAAAAATATGACAGAAAATTAGTATACGTAGCTCGTTGACAAGACAATGTACGTATAAAGACAGTACGTTTGATGTTCTTTGCAAACTTTGTAAAATTCATTTGCACCACCATCTACACATATTCTCACTGAAGCTACAAATGAAGGAAACAATTTAGTGGTGGAGAAATCTATACATCTATAGAGTTTTTGAAGAACAAGTATGATGACAATTGTTTATTCTGTGAACATAACACATTTTCATTCCAATTCATTCAAGTTTGATATGTATGCATACAAGAAATATGTTTACACAAAACAATTAGATTCATCATTAATTGAGTAATGATTTTTACGACAATATTTAAGTTGAATTCAAGGTTTACCAATGCTCCAAAGTTTTGTCAATTTTTCATAACTGTTGTCCAAAGGTCTGTTCAGTATTAGCAGACAAATATCTTTTTCTAATTAATCAACAAAAAATATAACTTAAAAAGTATGTAAATGAAACAAATATTTATATATGATGATGCAAGTGCAACTTATATGAAAGATTTCCAATTCTCTAATGCAGATTGAAAATGTGGAGCAAGGAGTGGAATATATTAAAATGACAGCTAAGCTGACTTCCATGATTTCTAGATAATTATCATAAATTACCAATCTTGCAGCATAAGTCATTATACAATTTGTAAAACTCATAATGGTAAAAATATCACGCAATTTTGTAGTAAACGAGTAAAATTCACCACGAATGACGTAAGAAACTGCATCCACAGAATCTCAAGGAAAATAGCAAAAATCAACTTTGCCCATTATGGTTTTTAGTAAACAAGTATAAGGCATGACATGTAACTAGTTTCTAGCTTGATGTTGAAAGCTGGAACATATTCATTCAACCACATACAAATCTTGAGACTAGTAATAAGTTACAAAGGAAAAATTCACCGAGTACACTCAAACTGTTTAGTACTTATTTGTGTTCGCTTGTGTTTGATTTAATTAACATCTGCAAACAATTGAAATAATCTGTAGACAACAGTAAATAGTTTTAATTTTCTCAATTCAGTCCTAGAATTCAATTAATTCAAAACTCCCGAAAATAGACATTCGCTCAAATCATAACAGTAAGTATAATTTCATTATTCATACTTGCTTGTGTAAGATAGTCTAAGGGCGCCCAACACTTTACATCATTCTCCATAATTCAATTTCCCTCTCAATTCAATTGCCACACATGAAGACATTTCACCAGACAAATAACCTCTAATGACCATCTACACTGTGACAAAACATTATATAATTCATAATTTCAAACATATTATGAAATAAACACAATAAAACGCGTGCGGTGATTGGTCAATAGCCAGATGGTGGGTGGTTGCATCACAGTGCAAACCGATCAAATCAATCAATCAGTAGAAGAGAATTTGCAAATCAATCATGAATACTTTTGGAGGAAAAATTAAACGTTAATTTGAAATTTGTCTGTTTCGCACAGCGCACTATTGTTACTTTATAAAAGACCGTCGGTCTCGGGCTTGCACTGATCAGCTCTCGTGTTCTCTAAAAGGTTTCCTCACATCTTTTATTTCAGGAACCACAGACTGGAATCTGGAATCTCAGAGTTCCAGTAATCATCCTGATCTTGAGTTTTCCTGTCCAATTTGTTGTGGTATATAATAGTATATGATAATATAAAGCTCCTTGGCAGTCGACATACATAAGACGTTTAAAAGAGCCATCAAGACAATAAAGTAGAAATTAGAAGGGTTTTTTAATGTTGTTTCGCATATTTAGATAAATAATAATTCACATGAGGCTTCAAAGATAAGCTTCTATATTTACAGGGTATTAAACTACATATAAAGGCAGCTATTAGGAAATTTGGTCTGTTTCGTTCACATAAGCATAGACAGTACTTACTAGTGAAATTATTATTATTAGCGCACTATTGCATGCGCAGTTATCACGCGTGACTGCACGTGCATGAGAATTGTAAAATTAATAAAAAGCAAGTGACAAGATCGAAAATTCTAAATTGAATTGTAAATTAGTGCGGCGCGATGTAATAATAATAAGGACAAATTGTAAAATGGTTATTATTATTCAATTTTCCTATCAGTGCTATCACATTCATCATATCAATGTGCCATGGTGTACCATGCGCGAGTGCACGAATTCTAGCAGTCTAAAATACAATACCTATATTTAATTGTTAAATACTGTACACTGTTGCTTGTTGATCGTTGTTGAAAGTCAACGCAAATTTAGGGAACAAAATGGCATCATGTCTACAGAAACAGCTCAACTATAAAGGAATAGCTGAAACTTACTCAGAATATAATGATGCCCAAGTTAAGATCGGGAAAAAAATTCTAGAAAAATTAGGCATTGCGCTTGAAGATAAAGTTCTTGATGTCGGTTGTGGTACTGGAGAAATCACAGCTTATATAGCTGACACAGTGAAGGAAGATGGTTTATGTGTTGGTTTTGATCCTGACAAGTATCGTATTGAAGTTGCAATGGAAAAGCACCTTCCTGGTCGAACAAACATTATTTTCTTTCATGGCGATAGCTCGTCTAAATTTCCTCGTGCTAATGAAGAATTTTATGACTACGTGTTCTGTTCTGGAGTCTTCCACTGGATGAACGAAAGTGAAAAGACAGCTTTCTTAAAGACTGCATACCTATCTTTAAGACCTGGAGGAAAATTAGCCATTTTAAGCTCAGATAAAATGTTGGAAATTGCTATTTGCACACAACAGTTAGTTGCGGATGTTGATATGAAGTCAGGTCGTGCACCATTGAAGCTTTTGAAGAAACAAGATGCAGAAGGAATGCTGCAACAAAATGGCTTCGAAATAAAATCTAGCCTGTATGTTGATTATCCGTATAAGTTTAAATCGCTGGATTACTACTTGACCTGGTTCTGTGCTTCAGCCTACATCGACAAACAAAACTTCTTACCTGAGAAGATAGAAAAATTTGCACAGAATTTCGAGAATAAAGACGGGACAATCTCCATTCTTGGTTCGGGATATGAAATTATAGCGACCAAACCAGATGAATCTTGATGTGCTATTGAGGAATTAAACAACAAAACGATGCAACCTAAATCAAATCTTACACTTGCCTTTTTCTAATATATTTCTGTTATTAAAACTAAATATGTAGATAGCTTTAAAACAAAGAAGTAAATATACTTAAAATCTACTCACACTAGATGAAACTATAGTTGTTTCTACACGTACGTATGTATCATACCTGATCATCACAATGAGAAATTACATGATGAATACCTTTGGTAAAATCTGTATGATCTTGATCAGGAGTAGAAAAAAACGTTGTGCCCTATAAAACAAATAAAAAACAAAATGTTAGAAGCAAAGGTATTTGAAACTACCTTGAATATTTAAGAACAAAAAAATTGGAAAAATTATATGTTCCAGACAATGTTCTTATTTGTAAAAAAACTTTGCAGGTCGACTGTCCATTTTACATATAAAGGTAATATATCTGCCTGAAGATATTCCACCATCAAAAGTTTCTAAAATTTCAAATAACAATCAACACTTCCAATTATTGGAATCTGGAATATCCGAATTTCTTATAGTTAGTCTAATTCCCAATAATTTCCTTCCAAGAAAAGTTCTCGTCCGAAAACTACTAAAACGAGAGACGTAAATTTAGGGGTGTGGGGTGGCACGAGAACCCGTGAGCTCATCAGTGCAAGATGATTGATTTGATTGATACCTATCTTTAAGACGTGGAATCGCTAAGAATTTATTCAATGATTTAAAACGGATTATTCGGTATTACACGAATCTTAATTGTTCTATAAACCATATTTTCATATCATTTTGTTTTATTGTAAAAAAATAAACAATGGAGTGCTAAAATTTTCAAGCATTTATCAATTATTTTATAGGGAAAAACATAATGAATGAGTTAGAGTAAAATATTTTAACAAATCGACACTCTGCGTTGAAGTTCAGAAAGGAGTAGTTAATATTTTGTTCGTAGAATGTTCTAACCGTCTTTTGACATTGGTTATTACATTTTATGACTATTAAACATTCCACGAAGTTAAAATCAAATAGGGTAAAGAATAAATTGGACAGTTTATCAAATAACTTTATATCGCCCAGTTGGTTGAGGTCCATGATATGCACTCTGCAGAAGAAAAAAATATTTAGTGATTAAGAAAGGCAAAAAAAACGCCATAACAAATTGACTGCATGGCGAGTAGAATAAAGACAACAAAAAAATAAAAATGCTTTGAAACAATGTATAAATAGTAATAATCATACAGCACAGTTAAACCATTTATTTTACCTGACGAAGTAATTCTTCATTAAGCACTCGTTTGATTTCCAGTTTGGCAATCTGTACTGCTCTCTCAGTTGGTCCTAAGATTATAATGTCAAAACTTTACTGGTTTAAAATTATAAATGAGCATAATACAGACTGTGCATACACAATAAACTTATACGCGCCTTCAATATATAAATAAATCTTTCTTTCTCCTTCAGGTGGCTGAGTTCCTGAAAGAAAATAAATGATACAACAGGGGTCGCGGAGAAAGGGAGCATTGCCCCCTCCCCTTTCTTCAATATCTCTTGCTTTTTAAAGTGTAAAAGTATAAAAATCTGCTTTGGCAAATACTTACATTTGATAAGTATGGATGTTTAACAGTACTTCATGTCTCACTTTTGTTCCATTTTCATTCTTTAGTTGACGTTAGATTGATCAATTATAGCTCGTTCAGACCATATATGGTTCAGACTGATCGCCGGAGTACGCGATATCCTGGTTCGGGCAAAAATCTGCAAGCCGTTCACACTACATAGTACTCACTAGCTTCGTCTATATATAATTTCATGTTTTTCATTGTAAACAAGTTTTAAAACCATGTGTTGAATACGAGCCTCTCTGTACACGTTACTCAGGTGTCGTCGTTTACATTGGTGTCCGTGCTAGAACACCGTACTTGGGTACTACCTATTTTCGTGGTGCCCAGACTCGGGCACTTATACACAGGCACCATCAATATTTTGTGTTCACATTGGTGCCCGTGCCTGAGCACTGTGCCAGGGCACTCAGTGACTGAACACACTATAATAAACTTTACAAACGAAATCAAACAAATTTTGCATTTTGAATGATTACTGATAAAACTTTTAAAAACAACTTTGCTATACTGGGAACAACAATCCGATCCTGCCACCTTTTTGCCATCCCCACACACACACACTTTTCAAACCTCTCTGCGGCCCCAGCACAAACCATGATTATTAAAACAATTTAAATCAGGTTTATAGAAACTGCATGCACGTGTAAACTGATAACGAAGGAATTATGTGATTGGCCTTGTATATACTTGAACATTACTGTATATACACTTAACTTTGCGCTCTCGAGGATGTTTTGTTTTTAAATGTTTAGAAGTCAAATTTAATTTTGAATAACAAGAAAAATTTTCCTGGTTTCACTCAAGTATGAACAGTGTAAGTAACCTTTATCATATCAGACATGTCATTCAAAGGTTTTATGTTTCGACAAATGACATTTTGTTTGTTTGTCCGTGTTTGTCTTTAAAAAAACAATTGTGCTCAACAGTACGAGATTGCAATTCCAAATTTTGTGGCATTTTGGAAAAAGTAATAAGCAACAAAATGAATTTCTTGCCTTTCTAATAATTGCCAGAAGGTGAGAATGCGAAAGAGTACTGGTATAAATTGGTAAAATATCAAGATATACCAGCAGAAAATTAGAAATAACATACTCTGTCACAATTAAGGTTAAAAATAATAACAGAATTGGATGATAATAAAATTTCACAATATTATTGTCGATTTCAGTTAACTTTTCAAATGGCGGTTGCCAAGTTACTTTCTAATGTTGCCAACTACATTTCCAAATATGGAATATTCGATATGAACTTATCAACTTGAGTTGACAAGTTGTGTACTTGAGTACTGAAGTTGTGAACTAAAGTTGCGAAGTACTAGCAAACGCGAAAGGTCTTTGTACCCTGTAGACATTTGGCAATGAATCTGTTCAGTAAGCAAGGAAAAGCTTTAGCAATTCTAATCCGTTTGATGGCCCTCTAAGAGTGTTATAATGCGATACGCCGTTTACATTATGTAATAAATTTACAGTAAATGTGGCACTAGAAGAGTAACGTTGGATACTGCATACTGTGCCCTGCATACTGTGCCCTCGACGTCTGTTGCAACTCGTAACAACTACAGGCGACTCATCAAAAAATGCATACGGTTGCAATCAATCAATGAAATATTTGCTTCATAAGCTTCTAACTTCTTCATAACGTCCGGCCGTTCTGTCTCTCGAGGAATTTGACTTATTATCTTGTAAGAGTAAGCAAGATCTTTTTTCAAAATTCTACTAATGGATGACCTGCTAGGTATGTTTGCTGGAAGGCAAACTTTGTTATTTTCTAGGTGTTGCCTAAATAGATGGTTTATTAATTTTTAGATATTCAGTGTATGCAATAACGTCATCTGTACGCGCGGTTCGAACATCACGTTCGCTCTGGCGATGTGCAATAGAACCAGTGTCTACACATAGATCTATTATATTTTATATAGTCTTATACGGTAGGTTTAGTTGTTTCGAAATGTTTGTCAAACGCTCGTTATTTAACCACCTTTCAAGTATTTCATTTCTTACTTCTATTGGTAAAGCTTTTCCTTGCTTACTGAACGGATTCATTGCCAAATGTCTTCAGGGTACAAAAACCTTTCGCGTTTGCCAGTACTTCGCAACTTTAGTTCACAACTTCATTATTCAAGTACACAACTTCAGTACTCAAGTACACAACTTCATTACTCAAGTACACAACTTCAGTATTCAAGTTCACAACTTCAGTACTCAAGTACACAACTTCAGTACTCAAGTACACAACTTCATTACTCAAGTACACAACTTCAGTATTCAAGTACACAACTTCAGTACTCAAGTACACAACTTCAGTATTCAAGTACACAACTTGTCAACTCAAGTTGATAAGTTCATATCGAATATTCCATATTTGGAAATGTAGATGGCAACATTAGAAAGTAACTTGGCAACCGCCATTTGAAAAGTTAACTGAAATCGACAATAAAAGTAATCGAAGTCCTTTTTCGATATCACGCAGTATCGATTACTTCCGGATTAGGCTCAGTATCGGGCGGTATCTATACCAAGTAATCGGTAATCGTCCATCACTCTACATGAAACAACAGAAGGATAAAATTTTGTGTATTTTCCTCTTATCCAAACCATGCACGAGTATATATTTGATAAATAATAATTCACACGAGGCTTCAAATACAAGCAGATAGTCCTATATTTACAGGGTATTAAATTACATACTAGAAGTTGCTATCGCAAGGGGGGATTGCTGCCCCGACCCCTTATCTGGAAAAATTGCAGGGTTCAGAACGTAGTGACATCCATTGGAGCCACCTCCGTGTACAGCATTCTAGGTGGTTTCATACATACGTTATGATTGGGTGATTAGAATGATAGACAAAGAAATTTTACATGCGTCTCTAACTTTTAGCTTTGCGTTGGCAAGGTTTATTTCGCCATGTGTAGAGTTTTCTTTCTATCTGAAGGCCTGTTTACACGTTCCGATTTGTCAGATCCTATTGTTTTGGGTCCGTCTTTTGATTGCTTGTTCAGACGGTCAGATAGTTGTGTTGATATTTAGATACGTTTAGATATTTATAATCTTGAGAGCAGCCATTTGTGTTGTCCATTTATCGATATAATTGCGTACTTTTCTTCTTGTTTCCAAGTCTTTTTCAAACATATATAATTTAGCTAGTCATTATATTCTAGGCTATTTCTATCCTCTTTTTTAGATTGACGGATCCGACTGTCGGAGACTAACTTTATATGTGCTCACACGATCCGTTTTTAGGATCTGACAAAACCGGATCCGACAAATCGGATCGAGTGAACGGGCCTTTCAAACGTGTCATACCTTATTTGGTATACATGCGAACAAAGGCACGCGTTCTGAAAGTCGACGGTTGATTTCCGGCGAAAAATAGCTCCCGTGCTTTACATCTTATTTCATTTCACGTTTCAAATAATTTTAAAGATAAATTCATTACCATTTCGAACGAAAACAATTTTTTGATTCTTTTAAATGCCTTGATGGTTTTGATTCTTTTGAGTCTTTAAATTGCTTTTTGATTAAAAGTATGATACTTTGTTTACTCAAACGATCGATCGAACGCATGTTTACAAACGTAGAAGCGGACTATATTATAAAACTGTAGTTTTGTTTCCATTATTTCCTTTATAACATTTTGATAGAGCCTTTTTTCCGATGATTCTGTGCGACTGCGATAAAATGATGAAAAGTTATCGCAAAGAGCAAACGTTTCATCGTATTCATAATTCATATTTCATGGTTGAACTCGCACCATGCGTTTAAATTATTTTTGACGTTTTGTTAAATCCACACCGATACTTCAAGTAATAATAAAAGCTCGAACAAAAATAAATACATGCTTACACTACATTTTTCTCACCGTGCGATCATAGAGTGCAAGATAAAATATGTGAACCGAGCTGGCTAAATACGGCACGGTGAATCCATTTCATGTGTTTTTCGCCAAACGAGATATATAATTGATGTCGGTAATCACTCGATTTTGGTATCTACTGTATAACGTTGTTTAGGCCGCATATCTATTCGGATTCCAGACATTTAAAATCAAAGAGAAACTGACAGGAGTTCCGAAAGGTTCTACCTTATTGTGATTGTTCTTCCCCCCTCATTCCGTAAAAATCCCCCCCGGAAATGTTAACAGACAGACACAAATCGAGATTTTACCTCTATATAGGTCGAGTAGAGGAATGGGCCGAGACATGTCAAGATTAGTGTGCTGCCACGCTGATGCGTGGCAGCAATAAGAGAGCTAGAAGGAAGCTTGGTTCACATAGGCATACACAGTACAAATTATTATTATTAGCGCACTATTGCATGCGCAGTTACCATGTGTGACTGCACGTGCATGAGAATTGTAAAATTAATAAAAAGCAGATGACAAGATCGAAAATTCTAGATTTAAGGCTGAGACACACTGTCGCTGTCGCTATGTCGTTACCGCGCAGCGACGGGATTGCGCGGTTACAAAGCCGTGTCGCTGTGTCGTTTCAACACAGCCAGCGAATTCGCTGGAGCCATTGAGTTCTATAATAACTGGAGGGGAAACGTCAACAAAATTAGTATAAATTATTAGCGCGCGGCCGCGTGGTCAAAAACATGGCGGATTTTGGTGGTCAAAGTCAGCGGAGAGACGCGGGCTCATGAAATAAAATTTTTGTCGCCCACCCTGATTTGACCACCACAATTGCGAGTATAGAAAATATCAAAACTTTTTATTTTCCTAACATAAACACTTTTTTAAAATTTATTTATTAAATTGCCAACTTCTGTGGTTTGCGGACGCTGAAATAGCGATAGAAAAGGAAACATTTCATGACTCCGGTAAGTAGCACAGTATTAGTTTTACTATTTTGTTTTTAACACGATACTTGAAGAGTGTTTCTACTACTAAGTTTTAATTTAAAGTTATTTTGGTCCAGTCTTGTTTGTTCTTCACTTAATCGCTCGCCAGACGGTTCGAAGCTGTCAATTTTTTATCGAGTTTTGCATCCATCTTGTATCATGATCAAGGCATCAAGCTAAACTCTCCTGGTTTGAATTGAGTTTACCTCCCAAAAATGGGGCATAATTTGTTCATGTTTTTTTTGAAAAGATGAAGGGAAAGTTTACAACAGAGTTGTGTTGAAATTGAATGCAGTGCCATGCAATATTAATGAGAACTATGGTATATGTTGTATAATAAAAATAACTATTAAACTGTTTGCCTGCTCAATTTGACTGACTGTATAGTGTAGACAATTATAATGGGATTGGAAAGTTGGATTTATGCAAACAATTTTAAAGTACTACTTAGCGTTTCTGTAAATGAAATATTTATTGTTATAGTAAACAGGTTACTACTTCAAAACCAAGATAAAAGTAGTGTGTTGAACAATGTGCAAAGATTTGTTTCTACCTTGAAATTTTTGTTCAACAGTAGCTTATGATTATATCATTAATATGCATGAAAATTTAAACATATTATTGTCTCATCTCATTAAATCCATACTTGGTATGATTCCAGGTGATCACATCGAATGCATTGGTTACAATGAAGTTGAATGTAGAAGAAGCAAAAATAGATGGCAAAGAAATTCTTTGTGTCTTATGAAGAATTAGTAGAAATCAATAAAAAGAATTCTTTAAACAAATTGTAAACAAATTTAAATTTGCTCATGGTCAAGCAACCTAGTCAAAGAAGCAAAGTCTGTCTTCAACATGTGACCTTTCCAATTATTTAGTTTCTTTGTACAAAATACTATTTTTTAGAAACTTGATTTGTAAGTCTTTCATTAATATTTTTTTACCAAGAGATAAAAGGAACTAATTCAAAGGCTTGATGTAAAATACAAAGATTTAACAAGTTGTTTATCATTTAATCCCCAAATGTTAGTTTGTACATATAAATAATTAGTATTGGTAGCTGTAAGTTGTTTAAGCAAAACAGAAGAGTAGTAGTGCTAGAAGGGGTTAGCATTTTTGAAAAATTATATCTTGTTCATGACATATATTACACAATTCCAAAAAACTGTAAGTAATGCACAATAATATCTATAGAACTTGATAAATTTCTTCACCTACACTGTCAGATAACTATTTTGCCTTCATGCAGCAATAGACAGTGTTTTTGTCAGAGAAACCAATGCACTTTAGTTTCCAAGTTTGTAATTTCAATGGAAAATTAATGTAGTTCTGTTCAGTAATAGATCCAAGATTCTGCCAAGCTGTTTACAAAATACAAATTACCAAGCAACAGTGTCATGGTGTTTTGAATTTTTTCCTTTTTTGTAGCTCTTCTAGTTCAACATACTTTCTTTATGAGTTTTCAGTAGATTTATCAGGTAATGACAATACACTTATGATACTTAACCATGGTAAATTTTTAGTTGACTTATGTCGTAGGACTGAAGCAAACATTTTCTCGCTTCCTTAGCAGCATTTTACACAGATTTATCCATTTGAAGCAAGAAAAATAGGTGCACCAAACTGTTGACAAACAGTCAAACACACAAAAGCATGAAATAATGTATAAGTTTGACGAGATTGACAGGTCTAGTAAAGAATGCCGTTTGACTTTCACTTTTAAAAGGCTAAAATGTCATAAAATAACTTAAATGTTACATCCAAAATATGCGTTTCTCTACCGTCGATCTTCTTTATTTTGATGTGTGTCTGTACTGTGTTTTTCACGCAATGCTGAAGCATTATTTTCACATGATATGCTGTCGGTATCGTAATTGTTTTTTTTCTCACTTGTTTTCGTCCATACAAACAGTATTAGAAATCAGGAGGGAGTGAATATTGAAAAAAATTTTTAAAGTGGAAGTTTTGACCACCAAAATCCGCCATTACCGCCATGTTTTTGACCACGAGGCCCAGGCCCCTTTGCCCCTCCAGGTCTTATAGAGCTCAATGGCTGGAGCACATGAAATCGCTGTGTCGCTAGGACAAAATTTTCAAAATGGCGTCACTAGAAGAAGCACTTATAAATTCTTTTCGCGCGTATCCTGCTCTTTACGACATGTCTTTAAAAGACTATAAAGATGAAAAATTGAAGGCAAATATCTGGCAAAAGATAGCCGAAGAAATGCGTGCAATCGGTTTTGATTTCTCAGGTAAATAGTCATTTCGCAAAACATGTTTTCTTATCTCACAATATTTTTTGTCAGTATCGTCTGACCCAGTCAAATAAATATTTATTTTTCTCTTATTAAGCAAACGAACTAAAAGGTAAAATGAAAAATTTGCGAGACACATATAGGCGATGCAAAAAGAAGCATGATGCAGCTATCAAATCTGGTGCTTCTGCTTCCTCAACACCAAACTGGGAATTTTGGTCTATTTTGACCTGGCTGGATGATTTCGCAAAACGACGCCAGTATGTAATTTTTGAAATTACACTGACTTTCTAATAACAATGTAGGCAAAAATAAGCTATTTCTATGAGTAATTGATCATTTTATTCATAGGACAATCTCGAATGTTGTTATCACTGTGGAAGACCAACTTACGTCTTCTCAAATCCAGGAAGACTCTGAGGAGATAGCTGAGAGTGTGCTTGCTGACAGTCCATCAAGCCAATCAACAAATTTGTCCAGCACATCTGAAATTGTACGATGCAAGAAGAGGAAGGCTGAAGACATGTCACCATATCAAACAAAGTTGATTGGGTATCTAGAAACTCTTCACAAAAAACAAGTTAAAGAGCCAGAGAGTCAAGATGAATATAACTTTTTCGGAAAGAGTGTTGCTGAGCAAATTAGGAAGCTACCTACTCCATATGCTAGGGCTAAAGCCAAGAAGGAGATTCAGGATGTTCTTTTTAAGCTGGAGTTTCCAGAAAATTAGTTTGAGGTTTTTTAAGTGTTTCTGTTACAATCATTATTTTCAAATAAAAAAAAAACTAACAAAATAAACCGACTCTTTTCCAAATATTCTATTTATGATTATGATGTACGAAGGACATAATCCACTTGCCAAGATAACTCTCCTTCAGATGACATAAAATAACATGCAAAATCTTCTCTTACTCTAAGAGCTGCTTTTGTTTGGTTTCTAGAGCTCTGAGCAATGGGTTGAAGAGTAGCTTTTTCCATCTCAGCTCTCCAACTCCCTTCATTTATTTGGCCATTTTCATCCACTGTATCTGTCGAGCCAGGAGGTGTGTAACTTGCTGCAGATTGCTTCAGAAAGTTGTGAAGAACACATATAGCTTTAGTCAATTTGACCACGTTGTTTGGCTCAGCAACAATAGCAGTTTTCAAGATTCTCCACTTGGAAACCATGATGCCTACAAATATTGACATAATCAAATTATGAAGTATTGATATATACAACAATGTTTTTATTTGAGTTTACCAAATGTATTTTCAATTGTCCTTCTAGCTCTTGATAATCTGTAATTGAATACTTTTTTTGCTACACAGTCCAAAGATTTACCAGGATATGGTCGCATAATCCATGTCTTCAATGGAAAAGCCTCATCCCCAACAATGCAATATGGCATCTTCTTGCCATCATTTATCAGAGGTCTGGGGTCTGGTAACTGGACTTTTCCTTTAAAAAATTGCACTTTATGTATATATACAAAATATATATGTTTTGCATTTTAAGATCAATTACATGTGCATACCATTTAGGAATGCTGATCCAAATGTTGTATTTTCGAAGACTCAGAGTCACTCCACCGCCAGATTCTCCAACATCAACATACACAAACTGATAATGGGCATCACACATTGCCATCAGCACAATGGAATGAAACTTTTTGTAATTGAAGAAGGCTGAGCAAGAGTTTCTAGGAGCCTGAATTGCAATATGTTTCCCATCCAAAGCACCAATACAATTTGGAAAATTCCAGACAGTAGAGAATCTATTTCAATTGAAAAACTAGGTCACAAACAGTAAAGAAACTTTGTTTCAAGCTCAGGAACTCACTCCGTGCAATAAATCAACATGATAATGTGATAGAAACTCACCCTTGCTCAATACCCTGCCATTCTAATACATTCGATGGTGCTTTTAAATACATTGGCATAAGTACAGACCACAAAACCTCACATGTATCGTATATTATGCTGCGAACTGTACTTAAACCACGACGATATGCAAAGGCCACTGACTGAGGCGAATCTCCTGTTGCCAGTCTACGCAAAGTGATGGCTAGCCTTTCTCCTGGTGAAACTGACTGCCGCAAATGAGTATTTTGCCTTCTTAATGAAGGACCAACTAAGCTCAAAAGGAAATCAAAGGTCATTTGATTCATTCTGAAGTAAATAAAAATTGTTCTTCGTCATTCCTCAATTCTTGAACCAAGTTTCCAAAGTCACCTTGTTCGCGTTGTCGTCGGTTGATATCTCTCACCCAGCAGCGCCTCTTACGAACTACCCGTCGGTTTTGTTTGTTTTCTTCCTCGTCCAACTCGTTTAAAACAATTGCTATTAATATATCTCGTAAGTTCTGGTTCGACGCCATACTGAAATGAACCGCCAAATTCGTATTTCCCGCTAAAATTCTCTCTAGGGGGACTGGTACGTGCTTAAAATCAAGTCGCTTTGCCTGTTGCGCTAGCGACAGTGTGTCTGTTATCATTTTTCGTGTCGCTTCGTCGCTCTGTCGTTTCACCGTAACGACCAAGCGACAGCGACAGTGTGTCTCGGGCTTTAATTGTAAACTACTGTACACTGTCGCATGTTTATCGTAGTTGAAAATCAACACAAATTAGGGAAGAAGATGGCATCTTGCCTGCAGAAACAGCTCAACTATAAAGAAATAGCTGAAACATACTCCAAAGTAAATGATTTCCAAGTCTGGCTTGGGAAAATGCTTGTAGACACGCTGGGCATAGCACTTGGAGATAAAGTTCTCGATGTCGGTTGTGGTACTGGAGAAATCACAGCTTACATAGCTGACACAGTGAAGGAAGATGGTTTATGTGTTGGTTTTGATCCGGACAAGTACCGTATTGAAGTTGCAATTGAAAAGCATCTCCCTGGTCGGCCAAACATCACATTCTATCATGGTGACAGCTCCTCTGAATTTCCTCGTGCTAATGAAGAATTTTATGACTACGTGTTCTGCTCTTCCGTGTTCCATTGGATGAGCGAAAGTGAGAAGATAGTATTCTTGAAGACTGCTAACCTTTCTTTAAGACCTGGAGGAAAACTGGTCATTTTAAGCTCGGATAAAATTTTGGAAATTGTTAAATTCACGCAACAGTTAGTTGCGGATGTTGATACGAAGTCAGATCGCCCACCAATGAAGCTTTTTAAGAAACAAGATGCAGAAGAAATGTTGCGCATAAATGGCTTTGTAATACAATCCAGTCGATATTTTCCCTGTGCGTATCAGTTTAAATCGTTGGATTTTTACTTGACTTGGTATCGTGCTACATACTACAAAGAGAAGCCAAATTTGTCACCAGAAAAAATAGAAAAATTTGCAAAGCAATTTCAGAATAAAGATGGGACAATCTCTTTTGATGGTTTAGGATATGACATTATAGCAACCAAACCAGATGAATCCTGATGTGCCACTGAAAAATTGAACAACATAACGGCAAAATGACAAAACTGTGTAGATGTCAATGACCTACAAGCCTAAATCAAATGTTACACTTGCCTTTCTCTACATTTTTCTGCATGCTTTCCAAAGACACGTAATCTAAGCGCTTCATATATACCGTTCATTGAATCAAATATTTCCAATATGTAATTGTCTGTTCAAAGATGAAACACAAATTATTTACACATAATTGTCAGACCCATATTCCATCAAAATGTTATTTATATTAACTACATCTACACTGTGATTGGTCAACTACCTGCGAATAATTCTCGATATCTGTAGGTATGACGTCATATTTACAAATAATAGTTTCTACAATTATTGACGCCATTAAATGCTGGTTTCGAAAAAATAAAATAATAGCAATGTTTGACACAACTTCTAAAAACTGTGAAGGGGCACTTCGCCCGTTTAGTACACCAGCTAGCCTAAATCTTCCACGGTCCTGCATATCTCTTTGTGGTACTGTTTCTCCACGATGCCAGGAGCACCTGGCACTATTTTTCTGAAATTCCTTCAGTCGCTATTCTTCCCCTGAAAGCGGCTACACAATCAGTGCAAGTGTTTTCCACAAAGGATGTACATTCGTTTTTCGAACGGAAGGAGCATCGTTGTCTTTAACATTGGCAGCTTTGCTGGAAAGTAGATTAGCATCTCCAACAGGGTTGGGTGCCATGACTGGCCAGGCCATGCTGGTACTACAACCAAAACCATTGCTTTGTCCTGACGAATTTTGAGTAGAATCCTGTGTGAAAGAGTGAAAGCATCCACCGCAATGGCTCCTGGGGCTGGACGACATGCCATAGAAGGGAAGTTGATGACTGAGACTGGATGCAAACAGGCCTGCCATTGGTTTGTAATATCGTCTCTGAATTTTCAAAACTAGCTGCTTGTTTAATGCCCACTCCGTCCTGGCGTTCATTTGGAGAAACTCGGCATCTGCTATCGAATTCTGAGCCCCCGGTAAGTGTTGTGCCAACAGGGTAATATTCTTTGATTGGTACAGTGTCCTAATGTCCAACGCTACCTTGGTGAGAGTAACCGATTTGGTTCTTCCTCTCTTGTTGAACATAGGCTACGCACAGTCGTGTTGTCCACCTGTTGAAGAATTCGTTTTCCTGTGAGGTGTAGGTCTGTGTTTAGATTTGTGTAGTCATGTCAAGTTTTGCAGCGTGTGACTGTGTTATATTATAGATTATAAGATTATAACTGATATTATTAAATTGATGGAAAATACGTATATAGTTAAAAATTGTGGTTTCAGTGGAAATCCTGTACGTAAAAGCTAAAATACTATAGTCATGTCAAGAAAACACTTTCTCACCGCAATGCGTCATTGCGGTAGGATGTAGGTAGAAACAAAACTCTAGAAACGGAATGGCAATGTTGCAAGTCATGTAAACGCCTAAAACCACTTCCTAATAATTATATATAAATATAGCTTGCAAGCGTTGGTTCGGGGTTTCGGAAAAGTTGACTTTATTGGTGTATGAATTGGTCATACAAATTTGATAAATTAGCAGTCGTATTGCAGAAGACAATAAAGTTCGAAAACTCAGTTTAAGGATTGACGGTTGTCCGTAATCTTAACGATATCAATTCAAATATTCCGTATCGCGAAGAACTAACGTTTGGAACTCCGTAACGTAAAAATCGTGCACAACCACTGTAAATATCCTATCGAAGTGTTAAATATAATTGTCAAAATACAGTCCCATCGTTCGAGTGAAGTTTTGAGAATAGTGAACCAGCACTTCGTACAGATTGTGCGAAAATATGAGTGAATGGCAATTAAGGCTGCTTTCATTTCCAAGATATTGATGTGCATTTTTCTCTCTTCTGAACTCCAATGTCCCCCTTTCCTCCGACCTTGACAACTCGCCCCCAACCCAAAAGGGATGCATCTGTTTGAATACTAATAGTATTCCTCTGATCTTCTATCGATTGGACAGGCACTTGTGAACCTACAATAAATTCTAGTTCGCTTAGCAGTTGGCAAACCTGATTGAAAGGTTTTATGAACTCTTTTGGATCTTAGTGTAATAGATCATGGACCAGTAATAGATCGTCCAACTAGATAATTATGCACCTCAATCTCAGCAGCATAATCACTGGCTTCAATACCTTTGTAAAAGTTCTTGGGGGCTTAAGTCAGTCCAAGTGGCAGGCACGGAAATTCGTAAATTTCAGTGTTGAACACGAATCGCAGATAATTTCTGTGTTCCTTTGCTGCAGGAACGGAGAAGTAAGCGTTCTGAAGGCGATTTCATCATGAAGTCGTTGGGCTTTAATGTTGAGCGAAGTAACTGCAAACCCTCCATTTTGAACTTGGTTGTTTTGTTGTTTCGAAGATTGAAGATTGGTCTTGTTTTTGTTGTTCTGGTGAACTATAAATAAGGTTGAAAGAAATTGATTGTCTAAAGGAGCCGCCACCTTCCTTACCGCTCCTTTTCCCATTGGTTTTGTTACCGCGTTCTTTAAAAGAGTTTTTTGATTTTGTGTTTTTGCTTTTTTTGTTCCTGCACAAACCTGAAACGGGCGTTGAAAAACGGAATCTTGTACTCTGCAATTGTTTGTAAAATCCAAAGACCGTTCGACATCTTTCCCCAATTTCTTAAAAAATAAGCCAGATGACCCACTGTGTGTATTGATGAGGTAGATTCGGACTTCGGAACAGCATAGTCAGCTTTTTCCTATGTCATTACAGACGATATTTGAGAACCATAGCATAACTGAGACCAAACGAACGTTAGATAAAGTATACGTATGATATTCTTTTCAGTTTTCCATGATTCTTATTGTCGAACGACGTACGTAACAAAGCATTTTAGCTGCTTTTGACTATTGCTGATTAACATGAGCTGACAAAGATAAATTGGATTATGTTATAACTCCAAGATCTCGCTGTTTTATATTAGATGATAACATTCGACTTGCAATCTTATATGGATAGGTGATTTTGTTCTTTTTTCGTGTCACTGTAAGTGTAGTGCATTTCTCAGAATTAAGAAGCATATTGATGTTACCGCACTTTCATTAAATCGCATGAGGTCGTTTTGTAAATCTTGAGCATCCCTGTAGTTCATTATTGCTTCAAAAAGTTTTGGATCGTCTGCAAAGTTAGTTCGTCTCAATGATGTTATTAGAATATGAGAAGTCATTTACGTAAATCAAAAACAGTAGAGGGGCGAGAATTGACCCTAGTGTAACTCCAGATTTTATTAAAAATGTTGATGATTTAACACCAAAGACGGTAGTTTGTTGATATTGATTTTTTAAATATGATCTCAACAAATTTAATATATTTTCTCCAAATCTAATTTTTATCTTGTTATTTAAGCATCTGTGATTCCGAGTGCCAAAAAGTATTTTAGCAAAACACAAAACAATTCACATTCTAAAGTTAACGTTTAATCTAAAGGTTTCAGACTAAAGTGTTACCTTCATCATCAGCAAAAAATGTGAACTTTTCAAAAATTACAAATTATAAATGAGATCGTGATGAACCGTTCATTCACGTCTTTTGAATGAAATAAAGAAATTTTCAACGGAATATTGTCGATTCACATGATGCGCGATGGAACAATAATATAGACAAATTGTAAAATGGTTCTTATTTTTATTCAAAGGTCCTATCTATGGTCCTACTACATTTATCGCATCAATGTGCCATGGTGTACAATGCGCGACTGCACGAATTCTAGCAGTCTAAAATACAAGATTCAGATTTAATTGTTAAATACTGTACACTGTTGCTTGTTGATAGTTGTTAAAAATCAAAGCAAATTTAGGGAACAATATGGCATCTTGTCTACAGAAACAGCTCAACTATAAAGGAATAGCTGAAACTTACACAGAATATAATAATGCTCAGGTTATGTTCGGGAAAAAATTCTTGAAAAATTAGACATTGCGCTTGGAGATTAAGTTCTTGATGTCGGTTGTGGCACTGGAGAAATCACAGCTTATATCGCAGACACAGTAAAGGAAGATGGTTTATGTGTTGGTTTTGACCCAGATAAATACCATATTGAAGTTGCAATTCGAAAGCATCTTCCTGGTCGGACGAACATTAGTTTCTTTCACGGCGATAGCTCCTCTAAATTTCCTCATGCTAATGAAGAATTTTATGACTATGTGTTCTGTTTTTGAGTCTTCCACTGGATGAACGAAAGTGAAAAGACAGCTTTCTTAAAGACTGCATACATATCTTTAAGACCTGGAGGAAAATTAGCCATTTTAAGCTTGCATGAAACTTTGGAAATTGTTCTTTGCACACAATTAGTTGAGGATGTTGATATGGAGTCAGGTCAACTCAATATCAAAATCCCCTGTGATATAAGTTGGTGTCCACTTTAGACTAAAGAGATAAAAGAAAATCACAGAAAAGTAGTATAGCTAGTTGACATGGCAACACATCAGAACATTACGTTTGATGTTCTTTGCAAACTTTGTAAAATTCATTAGCACCACCATCTACACATATTATCACTGAAGCTACAAATGAAGGAAGCAATTTAGTGGAGGAGAAATCTACATATCTAAAGAGTCTTGAAGAACAAGTATGATGACAATTGTTAATTTTCCAAAGATAGCACAAAAAATCAACAATAAGTGGGGTGCTGAAATTTTTAAGCATTTTGAAAACTAGCTGACTACAATAGCAGTGAAGTTATCGATTATTTTACAGTGAAAAACAAAATGAATGAATTAGAGTAAAATATTTTAACAAATCGACACTCTGTGTTGAAGACCAGAAAGGAGTAGTTAATATTTTGTTTGTCGAATGTTCTAACCGTCTTTTTGACATTGGTTATTACATTTTTATGACTATTAAACATTCCGCGAAGTTAAAATCAAATAGGGTAAAGAAGAAATTGGACAGTTTATCATATAACTTTATATCGCCCAGTTGGTTGAGGTCCATGATATGCACTCTACAGAAGAAAAAAATATTTAGTGATTAAAAAAGGCAAAAAAAACGCCATAACAAATTGACTGCATGGCGAGTAGAATAAAAACAACAAAAAAATAAAAATGCTTTGAAACAATGTATAATTAGTAATAATCATACAGCACAGTTAAACCACTTATTTTACCTGACGAAGTAATTCTTCTTTAAGCACTCGTTTGATTTCCAGTTTGGCAATCTGTACTGCTCTCTCAGTTGGTCCTAAGATTATAATGTCAAAACTTTACTGGTTTAAAATTATAAATGAGCATAATACAGACTGTGCATACACAATAAACTTATACGCACCTTCAATATATAAATAAATCTTTCTTTCTCCTTCAGGTGGCTGAGTTCCTGAAAGAAAAACAAATGACACAAACCATAGTTTAACGTCATAAAAACCGCATGCGCATATGGACTGATAACGAGGGACTTAACACTGATATATAGACAACACAGTCGTCAATGACTAGTTACATGAGGCAACAAAACGATAAAATTTTCTAAATCTTCCACTTATCCAAACCATGCATCATCTCATCATCCATGCACGAGTATACATTTGACATGATAATCGATAAAAATGCTAATCAGTTATGTAAAAATGCGAGGAAAATTAAAAGTCACTATTAATAAGCATGCCACTAAAGACAATAAAACTATATATAATCAGTTGTGAAGCCTGCCCGCTTTTTTACTCCAGCTACGCAAATACATATTTGTGTTCAGTCAGTGTAAAAAACAATTAACGAATGAAATCAATTTTCAAAAAATAATAATTTGCTTAAAAATGTGCACATTAAAAGTAAAAATTCGCGCTGGCTTAGGTAAGGCATCAATTTAATCATTTTTACTGGAGCTGCATAGGGACGATGCGATCTGAACCAGTGATACATATGAAACAAATTACAAAACATTAGATAAATAGACAAACCTGGAGCAACATAGGTACCACGTACAGTTACAGCAGCTTCAGAATACTCAGTAATTTGAGATAACGTGTCCTACAAATTCAAATACGAAATATCGCTTGAAAGCAAGACTCCAATGACTTCTGAGACATATGTAATGTAAGACAAATATACACAATGTACGTAAAAGAAAAAATTTACTTTAGACGTGATTTTCCAACGTGCTTGCTGTGGGAAAGAATTGATTTCAATTTCATCTTCGTATCGATCATCCGATGTCGTTTCCTCTTCTTTCTCTGGTTCAACAGGAATGTAATTAAGCTTATTGTTCACTTTTTCTGCAAGTTGTTTCGCCAAGCCAAGACCCTACATCACAAAAATTCGAAAACCTCATAAATGTTTAAAAATTATCGACTACTTGATATTAAAATTACGACATACACTACATAGCAACAAATAAACCGGTTTCTAAATTGTCATTTCTAAATCTGTGAAAGGGTCCTTAAAATTCACAGAAATCGATAAATTCGTTATTAATGTACAGTAAAAGGAATAAGTATAAGTTAACTTGGTTAATGTTTTATACATGTAGTAATATTTAGTAGCTATTGTGATTAGAGCACAAATTCAAACATCGCGTTTCCTAAAGAATCACTTGCAAAAATAATTTATCACACCAATGTGCAATGAACTTACGGACATTTTGCTGACAGCTTCACCCTTCATGATTTTACTGGTTGCTTGTTGCGTCATATCCATACTCTAAATACAATAATCATTACATAAACACGTGAACAAATTACGTCATTAGGTTTCACAAAGTGTAACGACTGTACAAAGACAGTGATTTACTTTGAAAACAATAGAACCACTTACATTCCCAGAACTTATTTTCTCGTTAATTTTGGCGGCTATACTTGCAGCGAGGTTAAGTTTGGCTAGAAAAATATACATAATAGGAATATTGTTGAGATTGTTAGTTACAGCTCTTGTCAGAGATAGAAAAAACATGCATTATGTTGTGAATTAAAAAAGTTCGACGACGGAAAAATGATCAATTTTATATTATGATCAAATGGCAAACGCAAAGCGACTTTTCAAACAACGTTACATGCAACAAGCTCTTTTCATAAAATTTCCCAGTGATCAAAAAATACATTTGTAAATTTTTTCTTGCAGAAAAATGACTCATTTATAAGATATTTATAAGTATAAGATGAATTATTTGTAATAATATAAGCACGAATCAATGGACCTGGGGGCATTTTCAATGAGAAAAATCATACGCAAAGTTTCGTCAGAAAATGTGGATATCAGGGATATACTAATGAATTGAATCTGTATTAATTAAGTAATTACGTCATAGAAAGTGCTTCTATAAAAGGTAAGAGAAAGGGAAAGTGAAATTTACAAACGTATATAAGAACAAAGTATTCTCAGTACACGAAAATGAGTGTTCACCTTTTTGTGCTCCTTTAATTGTTTCTGAATTTTGATTTGGAATAGGTGGAATAATAGCTCCAGCTTTTTTTAAAGTCGGTTTATTACTGAAAGCTTTTGCAATGTCTTTATCAATCTGGATGGATAATATAAAACATTTTAACATGATCTAACGTATATCACGTAGACGACGACACAATTTATGAAAGCGAGGTTAGGTAATTTTAGCACGCAAATGGTTTTCATCAAAGAAATATTTTCAGTCCAATTTTCACCTGATCAACGGCTTTATCTGCAGCTTCAGCTTCGTCGTCTGAATCTTGCAGCCCTAACGCCTGTGGATGTAAAATTTGATTACTAAATCTTACAAATAGGAGACAAAATAGATCAAACTAAACAAAAACATGAAAATTTGTGAAGTGTTGTAAAACTAACAAGAACCAACACTAGTGTTTTTTAAGAATTTCACCTTACCATACATATACTATTCAATGTTTAATGAGAAGACTGTTTTAAATGTAGTGATAAAATGTGTTAATGAAGTAACTTGGCAACTAACCCATTTTTGCATTTTTTTCGCTTCATTCGCTTGGTTTTTCTCGTTTTCATCAAACTTGAATCCTTGAATAAATAAAAAACAAGTCAAACATGAAGCACCATACTCTACTAGCGTAAGAAAGCGAAATGTTTCGAGACAACAAAACCAACATACCTTTTCCAGAAAATCCACTGTTCTTCACGATACTTTTCCCTTCCTAAAAACAAGGGAAGCGGGTTGTTGGGTGGACAATGCACATTGGTATGAAGGTCCTTATGCATACATTATCGTTGTTATTGTTATTGTTGTTGTCATTGTTATTGTCATTGTCATTGTTATTGTCATTGTTATTGTTATTATTGTTATTGCTATTATACACACGGCATAGTCATGCATAAAGTTTCATTTACCCGTGAAATGCATTGATGTTCAGTGCATTATAACAGTAAGATAGTAATAGACATGTTGAACTATACTACGATGTAATTTTAATAAAATTCCTTTCTTACAGCCTTTCGTTCTTCTTTATACTGCCGCAGAAACGATTTTAAATCTTCGGGTGCCTCAGTGCCAGACAGTTCAAAAGCCTGCATGTACATAAACAAGAGTGCAAGATCAAGATGTCTGGGGTTTCTCGAAACTTTCTCTTAGTGGATCATGTTTCAAGATCCCTTAGCTGAAGTGCATAAAATAACTACATATACGTTACAACACACAAGATATTAAATGTTACCTTAACAATATCAGATGTGAATCTAAAATAGAACAGACCGTATTTATTACTGATTTAATGAACAGTCAAATGAAGTACCGTATTTTAAAAAAGCACATTCAAAGTTATTATTTTACAAAGAACAACTTACTTTCCTTGTTCAGGAGTGATAAAAGTGTATGATGTGCCTTTGTTACCCGCACGACCTGTGCGGCTGAAAAAAATTTGCAATTTTTCATGCAAACCTTTAAAATTCAACATCACCAACTCCGATCATTTTTAACTGTTTAAAATTTAAAGACACTTACCCGCATCTATGAACATAATCCTCATAGTGATTTGGACAATCATAATTAATCACCAAAACTAATTGTTTCACATCAAGACCACGAGCAGCAACAGACGTTGCAACCTACGTATACAACAAAAAATAAAAGAGCTAAATGGTAGATACAGAAGTCGTTGACTCTTAAATCATACACATTTTTAAATCAAGCAATAATAATTCGAGCAATAACGGCTTTATTAAACATTTTTGAGAGCAAAGCAAACGTAGAGCTGTACTAATCAGTCACCATCATAAAAAACATGTGGCTTAGACGAAATTGGAACAACAACATTTGAAAAACGATCCCTCTTTCTCTCAATCTTCTCTGATGGTGGTTTGGGATAAAATTCTGTCACCCAAAAAAACAAAAATTTCAACCAATACAAAATACATACCATCAATTTTATGGTACCATTTTTAAAATCAGCAATCGTGCTATCTCGATCAAACTGATCCATACCTATGAAATCAATTTACACGAGTGTAATTCACAGTACGCCTTAAGATTAAAATATTTGATTTTTGAAATACCTCCATGAAGTGATAAACAAGGATAAGATCTTTTTAGTAAATCTTTTAGTAAAGAATCAGCAGATTCTTGCTTTTCAACAAACACCAAAATACTACCTGCATTAAAAATATCAAACGCTGCAACAGGAAATTCGTTGTTACCTTCTCTATGTTTGGGAGGGGAGTTAAAAAGTTCCACGAAACCTTTCAGACGTGCAATTGTAAAGGTTTGCGGTACAACTAAATTCAGCAAACGATTTTGGGAAAAAAGCTCCGGTTACGTTCAACATCTAACGTTAAACATACGTAGCTTGAGAAAACTCAACATTAGTAAAAAATTAAAAGAAAAGTTGATCAATCTTTATCATTCTAGTCGTCATCTCATTCAATCTTAGTATGCAACTGGCCTCGTTTTCACGCACCTTGTTCTTGATAGACTCCAAGAAGCTCGAGAAGTTTTAAAAATTTATCATCTTCTTCTATAATAACCTAAAAACAATGTACCAAAAAAAGAAATGGAAATGATTACCTTTTGTCCAAAAGTGTAAATAGAACAAAATAAACGTACCGCATTTTGATCGACATCAGAACAAACAACACTTCGACCCCCTACTTGTACCTACATATACCAAATTGTCTTGTGTGAATTGAAATACGAAATACTTTTTATACCTACAACAATTTACTGCACTGAATAATGCTTCTGGAGCTTTCGACCAGATTTAAAATAAAACAGCAGGATACGGTATCTTATACCTCGACAGGTTTCGTGAGAATCTTTCTAGCTAAAGCCTCCATTTGTCTTGGAAATGTTGCAGAAAATAAAACAGTTTGTCTGTCAGGTCGAATACAGTCCAAAATCTTTGTTACCTAATGAAAAAAAATCAAGAATTGATAAACTACTGACAAAAAAGCGTATGACAAACATCCAAAAGTATATTTCTATCTGTATCTACGACAGACATCTTCATCAGTAATTATTGAAAACATCAATAAAAGGAAATAAATGTAAATCAACTTTTTGACAAATAAAATGCTATGTGTATAATTTCTTACTTGGGGTTCAAAACCCATATCAAACATTCTATCTGCTTCATCCAAAACGAGGTAAGTACATCTACGACAGTTAGTCACTCGACCTGTGCATAAGGAAGTAAAATGCTTTGAGTTGAATTGAATTGTTGATTACCGTAAACATTCAACATGATACACGAAGCTAGCACTATGTTCTGGATTCGTGATTATTACGTAAGAAAGGACTGAACTCCCCCCCTGCGGTGCACATTTTCTTTGTTTCATTTACTCACCATTGTTAGCTGTGAGCATGTCAATCATACGCCCGGGGGTACATACAATTATTTCAGCGCCTCTTTTTAGTTCTGCAATCTAAGTTGGAAGACGCAAAACTCGCAATTTATCACATGATCACAAACAAGCAGATCAATATTTTCTTTTTATTTATGAAATAAAATTTGTTGTAAAATCTTAGAGCGCTTTTGAGAAGCAATTTCTAAACAAAATTTTCTTGCAAAGATCATTAAAAAGGATAAAAAGTTTGAACTGTATTTGTTTACTTCTTGCTACATACATTTAATTTTATTCTTTACATGCAAATATTATGCGTGTAAAGTTTTCATCAAAACCTAATACACACATTCACTTGCACACATATAAATGAAATTGTGGTACTTGTATAAAAATTTTTAAACATAATTAAAAAATGATACTCTTTAAATTGCTACTAAGCAAAGTTATGTCATGGTGATGATATTGGTTGAATCCGGAAAAATCTTTTAAAAATAGATAAAAAAATAAAATAAAATAGAGACTTTGTCGTGGTGACAAATCTGAAAATAGTTCTAAATATCGCAGATTGATAGATTGATCGATAGATTTTAAATTTTCATTTAACAGACGTTGACACCTGAGGAGTAGTCTGCCGAAATGCATCGTGTCATTTAATTTCATAACATTTCTTTAAGAACTATTGGGTTTGTGCTCTTCACTTAAAACAGTTCTTTTAAGAGCTATCAACTTATTATATTACTTCTACCATTCACTATGGTATTTGCAATATTTAGAAATATTTTCAGATAGAAAAAAGCCAACACGAGAAAGACCAAGGGATTGAACAGTATTTTTTTCTGAAGCACAACAAAAAACGTAGCTGAACTCAATAACAGGTAACGTTTTTCAAGGTAACGTAACGAAATCCACGTCGGAAAGGAAACTTAGCTTGCCCCTCTCAAATGCATGTAAATTTCTTTCTGCACGTGATGCGACCTTTCCACCAACATCGCAGTACATCAAATAAATTTATTCTTATAAACATACCTAACCCGGTACTTTAATAAATAATTATTAATGATAAAAGTACAATTAACCTGTTCACTGATGCCCGTTCCGCCGTAAACACACGTCACACGAAGTAAAAGAGGTTTGCAAAATTTTTTTGCTTCTCGATGAATCTGCAAAGCCAGTTCACGTGTTGGGGTCATGATGATTGCTTTTAAAGACAAAGTTAAAACATTGATGAAGAATTTATCAAGAATATTTAATCCAACATAGCAGCTACTACAGTATTCATGCAGTGAACTCGCTAATATGAAACAAACTTTCACATGCCTTAATACGTATGCAGTATGTGTGACTAGAAAATAACACAATAAAACACTGTGGAAATATACTTCTATCGCAGATACAAAAGTCTCAAACACCCATGTAACAATAATATCTTTCAAGACATATAAAGTTAGCAAATAACTTACCAATCGGACCATCATCTCTCTCCAAAACGGGTTGATCTAACACATGACGCAACATTGGGATCAAAAATGCTAATGTTTTTCCACTACCTGTTTTTGCAATTCCTACATTAAAAAATGTCAAAGATAATCATCATACCAGTATGTAAATAAAAAAAACATGCATGGTATATAAACAACCTATCATATCTCTTCCTGACATAACACAAGGAATTGCCTGAGCCTGAATTGGAGTTGGTTTCTCATAGTTACACCTTGAAAAGGTACAATCATAAATTTATACGTCCGTAATCAGATCAATTAAAGTCGGGATGTATAAGTAACAAATATCAGGACATGAATGTACATCTATATACATTTATATATATACTTTTTAAGAACTTCCATTATCTTCAAACTTAAACCTGCCTATAAAATGGAAAAATACAGAATTTGAATAAAGATAAACAAATAATTAAAAAGACAATTCAAAGTCATTAGTTAAATAATAACAGTCCGAGGATGAGAATTATTTCGAATGCTGCGAAAATGAAACGATTGGTTTCTAATTTTTTAAAGTAAAGTCAAAAAAGTTTTTTGAATTAAATTCATCGAGCTTTCTTCTTGATCTATTTTTATCTGAATTTCCATTAGTTTAATTGACAAAGTAAATGGTTTGAACCCTGGAGTATCTGTTAGACGAGTATTTTTTCCAAATATCAAAAAGTCGGGCTTCCGCCGTGAAATTTCCTTTCATTCAGTTTCATATTATACTGAATTCTGGCAAAACTTAGCGTCGGAGTTTGCTTTTGGAGCCAATTATACTAGGGCCAGATATTTATGGATGGAATTTCATACAGCAGAATACTATTCGACATATCATACATATATATTATATATAGGTTAATAATGCCTTATGACAAACCTACAACTAAATAAGTATCTGCACAGGAAAATTATTATTATCAGTAAAATTTCACAAGCGGAAGAGTTCATACCTGTGCCCACGATTTAATGGGCTTAGGAGCATCCTTTCCCTTGACTTTAATATTTTCAAGATCCTGCAGCATAACCTCAACCTCTACATAATAAAGACGTTAAAACGTTAAGCATTGTCATGGCAACAAATAAGAAGCAACTTTAAAAATAGTGGAAAGCCAACATAAATGGTGGATGGTATTAAATTGCTTTAAATTCATTACCAACTTGTCATCAATAGTAAAATGAATATTTCTTGAACGTTATCATTACCCACAACAAATGGTCAGATGAAGATTTTTGTCTTGCAACATACCTTCTGGAGTAAGCTTTGCCAATTCTGGAACTTCGACGTAAAAGTTTTTTCTAAAAGGTTGATAATACACTTTAGTATGATCCACTGCGGCTAACTCCTACAAATAAATAAAAACACGGTCAGAATAAGTATTTATTATGATATATTGTCTCACAAAATAAAAAATTAATATGGACATGACTCATATGAAGACAGGTGACCCCAGCCTATAGAGTGACCATAATAATCCAAAGCACTAACATTAGGTAAGGAAATAACCCCCGTGACGTATTCCAACATAAGCAAAACAGTAACTGCTTATACATAAACGTTGTACAAAAATGATGCAGAAATGGCAAATCTTCGATAACTTTTAATTGTTTTGAAGAGGTTGAAAGTCGAATCAATTGTGAATTACGATGGAAGAAAATTTGACTCGATTGGTAAGATTACTATAGACTTACACATTGTATTATTGCAACTTACAAAACAACAAAGAATGGCAAACTCATACTATCTCAATGTAAACATCCGTTAAATGATGAGGTCATTGAATTAATAATGATGACGTGAAATCTCATGACGTCATGTCACGTTACGTACGTTTGATTTATTAAATGACGAGTCATTGAATTTATAATGATGATGTGAAATCTCATGACGTAATGTCACGTTACGTACGTTTAACTTATTCTAACAAATGAAGAATCTTTTGGTCGAAAATGTCTCGAAAAAATATTATTTCTCATGTAATACAAAAAATTACATTTATCAAACACAAGGCTATGAATTTTTTGCAAATAAGCACGGTAAATCTATGTCTAAAAGTTGACAGCTGAAGCTCTAGAAAGATCTCATATTCAAGACCCTGCAAATCAGATTTCATTTTCATTCTATTATATAAGTTATGTAGACTAACTATGACCTTTTTTGGCTTTGTTTTATAGCCTATATTATTCGGATCAGCGAGAATATCTTCCTTTTCTTCTTCAGAAGAATACTGAAATTAAAAAATGTACATCACATAAATTACACATCAATAAACAATTATTGTATCACGTGACAATCTGATTCTTACAGTTCGCACAATTTCAGTATTGGCAGTAGATACGTAAATACAGAATAGTAAGGAAACGGCAAAAAATACATTGTCGGTAGTATTTTGCAAGGTTTTGGTTATTTTGTATGTATTTCCTTTATAGAAGCAATTATTTCAAACGTTAGTGTTGGTTTTTACACGAAAAGCGTTGTATTCTTTCTCATCATTCTAGTGTAAGAGTCTGATAATAAATTGATATTAATGACCATCTTATGAAATGGATCGATTTCTATCTATAAAGTACATGAACATGACTGGCAATCTTGATGATTCACAAAAATACACGGATTCATACGTGAACACATTATTCCTATCTATAAAGTACATGAACATGACTGGCAATCTTGATGATTCACAGAAATACACAGATTCATACGTGAACACATTATTCGTATCGTAAAGTACATGAACATGACTGGCAATCTTGATGATTCACAGAAATACACAGATTCATACGTGAACACATTATTCCTATCTATAAAGTACATGAACATGACTGGCAATCTTGATGATTCACAGAAATACACAGATTCATACGTGAACACATTATTCGTATCGTAAAGTACATGAATATGACTGGCAATTTTGATGATTCACAAAAATACACGGATTCATACGTATCAAACGACATTCGCAACGAACAGAACATGAAAAATTTTCCTTCATCAAATGATGCTAATGATGATTGCATTGTTTAGACAGGCATAAAGTTATTTGGCTTCGTACAATCGCACATTATTTAGCATAAAGTTTTTATGATATTATACATGGACAAAATACCTCCATCGCATCTTGATCGTTTGCCATCAGTTCACCTTTCTTGACTTTCTTTTGATTCTCTGCCTCAGAAACATTCTGATGGAAAAAAAAATTAGAGAATGTCTTGCTGTAGAGTTAAGATTGAAATTTAACGAGAATCTAAGTAAATCTGTTTACATCTAACAAAAAATCTTATTTATTAGCTACGTCAAGTAATTAATCAAATCGTATTAATTACAATATATGGGTGATGTATGTTTTCAAAAAACAAACCTTTTTTAACAACAGTGGTAATAACAGTTGCTTTGCCTTTCTCAGACTTAGTAACCCTCTTCGTTTGTCATCATCCTGCTTTTGCTTTGACACCTGGAAATTTAAAATTTATGAAGGATAATATTTATATAATGACATTGACACCAAACCCTATGAGTTTATTTTTCACGTACCTGTTGGTCTACCTCAACCATGAAAGCATCCAACGGATCAATTTCTTCTTCCTACGTATAATTCACCAAAAATATCAAAGGATTTCACGATAACAGATCAATTTCCATGATAGGGAGAAACAGATAAGGAGAAACAAATCAATTTCCACGTTTAAAAATGATGTTGTTGATGGCAACATGTGGACCAAAAAAACTAGAATGGACGTTTTTTCGAATTGTCAAAACAAGTTATACACATACCTGCATAGCTTCAGCGTTGTCATTGCCTAAAGATAAATAGTAATATACTGTATCATCAAATAACACAAAAAACATGGCCTAAAGATAAATAGTAGTGTATTGTATCATCAAATAACACAAAAAACATGGCCTAAAGATATAGAGTAGTATATCATCAAATAACACAAAAAACATGGCCTAAAGATAAATAGTAGTATACTGTATTATCAAATAACACAAAAAACATGGCCTACAGATAAATAGTAGTATACTCTATCATCAAATAACACAAAAAACATGGCCTAAAGATAAACAGTAGTATACTGTATCATCAAATAACACAAAAAACGTGGCATAAAGATAAATAGTAGTATATCATCAAATAACACAAAAAACTACACCAAAAGTACTGTGACAAGATTCAACTTCTACAGTACACTACGTATGTTAATACCTTAATATGAATAATTTTGACGAAGGTATCAAATAATATCGTGTCATAAAAAACTACTTTTGGTTAAAGAAAAAAAAGAAAAAATGTATAAAATTGTATTTTTACCTGTGGCACCATTCTCCTGATTTACCTATGTGTATAAAGTTAAGAATAGGTTTGAAAAAATTCTTGAAAAATGAAAAAAATTTTGGAGTAATATAAAATGATAGAACTTACATCTTCAGGTTCAGCATCGTCTTCTTCATCATCTTCCAATGTCCAACCTTTCCTATTTAATTCACTTTCTTTATTAGATGTAGCTTCTTTTTCTTCAGTTTCAGCTTTTCGTTGCTTCCGCCAATTTTCAATCCTTTATAATATAATTAATACTTATCAAGTACTGTAATTAATATTCATTATGCTTGCCATGTAATATATTTGTCGACCACGTGATATGGATCCCTCAAATACTAATCGATCAAACACAGTGAGATGAAACTTGCTCAACAACATTTACATAGCAATTTTTGAAAGTACAATAAAAACAAGATTAAAAAAATTAGAACCTTTCCTTCCTTTTTTTCATTTCTTCCTCAAGATTTTTTTGCCCATAATCCTAATAATATTTAAGAGCACAATAATTACAGAGTGAAAGCGCTTAAAAAATCTTTATGCACAGAGCAGAGCGTTAGAAAATCACCACGTCATAATCACGTCATACTTGAGTTGAATGTATGGGTGACTTTCAACCAGTTGATGGAACGTATGCATGGTATATTGATAAAATGAACATTTCATTGTTAGATATAACTAAAGGTAAGTATGCATGGTGTATTGATAAAATGAACATTTCATTGTTAGATATAACTAAAGGTAAGTATGCATGGTGTATTGATAAAATGAACATTTCAATGGTATATATAACTTTAGGTAAGTATGCATGGTGTATTGATAAAATGAACATTTCAATGGTGGACATAACAATAGGTAGGTTGGACGTCGCTATGGTCATCTTCCCTCGATTTAAACAAAATATACAATAGTAAAAACACACCTTGTCTGTTGAGTCTTTTTTGGCTTCATCTTTCTTGTCATCATTCTGAATGTAAAACGTTCAACAGTGTAGGACGAAAAGCACAAAATTGTGTCTATCTGATCAAGCAAATGTAAGGAATGCTGAAACACACACAGCTTTCCAACAAAAGAAATTATTTTCATAACAGTGCTTTGTAGCTCCATAAGTCTTATTTGATTCGTGTCGTGTTGAAATAATCATAAATGCGTGAATATAGTGAAGCAACTAAAGAGTAGAAACAGAAAATTTACACTGATATCCTGACAATAGAAATGAGTGATATGTGTTTACCTTCTTGGACGTATTTACAGATTCTTCATTTTTATCTCTATATAAATAGAAAGCACGAGCAATTGAGTTGTGTCCATTGAGTCTACAACAAAAACTAGGTGTGTTGCTTATAAAGCAAGAAGTTCAAATGACTACTCTCGGGTGAATTCGCAATACTTCAAAAATAATGAAATGTTTCAAAACGATTCAACCATAGAACATAAGCAATTTCAGCCTGTCAAAATTGCGGTAACGAAGTCTGGTTACCGTGGCGTTACAGCGAATCTAGTTTCGTGTTAAACCTATTAATTTGTCTACGTACCAGTGCAGTAAAAATATTGTCATTAATGTGTAGACATGTATTGTAACAGATAAGTATGGACAATGTTTAAGTGACCATGTCTGTTACAATAAAATTTTAGTTATGGTTTCATTTCAACAACATTAAAGTACTAAATACCTAGACAGTTAAAACATCTTCACAAAGCGTTGCTATTTTTTAGAAGTTTTAATAGCGTTGAGGTAAGTATACTAGCTACGTCCACTTTTGCCAATGAAATCTTCTTGAAAAATTTACGTAAACCTAGTTTCTGAAGCGTAAACATGGTTTTTGGTAACTGAAATAGGCTTCTGTCATATCTAATACTGGATAGACTAAATTTATGAATAAAAAAAGTCCAAACATTCTGTTTCCAAAATCTCCATCACATCGCCAAACGTCACGTAAAATTTTTTACATCAAATTTTCAGTAACTACATTTAAAGTTGAAGCAAACAAACACGACACTTGAATTTTAACATTTTTCTATAACAGTGTGGATATGATTTTAGTACTAAAAGCATTTCGATAAGAAAAAAGAACAATGCACCAAAATGATTTCAAATTAAACAAGCATTTCTTTTACTACAAACCGCGTTTTCTCATGTCTTGAATCGTCTTTATTTATTTTCTTTTTTTTCTCAAGGCTGCGAGTTCTTGAACGTGCTCTTTTTTTACTTCTATCTTTGCTTCTGGATCGTCTTAAACGCTCACGCTTCTCACGATCGGGAGAACTAGATGAGCTAGATGAACTAGAATGTTTACGTTTTCGATGAAACTTTTCTTTCTTTCGGCTGGATCTGTCATTACTCCTAGAACGACTTCTTCTTCTTCTTGGACTTCGGTCACGTGACCGATGTCTTTTTCTAAACAATAATAAGAAACGTTTTGAATAAAAACCTGAATCCATCAATTAAGCTTTTAATCAATTTATACTTTGCAAGGATCGTTCAGTTAAGATCATTCAGACCAGATATATAAAACAGACAAATATTTAGATAATTCAATGAATGAACTATGTAAAGGCAAAAAAATATTTATTTTAAAAATTATACAGGTATCACAAAAAAACGGAGCCCGTACAAATAATTACGTATGAATAAAATGAAACCTGCATAAGATAGTTTATCGGCAATAGATATTTGTTCCGCCAGGTTAGATTTAGTCATACGCTTCACATTTCTCCATGTTCATTGCAATTTATTGAAAATATGACTACGTTTTTGTCACTGTTAGAATCCAAACACTGTTTGCCTTTACAAAGGTTTTAGGTAATAAATCTAGGATAAAAATCAGTGTATGTACTTTTTAAGTTTAAACTTGTCTTGATACAGTACAAACCCTAATAAATCCTAAAGCCCGCCGCACACTGGTAAACTTGCCGCGCGTACTTGTTATTCGTGACAAGTGTGATCGACAAAATAATCAAACGCGTTTGATATTTGACTCATCTTTAACGAATGACAAATGTTGTTCAAAACTTCCGTGCACACTAGGAAATTTTGTAGATGACACTTGTCACGAATAACAAGTACGCGCGGCAAATTCACCAGTGTGCGGCGGGCTTAAAGGTGCAAAACTGTCAACTTTTTATCAAGTTCATTGAACTACTTTCAATGTGAGTTACATTGTGTATTGTGCATAATAACTTTAGCCAATACATAATTAATTTATGTGGGTTCCGTTTTTTTGGACACCCTATACTTCATGATTTTTCGAATAATCCACACACTTACACAATTAAAACAACTTTGATCTTTTAAAATTTTGGCAAATTTTCATACAAAACACATGTCTTGTTGTACGTACATGTGTACAAAACAAAAATTCAATATGTACAGGAAGTGAGTGATTTTCTTTAAAAAAGACTTTTATAAAGAAAATAATTCTCTCTTTATAAAACATACAGTTTCTAAGCACAATAAACAACTCACAAAAATAATGTAATACTATCATTAAGGCTAAAAGGTGAAGGGCAATTTCTTAAAGACAGGTGGGGGTAACTGAGACAAGCCACTCTTCAAGGGGGGGGGAGATCATTTACATTTTTTATTGATAGTGAGTTTATGGATTATTTACTTATGTAATTACCATGGTTTCCTCTATTTCCGTTGTTCCAATAAGATGAACTAAGAATGTATTTACCTAATTGGAATTCACCTATTCAAATTCAAAGGTCTTTATTTTAAGTAATACGACCTTGCACGTCATCTGCATTGGTAGTAATACCAACAATCACAAATTATGAGATTGAAATAATAAAAATCACCACAAAGAATTCCCACAAAACCTAAAAACATTTAATTTACACCAGTGTTGACAGTGTATGAAGCACTGAATAAAATATTTTGACAATCATAATAGTACATGTTTGTAGAAGGTCCATGTAACGATACTCTCAAGTTCAACTCGTTAACTTTAATCATAGTATTACAAAGTAAAGCCATGATAGTGATGTTACTTAGTGAGGTATCATGGGACGGTACTCAACCTCCCCCAGCTTTCAAGTACATTTAATCACTAAGTAACCTCACAAGCTACCATGATATTATATTGTCAAAATGTCATACCTGCTATCTGATGGCATTACAATTGTTGAAAAATATCTAAAGTAAAAAATGGAGATTATTTTTGACATTAATGCACAATACTGCACACATTATAACATTTCATACATTTTATAAAATAACAACAATGCAATGTGAGAACTGATGGTTCTTTAGCTAAGTTTACATTACTCTGTGCAAATCTCAGCTCAGTCCATCAAATCAACCAATCAATACATGTTGAGAGAAAAATTTGTTTTAATTCTTTCTGTTTTACATTATTGTTATTTTATAAAAAAAATAAAAGATGTATTTCTTCTTTGCACTGGCTCATGCAAATGTCGGAGACGTCATGAGAACTTGTGAAAGCTTCAGCCTCTGGTATGCACTGATCTGCTCTAAAGTTCGCCCAAACTTTACCTTGGCTTACATAAGCTTGCGCAAACACAATAAACATCTTTCTTCTATTAAATATTATATATTTCAGAATTTTATTAAATATGAATTTAAAAGATTAATTTATACATATATATTTATTTATTTATTTATTGATAATTAAATTATTACAATTCTTAAATGTAACATAAAAAATTATGTCATCTACAAATAATTTTAAATATTTCATAGGTGGAAAAACATTGTGAACTATTTGTAGGCTCTTGGCCAATCACAATCAAAATTTGACCAACATTATACAATATAATCAGGTTTTTAACAACTTACTACTATCTAAATGAAATGAAGCCATCTAGATTGAACTGAACATGTATGATATATAACGATAAATGCTTGTTAAGACTCTCAATTGTGGTGACAAACAGCTGAATTCAGCAAGCAAACAAGAATGGTAGCCATATTGACATAGAAGAATTAACTTTCAACTCCATAGTAATAATCAACTGATGCTAAAATTAGCTACATGTTATACGTAGTACGAATAGCAAATACTAGTAACCATCTAACAATGATCATAGCCACTGTGAGCACACATGACAATGAATAGTAAGCAATTACAAATAAAAAAAAAAAACAAAAATAAGCAATAAAAAAATTTGTTTTCACTGTTTAAATCCTGCAAATGGGTGAAAATACAAAAACAAAAGTAGCAAGGAATAATAAACATAACAGGTTTGGTTTAAAAAAACTGATGAATATGTCATATTTGATATTGAATTTACCCCAAAATTTTCATTTCAAAGACTCCAGTTTACGTATGGCAAAGCCAACCCAAACTTCTACTCAAACAATGCAGATCTTTCAACAAAATATTTAAATTTCAGTCACGTGTTTAGAAAATCAGATCCATTAAGCAATTTTCAAGTGTATGAACAAAAAAAATTATGTTGTAGGAGTAAAAAACCAAAACCAAACTCCAGCTCAATCCAAAAAATTTTTAATTTTGAATCTATTAAATATCATCATAGGCATATGAGACAGGATGCAGTGGGGGAAGCTGCCCCTGAAAAAAGTTCACGTGACTGAAAAGTTGGGCAAACTTTTAACATAAGTAAGGAAAAAATATGGCGGAACTTTTGTGATTTGGGGAAAATATTTACTGCCCCCCCCCCCAGAAATCATTGCTCCCAGACGCCTATGGCTATCATCATAATAATCACTATGATAAAAATCTTTTGCTGTTCATTAGTACGTATAGTAAACACGTTAAGCATTGTACATTGATGCCATTAAAGCATATTGTACACTTCAGTAACTTCACACCAAAATTTCGAGTATAGAAGTTAAAACTTACCAACGCATAATGACACTCACAAATATATGGAATATTACAGTTTATATACTTTGATATGTAAGTTTCAATTATATTAAAAAGACAAGCAAGTAAATAGCTTTTGGATAAACACGACAGTGAACCGAACTAAAGGCGCTAAAATTATATCAAATTTTAGCGCCAGCTTGTGTTTAGTCCTTGTGTTTTAAAACTATAGCGTTTAAAATATTTTTCTATACTGTTTAAAGTAGTGTTGAAAATGAAATAAGCACACACTTACCAAAATGATGACAAAAAGTCTGAGTTTATATCAAATAATTCCATAGTTCAAGTCAAATAAAATAATTAAAAAAAGTCCACCATGCTGGTGTATAACATAACGCATTTCCATCCTTCAAAATGATACCTCAATAGATCCCCTGTATTAGAAGACAGCATAACGGGACATAGCCCACTCATTTTTAGACCATAGAGGACAGCATAACGTAATAAAGTTATATCTTATAACTGTACGAAAATAAAATGACCAAGTTATGGAATAATCGTTTTCTAGAATGCCAATCTACCTCTAGTGCCAATAACAAAGTACATTATCGTCGATCCAAAAGTTTCACTTGCTGTCGAGTGAGCAAACTCTTTTGAAACGTACGAGAAAGTCTTATATAAGAGAAAGCATTAGGTAACTAGCTACATGTTAAATTGGTTGTACTCATAATTTCTGGGATGTGCGCCCGCACTTTTATAAATTATTGTCTTTCTGATTATTGTATGTTCTGTAGTTGCTGTCACCGTATTTAGTAAACTTTTGACAGTTGTTTTTAAGACAAAAGCTTTCATTACTTCAACTTTAATTTTTTTTATAAAAATCGCTATATACTCAACTCAACATTCATCATTGAGAAAGTTTCATCCAGAGAATAAATGAAACTTTTCATTTATTTATTCATCCTAAGTTGTGCTACTCAATTTTTCGTCTACATTCGTCTACATTGCTTATTTAGCCCTTTTAGTAGCCCCATTATATTCAATGCTTCAATGTTTTTGCAAATTCGTTGGTCTTTTACGATACCTAAATCCATCATGTACGAAGCCTAAAAAATAAGAAAGTGCAAAAGGCTGTAAAGTATTCATTAAATCAATTGTATTATTCAAACCCCTTTCAACGAGACAATATAAAGATCCCCCCACTGCAGTGTTTCTAATCAAGTTACATAATTGCATCAACGGAAAAGTTAGTTTTAAAATAAATTTGAAATAGTTGACATACTAGAAAGGTCACAATTATTAAAAACAATTTTTGTAGCTACCGCGGTGGTACCTAATTAATCTTAGATTATTTTGAAACCTGCAGTAATTGGCTTAAAAAGTTGAGAGTCTTGTGATGACTCAATCATTCATGTATAATTGTCGTTGTCATGTGTCTAAATATGTGTTTGTACATAAAAATATGAGCACACTACTCGTGATTTCCTAAAAAAATTTAGCTATAAGTAATCAATTGACTTAAGACTCAAATATAGAATACCTTTCCACAATAACAGCCTACAACAATCAGGTTAGGTTATGTTAACATAAAAGGGTAGGGCTTGAGTCATGGCTCCAGGCAATATGCGGCAGTTTATTCTAAAATTACTCCTAAATGAATGTTCACAAAGTAATTTTACCTCTTAACACGGGTGCAATAAATGAATGTAAAACGTTTTGAACATTAGTATAAACACCATAACTGTTAGGTTTAGCGCATTCGTTTCCCCAAGATACGAGTCCAGCAATTGTCCATCTTCCATCAATAAAACATTGTAAAGGAGCCCCACTATCACCGTAGCAAGCATCTTTGCCACCTTTAGCGTATCCTGCACATAAGAATCTCTTGGATATTTTGCCAATTTTACTTTTGCAACATTTATGTGGTACGAGTTTCATTTCAACTTCTTTAAGTATTCTCGATCTGTGATACTTTTCTGTATTAACTGTATTTCCCCATCCAGCAATATAGCATAAATCTGTTGGGCCAAATAGCGTTCTGCAATTTGGCAAACATGCTTTTTTAACATATTTATTGAACTGAATTTTTCTTTTGAGTTTTATTAGTGCCACGTCATAATCACCTAAAAAAAGTTAAGTGACGAATTCAGTAATTCTTGTGCCAACTAATCTTATTTTTCCTCATACGAACATATCTTTTTCCAACTTATACACATTCGTATTATAAATTTGTTTGTTTTCTGTTCTTTAATTAAAGGAATCTCGTAAGAACTTGGCATTATATTTGTCTAATTCCATTTATTGATGTTAGTATTTTTATGTTCCAAATTTGTCGAATTATTTTGTTTCAAAGTAATCATCAGACCTTTAGACTTTTTACGATCCACACTTCAAGTCGAATGACTCAATTATTTGACAATTACACTACACACACATAAAAACTATACGTATATATAGTAATTTTTTTAAACATAAACAGGTTAAGCAAAATAATCTCTTTCTTATGATGTAATCTGCATTTCTTGATGACGAAAAAGGAACATCCAAAGCAACTTAGAAGTAAAAATTTAGTCATTTTATACTTACCTGGATGCATGTCGTTTCCCAGTTTATATTTTGGATGAATGAAGAGCTGTGCAGGCTCGACAGAAAACTCGTAAGGATCGGTAACATTATACATATGATCCGCAATTAAGTATTTATATTTTGTCACTGGTAGAGAGGTTGCATTATTTGTTCTATTATCCCCGTAGTAGATAAAGCAATGAGCCACAGTTAGAATCCATTTTTCATCTATTATTACTCCACTACAGTACTGACGTAAGTTATCTTTATCAATCATATTGACTATCCAAGGCCAAGAATTCATTTTCGACGTGTATCCACCAATCACTCGTTTCATTCTTCCGTGAGCTTCAATGGTTTTTACGCCACAATTTTGCCGAGAAAATGAAACTAAAAAGTCGTGCATCTCATTATTCTACTATAAATCGCTGTTAATGAGAATTTCCAAAAACGAAAATTGTTCATGAACATTAGTGAATTAATGAAGATTTGTATTAAGAGGTTTGTGTTTTGCTTACCAGTACCTTGTATCGTAGAAAAGCACAAAACCAAGATTTTCAACCAATACAATGTTATATGAAACTGATTCATTCTCTCAAATGCTTGTAACACCTACAAAAAAATAAAAATCATTGCAAATCCACCTAAATCGAAGCTGGGCAGTTTTCTCAAATTGTTTGATTGACAAACCACTGTCTGTAAAACAATTTAGTTATCATAACAAAAGAATAAAGAAAAACAATTTTCATGTTACCATACTATATTTCTAGAATTTGGCAGACGACAGCTGACTTAAACACAACGTTAATAACCAGTAAGAGAGAAACTATAAATACCAAGACCAAGTTTCCTGCTGGAAATCGAGTTTGGAATCAATATTGCATTTGATAACTAATAAGTGTTCAAACGCTGTTGTTTTTCATAATTTTGTATTGTTGTTGACAGAAAGTAAGCGTTAAATATTTTTCAATGAATACACTGAGTGTTGAAAGAGTAGGGGTTAAGTGTTTGTTTGCAAACCAAGTACGGCTTAAGTGCCGCTTGAAGCTACTTTAGAATCTAGAAACGTCGTCATTAATCTTTAATATGCTAAAATCCTTTTAAAATTTAAACGAAACATGCAATGTTGATCAGATTTACATCTTCATGAACAAAATACATCAGGCAAAGTACAACTTTATACTCGTGTTTGTGTTTTTTTTATTCACGAATGCTAAGGTGTCAAATGACTGCACACTTCACAGAAAATAAAAAACCTTGATTAATTGTTTGTTTCACAAGAAAATAAACTGTGCCGAGACATAAAAAATTTCTGAAAATGCTGTTGACAGACATGCTCGTTTGTTTGGCGACATAAAAAAATACTTCTTTTTCCACTTATGTAAGCCAACAAAGCAAAATGAAAGTCTAAATTATAAATAGCAACTAACTACAAGGTTAATCACGCATACTAAGAATGGGTGACAGATTCCTATAAATTTGACATAGCCATTACCATATATCTATTTATCCAACAGAACCCAAAACATTGCGCATATATGTCAAAGCCTTAGAACTATCACAAGAAAATTCTATTGAAATTTTTCCAAATTTTCTGTTTGCCAAATTTTCTGTATAATGATGAATTCATAACATTTATTTGAAATTTTGTATTTAAATAGCCACATCAATTTTTTTTCTAAACGGATCTTTACAGCGTTTATCCGGCAGCTTCGTGAGGAAATATAGTAAAAAAATGTTCAATTATATTGAATATACATTCAAGATAAATTCGTCCGATATTATTTCTTATGAACTACCTACTGTTTATTAGATTTCAGGATCTAATCACAAGAATTAATAAGTCATACCTTATTTAAAACGCTTTTCTTCGGTGAATTAAAAAATTTTGCTCTTGAAGTTGTCTTATTAAAAGCAATGAAAGTTTTGTGGCGTCAGTCGTTCTTATTGTTGTTCACCCAGTCCACATTGACATAAGTGCTCAAATATGAACGACGTTCCCCTACCTTGCTGACAGCATGATTTTGTCTGTTAATAAAGACTCATGTAGCGGCCTTTTCAACACATTGTAAAAAAGAAGTGTAACTGGAATGAACAACATCTTTGAAGCAATTCGATTCTGGATTGGTGTTTCAAAGGAAAAGTTGAACAAAGGGGAAAAAATATAGTTTTACGCAAGTCTAATATCATAATGAGCAACTCTGTCTGAATAATTAAAAGATTCAATATTCTATAGCTAATGCAGTATGCCAACTACAAAGTTCTTGAATTTCAAAGGTGTTGTGCTATAGTACGTCATATGCAAGTTATATTTAAAGGTGTTGTGCCTTTACTATTGAGTAATATTTTGAAATCAAGCGTTATTTTACATTCAACCCCTTTCATTACACGTTTTACTCGTCACTTTTTGTTTCACAAATTATTTTGGCAACAACACAAAAAATGTAATCTTAAACTTCACTGAATGCTATATGCACTGTCAAAAAACAGATGTTGACCTCTGAGTTTCAAAATTCTAATTATAATATGAAATATTTGTCAAATGAATTGAATTGATGGTGATTTAACTGATTTGTACCTTCATAAATCATTCATAGTTGTCAGTCGAATTTAACAATAAAATATGTTTTTCAATAGAATGATTAATCTCTCTAAAATTAACTGTACAAAAACTCACAAACAAAAATAAGAAAAGTTTAGTTAGAAATACAAGTTGTTTTCATGTGCATGTATCATTTTCACATGTTGGAAACAAAATGTGGAATTCCGACTTTCATGATACGTAAACTCAACATCGTAAAGTTCCGTGAACGTCTGTTTTCAATTAAAGCAAATGGTTTTGATCAAAATTTAAGAAAAATAATGTCAAAATCCTTTTTTCTATTACGTACATGATTAGTCTGTCGGTCACGTCCAAGATCAGGTTGCAAGTATAAATTAGGAATAAACATAGGAATAGACATCCCGAAGGAATAACTATTAATTTTGGTTCTATTTCCACACGCAACAAAGATAGTGTGAACCAGTTATATTCCTCAAACAGTTTATTTATCAACGCGTAATTATTAAGTAGATAAGTGTCCTAATAATAATAATAATAAGTATGAGTAAAACTTATCTCCTCTGTCTAAGTACAACCGCGAGTCTTTATTCTTGAGCGTTCGTGAGTCCAACAATGACTCATAATAGTTTTCCAAATAGATTAAAGGCGCAGAAGCCAAAAGATAGTTATAGCACAAAACCAAGATAGTCGTCTGGTAGATTGTAGCTTGTCAACCTACCTGTAGATTGTAGCTTGTCTGGTAGGCTATGCCTCCTAAGTTTGTCTCCTCGTAGGTTGTGCTCGTAGGTTGTACTCGTAGGTTGTGCTCGTAGGTTGTACTCGTAGGTTGTACTCGTAGGTTGTACTCGTAGGTTGTACTCGTAGGTTGTGCTCGTAGGTTGTACTCGTAGGTTGTGCTCGTAGGTTGTACTCGTAGGTTGTACTCGTAGGTTGTACTCGTAGGTTGTACTCGTAGGTTGTGCTCGTAGGTTGTACTCGTAGGTTATGCTTGTAGGTTGTACTCGTGGGTTGTGCTTGTAGGTTGTACTCGTAGGTTGTACTCGTAGGTTGTACTCGTGGGTTGTACTCGTAGGTTGTACTCTTAGTGTAAACTACTCATATATATATAAAGGGGCGGATCTAGGATTTTCCAAACGTCAGTCCTAAACCGGCGAACGCCGGAGGCGTTTGCCCGTAAGGGGTCCGAGGGCACCCTGGAAAATGTTGAAGCCTAGGGTCCCAGAAATGCGATTACCAGCGTTTTGGAATAGCTTTACAACAAATTTTCAAATTGAATGAATTTGCAGTTTTTCATTTTTTTCTTACAAAATATTGAGGACAAACACGCTAAGACCGTTTCGCCCAATGTCAGGGCTCTTCAGCATGCCTAGGAAACACATAGTGCAAAGCAACAATGTGATTCCGGACATGGACAGTCTTTGATTTAGCAGCAACGGCGCATTAAGCAGCCAGTTGCACTGTCTTACATTTCTGCAGCAACGGCGCATTAAGCAGCCAGTTGTGCTGTCTTACATTTTTGCAGCAACGGCGCATTAAGCAGCCAGTTGTGCTGTAAGACATTTCTGCAGCAACGGCGCATTAAGCAGCCAGTTGTGCTGTCTTACATTTTTGCAGCAACGGCGCATTAAGCAGCCAGTTGTGCTGTCTTACATTTTTGCAGCAACGGCGCATTAAGCAGCCAGTTGTGCTGTCTTACATTTTTGCAGCAACGGCGCATTAAGCAGCCAGTTGTGCTGTAAGACATTTCTGCAGCAACGGCGCATTAAGCAGCCAGTTGCAAAGTCAGTAATATTTCTACAGTAACGTAGCCATAACACATTAAGCAAATTTCAAACGTGTATTACCTTCAGCAAACTTATTGATCACTCTTTCTATGTCAGGAATAATTTCTGGGTGAATTCGCATTAAAGCCAGGCCATTTAAACGTTCCTCTACCATAGTGCTCCTTTGGTAGGTTTTTAGATTCCTCAGTGCTGAAATTGATCTCTCACATTCACATGAGGTGATTGGTAGTGTACCTAAAATGCGAAGAATAACTTTAATATTTTCAAATCCTGGAAATGTTACATGCTTCAGTGTTTTGACGATGTTTTCTGGCAAAGGCCCATTGTGCGTTTCCCAGTATAAACGCCATTGCCTTAATTCAGCATCTAAACCAAGGGGGTTGGGCAAGTCATGATGATAGAATTTTGCAACACTTTTAAACTGTTTTTTCCAATCAATTCCTTTGTCCGACAGAGTCATCATTTTGACGGGAACGATAGATAATCCTCGGTACACATTAACACTATCCAAGTTAAACCTAGTACTCAAAGATGTTTGAAGATGGTCTAATAAAGGAATAGTGATGGTTAGTTTATAATGTTCTTTGAATGATTGACTGGGGGGATTAGATCGCATAGTTTGTCTTCCAGCAATTCGCTTTTTTGTTTCTTGAACGTTCACCTCTTCAGCAAGTTTTAAAGCCTCTTCATACCAAGTGTTATGATAAAAATTAATGCTTTTCCTCATGTTGGCTACATCATTCTTCAAAGTGGTTATCAAATGAAAACCATCCATAACATCAATAGTTTTTCCCTGCAACAATTGCGTGACTGGAAGAGTAGCATCAAGAATATTTCTTGTAATAACTAGCGCAACAATAAAATGAAATTGAGTAACTAATGAAAGTAACTGGGAAGCATCAGCAGCAAGGGAAGGCTTCACCTCGCTTACATTGTTTATCATGTCCTGAAGAGTGTCGATTAAAGGGATAAACAACTGTTGAAACGTGTCAAGACTGTCAACTCGCTCAACCCATCTGGTTTTACAAAGACTTACCAGTTTTGCCTTCTTGGTCTGAACATCTGACTTTTTAACGTGCTCAGCAAAGGGTATGTTGCGTGTCTGTGATATGTTGATAAAATTGGCAGCTTGAGAAACAACAGATAACATGTTATTAATTTCAACGTTAGAAAGAGTGTCACAGACAGACAAATTTAGTCGATGACTGTAACAGTGAGTGTAAAGAGCTTTAGGATTAGTTCTTAAAATGTGGGCTGCTAAACCATTTATATGCCCAGAAACAGCCCTGCACCATCATAACCTTGTCCCCTGCAATCCATAATGGGTAAGGCAAATTTCTCTAGAGTTTCTAAAATAAGCTTTGAAAGTTGTTGACCACTCAACCCCCATTTGCAATGCAGGAAGCACATGAACTCTTCTTTAACATTCATTGAAGAGTCAACAAACCGTAGAACAAGGGACAATTGCTCTTTGTGAGAAGAATCAGCAGCTTCATCTGCAATGATAGAATAATATCTATTTTTTTTTATCTCCTTTATAATATCTTCTGATATTACCTGACCAATACAGTTGATGATTTTGTTTTGGCTGGTCTTGGAAATATAACTTTTATTCTTGCCACATTTGAGCAAATGATTTTCCAAAGTTTGATCACCAGCTCTAACTCTAAAATTTAAAGATTCAACAAAATTACCAACATTGCCATTGACTGAATAGCAACCGACCTCTGGGTGAAATTGAGCATCGTCACGATGACCTCGTAATCCAATGCCAAGCCTTCCACAAAAAAGAACTGTATCAACAATTTGTTTAAGAATTTTCCTATTTTGCTCAATTTCAAGTTTTATGTTAGTATCTAAGATATTTTCAATGGGTTGAGCTACACCTGACATTTGAGAGCATATATTATTCAAAATTGGAGAAGTAGATGCATGTAGTCCCATTTTTTCTCCCCCTTACAATTTCCAGCATGTCGCCTAAATGTACCTACAGCATCATTCCAATGACGAAAAGGTGAACGAAATAGATTGTTTATTCTCGAGCATTTACTGGGGAATTGATGTCCAAAAAGAACACATGATAAGCAATAAGCACCATCTTCTTTTGGTGAATAACACAGCCAGGTAAAATCTTTGAGCCATTCATATTTAAAAGACCTTTTATTGTTCTCACTCAAAGGAGGAAAAGTGTAATTTTCATCAGGTTTAAAAACATTTTTAATAAGCAAACAAATATCAGACATTTTCAAACCTTTAGCTCTTTTGTAGTAGGTAGCTACATCAAAATTGTGAATAAAGTTAGGCTTTACCTGTAAATCTTCAATGGTTTGTTCAGTAACCCTAGTACAAGAAACCTCACTTGTAATGATTTCTGGTTTTTCCATTTTTGAAAAAAACTTACTGATATTCCCAGACTTTTTTTCAGCTTTTGCTTTTTTTGAAGCCACTGGGCATGTTGGACCAGAAATTGTCCTTTTAGTTTTGCTAGGAAAAAAAACTAGAGGAACAAAATGATTAGGTTGGAAACATTGATCTGATTTAACTACCCCTTTATAACAAAACAAAAGATGAATTGCATCGGCTGATTCTTTAACTATTCTTCTTGGACAAACAAGAGAGTTGAATATTGATTTAGGCCTTCTCTCTCCACAATCTGGGTAGTAAGTAAAAATTTTTGTCTCCAACACAGAAGAAAGAGCTAAAATGCATAGAAACGATGACCACTTTTGGTCATGACAATTCAAAAAGGCCTCCTTTTTTGACAAGATCAACACCTACAAAACCAGAATCTAGACAGTCTTGAGATACTGTCAAAGGTAAAATATTCTTTGAGGTGTTGTTGAATTCTTTATGCTGTTCAACAATTGAGGAAAATAAAGGATGTTGGCAGTAAAAAAGTAGCATTCAAAAACAGCTCAAGTGATGTTAACTGCCTCAAAATATGCAATAAACTGTTATCACCTGCCAAAAGCAATGACACTGAACTGTAGAGACAGTTGCCAGATACTTCTGATCTAAATTGAATAAAAAAAGTCGTGTTCCTATAAGTCCTCCAACAAAATTTAACTAACTGGCCAGGAAATATCTAACATAGCAACGTAGTTACATGTAGAAGATAATTCAAAGTTCAAATATAAATTCACTATTCGCTGAATTTATGCCAATATTTATAATAAAATTAAAAGCCCAAGCCGTAGATCTTTAGTATACACTGCACAAAATGAAATCTGCTTCATTAAAATTTATACAACAGTCAATAGACATAAACCACATCTCATAGTCGCATAAATTGATATTAATGGTTTGGATACCTTAAAGCCATGCATACATTTCCTTTGTCCTCGTGTTGCTTACGCACGATTTTGGGGATGTAAATTTCTGCTGAGAACTCTCTGCTCAATGATGTTTCGTCTTTCAAAAGCAATAAGAATTCCTCTCTCGACATTTTAGTCGCCCCAAAATATTCCTCATTCAAACGCAATTTCAATTCATTCAGAGATTTATCACTCTCTTGCGAAATTGCAGTCTGAACAGCAGCATACATATCAATATTTAACATTGTAGTTTGTAAACGATTTTCAAAATAAATGCAATGAAACAGATTTTAGAAACCACGCTATAGTGAATCACAAGGTGATGATCTATCTCGCATTCCAGACACCACGCTTGACTATGTTAGCTCAGAAGGCTATCAGTCGAAATCGGTCAAACCAATCACAATAAAACAAAAATTCAAATGAGCCAATTGTAAGATAGCAATTGGACTCCCTTATAGGTCCGGCCACCCTTATTATCGGTCGAGATTATTCCAGACTGTCCACTGATCTGGACATTGACCAATAAAATAGCGTTTCTGGCGTTCATAGACTCCTTTATATGTCGAACCAGTCAAGCCACCCCGCTTATCAGTCGGTTATTCCAGGTCAGTGAACTCGACATTTGAATAACTGGAATGATAACCGAAGCCAAAAATTGAAGCCAAAAAAATATTTGTTGTCATCATTCGTCATCACACGTCAGGCTCTAGTCTCTCGCGTGTTCATTTTATTTTTTTAAATCATTTGTCCCTTGGTAATGGTAGAGTTCGGATCTTGATCAGAGCGTAAAAATAACGAAATGTTTGTAATGAAAAGGTTCACGGAAAGTGAATCAAAGTGATAAATCGAGAAGCAAGATGAGGTGAACTTAGTCGATCTGCTCTAACGCTGCGGTTTTCCTTTAAAACATATCAAAGTCTTTAAGGATATTCAATTATTGATATCGAGATGACAACCATTTAGTATTTCAAGTTTCAAGCACTATCAAAATCGATGAAAAATACAATCGCTCTGTAAAAAGTAAAAATGCGAGTTATAAACTCGATATTTTTTATGAAACTGGATATTCAAGTTTCTTTTTTATTCGGAAAAACAGATCTTTAATCCACTTAAATGACAAAAAAGACAAACACTGTCTTTTTTGTTTTCCGTTTGAAAGTTTACCTTCCGACGAAAGAAAAATTTATGCTTGAATATTTTTTCGTCATATTTTCTATTGTATTGTCTTTTTAGCAAACACAGTGTAATTTTCAGTTGGCTTTTCCTCGTTACAAGTTGTAAGTTAAAACGAACTCACTGTAGTAAAGTTTCAGCTGTAAAAAATAACCTTTTGCGAAGAGTTGGCCTCGTGTGTTGTTTGTCGTGATGTTGTTTATATGTTTATGCTTTTGCAATTTGTATTCAAATTTATATTGGCCGTGTATGTTTGGCACTCAGGGGAATGAAACTGACGTTCAAACCGCGTGAATATTCGACTTTGAAGGACTGGAACTGACGTACAAACCGCGCAAGAGACTAGGACTTTGGCTTCAATTTTATATCTATAAAATGTATTGTGGTTATCATTCCAGATATATATATATGGAGTTCACTGTTCCAGGTCAATTAAAATTCAACTGATCTGGTTACCAAGGAGATATTCATTGATTTGTCATTAGTTTTCAATAATAAATAAAGCTGGATTTTCATCACGAAGTAAATGCGATATTCAAGTAAGAATAATTAATGAATTTTTAATTAATATGAATAGGTAATTTTTGAATTTCAAACATCAGTCGCGCGACGGATTTGACATACTCTAGATCCGCCCCTGTATATATATAATATCTAATGGGAAGTATTGTGGTTTTGTGAACTACATCCCGTACGCAATATAGTATGTTACAGCAAGATATAATTTAACCACAATAACAACAAATGCGGTTGCGGTTCTAAAATATGTGTTTACGCATGTAAGCAAGCTTCTAGCGCATGCAAGCAAGCTTCCAGATTATGTCCTAATTAGTAATGACATTGCAAAATGCATTTTAAAGTTAAAATATAAAAATATGAAATTATAATATGATATAATAATAGTTTATAAATGATATTACATGATAGTAGGTGCTATCAAGTAACAGGGGGGAGTGCTATAAACTTCCAAAGTTGGGTGAAATCAGGCGTTCCGGGACAAATTTCTAAAATTATTCGTGCTCACCACTCACCAGTCCTTAAATCTTGATGACATGAGAAAATATATATAATATATTAATCCTAATCCTCAGGATTAATATATTATATATATTCTCTGATGATGGCTTTCAGAAACTATGATATGGATATTTTGAAACTTAACATTTTGTACTACATGAAGTAATGCTAGTAGAAAATACTCATTGGTGAGAGTTATTTTCAAAGATCAAGATTCCTCCTCTATTTGTATTTTATTCATTATTTCATTTTAGTATTTTTATGGAAGAACAGGAGTCTATGGCTGTCAAACTCGACAATGATTTGAATAACTACATTGACAAAGTTATTGAGAAAAATCAGAATTATAGATATGAGCATCCATTGAGTGAAGACAATTGGGAAGAAGTGAGCAGTTTTTTACTTTTCAACATTTGAGGAAAATGTGAAAAAAATTGCAATTCAACTTTTCTTTATGCATATTTGCACGAAAAATTATCGAAACGTCGTTTTTATCGCGTTATTTTAAACTCAAGATACCATAGTGTAGTAATAGTTCTGTTCTGTTTGTGAAAAATTTTTAAAGATTATGTTGAAGCCAAAGTTTTACCAATAGCATTGTTTATGAAGTATTTTGAATTTTAAATGTTATTTTTAATGTATTCTGATTCACCTAAAATTAAGGTAAAAATTCACCATCTGTTTTTGAGATGTTTCTGAAAAAAGAAATATTTTTAAAATATGACCACTGCTAGCAAGAATCCTAAAATTCTTTTGGTGATAAAAACGCTTATAAACATATGCACATTATCTAATAGTTCCACATACCCAGTTCATTGATTTTTTACATTTGTTATTTTCCAAGCTCTTCTTGTGTCTGAAAACCATATTTTCCAAAACTTTTGAAAATTTGCAAAATATGCGAAAGATAAATATTAAACTGATCAAAGTGCTCATGCAAATAGCAAAAGCTCAAAGATAACTGGATATGAGACACCTTAAGGTTTTGTAAAACAATTTAACTTTTCCATCAAATCAAGACATTATGAAGGGTGGTCCCAGAACATTTAAAGCCCTTAGTTTTTAGGGGGATGTGTGTACCCTCAACAAAAGTGTTTAGTTTATGATCCAGGCTTAATTATGTGTAATTTTTTTGACAGCAGTAGTTGATGCAATATCATCTGATAAATTAAACACACAACTTCAAAATGTTTAGGAATTGGAAAATGTTCCACTGTTCATGACGAAAAGCCCTGATGAAATTAATCCAGATAAAGCACCAGCTTTGGCTGCAATGCAAGCAATTAAATTTGAGGAAGATAGTCCATATGGTAAGAGTGTAAAATTGAACAACTTTTCACTGGTGTTATGCATAACAGATAAGTATTATTTGAAATTATGTATTGTCTAATTGATTGATATAATTTTTAGCAAAAGCATTGTCATATAAAGAAGACGGAATGTGGAATATAAAAAGGAAACTATAAAAATCTATCAAACTGTACAGTGAGGGAATCCAAGTGAACTGTACTGATAAAATTTGATATCAAATTTATATACAAACAGAGCAAATGCACACTTTAAAATAGGTAAAAAAAATGTTTGTGGTCTTCCTCATAATATATATGAAACACCTATGTGTACCAGTCCTAATTTCTACCATTTTAATGAAATATACGAGTGAAATATTTTAGGAAATTATCGATCGTCATTAAATGATGCAAAAGAAACAATGAACATAGATCCTTGTTATATTAAAGCTATATTTCGTGGTATGATACCATGACATTTGTTTACTATCTCATTTACAATATATTTACAAAAATTCCTGTATAATTTGAACCAGGAGGTTGTGCTTGTATGGAGCTAGAAAAATATGATGAGGCAATAACATGGTTCCAGGAAGGACTGACTGTATCCTTTCGTGTTTAGTTTTCCACTTCATCTTTAAGCTGCCATTTTGCACAGTTGGAACTTTAAGATCTTACAAAGTTTGAAACGTATGGTGTACAAGGCCTAAATGAAGGGTGGACATGGTTTAAAATGGATGGTGTACAAAGTTTGAAATGAAGGGTTGACATGGTTTAAATTAAAATGTATGGTGTACAAAGCTTGAAGTGAAGGGTGTACAACTACGTACAAGGTTAAAAATCGACGGTGCCCAAGGCTGCAAATGTTGGCTCTGCAGGGTTTAAAGTGTACAACTAATATGGTTTAAAAATAAATAGTCTATGTTTAAAAAAGAAAAAGAAATCTTTGCATGAAATATCATCTTACCCCTTAAACATTGACATCGTTGTTTTTTCAAATCCCTTGACGAAAATAAGTATGATCCTAATTCAAACACTTTCAAAGATCTTCAAAAAAAGGCAAAACTGAAACTAGTGAGTTGACACTAGTCAATAGCCGGTTGCATCTGTTGCTCTCAATTTTAGGATATCTTAATTCTGTTTAGAAAGAAAAAGAAAGAAATGAACGAAGGAAAAAGGCGAAAGATAAAGAAATTAATAAAACAACAAAGAACTCGTTGAAATAATCATGGTTTGTTTATACACGTTAATGATGTACGTAGAAATGTACGAGCCTTTGATGTCAGTACAGTTCAACTGAAATGCCATAATTCGCTCATTACATAAATTAGCGCTCATATTTCAGTACATACATTGGTCTAACATTGTTTCTGAACTGTTGCTAATAGAGTTGTATGAAGTAGATAGTTATTCAGTCTCTAAAAAGGCTGTTCCAACGTTGCTTGAGGTTTTGAGTGTTTTGTTCAGATCTCATCTGTATTAGTTTTGGATTTCTAATTTTCAAGTTTTAGACAAATGAGAACTACCAAGTAGTAAGTTTCATTAAATGAATGAATGAATGAATGAATGAAAATCTTTATTTTGACACGCTGGCCTCGTCAACTGGGGTTGATTTCCACGAGGGGCGTGCTTTTGTTCAAAGCGATTACATTATTTACTTAGAAATAAAATTACCATAGAAGAGAAAGATAAGTTAAAATATTTACAGAGTTTAGTTTATTCAATTAGTTACATGTTAAACCAAATCATAAAACGTAAGCAGCAAGTTTCTTTTGAAAAAGTGACACGCTGTTGCTATTTCTGATTTCTGCTGGAATTGAATTCGAAACAGAACCTCCATCATACGAAAAGCTTTTCCTCAAGGAGTTACTACTAGGCATAGGTTCATTCAGACAACTTGTAACACGTAAATTGTAATCAGAGATGTCATTTCTATAGGTATACAATCTAGTTAGTGAATTTGGTCCCGCATTTTTTAATAATTTAAACATCAGCTTTGCCTTCGCTTTCTTCCTAAGTATTAGGAAAAAAGCTAAACAACTCGTTGCATAAGAAACTGAGGAAATATTTTATGTATAGTCTCGTGGTGTGATGATGCTTAATCCTGGTGATAAAGACGATGAAAATGATGAAAACACAGATAAAAGCAATTGTCAGTCTTTAGCAACAACGTTCCCGGAAATGTTCAAGTAAGACTCGATGAAAATCAAGTTCTACACTGGCCTGTATTGTTTATTTATCCAGAATATGGGCAAACAGATTTTATTGAAGCTTTCAATGAAAATCATAGGCAAGTGTTTTTAGTTTAAGAAAGATAACTCACTTCGGAAAATTATTACTTGGGTTAGTATTTCATTGAATCGTCTTTGCTCAGGGTTTAAACTTTGTTATACTTAGATTTTGTGACCATTTGCAAATTATGTTTCTTCCGGAAGTCCAAGTTCCCTGGGACATTCATAGAACGTATCAACTGCCAAAACTTGAGGTAAGAAATAAAACGTAACAGTTACTTTTTGGATTTAGTTCAGGTGAAGTTTAGTCTGCTTTATTTTTAGGTGTATTTTGAAGATGTAGAAAGGAATTCGTTAATTTTTGTAAAACAAACCACCACTCTCGCTCAAGCTCTGTCTCATCAAAGGTAAATACCACAAGAAAATAAATCAATGAATGTCTTTGGTTTACAAAACGCAATATGCAAATCACGAATTGAATGTCAAATTAGGTTCAATAAATTACAAATACTGTGAAATAAATATTAAATAGACCTTTGCTTTTCTTTTTCAGATATGTGGTATATGGAGGAATACCGTCATTTATTATCATGGTCAAGGGTTCATCCTTTATAGAAGCATTCAAAGAGAAATACAGAGGATGATTTTAAATGATGGAAAATGATTTTAACTCACTGGAGTCTCTCAATATGATATTGACTGTGGAATAATTGATGATTTTAACCTTCTTAAGTACAGTTGCCAATTGGCAACAATAACAAAATGAAACTGAATCGAAAAATTTTACTGTTTAAAGGTTAAAATCACAGTTTTCAACAAGATTAAGACGTTTACAAGAATACAATGACAGCAAACTAAATTGGGTTACCTTTATTTCACTATCCAGCGAATAATTACATGAATGACACAGTACCAAATGAAAATAGCTAATAAAAGCACTCAAAACAAATAAACAAAATTTACCATAGTACTTAAATGTAAAATAAGCGCTTCGTGAGCGTTTACGTAATCTGAAACAATGTTTTGTACATGTTTGTATCAGTATATGCATATTTTAATTTCAATGAAATAAGGTTTAATAGGTTTTACAAATGTCTGGAATATTTTGAGTATAAAGATCGAGAATAGAAAGTCGCTGATTTATGATCAAGTAACGAAAACATGGCTACAGTCGTTTATTTTATATCGTACGTACATGCTTAGCCTATTTAAAGGATACGGTAGGTAAAACAAAACATTGAAGAATCAAACTATTAACTCTATAAGAAAGCATTCAATACAATCTTCCTCAACGCTAGAGCATCGACCTATAAATGTTCAGTGTGTATCGAACCCTGCTTTCGAACCCTGCTTTTATAGCTATCTATAGTTGCTGCATGAGTTTGCTTTTTATATCATTAAATTGGAAACTTGGAAATATACTCGAGAATACCAGACCTTCCACAAGATAATATAATCGTGTCGAGATTTTTAAGAAGCTTCATTTATCCCGTATTTAGTAAATAAACAAGTAATCAAGGAAAAGTTTATTTTAATGTAAATCCCAATAACAGAGCAAAACAGCCAGGATTCCATCCAAGCAAGCATGCATGGTTAACCTGTCCAATTGGGTGACATTAATAACCTTCAGAGCGAACCTGAAGTTTAATGATTAGCTGTAAAACTATAACATAAAACAAATAATCATACCGCATTTCCACCAATACACACGCTGTGGGCGCGTTCATTTACGTGTGAAGAAATTTAGGTAAGCATGTAAAGGCTGCGTCTACTGAAAACTGAGACTTGTCACAACTTTACGTAAAGAATTAATCATGGAGATTAAACTCTGCGACATTTCGACTTCAAAAAACGGAACTGGATTGTGGACGATGGGGTTCAAGTTTGGTTAAAGTTTTACATGTTCTTATTACCCTGCAAATTTTCCAAGAAAACGCCGCTTTTCATAGAGAGGAGAGCGTTTTGTTGAAACTTGAAAATTGTTTCTAATTAAAGGCGGCGTTTAATAGACTCTGGGCGTATATCAGAGGAAATACGGTATGCTTTCACGATTTGATATGATAATTCAAAACGAAGAGAAACCGCGAGGGTGGAGTTTTGCGGCGTGGAAAATATTGACTCCGGCTTTAGCTAAAGAAACTCTGATGCAGTTTTGGTTACTTTTAAAACTGAGAAATAATTTAAAATCTTTTTTTCCCGTTAGTGCATGGCCTTCTACGGCCCAAAAAGTCTATAAAGTCAAATTGAGTTGGTTAAAATATGTTGTGAGAGGAAAGTTGAATGAAACTGCTAGAATTTGTGACACTTAATAAAGAGACAAAGATTTAAAACATTTTGACTAGTTTAAGAAAAAAAAACTATGCTTGTTTTACTAGCTATTTCTATAGATTGCCAGTTCTCAAAATCAGTGAACAGACGAATCTGTACGCAAATCATCTATTTCAGCATCCATGTTCATAGTGCTTCCTCGTTCCATCAGTTATCATTGCTTGCAAGGAACAACTTTCATAATTGTAACTTTCAAACTTATGCATGCATTGTTAATTAGACCCGTTTCAAACGTCGTACTTCACATATTTAAAGACAAAAGGATATGAGATAAAATTCCTTATTATCGTTTCTTTTAAATGCATTCAGTTCATGTTTAAGTTTGACGTTTGAAACTGGCCTTAATAAATGTATTTCATGTTTAACTGTACATTCTATAATTAGAATGAAGCGTGATTTTATAAAGAATTAATTTCTTACAGATCATATATTCAATTTATCATAAATTTTCTACACCTTTTTTGGTATTAACAAGGTTCACCATACATTATTTCTAATTGAATATCATTTTAAAGGAAAGTGGAGCCCTTTGAAGAATAGAAATATCACTATAGAAGTGTTTTTTATCCATAAGAGTGGCAATATAAGTGAAATGCTTGTGATTTTAATTACAAAGTAAGCGGAAACACTATGATATCATGCACGTTCAACTTTAAATTTAAAATATGATCAAGAAATGAGCGCGTTCATGTCGTCTGTTTCAAAAACACAATGCTATTACTCGAATGCTATCACAAAAACAATTTAAATTTACTATTTGAAAAGTTGGGTTGAAGCCGAAGTTCTTGTGGTTTTAAGAAGCCATGAAACCGAAGAAAATCAACTCCTTTGTCTGAGTGTGCAGTGGTCCATTTAGGATCCAAATAGGCCATTTTGTTTCTTTAAATAGTTGATGCTTCATCATCAATCACTACAACACCATCAAAAACCACAGAAACTTTCTCTATACAACCCTACATGACTTGAGCCACACTTGAGGAAATTCTCACTCATTTATAATATTGGTAAAAGAAAGCCTAAAGAAAATCCACTGTGATCTGACTGTCCTCCACTTTGGCTCTGTTTGAAAATTAAATGGATACAAATCTTATGATCCAGATAAAACGCAATGTATATGTATAAAACAGTATTCAATACAATCATATTCCTCTTTGCACGGGCAAGTTAATTGAAAAAATGATCGTATAGGTAAAGAATTCAAGTTTTATCTTCACAACGTGGAGACAGAAATGCAGATATACGTTGTAGTGGTGTTACAAAACACTCTTGGTTAACCTATGGTTAATAAAACACATACAGCTGGCTATAGTTTTTGCTTTTTACCATTGAAAGTGTTAAAGTAATTAATCTATATTAATGGAAATGACAATGTATACTTGAAATGCTGTTTTATCATATAAACAGTGATCCTCCACTGTCTTGGCTCAATTGAACGTGCCTAAGAGGAATATCATTGTAGTAAATGCTAAATGTAATATTTTCAAAACAGAACCTGGGCTGAAATTTTGACAAAATAGATTTATCTTCAATGAAAAATACAGTCAATATATTTATACGAGCAAAATATCATATAAAAATTAAAGCTAAAAATCTCAGAAAAACTACCCGTCTATCTGTAGAAAATTTCAGCCCGATCCATTCAATCGATCTCTTTCTTTTAACTACAACAGTTAAGGGAATTATTTAAAAATATAACTTTCTATCGAGGATAAAGCAAGTAGAAAAATGAGTAAATGAGCGTTTATAATAAATGCTTGCTTTATCATTAAAATTACTATTCATGTTATTTTTAAGGTTTAGACTACAGCCAAGGCTTTCATGTATTCTATATTGGTGAACTCTATTTTTGATTTCATAAATTTATGGATCAATAGAACGCGAGAAACAATTAACATTAAGGCAGAGTATTTCCACATTTAAATGCAGTTTTCAAGCATATATAAATACATGCCTGTATGTCGAATCAAACCATATATTATACATACAATCAATACAAAAAATAAATCTACATTACACACACGATGAATATAGAGTTCACAAATATAAACAGTGCATTCCAAGCAACCCTTCGCTCCCCAACAGAAATTTGCTAAATTTTATTGTAGCTAACTAGGACAGAAAAGAAAATGCTTATGTTTGCATAACAAATAAATTGCTTATTTTTATAGTTTTTATCTTACACCTGTGATTGGTCGTTCAAAGTGAGATAAGTAGTGACGTACGTGAGATAAGTAGTGACGTACGATGAACTTTCAAACAGATATTATATGTAAATGGACAGAAAAGTTCTTGAAAAGTTTACTTTTCAAGCATGTATGTTTCAGTCAACTAAACCTGAATAAAAAATCATCTTTGAACCACTAATCACGGTATTAAGACATTTTTAATGTACTTTGACATCTGACATGTTCCTTTCACTCCAGCCTTAATTTGTTAGTTGTGTATAAATTCCCGAAATGTGACGTTTCTCGGAAAAATTTCAATGTCACGTCCGAAAACAGATGTGTAACTATTTTAGAGTTGTTTTATAGGACTTCGGATTTCCATTAAATAGCTAAGGAAAAATTTATATCTTAACTATGGTAATTTAGTGCTACTTATAGACCCTACAGACGCCTCTTCCAGTCAAACAAATTGCTTTATTTGCTTTTCGTACAACTTTTCACATATCCTGAAACTCACAAACGAGAATGATGAAAGATTTTATAATTACGAGAAACAATGTCGTAATAAAATACAAAATGTTTGAGACTCGATCCCCCACACATTCAAGAACAGAGTACAATAGCCTAGGACAAACTTGAAACAAAGTCACTTCCTAGATTTCATCGACCTGTCGGATGTCCGAAGTTTTTGAAAGTTTGTGAGACAATTAAGAAAGAACAAAGCTTTACAACATTTGTCAAATGAACAACTACAAAACGTTTCCACAAGTCGAGGTGAAAAAGTTTTATGCTACATCTATTCAGCAAACTTTAAAGAGCCTATGCAAAATATAGCAAAGAATTTGCTGCGAGGTTTAGAATTTTTTCAGTATAATTGTATTAAAACATACTGTTTAGCAATCATACAAGTGACAAATGTTTCAAGATTGTCTTATAGCAATTCGATGACTTTTAACCCAATAATAAATTTACTCCGTTAAAGAGAATACAGTCAATCGTTTAACAGAAAACACAGACATTTAAGTCTATAGAATTTTAATTAAGTTATAACTACGTCTAAGAAATTTTTAAAGAGTTTACACAAAGTTACAATGAATGATCAACACACAAAAACACATGACGAAATGTGAAAAACATTAACTTGAATTTCAAAATCTAAAGATCCAATTAATAACCAACAGATATCGCAGGGGCAAATAAATGCAGTGAAAATTTGGTAATTAGTAATTGTAAGTGAATGTCATCGTTTAGTTGCAAATCAAAAAAATCTACTAAAAATTAAAACAATAGATCTCAAAACAAAATTCACTTACAAATTCACTTACTAATCACTTACAAATACTATAACATAATGACATTACTTCATATGCCTCACTAGATATAGAACGAAGTGAATTACAGTGCGAACCACAAAACAAACAAAACACTACCATTAATCAAAACAATTCAGTTACAGGTAACAACCGAAACTAAAACTTCTTGCAAACCGAAGTAGAAGACTCAGTTTAGACTCTCAAAGTTTCTACGATCATACTGAAAAATTTATACTTAAGTTTTAGCACTGCTCTCTTTCAATCAAATTGAATTGAAATATTTTAACGTTTCCATGAACAAATAGCAATGTTAGATCATATATTTACATATGCTAGTCTTATAAAGAGATCACAGAAACTTTGACAGTATATACTTCTCTTAAAGTAACCAAGCTTCACTTCAACTACGAATTTAGAATAAATTGCACAAGATTAAATTTTTCACATTGTACAAAGAAAAATTTATGCATTAATCCTGTGAGTATTCTTCACTTGTGCACGCGTCATTCCAAATTGACCCGAACTCATGCTGAGACAACAACCAATCAGATCAGCTGTTATGTCATTTGGATTGTAAGTTGTTGAAACAAGTTGTAACATCAACTTCAACAAATCAACAACTGAACTTTCATCAAACAACTCACATGAGCTTTTTGATTGAGCGAGACTGACCGATCTCGATTAACTAACTTGTTGAACTCTTATCTATTAAATTTTTTGAGACGTCGACTTGACAAAAGACGAACCACAAAAATGATAAAATGCTAGAAGTAAAATAACAAAAACACTGACAGAACAAAACAAACAAACACAATATCATTTGCAAACATACAATCTGACACAAAAATAACAAAAACAATGTCAACTTTAGTTACAAATTCTTTAATCATACAATCTGACACAAAAAACAATATCCTCTTTGCAAATGTTAAAACATGCATACAGTCTGACAATTATAAATATTACAATTATTACATATGGTCATTCTTGAATTAAAGCATATTTAACGTACCTTTCATATTGGTTTCTTCAAAATTTACCAAAAAAAACTTGTTTATACCTGTAAATTCTCCTATGGCAAGCCTGCCTGATTATATAGCACTATTTAATTGCGGTTAAATGATTTTTCATTAACTTTCTTCTTATTCAATCATCGTTTACTTATCCCTAAATTTCATTACTTTAAATGTAAATCCCTTTATGAAGATATTTAAATTCAAACCTGCTTTGGTGAGGCAATTTCAAATCAAAACAAAACTTCAAGTCGCGAGGTAAACGTAAACTACTTTTCTTTATCTTAAATTATCCCTCGTTATCCCCAACAGAAACCTCCCCAACAAAGTGATGGCGCAGAACTTCGCAATAAGGAAGTGAACTTCTTTCATAATAAAATAAATAAAATGAACACATACCTGTGAAACTTTCGTCTACAAGCTAAAGCATGCTCATGTTTTTCAAATGTTACCAATGCTTTATGCTTCGTCGTCGACATTTTCAATTGCTAGAAAACAAAAATGCACTGTTTAAAAATAACTATACCTGGCCACTTGTTGACGACAAGTATTTATTTAATATCATTACACAAGCCAAAAATAAGGCATACAATTGATTACGAGCGAGTGGTAACATTGTAAAAATAATGAAATCACAACCTCTCATTGGCGTGTTAGGATACTTTTATACCATGTAATGGCCTTACCTCAATAGGTCCTATAGTAGCAAGCAATTCTTTCAGTTTGTATGGCGTGATTGAATCAGGGAGAGAACCAATCACAATACGATTTGTAGGTTTGCTGGAAATGCCTGATTTGGTAGCAACAACTTTTTTGCCTTTACCGTCTGTATTAGACTTGCGATCGACTGAGGTCTTGAGAGAAAGCTAAATGGATAAAATGGATGTACAGTAATATCAACCAAACCTTCATTATAGAAATCTTTGTTTATATACACACATATGTATTAATAATGCTGAAATAAACAAAGAATATAACCTACAATAAAACCCTGCGTATATAAAAAATAAGGTTTTAAAAGCCTGTTAGTCTAAAAAAATTTATTTACACCCCCTTACTATAAGAACATGTCTAGGCTAAGATTTAAAACAGGTCCCTATTTCATTTTTATCACTCTTAAAGTTGAAACTAATAAATTCAACTCAAAGAAAATAAAGTCTACACAAAGTAGTGAAAATGGCACAGAAGTTAGATTCAGACATTCATACTGTACTAAAAGGCACGGCACATAAAGCAATTTTGAAAACAATTTAGAAATAATCTACATTAAGATTTCCTACGCCGACAAAGAAGAATTCAGTTTCTCTTTAGAAAATAAAAACATCTTTAAGAACCTATTTAGCCTAATATCGCGATGAGCCCTATTTATGTATATAAGATCCTGTTTGGGCTAACTTGAAAAAACTAGGTACTTATACGCGGGATTTTACTACCTGGTATGCATTTTTCATAATGTGTTTATAATAATAGTAAAATAGAATTTACAGCAATGGTAAAAAAATCAATAAAAATATATTTATTCACCCTGCTGTCGTTCTTTGAACGCTTTCTATTTTCACCATCATTATTTCTTCGTCTCTCATTTTTTCTCTCTTTATTACGTCTATCTCTCGAAGTATTACGCCTGACCCTATTCCCTCGTGGCTGTCCACGCCCTTTCTCAGCACGTGAACTATGTCTAGGGCGCGGTGACCGACTATGCTCTTCAACAACTCTTGAAATCTTTCTGTCCCTATCTTTTCTCGATACTCTTCGTGACTCCTTGCTCCTTTTCTCTGATCTCTCTGAGTGTCTGGATTGAGGGAAGGGCATTCTAACTTGACGCTTTGGAGAAACGTGTATTCGACTACGGTCTGGCGATCTGGATCTAGATTTTGAAACAGACTTGGACCACGAGCGTGATAAGGACCCAGATAAAGATCTTGACTTTGAACGACTCCAAGATGAATGTGAGCGAGATTCAGAACGAGAGTCAGAGAACGACGGAGATCTTGAACGACTGCTGAAGTCACTTTCATCGCTATATTTTCGATTCTTTTTTTCCCGAGATTTCTAAACAAAATAAAATTACTGAATCAAAACCTTTATACACTTGGAATAAATTTGCGTACTAGAAAAACACATTACTTTGATCGACGATCTTTCTGCAGATTCATGTTGAAGCGACTGTTCTCGTTGAATTTGTTGCATCTGCATGTTATATAATGCTTGATGAATAGAAGCTGTGGGATACTGTTGTGGTCTGGACAGGAAAGCATGGTTATTATACAAAGCCGTAAGATCAGCTCTTTCCCCAGTCATTCTTTGGTTTAAATACAAACGATCCACTGAGCCGCTCGTAGAAAAATGAGATGAGGCTTGGAGAGAAGAATGATGGGGGTCAATTGGCATCGCAGGTGCCACACCAGAAGGTAATTGAGAGGGAAGTAGTAAACCAGTATTCGAGTTACGAACCACAATCGTATCAGGCATTATTCTTGGAACAGTTGCGTTTATAGATCCAGGAGCCGGAGGACCCAGAAACTAAATGATACAATGTGAAAGGCAACGTAATGTGGATATCGATAAAGGACGAGTTGTACGATGTTAGACAACACTGTTCTTTGAATAGCAATATTCTTTGGACAACACTTTTCCTTGGATAACACTATTCCTTGGACAACACTATTCCTTTGACAGCACTATCCTTGGACAACACTATTCCTTGGACAACACTGTTCCTTGGACAACACTATTCCTTGGACAACAATATTCTTTGGACAACACTATTCCTTAGATAACACTATTCCTTGGACAACACTATTCCTTGGACAGCACTATCCTTGGACAACACTAATCCTTGGACAACACTATTCCTTGGACAACACTATTCCTTGGACAACAATATTCTTTGGACAACACTATTCCTTAGATAACACTATTCCTTGGACAGCACTATTCCTTGGACAGCACTATCCTTGGATAACATTATACCTTGGACAGGACTATTCCTTGGACAGGACTATACCTTGGACAGCACTATCCTTGGATAACACTATACCTTGGACAACACTATTCCTTAGATAGCACTATACCTTGGACAACACTATTCCTTAGATAGCACTATTCCTTGGACAACACTATTCCTTAGAAAACACCATTCTTTGGAGAACACTATTTCTTGAATAACACTATTCCTTAGACAACACTATGTTTCAATGTTGTAATTTTAGATAACTCACCCTTGATGGTAACTCAGGATTTGTTGGTAAAACTGGTCTGGGTGGTAAGCCTCTCATATGCAGCTCAGGTAAGGCTGGCAGACCAGGTCGCGGAAACGAAGGGGCAAATGGTAAGTGGGGACCTACAATGTAAACCTTTCATGAGCATTTGTGCTGTTTCTTAGTGATATGAAAACTGAATTTTACCATGTTTCTCAACTTTCTCTGCAAGTTTTGACTTTATAAATGTTTATTGTACGTAGTTGCATAAACATATAATCAGTGGCAGACACTAGTGGGGGGGAGGGGGTTTTTTTCAAAGAAAACATTTCAAACTATTTCATTAAAAACGAAAAAACACAGGAACATTTCTATTTCAGAGGTTTAAATTATAAATACAATAAGCACGTAATTTAGCTAAAGGGGGGCTAATGGGACTTCTTTATTTACCCAACGATCAAGAAATTTGTCCAAGTTTAGTTTACCAGACAAAAGCTGGTAAATGACAATTTATTAACATTTATTAATATCTATTCATTTAAACTTCACTTATTTTAATAAATATTTGAGCCTCATTGTTCCGGCAACATTTCAGATTATCATTTAACTCATTTTGCCCCCCCCCCGCCAATATTTCGCCAAGTGTCCACCACCGCATATAATCAAACATATGTATCAGCAATCAAAGATATCAACAAAAATTTTTATTATGTTTTTCAGTCTCTGACAGGCGCGCAAATAAGACACAATGAAACACACATAAAGAAAATTTCACGTTTTCAACTATTGACACAAAAAGCAAGAAAAAACGCTAAGCCCCTTACTAATGCTAACGTCAACAAAGCCACATAAAAATCTAAATACAAACGTCCAGCACCACTGCCAATAAGTTTTGCACAAAGCTACTCGCAGCAATTAGTTTCGTATTTTGCACGTATTTTCCGAAAATACAGTTGCAATCTCTAATCTGTAAAGTAATCAATACAATTTAGGAATTTAGTTGAACGGAAGACAACTCTTAATTGAGATGAGACATCATCTTGTTATCAATAAAAATAATTACAAAGAAAATTTTTGAGATTTACTACAAACTTCTATTTTCAAATTTACCGCAAGGAAGCGAAAGTTTTAACTCGGCCTGGATGAATTGACTACAAGTCAACACGCAATTTTAGTAAGTCATCGTCTCCGACATGTACATCATTAAGTTTGGCAAGATGAATCAGTTAAAATTGAATTTTTACATGCAACTACCTTCAAATCCAGGTCTTGGAGTCATAAAGCGAGGATTGACATGAATGTTCTTTCCAACTGAAAATTAGAAAGATTACTAACATGGATGCAAATTCGGAGCAGTTAGAGAAATCTGCCAGGTGAGACAAAACTTACCATGAGGTCCAGGAAGGGGTCTCCCTGCTGGAAAAGGTCGAAGGCCACCATCAAGAAAATGAGGTCGTAGATCATGTATTGGTCCACGGAACCTGAAAGTGAAACACATTAAATGTCTTATGACTACAATGGCTTTAAAACCAACAAAATTGACAGAATTTCAAAACAAGGCGCAATAAGATTCGACCAAAAAACAGATACAAACTTTGAAATTGTAATTTTTAATTACTAAAGAGTTACTCGCCAAAGAAAACGCATAATTTCATGAGTTCTCTTCATTGGTGATCGATAATTTATTTAAATAATTCGTAAACAAAACACAAAAAGAAAATTCTTCCCGAGATATATCGTAATAAATTCTCAATAGATGAGCCCCAAATAATTAAAGGCAGCAGCGCGACATTAAAGCAAGGAATGCTTTAATGTTTAATTTGCTAACTGCCATGTGAAGAATAAGATCACTCGTGCTTTAAAAATAGATGTATTGAAAAGCAGTATCATTTAGTTTAACTCATTGTTCAGCAATATTATTCGTTGGTTACAGTCATAGTATAAAGCAGTTTGAAGATTGCCCAAATTCTCGTATCAAAATAGGGCAATCGCAATTCGGCTTTTGGATAGTGATTCTGAATTCATTCATGTAGCATTCATCAATATAACTCGCCAAGTGGAAAACTTTATTGTTGTGAAGTTTTTATTTATTTATAATTCTACTGCTAATTATTTCCATGAAACATCATAGAGAGAAAAAATATCAACAAACGCGTAGCTATATGTTACCTGGGAGGTGTTAAACCAGGACCAGGATTCGATCCCCTACCACGAGAAAAATCTCTACCTCCTCTTCCTTTACCATGATTGAAAGTTTTTCTTGCTTCAAATTTCCCTCTTTGCGAAACTATGCATAAATTGAGTACAAATTTTTTTGAAAAGGAATGCTTTAATGTTTACAACCAACTTGTCTAATACATGTACCTACAACAGTACAATTCACGAAAGAATGACAAAATATAGGATTATCAGACACCCTCTGACAGGCTTGTTCACAATATGTTATCTAGTATCTAATTGGAAACACCTATGAACGGTTTATATGCACTTCAATATGGTAAAAAAGGAAAATATTGTTGGTCAAATGTTCTCACCATTATCTTTATTATCAGTTTTATTTTTTCCTTTCACATCGACATTCTTTTTCAACGATTCTAACAAGTCAAAACGTTATGTAACAACGTGTGATACAAAAATACCATCATACACTAAATTGATGGTATTTTTGTATACACACCAACATTAAATTGATAAAATTTATTCTTGACAACGAAATTAGCACATACGAATAAACAATACCTTTCGACAGAACTTCTTCATCATTTTCCTCTTTTTCAACATCAAATTCTTCATCACCATGGATACTAACAGCATCGTCAAGATCAAGATCGTTACTAAACATGTGTAAGAGACATAGAACTTTCATGGATACTAACAGCATCGTCAAGATCAAGATCGTTACTAAACATGTAAGAGACATAGAACTTTCATGGATACTAACAGCATCGTCAAGATCAAGATCGTTACTAAACATGTGTAAGAGACATAGAACTTTCATGGATACTAACAGCATCGTCAAGATCAAGATCGTTACTAAACATGTGTAAGAAACATAGAACTTTCATGGATACTAACAGCATCGTCAAAATCAAGATCGTTACTAAACATGTAAGAGACATAGAACTTTCATGGATACTAACAGCATCGTCAAGATCAAGATCGTTACTAAACATGTGTAAGAGACATAGAACTTTCATGGATACTAACAGCATCGTCAAGATCAAGATCGTTACTAAACATGTGTAAGAGACATAGAACTTTTGAACTGCTAATAAACACGAGTGTTTATAAATGCTAGTAACTTTGATAGCAACAAAGAAGAGTCGAAATGAACTATTAAATAAAGAACCAGACCCAAAGAGGTTTGGTGTATACTTTGTTAGACCATTTCGAAAGGGTGATTGAGAGTAAGATTTAGAATATTACATATATCATAAAGAATTTTTTTTAGAAAGTTTTTTTCTACGTAATTTCTATGATTTTCTTGCTATTTAATCACATCTACAAAATGTTACTGTCACAGTTTGGTCTATTAAAAATTACATGCATACAACTGCAAGTATAAACCACCCCTGATTTTCATATTAGAAGACATACACCCCCCTATGATCAAATTTCACCATTGCTACTTTTCCTACTTTACCCTAAATAGCACAGGTATTAAATTAGACACTAAAAATGGCCATTCTTAACTTACATTTCGTTTTCTTCATCATCACTCCCAAGATCTTCCTACAAAAAACGAAACGAAACTATCTTGCTCTTTGTGCAAATTTGTTCCATTCTATGTTTAACATGTCATCAATAAAGACATTATAAACAAAATGTATGTTATTGTTAACTCAGTATAGTTTCTAAAGTGCCAAATATTTCGCCACAGAAATGTCCAATTGTAACATGCACGTTTTGTTTACTCATGAACGTATGAGAACCACACGTTCAAACGCCAGCTAAACTTAATAGCTATAACTAGTAACATTTTTATGAGCCACGCCGTATGAAGTTCCCAAAACCATTAACATAAAACATAACAAACTAGGGAACTAACGATAATGCAAAGCCGATAACGGTCATTAAGATTACAAGTTTGAAAATGTATTTGTTGAAAAAAGCTGAAGAAGACAGACATCATTTCAATAATATATGACTGAATACTTGCACTGTCCACTATACCAACTAATTGAGTTTAACTGGATATCAACTGGATATCCTTTCATTGCTCTAGGAATGACTACCTCCTTCGGTCAAAAAATATCAGAAAAATCATCTATAGTCATGGCAACAACCACCTGGATCTACTTGCACCGATTTCGGAGTACCTAGCTCGCTCAGTCATAAATTATTAGAAAATCGTCGGATCATGTGCAGTTCACTCGACCAACTGACGGAGTTTATAGGCATGGCAACAAAGTCAACATGCGACGCTCTATTAACCTTCCATTCCCAGGGTATCAGAAAGCATGAGCCGAAAACGGAATTTTTCGGCTACGAAGTTTGTTTTTTTGTTTATAAGAGTTTTTCTAGTACTTCTCTTACACCAAGACTTCAAAGTTTTTAAAATGAAAGCTAATCACTAGTGATCTAAGGATAATGCAAAGTGTCTTTCAGAGATTAGAAAACAAACACTAAAACTAAAAGAACTGCGACAAAACAACAGGTTGAAAAGCTTATTTTTGTATGGAATACATCAGTTTTAAGGCTTACGTAGCTGGAGATATGATATAAAACGCTGATGTTTTGTTGCCGGATGTTAATACAAGCAAAGCGCGACAACATCAGAGCCGTTGCTGCAACATATAGCTATGTACAGCTAGCACAATGTCGATTTAGTAAAGTATAAATTCAAAAAAATGAGTATGCATGTACTTTGATGTGATGTAACGACAGCTTTATGAGTTATGACCACTCAAGTCTGTTTTGAATATAAATTGTTTGAAAATCTCTTTTACTGGATGGCGGAGGCATTATTTAAACGATGTAATTATTTTAGTTAGTTCAAGTAGAAAAGCGGAGAGCGAGCAATTGATTTCAAATATAAACAAAACACAGAAACAAATATTGAGTCATTGAGACAATGTATGGGATGTATGGAAAGTGCTGTTAGTTATTAAGAATGTATGAAAAGTGCTGTTAGTCATTAAGAATGTATGAAAAGTGCTGTTAGTTATTAAAAATGTTTGAAAAGTGCTGTTAGTTATTAAGAATGCATGGAAAGTGCTGTTAGTTATTAAAAATGTTTGAAAAGTGCTGTGAGTTATTAAGAATGTATGGAAAGTGCTGTTAAAAATTACGAATGCGTGGAAAGTGCTGTTAGTTATTAAGAATGTTTGAAAAGTGCTGTTAGTTATTAACAATGTTTGAAAAGTGCTGTTAGTTATTAAGAATGTATTGAAAAGTGCTGTTAGTTATTAACAATGTTTGGAAAGTACTGTTAGTTATTAAGAATGTTTGGAAAGTACTGTTAGTTATTAAGAATGTATTGAAAAGTACTGTTAGTTATTAACAATGTTTGGAAAGTACTGTTAGTTATTAAGAATGTTTGGAAAGTACTGTTAGTTATTAACAATGTTTGAAAAGTGCTGTTAGTTATTAAGAATGTATTGAAAAGTGCTGTTAGTTATTAAGAATGTATTGAAAAGTGCTGTTAGTTATTAAGAATGTATGCAAAGTGCTGTTAGTTATTAAGAATGTATTGAAAAGTGCTGTTAGTTATTAAGAATGTTACATTTAACGTAAACGACAACTTTTTTTAAACTTTTTATTGCAGACATGTTTCGGCAAACTTATGCCATCTTCAGTGCAGTGTAATGAATGAATATTTGAATGGAGTTAATTATGAAGAAATATGATACAAGACATGTCTACAAACATGTCGTATGATACAAACATTGTCTTGTTCTTTGTCCAAAGTAAATTAAATTTATTTATTAAATTTTATATAGACAAGAAAGTACCTTTCCTAGACGTACTTATAACTAAGCACTCTAAATCCAAAACCTTAACTACATCAATTTTCTATAAGAAAACGTACATCGGACTTTTATTGAATTTTTTTAGCTTCACTCGACAAACCTATAAGACAGGACTCATAAAAACTCTTCTTCATCGCATTAGAAAAATCAACAACACACAGACAGGCTATCAACGCAACCTAAACGAATTTATCGACATTCTAAAACATAACTCATACCTCTTGCATTTCATAAACCAAGTAATAAAAACATATAACAACGACACTAACTCAAACTCAACTAACAATGAACAAGACCACACACAAGCCAAACCCCAAATCCATTATTTCAAGCTACCTTACATTGGGCACTACTTACAAATCACAAAACGAAAACTACATAACTTGGTCAGACGTTACTGCACAAACTTAGACATAAAACTAGTATTCTCTTCTTTTAAAATCAAAAACTTCTTCTGCTTCAAAGACCCCATCCCGTTGGTCTTAAAATCCAATGTGGTTTACAAATTTTCTTGTGGGGGATGTAATTCTCGCTACGTTGGCGAAACTAGCCGCCATCTCTCCACATAGATTAAAGAGCATACCACTTCCGATAAAAACTCTCACATATTCAAACACCTCCTCTCATCACCTCACTGCAAATCTAAATACTCACAATCCTGACAGTGCCCACACTCCTTCTTCTTTAAAACTAAAAGAAGCACTGTACATCAAAGAACTCAAGCCTAATCTTAACAAACAAATTCAGCATGTCAATACTATCTTTAACTTGTAAATATTTAACATCTCTAATCACTACATAATTGTAAACAACTCCCGCTTCCATTCCTTTTGTCAATACACATGTCTTGTATCATATTTCTTTATAATTAACTCCATTCAAATATTCATTCATTACACTGCACTGAAGATGGCATAAGTTTGCCGAAACATGTCTGCAATAAAAAATTTAAAAAAAGTTGTCGTTTACGTTAAATTCGCATTAGCAATAGTGCTTTTACGAAATTATTAAGAATGTATTGAAAAAGGGTGTTAGTTATTAAGAATGTATTGAAAAGTGCTGTTAGTTATTAAGAATGTATTGAAAAGTGCTGTTAGTTATTAAGAATGTATGCAAAGTGCTGTTGGTTATTAAGAATGTATGCAAAGTGCTGTTAGTTATTAAAAATGCATTGAAAAAGGGTGTTAGTTATTAAGAATGTATTGAAAAGTGCTGTTAGTTATTAAGAATGTATTGAAAAGTGCTGTTAGTTATTAAGAATGTATTGAAAAGTGCTGTTAGTTATTAAGAATGTATGCAAAGTGCTGTTAGTTATTAAGAATGTATTGAAAAGTGCTGTTAGTTATTAAGAATGTATTGAAAAGTGTGTTAGTTACATAAAGAATGTTGCATTTAACGTAAATGACAACTTTTTTAAACTATTTATTGCAGACATGTTTTGGCAAACTTATGCCATCTTCAGTGTATATGAAATAGCCGGTTTACGTGTCAACACCACTGTGGTAACACTACTTTCATAATGCAATGTCACTATTATAGAGGGAATGTATATTGGATCACCCCGGTGAAGTTTGCACTATTTGTCATCACTTGAATTTTTGCCCCTACTCACAATAATGCAAAGTTTCCATGACTTTGCTGTAACAGCTCAGAGGAAGATATAAATAGTTTACCATAGAGTTACCATACATACAGTCGTCATAATTACATACGGCAAGTGCAGAGCCTATCAATTTGATAAAACTGAATGATATACATACCAGCTTAAGGTCTTTCTTTTCAGCAGTTGAATCAGTACTAAATCAAAGCAATAAGAAATACATGTTATTATTATTTTAATGCTATTGTGATAGCCCAAAACAAACAAAAAAAAACACACACACACATACTGTACTGCATCCATGTTCATGTCAGTTACAAAAATTTAATTTCTATCTGTTATTTCAGTGATGAAAAAAAGTAGCTGGTCTAATTTGTATTATTTGCTCATTGGAATGTTTGAATTGCTTTTTAGGATTTGCTTTATGCATGAAAAGTTAGTAGGTAAGTTCTAAAGAATTGAAGATGTAGTTGAAGAATTTTACTTGAATAAAGTTGCATCGTGTAAGCAAAACAAGGACTTAGGTAAACAGTGCTCTATTATTTACTTTAAATAAATGAAAAACTGAAGACAAAACAGAAACAAAGTTTGCCATCCACTTGTCTTATTTTGAACTTGCTGTATGGCTAAAACAGAACACAACCTACCATAAAGGAACTGATGTACATAAGATTCAGAAGTATTCAATAGCAAAATCATATATATCTTGTAGAAAAAAACATGTAATTTGCAAATTTGGTTTCCAAGTAGTTCAAGGAAGTACCATTCACAAGTATTGAATTTTCGATGTGTAAAGCTATATTTCACAAAAACTTATTCACTGCTTTTTAATTCAACATAAGAACTTATTTACAAGACACTTTTAATGACAACTGTAAAAATCCTACTAGTGATACAGATAATTTAACTTAAATTAGTTTCACAACACAAAACTTTTTACGACAACTGTAAAAATCCTACTGGGGATACAGATAATTTAAATTAAATTAGTTTCACAACACAAAATGTTGGTGCCAATTCACAAATAAAAACATTCTACAGTTGACAGAATTTCATACAATACTCTGTTTCTTATTCTGAGATAAGTAATTGTGAAAACTATTTTCAACTTTTTGAAAACATGTGCATCAATGTAAATTACTGAGAGATATCTTACCTGGAGGTTCCATGTTGAGAATCATTTTTTTTGTCTTGTTTTTCTTGAGCAGCTTGATCATCACTGGCTTCATTTTCATCATTTTGTACCAATGTGGAAGACTCCGTAGTAGTGGAAGAATTGGATGCATTGGAACGATGTTTGGGACGAGATTGATTACCATGTTGAGGTCTTGATCCACTAGTTCTAGATGGTCCCATCATACGTTTCCCTGGATGATCCCAAGACCCTCTAGAACGAAATGACTGTCCTCGAGGAGAATATTGACGTTCCATAAATGGTCCTCGAGGGCCAAATCTTGGATGAAAAGGAGGCCTCCATCCTGGAAATGGTGGAAAAAGTCCCATTAAACCAGGAGGACTACTCCTTGGTCGCATTCCTCTAGGTGCCATTCTTCCTCCTCTAACTGCATTTTCAGCTGGCTTTTGAGAATTTTCATTATCTAAATGCATCATAAAATGTTATCGTTGTTATGCACAAATTATTCAAACCACATTAAAAGTTTAACAGTGAATACATACCAAATTCAAATCCCAAACTTGAAATATCATCTAAAAGTAAATATAATTATTAGTTTTTATGGAAAAATAATTCTCTATAAAATACACTTGATGGTAAAAATCTTCATTGCATACAATTGTGCAAAAAGATTGTTTATAACTTGACCAGCGTTTATCAGTTGCACTTAAATTTTACGATGTCAACTGCTCTTTGCATTTTTAAAAGTTTCACATACAATATATTTGTGTCAGGCATTTCAAGTGAACTAATGTTTTTTTAAAGTAAATGTTTCGGCATGCTTATGCCATCTTCAGTACAAGGAATGACTATGCTATCTATTTAAAGTTATATTTATATTATTTAAGTGAGAGTATTGTTCACTTGAAATGTCTGATATATATAGTGCTATTATGAAATTATGGAAATATATTTGTGCCCATAGTTTAATATACACTTGATTACATGATCACAATGCCAAAATAGTGAGTACATAAAGTGATACTATCAGTAGTAATGTCCACCTCAAATGCTTGAGTATAAATTTTAATCAAAATAATAATTGAAAATTGTATTTTATAAATTTAAGTGGATTAAGCTCATCAGCTAATTGTTTTAGAAGCCAAACGCCTTGAATTAAAAAGTCGACCTCAGTTTTGAACGGATGGCATCATGACAGTAATTGAAATTTATAGATGTGAGATTACTGACTACTGAAGATACATGTTTTGGTTTACAGCTTGGTAGCATTGTCCTGCTTGGAAAATACAAAAAGCACATACTTCCGGGAAAATGGCAATTTTTCTACAATTTGCAATGATTGTGTAAAATTAAAGAATTTATCTTACCCTCAGCAATTTCGGAGAAATCCATTTCCTTTATTTATAAAAGTAAAAAAATCATCAGAAGAAATAAAACGAAACGAAATGAAACCTACTGACTATCGTCGACTCATTGTTGATTGTTAAAAAAATACGAAGCTACTGTACATAAAGGACAGCGGAGTCGGGAAATGGCGGCCAAAGGACCTGGTATCCATTCTGGTATCAAATGTCTATAAAATTTGTTTTTTATTGAAAACTGCAAATCATTCAAACAGTTCACTTGCATTCAAATCAGGTCAGGGAATTGAAGATAAAGATGTCCAAAATGCAAGTGTGTATTTAGCCCAAAATGGTTATACTGTTTAATGACTGTTTTTTGCATTATTAAACATTATATCAATGCATTAAAATGTGCTAAAACTCTTAGTCTACTACTATTTGAGGTGGTTCCAATTCTGAAAACCAGAAAAACAAAGAAGGTAAAAAGTGCTTTGTGTACAATACTGTTCTCATTAATATATAATATATACCCATCAGCTCTCTCAAGACACTTTTCACCACGAGTCTTTTCACCTGGAAACAATATGCACATAACAAATCAAACAGCACCTAAGAAACTATTTATTTATATATAGAAAGTACTTTCGAAGCAAAAAATACATTTAAAGGTGCAGTATACATGTACTAATTGCCTTTGATGCCAGGCTGCTAATAGCCATTGTTTTTTTTTAATGTAGGAATATGCTATAATTGTGGCACAAAGGCCACAAAACGAATGAATGCAGAAAAAGCAATCACAAAAAATGAAATAAGATCTCTTTTGTGAACAATGACATACTTTTTTATATAAAGTTTAATCGTGTGAAAAGAAGTAAGTTTGATAGAGCTAATGATAAAACATCAACCTGACTTGATAGTTCAAGACTTCAAGTTGCATGCATTATAATATTTTTAAAAGAAATAAGCTGACTCCACAATTAAAGTGATGTGAGCATACAACTTTCTTTTGGATATTTCATAGGAGAAGACGTTGCCACTTTTGAAAAGAATAGGACACATCGCCGAACAATTTAGGGAATCAAACCCAGTATAAAAAGTACTAATAACTGCACAATAAACCTTGAAGTAAATAAATTTATAATATTTGTTTTTTTTGTAATATATATAATTTGGTTTTTTATTTTTAATATAAACGTATATTTTGTTTTTTCTTATGACTTAATTCAAACAAATTCTTATTGCAAATGTGCTGATTATCACATTGGCATAAATACGACTACATAGTACTCATTGCGTCTTTTTCCTTACCTTGAAAAGACAACACATGTACATAGTTTTTTCTTGCTCTTTCTTCTGAGGGAGGGGAGGGGGGGTGAGAAATTGTGAAGTTTTCTGCAAAGGAGTCATTTTCGGTAAATCTCAGCGGAAATAGGTCCATTTCTGCCATTTTTTTTTACAACATCAGGGGGGCGGTTGCACAAATCCCGGATAGCAAGGTTGTTAAGCTTTTATGAAGCTTTTAAAAAGCAGAAAGTATAAGAACTGAACAATCACTGTTTCAAAGATTGCGAAATTTCTTTGTCGTAATGAAACTATAAACACCTTTTTTACAAGTTTGAAGATTTTTGCTATCCAATGGATAACGTTATCCAGGCTTCGTGCAACCGGCCCCCGGATATCTAAAGTCGTGATTGAGATAGCCGCTCCAGTTATTATAGAACTCAAATGTCAAAATCAGCATAATCAGATGACTTAAAACGTCGCGTTTGAGCATGCTCAGATGATTTTATCCAATCAAATTACGGATAATTTTACTATAATCTATATTACTTGGTCATGCTGATTTTTGAGACAGCAAGACTGCTAGCTACGCCACTGTGTGCAGACGCTTTTATCTGACAGCTTTATTGGAATATACAGAAAAAATTTAAAGGAACAAGTCCAAGAAAATTTTTCTCTGTAATAAGATTTTTATGCTATTTGCTGTTTGAAATTAGTTTTATATATTTGTAATAAAAAGACCACATATTGCCCGACATTTCAGTAGAAATTGCCAAAGTTTACTAATTTAGCCTAAAATGGGTGTGCTGTCACAACCCTAGCTCCCCGCCACGTACGCCAATCTCTGACTCTAGGTTTGAAACTGTAAATCGCATGTACCCGTTTCTGTATCTTTTTCATATGTTACGTATCATAGAATAACTGAGTAATTTGAAAATAAAGTCGTTTGTGCCTGAATGGAGCTTAAAATTGTGAAACATTAAATTAAAAATTGCTCCAAAAGTTGACATGAATTATTCATCTTTGCTGACAGATTTTTTTCGTATGCCGAGCAATCTAATATCAAGTTGCGGGAGAGTATATTGTGTAAAATTGTATAGCAAGCAAAGAATACAAGTATTTCTTCCTTAGTTCCTTTGGTTCGGAGCATTTGATAAAATAATTAGACGCTTGCACATAATATTTTAAAAGAAGATGAAAATTTTTTGCCTAAAAGATCGTGTAAAAATGAGTCATGACAGTCGTCGGAAGTCGGAGCGTGAGCGTGGCCTTCCCTTCACATTACTAAAAACATACTTATCTGTCATATCCTACTCAATACACGTCAACGATCACAATAAAAAAGTTCCCTGGTGGTAGAGTCTGAAGAGAGCATTGTTGAAATGCAGGACAGAAGTGAGCTAGAAATGACATGTTATTAATCAGAAGCTCAATTGAAATCATAGCATGACAAATCTTGCGTGTTTTCATATGTAAATATAGGGAATTTCTTTGTGTGATATTGAACCCTGTACATTTATGAACAATATCAAGTTCCGTCTAATTTTTCAAGAAACAATCAAAGAGAAACTACACAATGACGCCGTGACAATCGGTGACGGTGACGTATTAAATTTCGTATTGTTTACTTTATATTAGACATTTTAATAACAGACTGCACAAATAGAATTTCATCATTGTAACATCTGTTATCTGATGAGCGCTTCAAATCCATTTTATGAGAAAGTTTAGTGTGAAATTATGAATGTGTGCAATTTTAAAAGAGAAACAGGTCGATATTGGTTGATACATGGAATAATTTGGACGGGTATTGCTTTGCCAACAATATTTTTTCTGATAAGAATTTCTCGTTTTCAACATGCATACAAAAATCAAGATTTAAAGTGAGTATATGCATTTCAAATGTTCACGTTTAATACCAGGGGCGGATCTAGAGTATGTCAAATCCGTCGCGCGACTGATGTTTGAAATTACCTATTCATATTAATTAAAAATTCATTAATTATTCTTACTTTATTATCGCATTTACTTCATGATAAAAATCCAGCTTTATTTATTATTGAAAACTAATGACTAATCCAATGAATATCTCGTTGGTAACCAGATCAGTTGAATTTTAATTGACCTGGAATAACCGACTGTTAAGCGGGGTGCCTTGACTGGTTCTGGATAAAGAGAGAGTCTATGAACGCCAAAACGCTTATTTTATTGGTCAATGGCCAGATCAGTGGACAGTCTGGAATGGTCTCGACTGATAAGAGAGGTGGCCGGACGTATAAGGGAGTCCAATTGCTATCTTACAATTGGTTTATTTGAATTTTTGTTTTATTGTGATTGGTTTGACGGATTTCGACTGATAGCCAACTGAACTAACATAGTCAAGCTCACTGTCTGAATTGAATGTTCGATCGTTTCATAGTAATTTTTATAAACATGATAGAAACTAAACTACAATCAGATGGAATTTATGGAAATCTTTTACAAATTCATATATTGACATGAATGCTGCTGTCCAAACTGTGAATTTTTTCAAGAGGGTGAAAAATTTATGGCTAAATTGTAAATGCTTGGCAAAGACAATCCGCGAGCGACATTTCAGTCATTGATGTTCAAAAGAAAGCCAACATTGTTTTGAGTTTTATCATCAGAAATTTACATCCAAAATCGTAAGTAAATGACAAGTGAAGTGTATGCATGAATGTAATATATCAAAGTCAATTTATGCGAGTGTGTGATGCGATATATGTCAATATGGCGTATGGTAAGCAGATTGATGCTTCTAAAATTGTTGTTGCCGAAGGAATTTAAGCTATGATTTCTTTAGTGCTTGGGGAATCGTGGCCGTTATATGGCAGCGAAATCCTACATTCCTGCAAATATATTTCAATGGACAAAAAATCTGTAGCCATAAGGCACCATACTATTATTTACTTTATCATAAACAAATGTTTGGGGCTTTTCAGTTTATGATCATTGATCATTCAATCATTGGACAGTTATACTACATATTGTTTAAGATTTCAGAAAACTAACATTTATTACATGAGAAGCTGTTTACTATAACCTGTGATTTTGAGTCTTCTGATACATGAAGCTTTTTATTTTGACAATTTGACAGGAATGGTATTAAACCTGAGTATTTCACATACATGAAATGTTGTCCTATGTCACATTTTGTCGCCTTTTCTAACTGAACACCTCATGTAGAGATGTAAAGGTGTGTTAATCTACGGCTCATACCAGATTTTTTGCCATAAATTCCAAAAGGCTATTGACATAAATAAAGGAGTATGAAAAGCATTTTCTATAAAGTAAAAATGTCTTTCTATGTATGCAGATAAACCTTGAAATTTGGCAAAACAGCAAAGTATTTTTCATGATCACTAGGTAATTTTTCTGATGATCATTATAATTTCTAAACTAAATTATTTCAGATTTACATTTAAACAAGCTTTGATCATATGAAAAGATATTTATCATAACCAGTAAGCATGACACATGAACCAATTTTAACATTCATGTAATTATATAATTAAAGACATGTTGGTTACATTCTGTTTGTATTTGCAAATACAATGCTACCAGTGATTGCTATATAGCACACCTTGCATATACTTACATAAGATAATAGTCTAGTGAAATGCCTAATAAACATTTATGGCATTAAGATGTCCTTAACTGCAAATTCTTAGTCTGATAATTTTTGCTTAATCTTTGGCAGAAAAAAATTTTGAGTTTTTTCTCAAAAAGTGAGTTTGCTGGCACTGATGTGGAGATGGGTAAAGGGTTACAATAAACTTGCATGGTTTGAAGTCTGAGCTTTTCTATATCTATGAACTGTCACTTGTAGTACCAAATTTCTAACTTAACTCATTACATAGAGGTTTGAATGGGGGTCTCTAGGGGTGTCTATGTCTGACAACTTTGTAGAAATTTTTAAAGAATATGTCTGTTTTTGAATAGCATTATTGTAAAATAAATTTTACATTCCTAAACATGCTAATGAGCCATATATTTGGCATGATAATGAGCCTAAATATTTGGCAAAACATTCAAGTATTGTTCACTTCATTATTTTTTTTTAAAAAAACGTAAGCGAAATGTGTTGTTTTTACGCAAAAACGATGCCCACAAAATACATTTTGTATTGCTCTAAAACGCTGAAAATGGCATTTTCAAGGCTCTGAAATTCAAAATTTCTCAGGGGAGAATGCTTCACACCCCCCAGGTGCGGAGCACCTCCGACGTTTTATGACTTATGTTTGAAAAATCCTAGATCCGCCCCTGTTTAATACAAAAACTGAATTCTTCAATTTTTTTATTGTTATAAGGCTGGTTCTAATTTCTGTTACTTTAAATTTAACAACAGATAAGCGCGATAACTAACACAAGAATTTTATATGTCACCTAGAACATCCACTACAATTTATCAGACATATGTTTCGCCTGCACATTTGTCAAAAAGATTTTACATGCTAAAATTGTAAATTAAATTTCTAAGCTAACATGTAAACAAAACTTAACTACTGTTTGTACAATCAATGTGAAAGACCTCACAGTTTCCCTATCCAAGCAAAATGTCAACATTGTCAACAGTCGTATGACAACCTTATTGTTTTAAATTGTCAAATCTGCCAATGTCTCAAGCTGACTAGAATTGCTGACCATGCATAAATTGAACATCATCATCTACATCTTTAAAAATACTAAAAACTTTGGTGTAGCAATTCAGATGTGCAATATTTTACAAATTTTACAAAATTACCACCCTTATTTTCTTGTAGCACAACCAGCAAAGCCAATTATACTCCTGTAAAAGACAATGTGAGCATTTTGAATGCTAATGGTGAGTATTTTCTGCAAGTTAACAGGTTATTAAAGACAATATATTACCTGTAACATACTAAACTGTATCTTCATTTTAGAAAATTACAGTGTGTGTTTGTTTCCATTGGTCAAAGATGATAAATATACTTGTCGAGTTCCATGTGATTGGTCTCTTATGAATACTGGATTACTTGATGCTTATTATGTCATAATGGTTGTAAATTTTTGGGCAGCATTGATAAGCACTGTCTTGACATTGATTACTCTTGCTTCGTTTGGAAAATTGTAAGTAGAACTGAAATGCTATGCTGTTTTAACCAATCACATAATAAGTCACCACTTATGCTAGCTTCAATTTGTTTTCATATTTTTAATAATCATGTTATTCTCATTAACCTGTAGCTACACATTCACCTGTCAGCAGGTGTATGTGCACAAACACAAAAGAAAGATCTTAAATCTAAGAGTAACGTATATATAATATATATATGCACACTGACACTTCCTATGAACATTCATCATTCTTCATGAATGGAGCAGCTCACTGCAGCTGTGTATTTATACTTTGTTCAAGAGAGAAGTTTTAGTGCAGAAGGTAATTACTTGTATTTTAGACGTGAATTTCCTCACATTGTCAGATTTTACATTTTGTTGAGTTCTGCTCTGTATGGTAAGTTTGAATGTTGGAACATGATTACAATTGTCACAACTATTTTATCTTACTCTGAATTATAATTTGTTGTCTTTACGTAGCAACTGTTTGTCTTCTTCCATTACGCATTGGTCTTGCAAAGGTTTACTGTGACAAACAAAAATATTGGAATGATCAAGGACACAGTACTACAGCAACAATTGTTTCAGGTACGACGATGATTAAAGAGGATTTGTGGCACGCATGATAAGCCAGTTTATCTAATTGGGTTGTAACATATTGTAAGTGACATATATGCACAGTCAGGCGATTGTCGTTCATTTGCATAAATGTAATCATTGTAAACATCGTGCTACCTTTTATAATTTTCAGTATATATGTTTACAATTCTGCTGCAACCATCTCATGATCAAGTTAACGTAGCTAATTCATCATTTTTTGCAGGTGCTCTCACTCACTACTTTTTCCTGGCATTTTGCTTTTGGTCGTTATGTTATGTTATAAACGCTTACACGGTCATTGTAAGACATGTACATAAGGTGCTTTATAAAAAACACAAATATCATTTAATCCAGCTCTTGATTTGTTCATTCACACCTGCATTATTTGTGGCTTTGAATATTGCAATTGAGAAACCAGGGTATGAAACATTATTCTTGGACAGAATGACCTCAGTATTCACAACACCAACGGGAGAATATGTTACCTTCACTTTACCTATTCAAATTTCGCTTGGTATCACGATATCACTTCTTTGGGCCATTGTGCGCTACGTAAGAAAGGTAAGTAAAGGCTTTTTCATGCCTTGTGGCGGTAAAAAGTTTAATTTGGTAAAAATTCCTATTGCAGGAACGCGTATTGTACTATTTGTAGTTGTACGTACTAGTTAATTTCACAACTTTTCACGGGTGAACTGCTCTACATTTGCGCTAAATCTTTTTCACTCAGGTACGAAAGAATAACGCATCAACGCAAGCAATCCGATCTGGTGAAGATATCAAAGGATTCATTAATGCAGAATGTCAGTTCACGAAACTTGCTCTCTTGTTCATTGTTACAATCATTGTTGTTTTATGTTCTCAAGTTGTGCTATTGAACAGAAATGAAGACTATCTACACAATTTTTCTGAATACTTCGCATGCCTCAAGGTGACAACAGGAAGGCGATGTGATCATGTTGTTTGTTCACGATTATACTGAGCTTTATTCTGTTTTGTTTTTAGAAACATGGCAAACGATGTAAAATGCCTGAAAGTCAGATATTCATCCTGTCCAGCGTACAGATATGTGCCCCTGGATTTTATTGTCTTATCAACTTTTTCTTGTTATTCTTTAACAAAGACACTCGCCATGTCTGGAAAAAATGGTGCAAAGTTTTTTCTATATGTTCTCCTGGGAAAAAGACCAATAAAGATGAGACAGACTTGCCAAATGTTAGTGGGTCCTTGATGAAAAACGAAGAACAAACACGGTCGAGTACTCTGGAAACAAATGTAATATGAATATTTTGGATAAACTCACACCTATAACTACGCAACAACTCTTGCAGACACCGCTTGAGAAGATATATTTTACAAACTGAATATTTTTGAATGACCAGCATAGAATTTATGTAATTTTTTCTTATTCTTTGTTTGGACTTTCCGACTTTGCCATAAAGATATTGCGTACAAAACAAAAGGGGACTATGGGATATTAATATGTTTAGTTCGTCTGGGCTGTAAGCACTTGTGCTGTGTTTGTACATCATTGGTACACATCTGTTGAAATAAAGTTGTAAGTTTAACTTGCCTTAAATTTGATTCAATGCTCCGGTGCTTCACGACTTAACACTAAATTCGTTTCCTTTTTTTCTTTTTATGGCTTGATAATCCAGTTTCGCTGGTAGATCTTTTCTGTATCTACAAATATTCAATTATTAACTAAAATCAATTGACTTTAACAAAGGCGAATCTGTTTTCAGATTTATGCACGGTCATAATGAGCTATTTGCCAACAATTATGTTTATCGCAAAAAAAAAATTCGAAATGCATCAATAATATACGAATTTCAAGATTTACTTAATTTACGCATTTTATATTATAGTCAATCTAAATTGCAATAATTATATTATGCGCACACGAACATATAACAAATGGCACATGCACAACATAAATGAAGGCTTAGAGAGCTTCAGCACTACAAGAAGTACGACTACGATTAAGAGATGTCTTCTTTAAGGGTAGGCAGAGTTTCCATAAAAACAAAGGTTTTCCAGGAGGAGCATTGCAATGTTGCTCAAGTTTTCTCTTCAAAATTCAAATGGTAGAGTTTCATAAAATACGGTAAGGTTTTCCAACTTGAATATTGCAATGTCGTTCAAGTTGTTCTCTTCTCAAAATTCAAATGGTAGAGTTTTCATAAAATACGGTAAGGTTTTTCAACTTGAATATTGCAATGTTGTTCAAGTTGTTATCTTCTGAAAATTCGAATGGTAGAGTTTCATAAAATAAGGTAAGGTTTCCAACTTGAATATTGCAATGTTGTTCAAGTTGTTATCTTTTGAAAATTCAAATGGTAGAGTTTTCATAAAATACGGTAAGGTTTTTCAACTTGAATATTGCAATGTTGTTCAAGTTGTTCTATTCTCAAAATTCAAATGGTAGAGTTTTCATAAAATAAGGTAAGGTTTTCCAACTTGAATATTGCAATGTCGTTCAAGTTGTTCTCTTCTCAAAATTCAAATGGTAGAGTTTCATAAAATAAGGTAAGGTTTTCCAACTTGAATATTGCAATGTCATTCAAGTTGTTATCTTCTTAAAATTCAAATGCTAATTAGAGTTTTCATAAAATACAGTAAAGTTTTCCAACTTGAATATTGCAATGTTGCTCAAGTTGTCCAAGAAGACCATACATTCATGACGTTTATCTTACAGTCACCTCTGATGTGATTAGCATTAGCAAACTTACCTCTGAAACAGAGCGACCAAAGCGAAGTATCATATCGTTAAACTTACACGGCTATGCAAAACCCTTAATAAAGAGCAACGCAAAGACCTCTTATGCCAGTTGCCATCGTACGGTTGGGGCAATTAAAACGCTCTGGAATTCTGAAATCGTTTGCCAAAACAGGTATATCTACCGTATTCACTGTGATCTGCATGTACACATCGTTTGTCATGTAGCAACAGCAGTTCTACTGCAATTGTATGTCGACGTTTTTATATTTCCAGTAATGAAAAACCGGCGATTTTCTTATTGTATTGTCGTATACATCAAAACTCTGATATGTTTACAAAGCCATAATACTCGTTCTCACATTTGTAACGGTTCGATATTGTTACAGGTTTTACAGCCAAAGAAACAATTTTGACTAAACGACGGCAACTACAAATTTGCTCGCCCCATGCCCATACACGATCAAACTTTGTACTCGTAGTCGTACTCGTAATCTTCTTCGCTCGTCTTGTATTTTGACCAATTAAATCAAGTCGTATATTTATATGATTTATATGATATGTACACTATGGCAACCCCCGCGAAAATCGCCTTTAGCTCAAATAACGATCAGTATACCTTCATAGTGATGTTTTGTAGTAAAACAAAATGTAACTATAAACTAAGACTAAAGACAATTTCTTCAAAAACATGAGAAGAAAATGACAAGCAAAGCAGGTTTACTTTCTGATTTTCCATTTTCTATCGTGTCTGCGCCATTTTATTGAGACAAATTATCGATAAATTAAATAGAGCTACGCATTTTATGCATTGACTCACGGATTTGGCAGTAACGACTTTTATAGTTATGTATGTAGAGGCTTAGGAACTTACAGCATTGAGCTTTCCTCGAATTGATTCAACTGTGTGATCCATTGAAGCGTTACCAGTCTAAAAAAAACGTACGTAAGTATCACAAAATGTAATAATGAACATTTTGCAAAAATACTAAAAATCGAATGAATTAAGTACTTCAAGTGCTATGTAATTTATTGTTTTGCTAATTTAACCGAAAATACCTCAAGTTAGACAATTTTCGATGCTCTTAATTCACAGAGAGAGATCAATGTTGATTAAAAAAACATCTCCTAAAATGTGACAAGAAAAAATCACCACACTTACCAAAGACTCTTGAACATCGTTCGTTTCAGAGGATTTTTCATCTACCTGATGCCTTGGTTTTTCAGGAAAACATGCATACAAACCATAAGACGTTGTACTGTTTAAGAATGATTTGACTGCTTCCGTGTTTAGCGATACAGACATTGTAGGAACCTGAGAGGGATATGTGCAAACAGAAAGCGGGGGTAAATTTTGAGGATTAGGAACATATGGTGATTCACTTGTTTCCTGATAGGTTTTTGTGTTGATTTAGCATTTTACATATCAATGATTGACATGACAAAGACGATGTAAGGGCCTCAGAATTTGAACTGCTAGTGACTTTAGAAAGGGTGTCTGGAATCGGATCAACGTGCTCCTGTGACAATTGTTCATTGTTGATCACCCGCATAGTCTTTGAATGTCCTCGAGAATCTGCAACTGACATAATTACATTAAGTTAAGTTTCTTTTTTCCCTTAAGATCCAGGAATTGTATATAAACTATACATTAGAGTAGTTGAAGAAATAACAACAATTAAGTGTGGAGGTTTAAGTGAAAAAACAATAGCCCACTTCGCTGTACAACTTGGTGTTGTATATTTAATGAGATTACTGACTGCCCCCGTGCATTATAATAATCACATGCTTGAAAAGACACGCGTCACACAAAAATTTTCAATAAAGAGGAGCTACTGTTGGTCCTTCATAATGTAGTTTAACACAAGGTATAAACTGTAAGTACATGCATAGAAATTCATACATACTGGTAATCTTTCTCTATAATATCGATCCATCATCTCAGTCTCTTCAACACTCAAATTCTGGTCATAACACACATGAAGAATTCCACCAAAAATCGATTATTTTTTCTTTTCGCCTGTCTAATTAAGACAAGAGTCTCAATTAATTTAATTACAACTCAGATTAATTATATGATACCAAAACAACACTTGATGGTAACTACAATAATAAGGCAAATTAATAGCAATTGATTGCTTTTACAACTTTTCAAGTAATAAATAATATATGTTACAAGTATGAAACTTAAAGTGTAGGGTGCAGCAAACTAAATTGACAGCGCAAACTTCTGTATATTCCTTTCCTAAGTGACAAACCTTCCTTTCCACTCTTCTTCAAACTACACAATTATTTATTTTCCATTACCTGGCGGCCATGATATGTTTGTATTTGATCCAATAATCTTTAGTAAAATCCTCAGATGGACAATCATCCAAAATTCTGTATCTAAGTCAAAAGCAAAAAACAAAGTTTTTTCGTTATTTTGTACGAATATTTCACACGCAGACGCTAACGAATACATTGTGTCCATTTTAGAAATATGTACCAACTTCGTACATAGTAATGAAGTTAGAGATAAGCAACAATGGAGCAACACTAGAAAAAAATAATTTATATGAGCTCACTCAAATCGAGTGTATTGTGGGTTATTGGCGGGGAGTTACTGCAATATCTGAAATTTAATTAGTCATTTAATATGCTTTGGAAAAACAATCTTGATTTCTGAGAGAAACATACAAAACTTTCAGTTGAAGTTCAATTTTTTCTGAAACTGTGAAGAATGCATGTCATATTTCATAATAATCTATTATTCAATGTATTTAACGCAGTGGATTGTTCACTTCACGACAAATAAGCGCTTCTTTTGCATGCGACTCGCTATTTCATTTGAGCGGACAACAACATTTTTAAACATTTTGCAATACTTCTCCATACGCTACAAAGAGATAGATTAGAATGCCTTGTTGACTGAACACTGAGTGAAACCATATATTTGGTATTGTCAATAAAGTCATGAAATAAACAAGATACTATTTTTCAGATGCATTTTCAAGATGCATTTTCATCTTCTTGAGATCAGTGTAGCACTGCATTTCAAATCTTCATTGTCACAAGAAAAACACATTTATGTATCACACCACATGAGTACATAGTGAATAGAATCATATTGTATGAAAAATGGAGAAAAAATGATTAACAGATCATCAATGCACTTCAAGAAGACAATGCAGTAATTGTTTGAATATTAACTTATAGGAAATTGGAAGAAAGAAAAGTTTATCGTTGCCAGAAAATTGGCAAATTAAATATTCAGAATAATAGGCGGTAATGAAAAATTTTGCAAGAATTAATCAGAAATAACAAGAATAATAAATGTGTCCAGTAAATTTGTAAAAAAACTGTAATAAATTTGCAAATTGTTAACAAAAAATATTTCAATGAACCTATGTTACTTAAATGCATGAAAAAAGCTAATTTCTGCATATATAAGTGATGCAATAACAAAACTACATGCTTACTCATCAATAACACCATACAGAGCAAACATTTCCAAAAGGTCCTTTGTCAAGTTTAATGCTGGAACTCCATGAACAAGTAAGAACTTTGATTCTAAGTTGACTGTATACACCTGACGTAAAAAAGTATTTGTATGTACATCCTCATCCAAACACAAGTTTACAATGTGAAACAGTCATCAAGATTGATACCAAGAAAATATAATTATGATCTCACATTACGTAGCTACTTTATGTGTAGCATATCATCTTTCATCTGTGTGTTATAAAAAGGATGTTATGTGTTTCACTCCCACATTATACATCAGTGATCAAGAATGATGTTTGACCCCCTCCCTTATATAAATACATAAGCGAAAATTTCGAATATTCACAGCGCAAAATTGCCGAAAAATTTTCCTCTAGCCTGACCAATTTGCAAAATTATCAGTCTGGAGTAATCAATAAAGATTTTTCCTTCCCCTTAACATCAATAAATCACTTTTTTATAGGAAAATCACAATTGCCCTTCATTATTAGCCCATATCTTGAGGTCTATAATAAATTTTAACTGCACGTTGTTTGCGCCTTTAACCAAGTTTCCGTGATTTAATTCCTATGTAATACATGACTTGCAAACTAACCAACTGCTAGGTATGCAGAACTTTTCATCGGTTTTAATTGTTTTTATTTTAAAATTTTAAATTTGAACTGCAACAGAATTATTTACAATTTAAAAATGACAAATGAACGTATGACGCTTATCTGAAGATCTTTCTTATCATCTATTATGATAAAACACGTACTTTAACAGCTCTTTTCCAACGAGCTTCTCTATATTTTGCTCTTGACTCACAAAAAGATGATTTTTTGTGATGATCCTTCACCTTTTTGTCAATGTTTGTAGCGGCCATATTGCAAAACTACTTTTGAGAATTATTACATGAAGTATCCGGTCTCTTTTTATGAATATATTAAGAATAAATAGAATAATGATCATCGCAAAAAGAACAAAGACCATTCTTTGAAATCGTGGCCTTTGTGACAGATTTGAATAAACTTTCAATGTATTGTGCTCTTCGAATTTGAGTGATGGGTAAAAAGAACCGTTATCCATCAAAAAAAGATGATCATATTGAAAACATTCCTGTCAAGTTGAAAAAGAAATCCGTTTTTTCTTGCATTGCAATTGGAAACCATGGTAGCGCTTACATGGTTGTGGTATTTTTACTTGGTTGGTGATGATTGATGATTTTGCATTTGCCCACATGTTTCTAATTATGTTTTATTGTCAATAGCTACACTTTCAGGGATACTTCACAGGTAACAAATTTTCAATTTTACCCATTGAAGAGTTAGATAACTACTTCCACTGCTCAGTGCTGTATCTAAAATGATAGTTGGGAGAGCATTATTCCTGAATGAATATTGTAATTTGCAGAAAACATTTGATTTCTGAGGAACTTAACGTGGCAGAACATTCATATATAATCCCCCTCCCTCCAATTATCGAGCTGTCTATGCCACTGCCTCTTTTCACAGTTCTTTGGTTTTATGCAAACCGTTAAGATATATTGTTACTACTTGTCATGCGAGCAAGCAAAAAAGTATTTCTAGTATACAGTAATATGTTGCACATTGTTGCTGGATATTTTGTTGATCTTCTTGCACATAAATTGTTAAGACTTCTTTCCCAACATCAACCTAGTATTTCAAAACAAGTTATTAATATGAAGAACATCTAGCATTCAAGGGAATGCATTGAAAGTAACCACTCTATTATATTGCTAGCAAGTTTCTTGTCATAATTTAGACTTCATTTCATGAATATAGTGCCCATGTTTCACACATGTTTGAAAATGAAAGATTTTCTCCCATCTTTCAACGTTAGAAAGAGAACTCTCCTTCAGAACTGAAATGGTTTGTTTTCTATTTTCGTATTACACAAACTTTACTGTAATTGAGTTCTAAAAGAAATGTTGCCTTTATAACAGGGATTATATTATTCTTATTACAAAACAATTGTTGAAGCACCAACATTCTGGAGTGGTGTTGATGCTATAATGAATTGCAATATCACAGAATATCCTCAAAAGATTAACACATTGAAAAGATTTAATTTATATCCAGAGGTAAGAATCAAATTTCATTTGAACCATTTACAGTTTTGGTGCAAGTGAAAATTTTGTTAAATTTTACTTTGGATTAAGTAAAGAAATGTACTTTATAAATAACAGGTTCTTTTGGCTGCTGGATATCGATTCTATATTTGGTTGGCAAATATGTTTGAAATCCAAACAAAAATTTGTTATCAAGTAAACAGGGGATATAATTTACCACCTGTTGAAAGTTGTGAAGGTATTTATTACTGAAGAAATAAAAGATGTTTACTGTGTTTTCACAGGCTTGTGCACATTGAGAAAACCTTTGGGAAAACCGAAGGTTAAGCTTAAGAGTTCACAAACATCAACTCCGAGGTTTGCACAAGCCAGTGCAAACGCATATTTACATGGACTTCAAAAAGTATATTTACATGGACTTCAAAGCTGTTGAATCACGGAAGATAACACTAACGTTTTCTCAGTGAATGTAGCAAAATGCCACCATGGACTGAGCATAATTTATTTCATGGTACAGTCATCTGATAGCGATCATATAATGTTTTTTTTTTATAGGAATGGGTGAACTATCCTTTTTTTATGTCTATCCAATATTTTATCTCAGTGGCATTTCGATGTCATGTTTTTTCCTATTGTGTTTCTATTTGAGGTATTTATGAAAGTTGTTGAGCCATTTTAATGTTTTGAAAACACTAATGAACACAAATTCCTTATTTGTACAGCGATAGTATTTGGGGTGGGATCATTGGAACTGCGTGTTATTTTTTCAATCACGGTGAGGTAATTATTTCACGTCGATTTAAACCATACGACTTCTCCTTTCAATTGTTGCTGCTTTTTAATAAATTAATTACATTTGTCAGTTTTGTATTCGGGTTGTCTTGTAAGCCACTTGAATACGTCTTTCTCTGTTTATAGCTGTATAATTTTCATTTTATATACTAGGCAACTCGTGTTATGTGGACTCCGCCGCTTCGTGAAAGTTTTTCATTTCCACTGCTCGTCGTGCAACTGTTAACGATAACAGTTGTCTTAAAGTAAGATTTTATACAATTTAATTTTCATGTACACCGATGAAAAATCATAAAAACGACGTGCAGCTACTTTGGCATGCCAAAAAGAAAAAATTCTTAATGTGATAGTTTACTTATCTTGCGAAAACATTGGAACAAAGGAAACTTTCCTCTTTGAACTAAAGGGAAATGTTTGGATATATGGCAGAAGATATATATCTGTCAACTAAAAATATAATTCCTAGTGTCCTTGTAATTTGCTTAATTCTCACACAAATGTTAGGAAATAAAGTAAATGGTTTGAACCCGGGAGCATCGTTACATGTTTGTAAATGTAGATCGTCCAGGTTGGTATAGTCCTGAGAAGGACTGTTTTTGTTGCTGTTGACTGACGTTTCGATAACCTTAGCGGTAGTCATCTTCAGAGTCAAAAAGTCATTTTGACTCCGAAGATGACTACCGCCAAGGTTATCTACTGACGATCTACATTTACAAACATGTAATGTTAGGAAAGTTGTTTAAATTATAGTCAATAATTGAGACTTCGTTTTGTAGCAATAGTATTTCGTCACTTAACTAATAAAAAAGTTTGTGCTAGGTGACATTGTGTGTATTTTGTCGACTTGTTCTCTTAATTTCAGGCATCCAAAACCAAATGTTTATCATACATGTTTGGTATTCATTACAACTCTTGGTTTTATGTTGCCTTGGCAGGTAATAGAACGTTTATGTAGTATCGTGTACATGCTTCACCACTTTAAACAAAATATTATTCTGCTTTATTTAGTTTGCACAGTTCGCATTGTTAACTCAGGTAAAAAGATGAATGGTTGCAGTTGAAATCATTTGTTGAAATTTAATATTTACGTTCATAAAAATGTAATTGTTTAATTTACATCGTCAATATAAAATCTTTGATAACTCGTAAACGAATCGTTTTTAACAAACTTATGGTAATATTGCACAAAAATGTTTTTGTCAGAATGTCTGAATAATATTAATTGTTGTCTTAGACCACCGCTCTCTTTGGTTTATATGCTTTAAAATTTATCACCTCGACAAAGATTTGCTCTATTTTAAACGGCCTTTTGGTAAGTTTATGTTCATAAAATGTATGATACAGAAATGAACAGATTTCCCTTCGCAATTTACATGAAATTGACAAGCTAGATCCTTTACCTCGTCTACGTAATTATATAGATTACTTCTCTACTTTTCTGTACAGATAGCTCATGCTTTTAATTACATCTGTCAATTTGGAAATTCAATGTTGTTAAGGTAGCTACCAAGCGTTAAAGCTTTTGTAACAAATATATATTCTACATATTATGTTCACTGTTTAGGAGATTTATGATCTCTTTTTAGCTCATTTTTTATGTCAGCTGTACTTTCTGTTTTGGTAAGTTCATTTTTGCTCATTTGAGTCAGTATCACACATTTTGAATACACTCCAAAAAGTATTTCAAAATTTCCTAGAAAGTATGTCAAATTTTACTTTTTGTAAGTTTGAGACTTTGAGTTAATTTTTCTGTCATTTTTCTGCATGTATCTTAATGTTTCAGATGATAGCCAAGTTAGAGTTTTATTTCAATAAATTACGAAATGTGATTCTTATTTGGGTAAGGCAAAATGTTTATCATTTTTGGATTCTGTTCCCCAAGCTATACGACCAAATCTTTTACCTGTTGTTTTTGAAGATTGCTCAAGGGTCCACTTTTATTATCGGAACCTTTGGAATAAAACTTTTCACTGCAAAGCTTCTTAGAATAGAAGATGATGTGAGTTTGATGTTGTGGACCTAAAAATAAGTAAAATATAAGTATTATATGGAGTTTTTCTTATAATAATACGATATGTACGTTATATTTTAGGCTCATATTGTGAACATACTGAAATCCAAATTTACCGATTATAAAGATTTTCACACAATGTTGTACACGTGTGCAGCCGAATTTGATTTTATTGAAACAGAGGTAAGAATGGAAAATGTAGTCATGTTATTTTCATTAGACAACGCGAAGGCAGAAAAACTTGTTTAAACTTGCTTTCCGAAGTAAAACAAGAAACTTTAGTCAGTATGAAGTCCAAGATGTACGATACTCAACATAAATCCCTTGTTTGTTTTCGTTTTTCTTCATTCACTTTCCCATAATGACTAATGTCAAGTTTCGTTCTACGTACCTGAAATGAAAAAGCTATAGTTTACAAAGAAGACGTAAACAATATAAGGCTTACTTCCATGTAGATGAGATTTCTTGTTAATGGTTTGTTTGCTGCACGTAGGGACTCAAATTGTTGTTATAATCTAGAAAATTTAACGAATCCAACTTATGATTATTCACCGTTGAAACCTATGTTTTAAAAAATTTCTTCGTTAAATGGCTTAAAATTGATTCTGTTATACCTTAACTGATCAACTTTGTCTTTTGCAGACTTTTTACAAATTATCAAAGACATTATTATTACCATGTGCGTTATTGGGTGCATCGGCTGTATTATTCAAGGTGCAATTTCTTGTATTTATACGACACGTTGATCAGGCATTAGTTGTAGTCTAAGTAGCTAAGAATATGCTTCGCAAAAGAAAACATGAAACTGTTCAACAGCGAATTCCTACTCAATCCACATTATAAAAAAATATTGTAGTTGAACATTGAGCATTGAAAGCATTCATTTCATCTTACTGTTGATTTGACGGTAATTAACCAAGCGTTGTATATAATTCAGGTCCTAAGTTTTGAAATAAGTTGCTGGTTGGCTAGTGGTGATCAAAACGATTACGATGAAAACGACGCAAGGTTAGATACAAAAATTTGCCTTGAAAGAATTTTCCTGCATTTTTTCAGTAGTATTAATTAAATGTTAAACCTCTCGCAGAGCTCAACCAAACGCAAAACCACATGCAGAGGTATAATAATATAAATGTCAGATTTTAAATGTTATTGTAGGCTAACTTTTAGTGCGAGAATAATGTAAATGTACAATTATTTAGCAGAATATTTCTTGATCATTGTTATCTTGTAATTCCTAGCACCTATACCACGTGCTCCAAGCATCAGCATTCGTTACAATAGCCATAATAATTATGCGATTAAAGTTATTTGGAACTCCAGCAGTTTGTATTATGGCTTCATTAATCTCATCGCGAGAGGTATGTTACATGGACATGTAACAATTTCAGTCCACATGATGCAAAAGGTGAACGAACGTCCGCCATTTCTAAAATTTACCGTTCACCTCGTTTCTTCCAGTATTTCAGTTTTATTGGCAGTAAAAACGTTCACCACGCTATTTTGGTTGCGATTGTCGCAATGATGTCGATCCAGGGAATAACAAATTTGACTAACCAATTTGTAAGTTGTAAGAGTATGATTTTCTGGCGGAGAACTCGTTTTTGGGTGTTCAATCTTTAAATGCACTTTTATAGAACACGAGTGGCGAATATAATAACCCCAATTTAGAAGAATTAGTAAGTATGATGGTAATTTCCTTTGCATGCAATGCTAGTTACATATGTTGTAAGTTGATATGATAAAAAGTACGTTCCATATTCCTGATAGATAACTTGGATTGAAACTAAAACTTTGAAAAGTAAGTGTAACTGTTCACATGTATTAATTTTTGATGATGTTCAAACTCAAAGTCTTAAGACAATGCTATATTTTCAAAGGTGATGTGTTTGCTGGCTCAATGCCCACTATGGCGACAGTCAAGTTAACTACAAAAAGACCAATAGTCAATCATCCACATTATGAAGATGCCGGTTTAAGGTATAACCTTTATTGTTTGCGGACGGAGTCAATTCTAAGTATAAACAGTATTTTTCAAGCTTATTTAATTAACGAGTAGGTTATTGCCATATATTCGTGATAAAGGTAAATTTTTGAATAGAAAAGTTATTCAGGGAATACAAACATATAACATAAACTTTAACAAAATTAGCATTGAAGTAATTCGTACAATATTTAGTGGTTCGTTTCTTCTAAACATATATCTTAAATTTTTTTAACTCAGGGCAAGAACAAAGAAAGTCTATAAAATATACAGCAGAAAACCTTGTGAAGAAAGCTGGAATACCCTTAGTGATATGGGGGTGAATTACATGATTATCGAGAGAAATTGGTGCTTTGGAAGATCAAAGTATGATTTTGGAGAAATGCTATTATTAACTGAAAAATGCATATAAGACATACTCTAGGCTAACAAATACCATCAAAAAATTACTCTTCCATGGTTATATATTAGGTTGCCTAGGACTCATTGTCAATTGCTGTAATACGTTTAACTCTGCGAGCATTTTCACTAATATTTCTCGAGCGTTGTAATCAGGAATATAAATCTCCCTTGTGGATATCGTTACTTGTTTTAAATGGTGTCAAAAATAAATTAATCATTCCCAAAGCTTTTGAAGTGAAAGTTTTTCATTTTTCTACAGGCAAAGATGTGGCATGCCAGATATTTGGGATGTAGAAGATGTCAAAAACAGAGGAAAGCGCAGTTGTTGCAGTTTGATATTTCAAAACGTCGAAGAAGGCGTCCAAGCTAACCCTTTTAAATTGGTTTTTAGTAATGACGGTTACACTGTGCTTAGGATTTGACCTCACTATTCTAAACACTGTATGTAGTACTTTCACTTGCTTGACTAGCAATGATGGTTAATGTGATAAAATGTTGACTAGAGAGAGAGAGAGCACAGTCACGTTAATAAATATATCAACTTTCTAGAGCAAATGCTTTAACAGTGTTTCCTCGAAAAAAGTTTTTTACTTATTAACATTTTAGTCGTATTTATTTGTTACAATAAACTGAAGTAAATGTTATTTTGAATTCATTGTGTTGAACTTTCGTAAATTGTGCATTCACAACCGACTTTTACATCATAAATTTACAATGCTTTACTGTCATCGACTCTTGTCTTCCATTTGTAAAGTAAGGTACTTGGTTAAAGGTAGTGTTCATGTCTACTAAGCTCAAAACGATATCAAATGCTTCATTGCTATCGACAACCATTGACTGAGTGATATAGCTAGCTATTGTTCGCCATGCTGATGTACTCAAACAAAGTACGCAGTTCAATAGTTGAAAGATTTCATTCCGTGTAATTTGTGAAAAATATTTACAAAATAATACAAAAGTATCAAAATAAATAAACATACACAAATATTTCTACAAAAATGTTTACGAAGTCTATACGTTGAAAAATTGTGAAGAAACTCGAGGCAAACAGAAAAAACGAGCAATTTAAAGAAAAAAAATAAATTAATGTGTAAAAAATACAACTGAATTTAATCTACAAATTTACAAGTGTTCTTCACTGTACAATGAAGTCAAGTGTCACCTGGCGCATCTTGTGCTTTTCCTCGTTTTTTTCGAGTATTTTTTTGCTATTTCGATTAAAGGAAGATCATCCTCGTCAGATGAATCAGAATCACTCATCTTGCTCGCCTTGTATTCCTCCCATTGCTCGGGCTAAAATTAAAGACACTGGTGATATTTCAAACAATAAAATACAATATGTTTTTAATTTCCATTTCACAAATAAAAACATTCCTTTTCTTTATAAAGTGAAAACATACCTGGTATTTTTTAACAAACATATCCATGTCAATTTTAACGGAATCCGAATGACAATCACACTACACAAATGACATGTAGTTGTAAATAGTACAACAACTGGTTGGATGTTGTACGTATATATCAATGCAATAAACATTGTAAACATTAAAACAGAACAAAGCCTTTTGACTGTTAAATTACGTATTTTCTTAATCGTTAACTATTCAATGTAGGATCGTTTGCATATGAAATGTTCCCAGATCATTTGCAACAAGTAAAGATCTTTATGTTGCAACATAGCAAGGTTACTTTAGGCTTGTATGGGCTTTGTAGTTTTGTACAAAAATGCCCAGGTGTCAATCCTATGCATGGTCTCAACTTTTAGTGAAACACGAGAAAAAGTCATCGTCATTCTTTTGCTTGAGATTCTAGTGCATGCTGCATGTTTTTGAGCCTTTTTGACTCGAAGACGTCTTCTGACAATCACCCCCTCTTTATTTTTTGCGCATAAGCAACGAGAATTCCTTTGATAAGTTGTAAAAATAAGTAAAGCATACCTGTTCCGCCTTTTTTCCATAATCAATCCAGCTTTCGATTGCAAAATTCGTTGATTCTGCACAATTGAAACCATGATTGAAACCGCAATGATAAGCAAAAGGAAATGTTATCATAAATTGGCCAGCTTCGTGAATGACCTGAACGAAATTATATGTACAACGATGCAGAGTTTTGTCAAGAAAGGAGGGATGAAAAAGATACACACTTTAACAGCAGTAAAATTGACATGAGACATTCATGTGGTCAAGAGAAGTTTGACAAGCAAAAGCATTGATTGATATAGAGGCCCATTAAAAGTAACGATGCTCATCACACCTAGTGTCTTTATTGAAATCACTACGTTTAAATGCTTGGATTTGGTGAGGACTGAAATGCCTTGTCTGGCCGCAACATAGCCCACAAAAAAATCAAAGAGCGACTTATAAAATCCTTAACGAGCTTATTTAAAATACTCGTCCATTGTGCATACCTTGCTGCATGGTATAGAATACTTTTTCAAAACTTGAGGAGATATCACCGTCATTTTGTGACGAAGAAAGTTAGAACACGAGGCAAAACTTTCTGGAAAGAAACCTAATGAAGAGAACTGAGTGAGATTTCCCAAAATTTTCTAATTCTTTAAGGACTATATTAAAATATCTACCTGCAGCAAGTCTTTCCAAACGTTTTCCATGTTCTGGAGGGATAACGTACCTAGAATTTAATAAAAGAGTGATTCTCTGTATCTGACAAAGCTCTTCCTGATCAGTGGCATAGTCTGCCTGCAGATTTACCCTTGCTATGTAAATTTTGAAAGATAAACATTCATTTCATTACCACTATTGCTCTCAATGTCAGTGAACACAAAAATATTTGCATACTGGGAGTAAGATATAGAGCAAGTTACACCACTGAACAACATATATTTTAGTCAAATGAACTTCTAAACTAAAACGTTAAAAATGAAATTCACAAATATTTGATAAAGCTGTAAAAAACTGGTGACAAAATGATCTAAGTAATTTAGTTCAAGTGAAATAAAAAAACTATATGAAGATAACTAACCATGTTTTAGGAGCTCCATAGTGTATATAATTAATGCTGAACAAATCCATATCTTCAGTATGCCAAGCAAATGTTGACTTCCACATGCCAAAATAAAGGTAAGGTGTATTTACTCCAGGAATCCTGACATCTTCTTCTTCTAACATATTATTGAGAATGCTGGGAAGGTTGCTAATATTCCATGCATGAACATCATCATCAAATATTGAACCAGAAACATCTGCACCATATAAAGGTGTTCGGAAAGTAATGTTTTTCCAATATTTTCTTTCAAGGTCACTATGGTTACCTTTTGGAGGCTCGTATCTACATATCATTGAGTTTCATTATGATAAGTGTTGATGGTAATTTATAGTATCGTGACATTACATCTATTCTGTTGTGAAAAATTGTCGCTGAGTCACGACTCAAATAAGGATTGACAAAACATTATTTTAACACCATAGTAATTTCTTCTCTAAAGCAGTTCATAGACAAACTCAAAATAAACAGATTACAATCATTAAATGAAATGAACAAATGTGGATTAAGTAAGTAAATTATTGAACTATTAATGTAAATGCTTGGAGTTTGCAAATGACCTTGCCATAATAAGAAAAATAATACACAGAAGCTAAGTTATATTCAACTAAGTCTTAATCATCTCCTTAAAGTGAAAACATGTTTATGACTAGTTTTGTGAATGTTTTTGACAAAAAAGGAATATTTAGGAAGAAGCAAATGATGTCAAGGAAGTTGGAGTTATGAGAATCAGATAATGACTATCTGGATAACTAGATCATATCATCAATTGACATGGATAAGTGGATCAAGGTATTTATAAAGTTGTTCCAAAGAATTTGATATATACTATAAATTGACTATGCAGCTAGAGTCAGTACTTTTGCTCTTAGCAAGTATCGCACAAGATATGACCAAATGACTGATTAAACCAATAGACTAGAAATCTTATTGAAACTCAGTTGTGCCATAGTCATGTAACAAGCACAAATTAGGAATGAGATTTGGTAATACGTACAGCAGTGACTGTTTTGAGAGTTAACATCTTCTAGCATGTTAAATATTGAAGAAAGAACAAGTGAAAAATGATGTTTAGAGCATTTTGCTTGACATTATGTTTCTTTAGGGATTAGGTATTAAGTGAGGAGTATTATTTTAAAAGTAGTTAGACTTAATGCATTTTTGAATTATAATGGCTAAAGCACATAGTAAGGAGAAATTCATGAGAATAAGTTTGTAACAAGTTTAATCTACTTGTTCTACCTTTACTGCAATTTTATATACCGTTATTAATAGTATCATTAAAGTGTCAGCAGAAGTATAAACAAAAGACAAGCTTGGGCCGGTTGCACGAAGCCTGGATAACGATATCCATTGGATAACAAAAATTTTCAAACTTGTAAAAAAGGTGTTTATATTTTTCTTATGAGAAAGAAATTTTGTAATCTTCGAAACAATATTTTATTTCAGCGATTGCACAGTTCAAATCGTACGTTTATTTAAGAGATTTTATGAACGTTCCGAAAAATTTGCTATCCAGTGGATAACGCTATCCAGGCTTCGTGCAACTGGCCCCAGTATTCTAAATTTGAACGAATTGAAATGAAAATTTTGAACACACATAATACATACACACTTTGTTTACTTCACATTACACACAACACACATTTGTTTAAATACCTTTCACTTCTAGCAAGTTTTTCAAATTCATGAACAGTTGTGCCCTTTTTCACAATATTATACTGTTCGTATAATCCTGAGTTGGAAAAAAAGACAACATAAAAGAACCGCATGGAAAAGCGATGACATACGTCGACAACAATGCTAACCTTGGCGACCCTGAAAGACTTGTGATATTGGAGCAGGAATACGAAATTCACCGGTATTTATCGTGGAATAATCTTTCCTAGCAATCCATCCTTTTGGAGGAATAACCTAGTAACAAAAAAGAAAAGTCTTAACAAAGATAGTAGCAAAAAGTCAACAAAGGCAAATTCCCACCTTTGCGAGACCCGTTCTTGCAGCTCCAAGCCTTTCTATCTCGCTAATACATCGGCTAAAATCTTGAAATTCCTCGAAAGATGGTTCAAAAACCTGCACTCCATCAACTTCACGAAACCTCATAATTATAAGTCAAACTTTAAATAAAAAATAAACGACATTTCCCAGCGTCCATTCCACAATTTCACTTGCCATTTCGGAGAGAAACGACAGGACAAACCATAATGACTGAGCAACAATCTCCCCAGGAAACTACGCGCGTTATAGAGACCGCAACAATTTATTCGTCAATTTGACCACGTTGACCGAATAAAAAACAAAGCATATTTGACAAAAACATATAAATGAATTACTCGACCTTGAAAATGGACTGTTTAGAAATGGAAAGCAAGATATGAAATCAGATAGCCGAAAAAATAAAAATTAACACCCAGATCGGTTGTATGCATAACTAATCTAAGTACGCGTACTAGACAGCCACATCACATCAACTCAAGCTCTTTCCACAGTGTGTTCAAAGATGAAGCTAGAGGTGGTTTGTATATTATCATAATATATTATGTGATTTACATTACTAAAAATGAGAATATGTCAATAAAATCCACAATAAGAGGTGCGTCGTGAAGTTTAAGTGAGCAGCAATTTAGTTTTAAAAATTGAAGTTATTAAACTAAACATTAATGCCATTAGTTTTATGTCACGTTTACACAAATTCGCGATTCACAAGCAATTATGTAGAGCTACACAAATTTTCACGGCGTTAAAATTTTGAAGCATTTGTGTTGTAAAGTTACCTTGTTTATTTTGTAATGCCAAAGTTCACAAGGGCTGAGCCCTCCATGAATTGTGTATTTTCGGTTTTCAAAATATTCGGTGCCAATTAATCAAAGTTCATTTTCCATCAAGGAGTTCCAGAAGTGACGTTTTTCACTCATTTCCTAGAGATGAACATGACAATGAAAGATGGCGACTCTGACGTCATATCTTATACGTAAAAGTAGTATTTTTTACATCTTAACTATTGAGTATGGGAAATTTCCCAATACCCATTTTTTTGCTCTCCCATCAATCAATGCATTGGAGGTTGAATTTTCCAGTTTTATAACGGTGTCAAATAAGGAATGCTGGGTTGAATATGGACAACAACAGTTTTGAATATCTGAAACAATCAAAGAAATTTCAAAAACAAACTAATTTCTGAAATTAATGTGCTCTAGTTTTCCTGTCTTTCTCAGCAAAGTTTTATTGGGTAAAAACTAAAAATGTAATTTTTACCTAAACATCATTTTGCCTCTTTGAAAGACAAAGAATCGTCAGAGAATCATTTTTCGTTGGTAATTCCTTTATTGTTCCCAAAGAGGTCGTTATCAAACGATTTAATCGGTTGAGAACATGTATTCTCGATGTCACGGCGAGGTTCAACACACAAGATCAAAATGAAAAATTCTTACCACTTTGTAAAAGCAAAGAAAATTAAGATATGCCAACACAAGAACTGTCAACACAATAGTTTTGTCTGAAGAATCAAATCACACTAAAGAGTTTAAAGATAAGTAAGTTTGTGTTGCATTATTGTGCTTTCTAACTTGTATAGGGTGTTGTCATAGCAACTAGTGCAGTAAATTTTATTTGTTTGACTTTTTTCAATGCTGAAATTTACCAAACGAAGTGCAAACGAAGACTCAATGGTTAAAGGTTTAATTACATGAAGAGTTTTTTAGCCCAACTAATGACGTGAAATTTCACCCCAACCCTCTTCAATATTGTAATAGAAAATGGCATTTTGAAATTTTAGTGAGAACAAACAACTAAACACCACACACAAAGGAAGTTCTCCCAGAGGTATGTTGTTATAAATACTAAATGAATAAATGAAAGATAATAAAACACAGCCTTACTCTCCAAGTAATTGCCACAAAGCGTCTCTTGAATTCAAAAATACTAAATTTCTGAATTAGCATTAAACAGTTGTTTAATTTCATTCAACGTTGAGCAACATTATTAGTTGCTCATTACACGATGTACAGAAGTTTGATGAATTCCAAAGCATCGTGTCAAAACAGAGCAATAGCAATTGACCTTTTATAAGCTGACTGGGATTCATTCATTTAGCACTTACAATAAGTTATGAAAACTTACTTTTTGAGTGATATTTATGATGTCAATTTAAATTGTGTCTCTCGGGGGATGAAATTTCACTCATTGATGTATTCTGCATGGGCCGACATAAAACATTCAACATGTAAAAAAACCTTAATTAATTTTCTTTGAAAAGTTCTTCATTAAAGAAGTAAGACTATCGAATAATTTACATTACCATGATTTCCCGAGGTTAAAATCGTAACGATTTGTCTTTCAAAATTGCTTCGATATTAAATTAGCTACAATAAGTTATCAAAAACCACAATCTCAGTAAAACCACTTCAGTTCTGCCATGCAACTGTGTCCATTGAAATATTTAAACATCATTTTAGGTGACATGGCCGCCATAATGGGAGACTTTAATCTCGGCATGCAAATTTTGCAGCCTGGGTGCTCGTGAAATGATATCAAACGTATTCAAAGCCACTCCAAGAGGTTTTAATACCATCATGTCTTTCATCAAGACCTAAAGTATTACCAAACAGCACGTATGTAGCGTCATTTCATTCAGAACATGCAACTAAAACTTATTATTATAAATCGTGAAAGTATCATGGTAGAAGTACTCAATTTCTATTATTCCTTTCCACAAGAGTAATAAATTTTTGTAACAAAGATAACATGACACATTTGGGCAATATTTTATATTTTAACACTTACCTTTGGTATGTAACCATTGTAGCAGGATAATTGGAAGCTCTCTGATCGTCTAAGACAGTTGGATCTAACTGTCCAAGATTATTAGGTTGAACGTGGATCGAAGACTGCCCAGAAGAAACAGCTTGAACAGGCTGTCCGTGAAGTGTAGATTCGCTGCCATCATTAGTTAAAGCGAGCTCCTACATGTAGACACTATTATTATACCTTTCGTAACAAAGATTTATGAAGAAAAATAGTATTTCTTTATAGGGAAAAGGTTCATAGTAATAAGGAAAACATAGAAACAAAGTTTTTTTTAAATGACACCCGCACTTCTGGGTATTATGAAATTGAAATATATAGTTTGGTTTAGGTCCGTTTCCAAACGTTAAACTTTAGCTGGACTGATGCGCCGAAGGCATTTAACACAAAACATAATGAGATAAATTCCTCATTAAAACATACCTCATTGAATGGCATTTGAATCATGTGATGAGATTGGGGATTTTGCATAATATGATGCCACGGTTGTTGAGAAGGATATCCACCATGCATGGCACTTATATATGGCTATATAAACACAATGGCGAAAATGATTGCACATCCAAAGCATAGCGACAAAAAACTTTCATATAAAAATATTCACACGTCGACAAATATTCAACATGGTTGTATTACATAAGTTTACATTATATATGCATACGCTACTCTCATTAAATAAAGATTTAGGGGTTAAAAAGTCCTAGTTTAAGCGTAGAGTTCTTCAAGGGTTTTTAGATTGAAAAAACTTGTAGCAATATTATAGCAATAAGTGTTACTTTTCTACAAATATTAGAGACTTCTGCCCGGAGGCACAACTGATCAAATGTTATCAAGAGAATCAACACTATCTACGGAGTAGGCACTGCAATTATGTAATGCCAACGTTGACAGATATCCTACTTAATGATTATGTCGGCAAAATTAAACATATTTCTAGTCCTAAATAGTGTAAAAAGAATTTATATACATCTTTTATGACAGTATATGCGCCTGCTATTTCATATGTTTTTAAGTTCTGTGTTTAATAATTGTCAAAATTGAGAAAACATTATTAGATTTGTAGTTTACGAAAAGTAAACTTGGTAATACAATTATTCGCTGACAAGATCACGTGATCCAAATCCAAAAATATGTCGCTTTCAAGAGAAGAGTAAGACAGCTTACACGTCACAGGAAAAATACGAGTAAGCACATTTTGCAAAGAAATAATAGCAATAAATCCTCACATTTCCAGAGACATGCATATGATGAAACTGGTTTGTTATTTGCTGTAGATTGCTAGCGTGCATTCCCTGATCAAGAGTTCCAGTTGGACTTAAAGGAATTTGACCCTAGAAATAAATAAATAACGTGTAATTAATAATAAATAAGCACGTGTAATTGGCGTGATAAGCGTGTGTAATTGGCAGCGTTGGTAATTTTTGGCAACTTACTGCAGCAACTTGTGTCTGAAGAGGAAGATATGTTGGATTAGAAATGCCTTGCCAAGTAGCATACTAAAATAAGATAATAAAACATACAATAAGTTGATGTGCGGTGAAAATTTTCCCACACATTGTTTTTACATAGATTAAACACCGAAATGTCGATTTAGTGCTCAAATTTACCGCAGACGTTTCATACAACTTCTTTTTGTTTCAACTCGTTAGTGAGAACCCACCACTACTCTTGCAAACATTGGTAAACGTTGATGAATTTCTCTTTATTAAATATTGGTAATGTAATTTAAACCGAAAAACTATATATAGGTGTACTGACAGTGTTCACAGATAAAGCGAACGTTTTCTATGTTCAGTTAACTATGCTTATTCTTTAACTTTTGTAGTGACTACTGAGTAAGAAAAATCATATTTACCTAAGCGAAATCAAACCTGAAACATAATCCTTAAGATAATGACTTATTATAACAATTTTGTTTTAGGGTCATTATATGTACTTCGCGCGTACCTCTTTTTGCTCAAATAATCATACGCTGCAGCAAGTCCATATATATCAAAAGCAGGGACTTTCATGATATAGTAAAGAAACCTCATTCCCAGGATCTTGAGATCAAAGTCCCTTCAAGCAAAGTTGATATCATACCTGTTGATATCCTGTAGGTAAGCCAGGTGATGTGCCTTGAGGGTAACTACCCTGTTAAACAAACATGTTCATATTGAAATCTAGGAAGATTTAAAAGTCCTATTTTAACATCACATTGGGAAGAAAATCAATTCATACCGGTGTTAAAGATGAATGAGATGAGGAAACATTTGTTGCAACAGCCATATTCATTCGTCTGTGAAAAAAAAGAGAGAAAAAATCATTTAGCATGCAGTGAAAATATCTGAGGAGAAATAGATTAAACACTTATACCCATTTAAAGGCGAAATGTCGAATGCCATGTTATGAGGCTGCAAAAATACAAAAAAAAAACATCAAAAAACACACGCAGGTAATATTATGTGAATTTCTAAATTTCTGCAATTTCTCTTGGATGAAACTCAAAACTATAACCAGTTTGCAAAATTTTGAAACAGCCATTCATCAGGTTCGGTTTGATCAACAACACTTTGATCAACACTATACCTTATGCCGGCCGGAAGTAAATGATATAAATTCTACACACTCACCTCTTTTAAAGCACCACGCCAAAGTCTGTCTGTATAATGAGAACAATATCAAAAATTTTAATTTTGCAGTTAAATCATGCATGTACTACTTCTCGTTCACATTAACATCTCAACCAACATTGACGACATTTGCAAAAGTGATTGGTTGCCTGAATTCAGGCAATGTTAGCAAAATGACAATTAGCAAAATTTAACAGAGAAATCTATCTTTTTCAAATATCAGGGAAAAGATATAAAAATGTTTTCGCTGCTTTTGCATGTAAAGCTCTAGTTAATAATTTTATCAACGAGGCTATAAATGTTTGGCCATGTACTTTGCCCAATTTATTAGTATGTTAAAAATACAAAAAAGCAACAAACAAGTTATTTGGCGTTAATTTGGTAGGTTGGAGATAATTTTTCCGATCAAGAGTTTCAACATCGCCTAAAAATTAAACTTTAGTAACGATGTTAGTAAAAACATATTTCTACCTGTTGACTGCTTGGTTTTTTTTGGACCGCCATCAGCAAATTTTACAAGCAAGGGTTCTGTAGACCCTGGGATGAATAAGAAACACAAGGTTGGGCGATAAGAAATATATTTGACACAGGTTTTCCTCAAAATGTACCTTTAATAAAAGTTCCATTCAGTTTTTTAATAATGTTTTCACATATTTCTTTTGTTTCCATTCTGTAAAAGAGCACATAATTACAAAATTGAAACAATAAATTATCTCTAAAAAACTTTCTCAAGAGTTGAAGTAATGTTGTCACACAATTATATTCTCAAAGTGGAGAAGATGGGTTAATATTATCATTAATATTGATAGATAGAAATTGACATCACGTGGCTTGTGACGTAATCTTTCTTATGTGAAGAAATATATAATCAATCTCTCTCTTCTCGTTTGGCTTCTCCTTTTAGGAGTCGCCCATCAATGGGAGTCGCCATAGCGAATGATGTGCCTTGATCTATTTCTTCACTTACCGTATCCTTATGCAAGTAGACAATATAATTTTTCAATTACCAATAAGAAACAATTCCGGAGAAAATCCGGAATTAAAGAAAGATGTAACAGCAAATCCTACCTTGCAAAGCCAACGCCCTTACTGCATGAACTTGTATCTCGTAGTATTCTAGTCGATATAACTATACCGTAGGGTTTAAGCATGCTCTCAAGTGTCTGAAAATAAAAGGAACAGAAACGACATTGTGGCGATTAAACTTTCTTTTGGATCAGTAATCAATGCAAAATAATCTTACAGTTTCATCAACAATAGTGGGTAAATTTTGAAAATAAAGATTTGTTGGATCCTGCTCTTGTTGCTGAATAGACAAAACAAATAATTAAAGCCTTGAATATTTCAAAACAAAAACCAAAACAAACAAAACACAAAAAAAAAACAAACATATGGAGGCACAGCTCAGGTTCGAACTGAATCAACTAGCCGAAAAATCAAGATCATGAAGGGAGTGGGGCAAGGAGACACCTTGTCACCAGTGATGTTTACAGCAGCGCTGGAAGAAATATTCAGTAGAATGGAAGTTGAAGTGGAAATTAACATCAATGGAGAGGATGAACAACCTGAGATTTGCAGATGATATCATCTTATTTGCTGAAAAGGAAGAACACCTCAGCAAACTTTTGAACGATCTGAACGAAGAAGTGAGGAAAGATGGAATGAAAATGAACAAAAAGAAGACAAAGATCATGTGCAATGAAATAGCGAAGGAGAAGAAAAGGAATATTGATTGATGGAGAACGGCTGGAAGAGGTTGAAGAGTACAAGTATTTGGGAAAACTACTAACACCAGGAAATGAGATGGCGAGAGAAATAGATGAAAGAATAACATCAGCTTGGAAGAGATTTGGACAGTACAGCATGTTCATGAGAGATCAAAGAATGCCCATGTGTCTCAAAAGGAAGATCATGAACACTGTCATACTACCAGCAATGACTTATGGAGCAGAGACGTGGGCGCTTACCAACCATCAAAGAGAGAAATCACCAAAGGAACATGGAAAGATCAATGCTCGGTGTCAGAGGAGAGATAAGATCCGGAATGAAGACCTGAGAGCAAGAACAAAGGTGAAGGATGTCATTGAGAAAGTTATTGAAGCCAAAGGAAAGTGGGCAGGACATCTAGCCCGAATGAAAATCATAAATGGGCAAAGACAACTGAATGGACCCCGTGGGACAAGAAAAGAGGCAAGGGAAGACCAAAAAGGAGATGGAGAGATGACATCGAGCAGAGAGCGGGCAGCATGTGGATCCAGAGAGCCCAAGACCGTGAAGAGTGGAGAAAGATGTGGAGGCCATCCGCCAGCAGTGGCGTGACAGGCTGATGATGATGATGATGATGATATGTCTGTTATACCGCTAACCTTAGCCATCTGCGCTGGATTCCATTTGCCGTTAATGCAGCTACCGCTGTTTGGGCAGATTGCGGGTGATCAAAATCAACAAACCCATAACCTTCGAAATATATATTTATAAAACGTTTAAATCATTGGATATAAATATAAAAGGAAAACAACAAAGGAAATTCTAAAAGACATGCAGTTATTTCTATGGAAAGACAAAGTATTATGTCTGTTATTTTAAAATAATTCAACAGACATCTAGTCAACTTCTAACTCATTATAAGAAAAATAAATGCCATAGATCTCATTCTAATTGATTGCATTCGGGAACACAATGGTTAAAAGAAACCAAAAAGTACACATACCCAAGAATTTACATTTAAGCATAGATATTTATGTATCCGTAAAAAACACTCTACATACACAAATATTTATGTACGTGAACAACAAAGTAAAACGCCGAAGGATATTTTCCACTTCCCAATCCTTGATAATGAAGATAACGAAGCAGTCTCCCCAAAAAGGTTCACTTTAATAGTTGTTTTGGTCAAAAGTGAAATACTTACACATGTTAGAATCCTTATGCAAAATAGATTTTGTCGATATTATTGTTCCATACCTAAAATGAATAAAGTATTTCAACATATGCGTCGTTTAATTGATTGTCTTTAAAAATAGAAACATAAAATCTAACATCTTTGATTCCGATTCTTCTCGATTCGAATGTAATTTATTTCAGTCAGCTAAACTTAACAGCTATGATATTCACTCCACTGGCTACATTCTCGTTTGCAGTCATGTGGTGAAATTAAATCATTTGGTACTAATAAACGTGTCTATCAAATTGTACATCTCATATCAATATCTAAATTTCTAAAGATAGCAAACTCTGCAGAGCTTGTTTGAATAACAGTATTCCAGACAAGCAAAGTCGCTAAAGTACAAAGTGACCAACATGAATTTATGTATTTACGATGAAACTGCTGCTTTAAAAAGCTAGCTATTTCAGGAGTGCAATGTACGTATGAAAAAAATAGATGTATGATCGACTGAAAAATTCTGCCAAACGACCCAACCATGTTTTGCCGATATTTGAACACTTACTCTCTACATAAATTCACTAAATCTTCGTCAGTTGTGGAAGCATTTAATCCACGTATGTACAAATTAGTTTTACTCAATTTCTCTGTTGAGCCAGTTGAGCTGTCGCTGCTAAGTCTACGATTGCTATTCGAAACGCCATTGAGCAATAGAGGGTTGTTGATTTGATGATATGACTGAATAAGAAAATAATCAAGTTTACAAGTAGAATGCAAACGATCGATAGCAGGGTATGATAAAATAATAAACTTGAAACTTACAGGTTGAAACGAATGAAAATAGTTTGCATGTTGATAAGGATAGCTGATTGGCCAAGAAGGTTGTTGATATCTGGTATATTGGTTGGGTTGGGTTGAATATCGTCCTCGAGGAAGGTAATTATTGTTTCGAAACTATCAACAAAGAAAAAATTGATAACGCATACGATTTTGGTTGAATTCAAGATAATCAATGTGCTTTCTTCCAAAAAGATATTTTGAAACCGATTCATGAATCGTTTCTCAATGGCAGGTCATTTTCAATCAAATGGCAAAGGCTACTTTCAGTTTAAATAAAAATTCTACTCTCCATATAAGGGCTCAATGATTATGAAAAGAGAAAAATTTACTACACTGAACATAAAAAAATGAAAGCATTTACATTGTAGCTAGTAGTTTGTTAGACATAAGATGCCCAGTCGCAGTAAAATAACTCTAATTTTACTTCACAACTCATACAACATACAAGAATCAGTGAACTAATGTAATTTCGCCTTCACTGAAAAATTGCGAGGAGGTTAGCGTTCCAGCTTATATTACAGTTGTAAACCATGCACATGTGATTTTCACCTTTCGAAGGTTTTCAGACATATATCTTTATCTATTATACAAGAATAGATTTTTTCAAACTGGAGCGAATCTCATTTTACCTTGTTAGAATTTGTAGAACTGGCCTTTTGTTTCTTTTGTAAAGGAGATTGGCGATGTTTCTAAAAAACAGAAACAACGAAATGTCGCATGAATTTTATGATTTCATAAAGTTTAATTGTATGACCATCATTTATCCTTCGTTTATTCATCATCACATTGAAAACAAGTGACTACAATAAACAGTCTGCAGTCGTAAGTGACATTAAATCTTTATAGTTTGTTCGTCATCGTGTCCTCTTTACAGAAAGACTGCAGCAATGTAATATATATTTGTTTGTTACGTCATCGTTTTGTATTGTAAGGTAGCTGATGTTATATACTGTGAACGGCTTGCGTTGTTTAACTAGATTATTTTCATCGTTTATTAATATCGTATATCTCCATAAATTGGGCAAATGCCAGATAAACATGCAAATTTAACAAAACAAGCCGTTGTGTCTATAAACCGAACAAACACTATCAAACTTTTTCCATTTTGCTATAAGATTTCTTTGTAATCTTCCAACAATCTTGGTGGAAAATAATCAAAAGAATTCAAATTTACTTAAATCTCTATGAAATTATATTGCTATTTTTCAAATTAATTTGCTACAAAATGCATTTATTCAATAATTGCGAATAGTAAATTCTGTTTGCAAGGCGGATCTTACATTTCCTCAAAATCCTCACACAGAACGACGGAATTTGCCAAGAAATCAAGCTTGTACAAACCGTGTAAAGAACTGGTTTAACAATACATGCAGCCAATCGCAAATAAATCGCTTTCGACAAGGTAATTACACACTCAAACTGAATTATTACTGAATAACCAAATGCTGAAGAAAGGAAATTTTGTGTAATGCGTATTACAAACTGGATACAGGCCAAAGGTTAAATGGTAACGTAAGTACAAAACAAAGACAATCATACAGAGTGTAAACCTCTCAAGCAATATCAAAATGCGCAGTCTTTTGGTAAACATACAATTACAAAATGATAAAAAATTATAATTAGTAACTGCTGAGTGTCTCCGACTTAGAACGGATGGAGTAATTAAGAGAACATATTCCCATTCGTTGAAAAAAGTCAACGGTTAATTAATAGCAACATTATCTCCCATAAATAGTTACTTTAACCCCGACAACAATGATTTTGTCCTTAACTGTTTAGTGCTAAACACGCAGATCTAATCTCCCCAAAAAACTACAGAAAGATATTTGTTGAAAATGTTTTTAAATACATAGCGATGTTTATTCAAGATTTTATGTAATGACAAATTCGTTCTATTAAGTTTCAGATTTCTACATCTTTTACATAACGCGTTGGGGGTAGCGACATACAACTAATGAATAATGTTTGAGTTCTCAGCTCATGTCTTTTCAATCGTGCCGAGCATTGAAATATGAGAAAATATATTCTGGCAGAAAACTCGATGTGTGCCAAAAATAAATTCATCGAATTATACCACCAGCTCAAGTGTTCATGCCCACAAACATCTCAACAAGGAGCTTCAAAGAAAGAATTCTCCTAATTTAGATAATTTCATTGCATTTGCGCAAATTCTATCGCAGTTTGCTTGTACATACATCAAAAGATAAAAATCAATAGATGCTTCATATTTTCAGCTCTTGATGTACGAATGTTTTTTCACAAGATAAACGTAAAAGTAATCTTTCATTTGATATACGCGCACTTAACGAAATGCCAACCTCCAGACCAACCTCCCAAAGCAAGAGAGCGTCACTTGCTGCTCAAACATTAAATAAAGACTGGGTACGAGATTAAAGTAATGACTTTAATTTAAAAATACTTCATAAAATGCACTTTATTCATGGAAATATACTTAAGCGCCGTATACTGACAAAAAAACAATTATTAGAATAAATTGAGACAAATTCCAAAGTGAACTTTCCTACCTGATAAATATATGGTATTAACTGATAGCAAAATATGACAAAAACACGCGATTCAGATCATAGTGATGCATCTTTTTTCAAAATAAAAGTCTTCCCCGGCTTGTATATACGCCCTGCCGAAAAGCATTACGACGTACAACGATTTAAAAATTCATAGCGTTTCGCGGCCATACTGTGAAGCGAAAGGCTCTTCAATGGTAACGATTTAATGAGCGACAGAGATAAAGCCTCCAAATACTTGGCAAAAGGTAACATATCCCCGGCAGGAAAAACTTCTTCCGGTTGACAATGATGAAAATGTTCGATTGCCACTACATGGCAGTAAAACAGGAGACAAAAATGTACATTCGAGTAGAATTGGGCACAAATTTGCACAATACAACGCCAATGTTTTGAAAATTTACACTTATTGAATATTCAATATCTAGAGAGTCAATGACTAGCCCAAAGATAATGAAACATATATCAGAAAAGAATAGTGACAATTTCATCACATTTTCTCTTCTACAAACTTTCCCTTCAATTAAGCGTAGTGTAGCAATCAGGTTTGGTTCGTAAAAAATGTGTTTCAAATGTTAATTATCCGTAAATCATATATGTAAGCGATCGCATGACTGTAAATAACGAAGTGAAACACTAAACAATGTTATGTGTTTTGATTATCACGCCAACCTTAACGCATTGTTAACATTGAGGTAGTTGGAAAAAGACATATGATTTCAAAACGAGTTGAAAGTTAGCCGAATCTGTATCTCGTCAAACAAACTTCAACGCAATATGCAAGTAGCCAGCTCGAGCAGCATACAAAATTTCCATAATACAAAAATTCGTGCTGGGAGGTTAAAATGCATTATAGGTACTGAACGTTCTTACCTTCTTTTCGTTATCGCCATCTATATTTTTCTCACACTCTGGTCGGCTGCCTTCGTTTTCTAAAATCTGATCCGAGTTAGTGGTTTCACTATTCTCTATAGTGCCAGATAACCTGCTGTCTTGTTCGCTGCTGCAATCACTGAGTTCGTCAGATTCGCTTCTGCTCGGCAGAAGATTTGTGTGAGCGAGTTCTTCATTATGAGGTACCGTATCGTTCATTTTCAACGAGCAGCAAACAGCTGCAGATATAGTTCATATATTACTCTTACGACCAAGCGTTCAATGAAATGGCGATAAGACCATGGCGTACAATGACAACAAACCTAAACAAAACATTCCCGTATATATTAACGCTTAAATTCTACTTCGACACATGATGTTCTTGATGTAATCTGCAACGATGAATCTCTAAAGGATAACAAAGGCATGAAAATACTACTACTACATCGTACCTAGTATCTTTAATGACCGGCTACAATAGCAAGCAGCTAATTTCCGATTGAAGCACTAAGATATACGACGACCCCTTTGAGTGCAGCGCCAGGAATGTAAGCAATTCATGTTCGTGCAGTTGCCTGTGATTTAATATGTCGAATATTATAGCTAGAACTTTGCACCTGAGACACACGTGTGATAGTTCAAAAAACTTGTGATAGGAAAAGACAACAGCACACAAACAAACCTTTGATGTACGGCGCAAGAGCTACCGTAGTATGCCAAGGTAATTTTTTTACGCTTTCCCGGGTTTTACAGCAAATAATTCGAATACTCCAACTTAAACAATGTTTTAGAAAATACGCTTGAACAAAACTGTGCGTTCGCCTGAAAAAAATTTATCGGAGAGCGGAAAAAAATGAAGTTACCAGATAAGAAAAAAATTTCCCGCCGCTACATGTACAAATAGTATGAATAAACAGCAGAATCCACAGTGAATTAGCAGAGAGCACGCGTGAATGAGTCAGAAATTCAGACAACGAGCATACTTAACATATGCAAATACAATCCTTGTGTTTTGATTGCACATACCGGCGAAAATGTGAAAGGAAAACTTAGCACAGAGACAAAATATATCATTTATGATCAGCTGCAAAGAAACAATAATTTACGTCTGCTTGGTATTTTTCAACTAAATGCTTAAAAAAGAACATTGAAAACTCGTGCCAGGCTTTCTGTACGAATAAAGTATTGGGTTAAATAAATTATATATAATGTGGCGCTATGAAAGAGAAACTATCCTGCAATATAAAAATAAAATAGCATATGAAATAAATAAAAAATAAATTTAGAAAAACGGATTCACATAAAATACTAAATATAAAAGTTAAACTAGAAGAAATTTCATAAGAAAAAATAGCTTATATTGAAAAAATGCTTTATAGTATATACCCTCGTTATAACCAAGAAGGCCCTTATTAAACAAAGTTACAATTGTAATGACATATACCACTTAATTTTTTAAAAAACATAAAATGAAATATTTCCGCTAAAAGGTATAATGTTTCAATGATAATTGAACTTGCGACCTCTATTCATCGAATTGATTCATCAAAATCGTCCATTACTGAATATTTTGAGCGATTTCAGCATCAGATCTTCGTTGGTATTAACCACCTAATGCCTTGTACGATTTGAATTTTTCGACATAATTACTGCAGGTTTTACATTGATGGCCAATTTCAGTAATAACACGTGGTTTATGATGGGTTTTTTTACTACAGGTATATTTTATAACATATCCTCCACCCAGCAATATAGGGATGAGGAATAGAACTCTAAATATCCCTCATCAATATATAATGAGGGACGTTTAGACTCACTAAATGTTCCTTATCAATATTACAACCAGTATGTTCGTGTCTCCACATTTCATTCTTGTTGCCCGTAGAAACTACGTGAGCTTCCTTCCTTTGAAAAGGTCAATGGCCCGATGCTTTTCGCAAAAGTCAATTGAAACCACACTACTTCGAGGGCAAGCTTGCCAAGTAGATGGTCTTCTTGACTTCTTGAGCGACTGCTAGATTATCAACACATGAGATACAAGTGAAAATTTAGCGGCAGTTTCGCCAGCTTGTTTGAAATTGCGAATATCGTTATTCCAAGGCTTAGCTCATTCCTGTTACATATTGTACGTAATTGAGCTGTGAGATAAACTCGTCTTTCTTTCGCATCGGCAACTTCCTTGTCACTAACTTATGGAATCGGTAATCAGGCATTAACGAAAAATTCGACGAAAATTACCCTACCATGTATATGCATAAAAATTTATACACATATTCAATGAACAAAATTAATTCAACAACAGAACTCACAATGAAGTATCTTCATTCATTTCTTTATCCCCTTGCTGATCATGAACAATATACGCTTTGAACACCATCTGCGTATTGTTGTCAATACTCAAATCATTGGACTTGTTTGATAAAAATAATGCCAAACGGAAAAGTTCAATGCATTTATTATACTCTCCTCCGCAGGCATGTTATTAATTACAAACTAAGCCCGTTTGCACGAACCCGGTTTGACAGCCAGCCCGGGTTGGTGTGCAAACCTGGGTCAAGCTGTCTACTAATAAATTCCTATTAACACTTTACACGAGTTGGGTCAATTTACCAGCCCGGGGCACCCTTCTGTAGACCCGGGTCGACCCCGGGTTAGTAAGGTGTTAAAGCGTTAAATTTAGCTCGTTTCTTCATGTAAACACGGGTGGTTAGCTTGTCTATGGCTTTATTTTCGAGTCAACCCGGGCTAAGAATTGCTGAACCCGGTTGAAAAATCAGTTCTAGCCCGGATTCGTGTAAACATAACCACCTACCGCAGTCTGACCGTGTAAACGGGGCCCTGGTCGCATGTTTTCAGGGATATCAATGATTAAATATACCCTTAAACTACGAGAGATTTAGTAAAACTTGCGGCCTCGGACTTTTTAATTACAAATATCTTTGAAATCATGCGTTTACTTACAATAATTACCCCCCAAAACGTATACTATTCTATAAAGTTCACTATCATCTCAAGCCTTATTATCAGTGTTACTAGATTGAATTGTCTCTATACCCTTTTCTCTTTATTAGTTTATTACATAGTTTCTGTATTATGTAAACATCTTTGTTGAAAGCCATTTTACACTACCCATAGAGGGGTGAGGTTTGGTGAACCAAGCTACCAATAAACTTCATGAAAGAGTAAATTTACTTGTTACGCATTATTGAATACATCAAGATCTATATGGTTTGATTGCAAGTATTTCATACATCGTAACTTCAAAGGGGATCGTTCCATCTTCATTTTGAAAATGCTGAATAAAATTCTCGACCTTTTCAGGCAAAAACTTTTGTTTATCTAAATAGGTAGAAGCGCAGAACCAGCTTAAATAAAGATCTGACGTTTTAAACAAGTATGAATAGTCAAAATATTTGTCAGATAGTATTAAAAAACCATTTTTGCAAAGCATTTCTTCAGCATTAAGTTTGGTGATTTGCTTAAAAGGACAGCGGCTAGACTTTATATCGGAATCAGCAACTAACTCTTGAGTGCATTTAACAATTTTCAAATTTGCATCCGAACTTATGACACCCAATTTCCCTCCAGGTCTTAAAGATGAATATACAGTCTTCATAAATGTTATCTTCTCGTGTTCGCTCATCCACTGCAACACTGACGAACAAAATACGTAGTCATAAAATTCTTCATTAGCATGAGGAAATTTAGAGGAGCTATCGCCGTGAAAGAAAATAATGTTTGTCCGAGCAGGAAGATGCTTTTCCATCGCAACTTCAATACGATACTTGTCAGGATCAAAACCAACACATAAACCATCTTCCTTTACTGTGTCAGCGATATAAGCTGTGATTTCTCCAGTACCACAACCGACATCAAGAACTTTATCTCCAAGCGCAATGTCCAATGTGTCTACTAGTTTCTTACCATAAAAGAGTTGGAAATCATTCAGTCGTGAGTACTTTTCAGCCATTTCTTTATAATACAACTGTTTCTGTAAAGAAGAGCTCATGCCTGTGGTCCTGTGGACTGAACTTTACTAGGCAAGGGGCATACGATTTAACGATCAATAAACTCCGCAGGCATTAGACATTGAAACCTTATATGCAAGTTAACAATGCTATACGTTGACAAATCATGTGATCGGAAACACACATCGATGCAAGGTCAAGATCACTTGTAGCGAAAGATAAAAATCAACTCCAAAACAATTATACACAATGACTATCAGAGAGTGAGAATTCACTGAAAACAAAACCCACACTGCATATAGCAAAAGCGTCTCTACAGTTTTTCACATAAAAACCCCGTTACTTTCACATGAGAAAATTTCTCTATTTAAGTTAACAAATAAAAAGTTGCAACACTTGAAAACCTTTCGAACGACGTTTAACCTGAATACTGATTTTTAACAGGCTTATTTATGGGTTGTGGCATCATAAAGCATTCAGTAAACACGTTTTGCATAACGGCGCATGTCTTGAAGTCTTGAAAAATTGGCAAACGGCAAATGAGCAACATTTCAAATTATAAATACGTTATACAGTGGTAATGAACAACAGTTCAAATTATAACTACGTTATACAGTGGTAATGAGCAACATTTCAAATCATAAATACGTTATACAGTGGTAATGAGCAACAGTTCAAATTATAACTAAGTTATACCGTGGTAATGAGCAACATTTCAAATCATAAATACGTTATACAGTGGTAATGAGCAACATTTCAAATCATAAATACGTTATACAGTGGTAATGAACAACATTTCAAATTATAAATACGTTATACAGTGGTAATGAGCAACATTACAAATTATAACTACGTTATACAGTGGTAATGAGCAACATTACAAATTATAAATATGTTATACAATGGTAATGAGCAACATTACAAATTATAAATACGTTATACAGTGGTAATGAGCAACATTTCAAATTATAAATACGTTATACAGTGGTAATGAGCAACATTTCAAATTATAAATACGTTATACAGTGGTAATGAGCAACATTTCAAATTATAAATACGTTATACAGTGGTAATGAGCAACATTTCAAATTATAAATACGTTATACAGTGGTAATGAGCAACATTACAAATTATAAATACGTTATACAATGGTAATGAGCAACATTACAAATTATAAATACGTTATACAGTGGTAATGAGCAACATTTCAAATTATAAATACGTTATACAGTGGTAATGAGCAACATTTCAAATTATAAATACGTTATACAGTGGTAATGAGCAACATTTCAAATTATAAATACGTTATACAGTGGTATTGAGCAACATTTCAAATTATAAATACGTTATACAGTGGTAATGAGCAACATTACAAATTATAAATACGTTATACAATGGTAATGAGCAACATTACAAATTATAAATACGTCATACAGTGGTAATGAGCAACATTTCAAATTATAAATACGTTATACAGTGGTGATGAGCAACATTTCAAATTATAAATACGTTATACAATGGTAATGAGCAACATTACAAATTATAAATACGTCATACAGTGGTAATGAGCAACATTACCAATTATAACTACGTTATACAGTGGTAATGAGCAACATTACAAATTATAACTACGTTATTCCATGGTAATGAGCAACAGTTCAGACTACAACTACGTGAAAATTCCAATATATTCATGATTAAGATGAAGTTTCAACATGCAATAAATATTAAATTACTTGAAAGTTGAAATTACATAACACAATATAAAAACGAAAGTCCGAAACAAGAATAACAAAATTAAATTGATTTTGTGGCAACGATTTCGTACAACGTCATATTAAAAGGGACTGTCGCATCTTTGTTCTGAAATGAAGCGCAAATTTAGTAATTTTTTCAGGTAAAAATTTTGTCTCGTCTAAGTACCCAGATGAAGAAAACCAAGTCAAATAATAGTCCAAGCTTTTAAACGTATAAAAATAACCAAAATATCTGTCAGATTGTATTTTAAAGCCATTTTGAAGCAATATTTCTTCTGCTTTATGTTTTGTTACTATTTTGAGCGGTGGGCGACTCAACTTTATGACGTCGCCAGGAAATAATTCTAGCCTTTGTTTAAAAACGTCGGGCATCATATCCTGGCTTATTATAGCTAATATTCCTCCAGGTCTAAGGGATAGGTATGCCGTCTTTAAAAATGCAAGCTTCTCCCCTTCGTCCATCCAATGAAATACTGACGTGCAGATGATTTTGTCATAAAATTCTTCATTAGCACGAGGAAATTTAGACGAGCTATCGCCATGAAAGAAAATAATGTTTGTTCGACCAGGAAGATGCTTTTCCATTGCAACTTCAATACGATACTTGTCAGGATCAAAACCAACACATAAACCATCTTCCTTCACTCTGTCTACGATATAAGCTGTGATTTCTCCAGTACCACAATCGACATCAAGAACTTTATCTCCAAATACTATTCCCAATGAGTCTATAAGTTTTTTTCAATAAATAAATTGGCAGTCATTCACTTGTGAATACTTTTCTGCCAAATCTTTGTAATTTAACTCTTTCTGTAGAGAAGATGCCGTGACTTTTGACTGAGCATCAAGCGGATATGCTACGCAATCAATGAGTGACGAGCAATGTCTGATACTCCGATTAAAACAACGTGGACGTGGAACCACGTGATCTCAATATTGCATTACAATTTTGGATAGATTACAAAATCTATCTGTGGCCAACAACCAAAAAACTCGGCAAAAACAGAGCTGAAACTCATTCTGTATAAAATGTAGAAAATCTACACCTCAGAAACACACTGTCAAAAACATGTGTTGGTTCCTTTGTCTGCATATATGATGTATCATTGAAGATGTAATTCGACTCGATGTCAACATGAACGACATTTGTAACTCTTAAATGAAGTTAAAATTAAATGAAGAAATTCTTCCGGGTTTTTCACAGAGGAATTTCCCTGGGTTGAGTACCAAGAATGCGCGTCAAGTAAAGCTTCTTTCAAGAGATAGATCGTTAACAACGGAGTAAATCGTGGCTATGTACAACGGTCAAAATGTGTGCATTATATACCAATTCCGCACGATAAACATACTAAACCCTCTTCCCAGCTCTAAATTTTTTCCTAGTGTATATTTTACTAGTACAACCTTTAAAACTACGAGTCATATTTATAGTCACATTTATAACGTATGTATATAGGTCATCCATATCTCGTTTATCCCAGCATTTTCAGCATTTCACACAAAAAATAAGCAAAATGTGCTTTGTTATTTACCATCAAAAGTAATAATATTACTGTTAAACTTCGTTTTACTTCATTTTGATTCAAGTCTACAATGTAACATAGTTATCACTTACGCGCCATGACCTCAAAGGTTTTATGAATTAAATGTGCATTTTAGGAAAAGATTTATGAAAATTAAGTGTCTCTATTTAGCAGTAAAACCTTTGAAAACCTATTCATCATAAAGACTAAATACTACAAGCTACAAAAATACTAGAAAAACAAAGCATATTTGAAAAAGATCTCTTGCCGGCAAAAACATTTGAACAATTATCATGAATAAGAAAAAAATCCTACGTAGCAACACTACATTCACAGGTCCCGCTGTGCTAAAAAAGTTTGCATGAATAAAGAAAAGATAGGTTAGCAAATCGTATGTGACACATTGTATATAAGGTGTGAACGGTGAGTGCTGAAGAATGTAGGCAACTATTTTCGTTGTTGTTGAGTTTTATGCTGTAATTTACGCTTATCTGATAACCAAAGAGCACAGTTGTGTGCGTTAAGCAGTTCATGGATTATTAGCAGCACAGGTTGCATTAGCATCATTAAGAATAACAAGAAAATAACGACAACGATTTTTGTTTGACTGCGATAGAACTAAGTCTTTTTAAACTTTCGTAATCTTGTAAGCAAGAGTTTTCAACAGTTAATGATTTCAAATTCCTTTTGGCACAAAAATGTACAAAAAATCGTACTCATAAATACGATGTTTGCTAATCAAAGATAAACAATCAAATTGATAGAATCAAGGTAACGAAAAGCACATATATCTCATAACTTGTAAAATAATACACGTCAAGTATTTCATATACTCCCCATAAATCCAAGTTTCGCGCTACATGTCTATAGATATGGGTTCGTTGAGGGCGTCTAATTCAAGTGTCTTATAATCTAATCGCTTTCATTTTGCCAGCACAGGGTAAAATCCATTTAAAACAATTGAAAATAACTTAAATATATAACACAGGAAACAAGCATTTAGGCAATAAAATTTAAAGAGCAAGGCTGATAATAACCCCGCGGCAAAAAGATTTGGTCTATTAAATGTCTTACACAATAATGTGATATGGAAGCTGCTTATTTTATTTCATTAAAAATAAATAAATTATATGAGTCTAAATGTGTTCGTCACAAACAAAACCGTAAAATGACAAGGATAACATTGCATGTGTAACTCTATAGCTGTTCAAACTATAATTGAGGTATTAGTTAAACGCCTAGAAACAGCGGCTCAAATATACGAGAAAACAATGCAAAATATTTAAAGCACGTCTCTGTGTTCATCAAGATAAGTTTAGCAGATACGACGACCGTAAATGTATCGAAATAACATGAAAGCAAAAACGAAATTTTATTAAAGAAAAAAGCTCACTAAATGCCATGAATAAACTGTACTATTGGCGAGACGTTTTCTTATCATATGAACTACGCTACAGGAGTTGACATTGAACGTATATATTAAGGTTTATTTCGCTCACAATGCCAAGGCCATATATTTCGCTCAAAGAAATATTTTGAGCTAGCATCGATAAAATTCTCGATCATTTGCGCTGTACTTCTAACGTGATCATTAAAGGTCGTAAAAGCGAGAAAAATAGGTGGGGATAAAGCGAGTTTATTCATTAAAGCTTTTAATCTACATAGTCACGATAGCAAATGCTCTTATAGTATGCATCAAATGTAAACAAAGTTTCTGCATAATGTTTTTTTTCTAAAATTTTGCTTTGGACATTACTCGTAAAACATTTCTTGAAAGCACTGACACTTGGTTGTAAATGAAACGATGGAATATTACCAATATTACATGAATTGCCTTGAAAACGCACTGATTGATTTCAACGATTCGCGTGCAGCTCTACAACATTTCACTTCTACGATAACCTGAGCGCATAATAATATCTCTTGCTGTCTTACCTCTGGAAGTGGAAGATCTCAAATCTTTCTTTTGACGTAAAACTCCATTCGGATTCCACCGATGTTTTACGGTGACAACAACTGTACGTATTTTATTGAAGCCGCCGGCAAGAGCGCTACATTCTTCAGCGCATGCGTAAAGAAAGAAGCAGCATAGATTTCTGAAGACTCTCCGCATGCTTAACATATCATATCATTATTAGCCAACAAAGAATAGGATGTCAACCATATCTTCTGCTAGCGTGGGGTCTGGAATATAAAAATTTAACATATTGAATTGTTCTCAATAATCTACTCTCTAAATAAAGTGGTTAAAAAATTACGTACTTATTAGAGATCTTGCGCAAGTACATCAAAAAATTCAATTATATTGGGATAGTTTCCCTTGACGACATTGCAAATCGATAATGACAATATAAAAAACTAATTTAAACAGAGTAACATGACATTCCAGAGCACAACAGGCTTTCCTGTCTTTATAGAAAAGCACAAAGCCGTGACTTGGGAGGCAACGACTAACGGAATGAAAATTATATGATTGATTGAGAAACGTCGATAAGGTAAAACAAGCAACTGGCAACGTTAAGATTCACATGTAAATTAGTGCTCTAATATTATTATACTGATTAGACAGTCGCAACAGTAAATTCTACGTTATGAAAGAAAACAAATAATGAACTCATCATACGTGCCTAGTATGTACGTAACAGCCCCCAATTCATAAGTTCACAGTCACACAGAATTTAAAAAAAATGCCTCCTGTCAATTGCATGGACATTGCGTAATCATATTCATGTAGAGAAATACGTGAACTATTTTTCAAGATATTTTGCCTCGTCTCATGGCCAGTGTTGAGTTATTTACCGTAAGCTAAAATATTAAAATACGGTACTAACAAGCTGGTGAAAAAATGATATCAGATAAAAACAACCGAGCCTCTGATTGCTGCAGAGAAAGTGAAAAATGAAAAAGCACTAGAATTTTAGGGATATTTTGATTGCAACAAGGAAAAATCTCACGAGAAATTAATGCGCCAACTAATTGCGCATTTTTTCTAGTTTTTCTGTTTTTTCCAGTTTATTGACTTTGCAAAATCATAATAACTAGCTTCTAAAAAGCACATTTATAACATTGCAGTAATGTCAATTGCAGCTACATGGTTTTTCAAGGCAGTTAATTTGGTTTTTGTAACAATCCTAATCCAATGGATGGTGCCTAAAAAGTTAGTGCAACCAACAAACCCCATGCTTTGACAAGATCACTGATGATATGAATATCATTCATAGGGTCACATAATACAAATAAAAATATCTGGTGTTCTACATTATGGGACCTGGGACCTACTTTTTAATGTCTGTATTTGATAAAAAGGCCATAATTTAAGCAATACCAACTTATTTTTTCCTCTTAAACAGATCGTTCACCCCTTACTTTGACAAATGCAAAATAGCACGGTGATCGGTCACTCATAACACAAGGGTTGGATTCTAAATTACCATACTAGACATAAATGTTTTCTAACTATGTTCTGTTCTTTTATACAAATTTTTTATATAAATGACAAGACGTGTATCCTTTTTTATTCTTATTTTATCAAGACTTATGCCTATTATTCTTGACTTGATTGCCAATGATAAAGAATGACATAATGTGCTCTATTTAAGTAGAATCTGGTAAATAAAAGCAAAAATGCTTGACAAAAAAAAGGCAAATAATTTTTGCTGAAATGTTTCTTTTATTGTGCTGAATAATAATCTTGATGTTGAATCATGTTCAATTTTAATGCAGTCAAATTCGATTATATATTTAGATAAACAAATTGTAATAATGTTATTATTACATAGTATAAATAATGCAAATTACCCCTCATCTTTTTGTAATGTATTTTTACGATAAAACAACTGATTGAATTGATTTTTCAAATTATCATCATGGACATTTAACATAGAAATCAATGCTTTGCACCAGAAACAATACATAAAAATCTCATAAATGATAGAACTGATTTCCCATTATTAGGAATATACAAGCAACTAGGAATTTAAATAAATGATGCAGAAGAATGCACTAAAATGTGCAAGAGTACACGAATAAAGTTTTGCAGCAAACATTTATAAATGCACTCACTAAAGGATTGGTCCAAATGCTTTTAATCAAGTTTCTATACATGCATAAAATGAAAACATGTATTGGTAACTTTGTTGTAGTATACAAGGTAATCAACGTTAGTTCATAAAATGAAAAAAGAAAAATAAGTTATATCTGGAATAACTAATCTTTCAAAATAACAATAAGTATTGACTCATGACATCAATTCCCTTAAAGCATCAATTCCTTGAGTTATGGCATTTACTACATTTTTTAAACTTTAAGTGCAAGGTTTCTCTGTAGCACTTTTACTTACTTGCCATCTTTTCCGGCTTCCTGTTTAACAATCTACTCTCAGAGGTCCAAAAAATAAGATATATCTGGAATAACTAATCTTTCAAAATAACAAAAGTATTGACTCCTGACATCAATTCCCTTAAAGCAACACTTCCTCGAGTTGTGCCATTTACTACATTGTTTAAACTTTAAGTGAAAGGTTTCTCTGTAGCACATTTACTTACTTGCCGTCTTTTCCGGCTTCCTGTTTAACAATCTACTCTCAGAGGTCCAAAATATAGTAAGCAAGAACAAGGAATCGTTAGCAACATCTTTTTCTAACTGATTTTCATTTTCAATTATAAGATTCCGGCAAAATTTACTGTTTTTGCGAATACTTAAAGCCTTTGAATCTCCGAAGCAAGCCATTTTTGAGTTCCAAGAAACATATGCGTTCACGTGCGTGTAAATATTTTATATCTTTTCATACATGACGTATCTCCTTCAATGCAAGATTTGCGCGAATGGTGCGTGGTCGTGTTGCTTGGCGCCGAGCAAACAATGTAATGTGCTTTTGTTTCAAAGAAAATACTGGATTCATTTTTGTAATTGTTTTTTGTAGTATTTGAACTGCCATTCAGTTATGAACGTGGACAGGGATACTGCTAGCTCACTTCGACAACAGTTTGAACTTATACAGAAACAACACCAGAAAAAATTATTGCTTCGCAAACAGCAACAAATTACACAATCAAACAAGGATGAAAAAGAGAGCAATAGTTCAAACCCAGAACAAAATGCTGGAGGGCAAAGTGAGGACATTGATAGTTATAGTGCTTCGGAGAAAAATGTGGATAATCTTGAACTCAAGGTTTGCCAAGGGCATAACGCTTAATAAATATTTATTTCACAAGTATTTGATTTTGGTAATGCTAATAAAGGGCACAGCCGCACAGAGTAACCAGAAAGTTTCTTCTGCTCAGCATTAGAAATGAGAAATGCCTCGCAAGTTAAGGACAACACTGGTGATTTTAATACTCTTTAAAATGTCAGCAATCAATCAGTTCTGACAGAAAAAATCCTCATTATCTTTATTACTTGTTAAAATCATCAATACTGTAATATTTTTATTGAATTTCATAGTTGAATGATGATTTGAGTGCACGTTCATCCATACAGATGTTAGAATATGATGATAAATTGAGGGTAAAGACTTTAAAATAATTTTTTTTATAAAATTTTTATAAATTGACAATTCTATGTTAAGTTAAACCATTTGTATTATATCTTTCATACTGGTCAGTTATAGAAAAAAAACTATAATAATTTTGATATTTTAAATTTCCAAAAAAATTTACTGTCACATTATTGGACAAAATGGTCTTGGACATAAGAACATGATTATGAAATGTGACTTGTTAATGTGACTTTGTAACAGTATGAACATTGTAATGCCAAAACTTTAACATTCATATATTTTTGGGTTTTTGAGAGTTTTTGTCCCAATATTTGAAATTTTTGCATGTTTTAACAATCTAAGGAGTTAAAAGATGAAAATGGAAGACTGTACAAGCTGCTGGCAGAAAAAGATGAGGAAATGAAGATACTAAATAAACAAATAACTCAAGAACGGCAAGCAATTGCTGGTAAGGATAAAACTTTGCTTGTTATGAAAACCTGAGAATTAAATACACAAGATGTGTGTATTTCAGGCATAGGACCTGCATCTGATACAGCTGCTAATAAAATAATGGAGTTGTCAAAACGGAATAGGGAATTAGGATGTGAAGTAGAAAAGGAAAAAAGACGAGCAAAACAATTATCCACAAGATTAAATGAAATTGAAAGTCAAGTATGTAATCTTCAAGTAAAACAAATAAATTTTCATTTTAAATTTTAATGATTTCAGCATTTACAGGAACGTTAGAGGAGGGATTACGTAGATGTTTGAATATCTACTTAAGTTCTTATAAATTCTTAAGGTAATTCTTAAACTGAAAAGGCATCATAGTTTTTTCCATCTTCTCCTTTCATACAAATCTGTCCATATAACTAAGGTGCTTTTGTAAGAATGACATGTACACCATTATAACTCAGCAAGTAAGATTTTTGTCAAATTGTTGATGGACAAAGTGCTTTTTACATGTTCAAGCAAACCAGATCATTCAAAAAAATAGCAAAGTTTATATTTTACACAACAATATTTTAGACCAGTTTCAAAGACAGAATTTTTCAGTTGGTATTCCCAATAAACACTTAGTTTCATTTGACAGATACTGAAAACCTTCGCCTATCGCAATGCAAAAGCCCACCACAATCGTGACACTGAACTCATTTCACGTGAATAAAGCCATGTATTTACCAGTGTAATGTAGTGTAAGGTAGTGAGGTAGTGAATATGTAAGGTAGTGAATATGTAAGGCAAGGGCTAACGAACTTATCTCCTTGGCTTATAGGAGTTTTACCTTACCGAAATTACGGTCATCACACCCTAATTATGAATCGCATCAGAATAAACAAAGGGAGATAATGTGGGTAAAACCCCCTTTTACTGGCCAAGTATTCAAAGTCGATCCTTTAAAGTTACGCCAACGAAATTAACTATCAAAAAAATTCCCGAAATTTAGCATTCAAGTTTAACTGCACTGGAATCGAAAAAAGACGACAGTGATTCCAAAACGCAGGTGCGAGTACAAAACTGTTCATCATCTAACTCTATTCAATTTTTTAAATAACCTACAAGACTAAAGATGTTTTCACCGTCAATTTGTTATTATTTTAGGAAAAAAGCAACGCACAAGTACTAGAAGAAAAGTTGAAACAAGCGCTATCGAAGATGGCAGAATATCGTAATCAATGTGAGATTCTAAAGAAAGAAGCAAAAGTTGCGCATAAGGTAAAATACATGACTAATAGTCAATTTCAATAAACCCCAATGCCTGAAAAATGTCGAAGAATTTGTTCAACTAACTATAATCAAGTATTAGATGATCGGTTATTTAGTTAAACTATAAAAGCGGTTGACAAAAAGCAACTTCTTCATCAATGAATCACTTAGCTAAAAAATCAGATTACGGCTTTAGCTTTGGTAGATCGCTCAACAAAGAATGGTTGCCACTACTTCGTAAGATCGATAGCGATCTTTAAATGGAGTCACCTTTATAACGAACGAGGGAAAATTTTAAAATATTTACGTACATACTTCTCTGGGGCGAAACTAGAACATTAATTGGGGAGGGGGGGGGTATATATTCATATATTCAGCTCTGCCCAGCTGATTTCTTTTGTTTGCGATGTTAATTTCTAAAGTCGGCAGGGCAGATCTGAATGTATGAATATTTACCCCCAAATAGAGTTCTAGTTTCGCCCCTGATACGTTTTAATTTCGTCGTCTTTCATAGTTTAAATTATTTAATACATAATTATACCATTAACATAAGAGAAAAGTCCATTTGACAAACTCAATGTCGGCTAGTTAAGTAACCAATGTCTGGTAACTTCGAGAAAATTTTCCAAGTTTTTAAAGAATTTTAGGTGCTTCATCGTAATTACCACCAAGGCTAATTATGTCATAACTATTATTTTATTTGAAAAATCATTTATAAATATGCTTGACGGACGAACTATTTGTGTAACATCAAGGTTATAACGAAGGAGTGCGGAGAAGGTGTTAACGTTGCAGGACTTTTAAACGAACCTAGTGGTTGGCGTGGAAGACAACAACAAATAACCACATTACAAAATAAGGTATACGTATGAAAAAAACTAACACTCAAAAGTTCTTACTCAAGAAATATGTATCAAAATCTTTCATAAAAAAATTCCAGTCTTCGTGTATATTTCTGAAAAACTCGAAAAGAGTGCAACTCACTTACATAATTATACATAATCGTTTACTTAAGTGATATACAGAGTGTAAAAAAAAGCTTAACCATTTGGCAACGCCGCTAAAGTTTTTTGGTGGAAATAGTTGCACTTCCAATGATTTATCTGACAGTAAAATTTTCGCCAATAATAAACACTTTTGAAAATTGTGTTAAAGAAGCACTTATGAAAAAGCTTGTGCACGAAAATGATTCAGCTAAAAAGCAATTGAACGCATAATGTTAAAATATGGCACATTTTCCTATTTAAATGCCATCTTGTTATAATCATCATCAATTATCCATAATTTGAGCTTACAGTGTAAATCAGTTCAAATATGAATAATAAATAAAGTTTTTAAGAAAATGGCATTTAAAAAGGGAAGAACAAAAAACGATACGTAATTTTGGATGCCTAGAGAGTTCTTGCACAATTTGGACAAATTTCCTCAATTTTGTGCACGCTTCGTCCACGTGCCAAATTTCAAGAAACTTAGTACAACATGTGTGATATTTCAACCTATTTGTTGAAATTTCTTTTTATCGTTGTCATTTTCGCGCGCAAGCTATTTTCAAAGTGCTTCTCGGTAAAACAATTATCACGATAAAATGTTTATTATTAAATCCAACTACTTATTCCATCAAAGGTTTTTGCAGATCTTGCGCGCTGATAACTTTAGCGACGTTTCCCCCTGTATATTCATACATGATAATATATTTTAGTAAATCATATATTTAGGTAAATGAACTGAAAGCGCAGTATAATGAAGTAACGCTGTCAAGTCAAACTCATTTAGCAAATAAAAAGCAGTTTACTCCACAAAGAACAACGACCCCATCATTTTATGATGAAAAACATAAACAGATGTTACGAAAGATGGAACGGGACAAGAAAGAGGAACATGAAGTATACTTTAATTTAGAGTTTATTTCAAACATTATTGAATTTTTACCACAAAACACCTTAAATTGAATAGTATATTTGGAGAATGCGGTACATGTTATTTGCAGAGAGTTAGCGGTGAGCTTCAACTTTTGAATGAGCAGCATTCTAAGCTTCAAACGAAATTCGATGCATCCAAAACAAGGAACAAGATACTGAGCAGTGAGCTTAAAGGAATGAAAGAACAAATGAAGATGTTAGTAGAGAAAGGAAATCGTGACGATGAATTGATCTCGGCTTTGATGGTAGGTTGACAATCTACGCGCATGCCCAATCTGTCATGATTTTTTACATTACAAGTGAATGCGTTGTGACGTAGTTCTACAAATGATGAGCTGTTTATTTTTTTCAGAGAGAACAACAACGACTGAAGAATATGGTAGAAAAGAAGAATTCTCAGATCGCTGAACGAGAGAGTGCATGTCGACAAGAAAAGGTTCAACAAGATAACGAACTAGTCAAAACATTGACTCAACTTTGTAAGGAACGCGAGGAAAAAGTTACTCAATTAGAACGTCAACTAAAACGCACTGAATTTGACCTCAGCGAAAAAACTACAAAACATCGACCGGAATCATTAGATAAAGCTACTTCAACAGAACTGGCGAGTGATTTAAACTATAGCCCATTATCGGAAGAAAGTTTGACTAATGAATTGATTCAGCCTAAGAGTGAGATCGATATTAAACATGACGAAAAAACTACTGCTTCATCACGTGAGAAGACTGATTCCCCATCTATTCCATCGAGATCAGGCGCATGGAAGAGAAAGACAAACAGGCAGACCAATGGAGGTAGAAGGTATGCAAAGCATTTTCTCTTTTGATACCTTTACCTAATTTATACTGGCTTTATGAAATATTTTTGTCCTGTTGTATTTCAGTGGATATTGTATCATGCGGTCTGCTATAGAAAATGAGTTAGTACATATGATAACTTTTCTTTATGTGGTAGTGACAGTCCGAAAACAACTGGCAAACATAAACAGTTTGATGAGTATCAAACGCTTTATGACGCTATGAAAGTTGAACGCGATAAGTTAGTTGAACTTGTTTCTGTTTTTCAACAAAGGTAAAACGTTATTTATTTTTTGAAATTTTTTATATTATAAGTTATAAATTTTAAAAACTTTTCTCATTTTTGTGCTTTAATTGGTCCCCCATTAAATGATTTCAAAATCTACCTTATCAAAATAGTTATAAAAAAAGTAGTTTTCCAATATCAATGAACGTAGGGAAAGAGACGTCCAAGAGTCCAATTCTAAAATATTGAGTGAAATCAAGACTTTACAAAGACAAAACATGGAGCTCGAAAAAAAAGTAACTAGAGCCCAAGGACAAGGAAAACATAGCTATAAAAATCTGCATCAGAAAACTAGGACAAAAGATGAACATAATAATGAACCATTTTATGTTGAAGAACTTGAAACACAGTAAGTTACTTTGTTCTTGCTCGCTTTGCGTTTTATGCCACTTTCTTTATGTTAGAATACTATCTCATCACCACAAATATATTGCAAAGAGTTAATTTATAAAAAGCGTTAATATACCTTGTAGACTTGCCATTCAGAAAGACGAAAATGATGCTTTAAGAGAGGCGTTAGAGTCAACTTTAGTGGGGAAAAAGGACGATTTTGAATATTATCAAAGTATTGTTGAACAAACTAAAAGAGTGTTCCTACAAGGTTTGAATCAGTATAGAAATACATCATCTATGAAGACAAAATCAAAAACATAAGTAAAATGTTTTTGCTTTCATCCTAGAAAGCTAAATTTTTAAGGAGCTCCAGACGTGTTTAACTTTGCAGGACACTGATTTTATGTATATAAATGAAATGATTTTGATTAAAAATATAAAATCATACGAATATTGTTTCGTCTTTCCTCTTTTTCATTACAACTTGACCTGGTTTGTGTTGAGCTTCAGGATGATTTTCAAGTTCCTTAGGACACGAACTGATCTATAAATGAAAAAAAAAAGAAATTTGCCACCAGTACGTAAGTAGTTGTATATACTTACAGCAAATGCATGACAAAGTACGAGAAATGGAAAAATTATTAGTTCTTTGAACTTTATTAAAATATCGTTGCAGTCTAGAGGAACTATATGTTTCTCTCTCTATAAATTCATGTTGGTGTGAAAAACTTGCGTTTAACTTACCGGACTATCAGTAAGAAGTTGTTTGAGATCGTAGAAAACAGCAGAATCTTCTTGCGTCAAGAACGATATGGCTGTACCACTCTTGCCCGCGCGACCCGTTCTTCCAATACGATGAGTGTAATCTGAAAATATGCAGGATGAAAATTTTCAATTAAACAAATGGTTTCAACACAAGTTAAAGAAACTGGATCGAATCGTAAAAACACTCTATCAAAGGATTACGATCTAGTCTACATACACGAAGAAAATTCAACTGACTATATATAGTTGTTGATATCTGCATGTGATACTACTGTCAAAAAGAAACCAACATCTTATACATACCTTCAATAGATTTGGCCATGTCATAATTCAAAACCAATGAGACATCCCTTGAAGAAAAATTGAAGAGCGATATAATTAGATAAAAACATTGCCCCAACAAAATGTATGTAATGAAGACAATTGACACGTGACATAATATCAACAAAATTGGTGTTACTAGAAAATTTACTTTGTTTCAATAGCCCATTATTATATTCACTTAAATTTTCTGACCATAGTTTATGCACAACTTTCATCCACATTGAAAACTTCTTAATTCCTGTGTTTGTCTTTACATTGACATGTAATCTCTGTTTTGTTTGTGAGCAATCAATTGCTTAGTCAAGTATGTTTGTGTTTGAACATTCACATTTAAATATTTTTCAGTCATTATAAAGACCCTCTGCTTTAGGATTTGTACTTTTGTAATTACTGTCAGTAAGAATGTGAAAAACTTGCTTTATTTTCATGACAAAAACACAAATGTAACACCTTTCATTAGATAAAAACATTGCCCCAACAAAATGTATGTAATGAAGACAATTGACACGTGACATAATATCAACAAAATTGGTAAAGATCGCTAGTGCTATGCAAACTTTAAAATTAAAGCTTCGGTAACCCTTAAAAACTACGTTATGTATTATAAGCTGTGATAGTTCATTAAAGCTTTGATACGATGCATTAAATACAGTGAAAGTGATGTTTCACCAACCTAACATCAATACCACGACCTGCAACATCGGTAGCCACTAAAATATCTTTACTGCCATTTTTTAAACTGGCCAGAGCGAACTCTCTGCAAATAAAGAACAGTGATGATGAAGAATGAGAAAAAAAGGTTCTAAATCTACTATAAAATAAGAAAGTAAAACTCATCCTGATGTTTTTACCTTGATTCTTGATTTTTTCCACCATGAAGAGTCACAGCTCGATACTGAAATAATAAAGAACAACTTATTGCCTCGATTTAAGCTTAAGAAACATTCAAATCACGAATCATTACCCCCATCTTTTCCAGTGATTTTGCCAATACATCAGCTCCCTGAATAAAAAATGTGACGGATTTAATTACATTTTATGATATTTTCTTTCCCACCAGGTACAAATATAAGGAATGTAGTGTATAAATCATACACGTGACAATGAGAATGATCAAAACTACGAGAAATTGTAAATCTGACCTTTTTCTGATTGACAAAAACCATGATCGGTGGCTGCATATCACCTCGACTTAATATCTCTAAAAGTTTCTTTCTGTAATTTGTAAAATTACAAAATAACCCATAGTTACAAATTAACAGTAAAATTTGGTTGGGTAAAGGTTCTTAAAGTAATAACGCTATATGAAACGAACTTTGTTTGTGCTATACGTACAACTTCGTCATTAGACACAATTGGTCGCTAATCTTTATGATAGAGTCCTTACCTCTTTTGTGGTTCAGTCATCAAATACACAATTTGCTCAACACGTTCCGTTGGTTTACCTACATTGAAGAAAAACATGAAATATGACAAACGCTTAGATATTTAGCAAGTAGTACTGGGCAACACAAAACACCACAAATAATTTCAAATCAAGAATTTACCATGCAAAAATTCAACGCAGGAGTGAAATTGTCAAATTTCGGTTTACAAAATATAAAATTTTCATTATGAAGATAATTTAAATGGTATCACAAGAAACTAGATAATATGAAAATATCTTTTCCCAAATATTACATATGCAAAGTCCGCACCTGTAGAACCAATATATACAATAGCCGGGCGTCTAAAAAACAAAAGAAATAAGTTAATATTTAAGCAGGGGAACTGCATGTTGCCAAAACAAAATGGCTTGTTTTGAATGTGTTTGGAAAATGACGAAGTCTGTTTAATGTACCTCAAATAACTTCGAGCAAGTCGCTCAATTGAAGGTGGCATTGTGGCTGTAAACATGACAGTCTACAAATAATTAATAATAAAAGATTTTAGAATGATTAGCTATACATATAAGAGGAATAAAAATTTTGAACATAAAATATATCCATTTTCTTATTGTTCTACGTAGTTGATCACCTACTGACTATAGAGGGTATTTTAAGCTGGAGAATTAATATCGTACATGGGGATAAGCAATATACACAATGAAATTTATATAGTACTATGAATAAGTAGTAGATATACAAGGACAATTACCAGCAAATAGGGATAAGTGCGTAGCATAAACTAAAGCAATTGATACACTCGATACAAAGATAAGTAATAGAGCTAGAGCCAGTCTGTGTCTTCGGGGATAAAAAGAATACGCAAATGACACAATTTAAAGAATAAGAAATGTAATTTAGACGATGTACATAAGAATACCCGAATTACATATTCATCATACAAAAATAGGTCATTTTGAAGAAGGGAATCGTCAGTCTTATTGTATAAAGGCTTTGTTCATTGATATTGGATTTATAGATACAAAATGGATTTGCAGTTTATCATCATAAATGTCTGAAAGCTTTATGACAAGATGAAAAATGTAGTTAGTATGAGCAACATTGCAATCCAACTTATAAATAATAACTTAGCTAAGCATCTTCAAAAACACAGATATGTGAATTTGTCTATTTGCGTGTTCATACATATATGATTTCAAAGAAGTCGTGTACACAGTACCTGCCTATAACGATCTTTTGAAGCTACTCTTTCCAACAATTTCTCAGGGTCTTCAGCGTCCTCATTATCAGGTTTAAGATTAGTGACAGGAATATGTTCCAAAATTGTGTTGACGTCAGGCTCAAATCCCATGTCAATCATACGATCTGCCTGTCATTAAACCAACATGAAGAAAATAATTTTCGTCAATATCATACAATGTAGAAGTACATTGTGACATACCCGGGCGTCATACGCGTTAACAATGGTGAGGTGCATTCGGAATTGACGGAAGAAAAAATCCTCCCCCGAAGCAAGAAGTTTCACAAACGAAAAGCAGAAATTTGCAAAAAGCAGACCAAAGCACATTGATAATTTTACTAAATACAGCAATAACAATGCTCTCAAACACTATTGGATGAAGCTACTTCATTTAAAAGCACACGAAAGGGCAGTGATCGATAGTAAAAAACAAATTCCAAAGAAACAAGACATCTTGAGATTATAAAATATGAATCAGAACAAGACGAGAAGTGAACTGTGAAAGTCGTTCTGATTCATATTTTGTAATCACAAGATGTCTTGTTTCTTCGGAATTTGTTTATTACAATATTTTTTTTTAAATTGTCGGCTGGACATGGTTTTTAGGACAGTGATCGTTCTACTAAATACAGCTATAGAATTGCTCTCAAGCAATATTGGAAATAACTATGTAATATAAAAGCACACGAAAGGACAGTGATCGTTTTACTGAATACAGCTATAGCAGATGCACTCAAACACTAATGGAAATACTTCAAAATATCTAAACTTTTACCTCATCCAAAACTATGTACGAGCAACGCGATAAAACAAGGTAACGATTTTCTAAGCAAAGGAAGTAACAAAAAATTACACACTTGCTCTAAAAAATGCAAGAAGTAGTTTTATGAAAACGTACATACCTAATACATCAATAAGACGACCAGGTGTTGCTATGACAATCTATTCAAGTAAGAAAATGGTAAGAAATAAAATATCACGTGATATAAGTGACGTAAATGCATTACATGAAAACAGATTTTGTATACTGAGCTACCTCAACGCCAAGTCGAAGTTGAAAACCTTGATCTTCTCGTGATAACTAAAATAATCATGTTCAATTATAGTAGAACTAAAAGCGTAGTCTGTTGTACTTAAATATTAATTTTTGGGCTTGTACAAATTTAGTCATATTTTATTTCCTCATATTATCTATTATCGACACTTTTTACCTAATGAATTACAACAAAAGTATAAATAAACTAAAAACTCGGTGGATTGCGCTAACAGCTTTCGCACAACCGCTTCCAGATCTATTAACATTTAAAGCTTTATATTGGACAAAAATGCTAATTTTGTAAAAAAAATACTTACACCACCAATAACAGACACGGTTCTTACACCAAGTGGCTTGGCAAACTTCAATGTTTCTTCTTCGATCTATAAAGTTAACACGCAATATTCAACATATAATGTTCCTGTAAGATTATTTAAATATTTGGGCTTATTGAGATACAACTCGTTATCAATGTAAAAATGCAGTTATAAACTAGCTGAAACTGTAGTGTCGAGTTTAAAAAAAAACACTTATTCGTACACTTATTTTATTTCCATTTCCTCATTTGATTTTGATTCATGTGTCAATTGACTTGATGGCAAATAAAATATTTTTGATAAAACCTTTCAAAAGCTAAAGACTTGCTATTTTTTGGAAACGACGCGTTTTTTCAATAAAGACGACATCATCCATACACAGTTCACTGATGATGCAAGTCACTGCACTCCACGTCTATGGTTGTATAAATGCTTAAATCAGTTTGACATTTTATCTAAAATGTTCGATGTTGTCATTCAGCGAATTTGCAATGTTGATACATCAACACATATTGAGATGAAGTTGCTTTGATCTCTTGAACTGACAAAATAGGATACTGCCACGAATTTGCAAAAATTCAGAAATAAATTACGTTCAAATGAAGGCAAATCTCACCAAAAGATCAAGTTGATACTGTGCCTTTCGTTTGCTATACGAACGCTTTGAGCACACTTATATATACTAAAAACACAAACCTGTTGAGCAAGTTCTCTTGTTGGAGCTAATATGACAGCGTACGGTCCTTGATCAATGTCTTGTTCTCTGAATATTAAGTTCTTTACATTAAAGCAGATACGTTGAAAGGCTGTTATTCCAATCAAAACTCTTTAATATCATATACGTATCTACGTAGTGTTAAATATTTGATGATGGGAAGAATAACTGAAACCATCGCATTCTACAATATCTTATTTTAATCCTTTAATGAAAATGTTATCATTAAATGACGCTACCGGTAACATGATAAAAAATAACGTTTTAAACATCCTTTTGTTATTATTTAATCAAACTTTCATATTACCTAACAATTTTTGGTAAACCCATAATCCAAACAAGCAGAGGTAGGACAAAAGCAGCAGTTTTGCCACTCCCTAAAGAATAAAATATAGAATTGTTTTCCACGTATGACAATAGATAGAAACCTGCTGCTCCTCATGGCCTCAATTTTCACTGTTGGCTTTTGTTAGGTAGCTCCAACATACGTAAAGTCGTGCGCCAGTAAAACATGAACAGTAAAATGCTAAATTACTTTGTTAAAAAATTGCCTTTTGCCGTACGGTACTTTGAGGCACAAAATTGCAAAAACCTTCAATAACCAAGCACTATGCACATAATCTGAACAAAACGACCATTATAAAGCAAAAAAACAATTCAACTACTCATTAATAAAGTGAAATATTGACCTGTTTCGGCGACACCAATAATATCACGGCATTGTAAACCAATTGGTATGGCCTGTCTTTGAATAGGAGTTGGTTCCTATAATATAAATTTAATAGACATAAAACAGTTACACACGTGGCTGGCGATCATAATGTATTAACATATATGTACCTTATAACCAAGCTTATCAATGGTCTCTATGAGTTCTGGTGGAAGTTTTGACTCTTGCCAACTTCTAATTGCATTAGGAATTCGACCACCTGGTAAAAGTAATTATATTACATAAGCCCTTAATAACCGAGCGCGAGGTCTTTACGGAGAAATATCAGACCGAAGTTTTTTGTACAGACCGAGACCGTAGGGCGAGGTTTGTACAAAAAGACAGAGGTCCGATATTTCTCCGTAAAGACCGAGATAGCGAGGTTATTAAAAGGTTTATTGTATGGCATTATTTGACCTGAAACGAAGATTGTTTTGTTTCTCGTCTTTGCTGTTTTTGGTTGGCTTTCACTTCTCTAGTTTTCGTCCATAAAAACTAAATCGTTTCAAATTGTATCGCCTGGATAGTTAAACTGTTTTCCAAGTGTTTTTCCTTCAAATCACATTCGTTAATGGTTTTTAGTTTTGTTTATTTTGCGTTTTGCTGTTTGCATTATGATGTTTGTTTACATTTGACTGTAAAATTACGCGTTTTGGACCGTGGTCGATTACGAGAAAATAATGGACGGGCAAAAATATTTCTGAGCCAATCAAAGCGCGCCATTTAGCCGGAAGTAACGCTTGACATATAATAATACCAAATATTCATTATACGCACGTATGATGGAGACACGCAGATAATAACTAATTACTACCATAGAACAAACTAACAAACCTAAATTTACAGTTTTTATAACAACCATAACTTCATTGGCTGTTAAAGTGTTGCTAAACAGATTAATTCCTTATCTTACCTTTACATGATATTCCGAAATCTTCTTTGAATATCCTCCAATCTCTTTCTGTCATCTCGTCAAGATCTTTATGCGTCCAATGTCGATCATCATAAGCTTGTTTCTTTTCTTTATCACGCAGTCTGTTCACACGAGATCTATCAAGAAAATTAAAATATTGTAGACCTTGTACTTATAGTAGTTTCGCTAATCAAAAGAAACAATATAAAAAAGACAGCAATGTATCACAAAATACAGATGTCTTTACCATAAAAAAGTGCACAAAATACTTCATACGATTACAAACTGTGTGACTCACATTTCCTGATCCTTTTCTGCCTGTGTTCGTCTTTCTTCCAGAAATTCAGTATAAAACTTACTTATTTTTTTCTGAATCTGTAAAATTAGTGAAGATAGTCACAATAGTAAATAGTCACAATTTTCAACATTCGCTAACACAAATTTTGAACTAAAGAAAGATAAAATCAAGTCGACTTAAATGAAGTAGTCACCTTTTTATCAATTCCACCAATATGTCCCCGTCCGAAAAGTTGAATAGCATGTTTTTCTTTGTAACTATAAAGTCAAAACCAATAAACCAATCAGGAAATTATTTTGCGATGTACGTAATAAGATGCATCTGTAAATTTAACATTTAAGGATAGCAGAAAATGAAAGTGGTGAAACTGCTCATCGTATTTTATGAAATAAACAAGAATCTCAGTCTGAATGAGCGTGTAATGTCTCTCGCGAGATGAAAACTATTGGAGTATGGTTAAGACGAAAGATGAAAAAGATACACATAGACGAGCACGATATGACAGAAAGACGAAACGAATAAAAACCTCAGCAACATTTATATAAGCTTTCATACTTTGCAATTCAAAAAATTAGAGCACAATAAAAAATGCATCTTTGTCGGAAACGTACATAGGGTTGTAATCGACAGAGGTATCTTCATTGGTATCCCAATCAAATACAAATTTCTTGTCGGTCAGTCTTCGAACTTTTCTCTTCTTTTTAGTAATGCCAAGATATCGTGCCTAAGTTAATCAATTAAAAAAATTAGGAACGTTTGAATCATTTCACAAGCAAGTGTACATCAAACAACAGTAGACCACATAAAACAGACATTTTGCCTACTTTCAAGCACGTTCATTGAAACGAATGTGGAACGCTTAAAGGGACAACGCGAATATTCGCCATTGTACGAAAAGAAAAACATCAGTGAAGTATGAAAGGAAACATACTCCGAAGAAAAGTCCATCTTTAACTCAATACTTGAGAAAACAGAGATACATTTTTTACAAATATTGAGTTCAAGATGACCTTTCTTTCAGAGTATGTTTCTTTTTATACCAACAACCTGGAACACCTCATTGATAGTAATTGAGAGTATTTTGATGAAAGTGGAAATTGAAACAAAAACGGCAACGCAGAATACTCTGTATAATATTTCAAACATTAGTAAAATAGAGATTTTGTGGTTATGACAAATCTAAAAATTGTTTTTAAAGATAGCAATTGCCACGGTAGATGGCCAAAATAGTGTTCTAAAACGAACTGTTTCATCATCATCAAAACACCAACACAATAGTTCCAAAATGAACTGTTTCGAAAACTCGTGTTTTTTATAACTACTGGGTTGATGTTTTAATTGTAAAACGGTTCTTTGTAGGACTCTTGGGTTATTTTAGCCATCCCCTATGGCAATTGCTCTCTTTGAAGAAATATGGGCTCTACCTTTATAGCTTCTTTCTCCATTACGGTATCTGGATCGTTCTTATTTGACTGGAAAAAACCATACTACGTATGAGGTTATTAACGTAGGAACTTTATGCGGAAATATCTGTATTGAGTAATGTAATGTAATAATTAATGATATGCAATCATCAGTAACAAAACCTTGTCTTCTTCTTCTGTTTTTCTGCTTCTTCTATCACGCCTATCATAACCTGTAATACGAAAGAATGTTTTATGCAGTGCGGTGTTTGAAATTAAATGTAGATATGATCTTCGCACTTGTCGTCCCACATGAGTCATGGGTTCGAATCCCGTTGAGTCACCTGAATTTTTCAGGTTCATGAGACAATTGCTTAAATTGTCCAACAAAGTGCGAAGATCATATCTACATTTAATTTCATAACCTTTAAGTTATAAAGAAACATCGCCATGTCACAAAAAAAACTTTTGGTTGTTTTGTTTGCCTATTGTAAAGTAGTCAAGTTAAGAAATACCTCTGCTAGCATCTGCTTCCTTTTGAAACTGTTCTCTTGTTTTACGCTCCTCCTAATGTAAAAACAAAAAACAAAAAATGCAACCCACGAACATTCAGAGCTTCGAAAAAATGATGGAAGTAGACGCTTTGGGGTTTGGTTTGCAAAACATTCTAAAAGGAAACCAGTTACTTGTTTTTCATAATGCAAAAAATGATACGATCAAATTTCATGAGGGATACAGCATTGTTATCTGAGTCATCTGCGTCGCCACATAAGACGAATACAATGATTGGGGCAGAAAAAATAACGTAAAATTGACGTGTAAATACTTATGTGTGTACGCACACCTCTAACTTTTTCCTTTTTTCAGCTACTTCTTCTTGTCTTTTCCTCAATGCTTCAGCCACTCTCTCTTCTTTAGACAAAAAAACTGGCTAAAAAAGAGAATAAAATTGACATTAAAAGGAAGCAAAAGTAGTTGGTGCAAAGCAGAAATAAAATGCAGACAACAACTCTAAGTTTCCTTTGAGGTAACAAACTACGTTATTTGAGCAAAAAACCTTTTCCTGAGCTTTTTTCTCTGCATCTCGTCTTGCAATCATTTCCTCCAAAGACAAAGGTTGCTTTTTAGGTGCAACAACATTGTTTTTCTCATTTTCATTCTTTTCTTCGTCTTCTGCATCATTTTTATCCCTAGAAAAATATGGCAAAAAAAACCTTCATCTTCTTTACTTTCACCAGATAATCCCTACAATAACTTTAATACTATATTTTGATTTAAAAACAAAAAAATCAAAACAATTTAAAAAACTCATGTTAGTCTCACTCATTTTCGAAAAAAAATCCCTTTTGGATAAATAATTTTTGATGGCAGGATAAATATACATATAGTGTCAAAAACAAATGTTCCTGAACAGGGAGTTGATAATGTCAAAAACAGAAGGCATGGTTTGCACACAAGAATACATAGTTCTTCCTCACAGCAAGAGCAAAACTAACCACAAGAAGAGCAAAATTTGCTAAAAGTGGAAAATTACACTATGCTAAATTGTTGGCATAATTTGCAAAAATGTGAAACAAGCAACACACTTCATTACAATAAAAAATTGTGTTGCTACATAAAACATTCCAAACTGATTCATTGTAGACTTTAAAGCAACCATAAAGGGCATACAAGTGTAAAGTCACTCACAAAAATATTCCCACAAAGACTTAATTAACATTGACAATCACTGTTTGATCAACAACGTTTCCACTTCATTGTTGTTGATATGAATTGAAATATTGTGTGCATATACATATAACATGGCTGTTGGCATTTGCAACAAGAGTCAATGGTAAAAAGACATATTTTTTTCAAGATACAAGAAATAAAGTATCACATTTTCATCAATGCCTAATAAAAATTAGTGTTGTTCAAAATGCATCTTACTTTGGTTTTTCATCATCCTTTTTCTTGGTAGGCGATCCCAACCTTTACAAAAACAATTTTCCAAGGTTAAGTAATTACAATAATTTAATCAAATTAAATCAAAACATTATTTATACCAAAGGATTCACCATAGTTTGTTAAAAATATTGAAGAACATACTTTTGTTTTTTTTCATCTTTTGATTTACCAGGCGATCTAGATCTAAATACAATAGATTTTAAATGATCATTTAACACGGAGCCATCAACATTTCCAAATAATAATTGCATAAAGAAACCATTCTTAAGTAATCTACATTTATGAACTTATGTCAAAGCACAGAGAGTATAGTAGTGGATCCAGTAGCTTCATTACTATTGTTGAGTTACGATCAATCCTTTATGCATTCCATGAGAACTGAATGCCAAAGATACATCAATATTTATTATAAAATTGAAAGCATGTGGCATATATCTTTTACATACATTATACAGAATGCAATCTGCCATTCAACCTTCAAGATTTTAGAAAACAATATCAGTTTAAGAAACAATGTCACTCATCATGTTGGCTCTGGCTCACAATAGCATCAATTGACGAAATGTTCTTTTGAATAAAATTTTTAACATGACCAATGTGTATGCCAAGAATATGTAATAATTTCTCCACTAGTCATTAAAATTCCCTGAGCAAAATGGGTGGCTACATTAAAATATATTTACTATACACTACGTACAGCAATGGTACAGCAATGATGAAACCACCAGGCACTACCATGACTTAAAATATCTCTGTTTAGCAAATAACAGTACTTTTTTAATTAAACAAATTTTTCTTTACCTTGATCTTTTCCTAGACGATTTATCCCGACCTCTCTTCTTGTCTCGGTTCCGATCTCTGTCTCGATCTTTGTCTTTCTGTCTGTCTTTGTCTTTGTGTCTATCTTTTCTTCGACTTTTACGTTCCTTGTCTCGTTTTTTATCTTTATGACCATTTTTCTCACTGCTAACTTTGTCTTTACTGTATTCACTATCGCCATCCCTATGTCTGTCAGCATCTCGAGAATCATTGTTTACATCTCCTTGTTTGCTGTCTTCTTTTTTAACATCACTAAGAGTCAGCTCTTCATTCTTGTCGTTTTCACTGCTACGTATTACAGAAACAACGGAACTCGGTATAGACCTTACGTCAGCCATGAAGAAAAAAACAAGATTTTTGAGATTGCTTTGACAATTCGAACGCTTCTCTCATAAAAATTTGCTTTCTTTCCTTCGTTATAATAAATAAATGTTGGAAAAGCATTGACTTATTTCACCTGAAGAACACAGTGTTGCCAGATGAAATTTCAAAATATTCACTTTCGGTGACGTCAAAAGTTCACAAAAACGGCAAAAAGTTCATATTATATCCATTGAGTTCTAGTTATGGTTTTATGGACTTCTATGGACTTCTATGGACTTATGGTTCTATGGACTTCTTCTTACGCCTCCCCCCCCCTCCCTACTCGGAACTTCTAAAACAGGCCGTGAAACCGAGTAGACCTTTGGGAAAACTCGCGAGCTGATCAATGCAAGCCTGAGAGCGAAGGTCAATGGTGGACAGCTGGAAGGATAGGCGAGAGTATATGTGTATTATGATGCAAAAACAAGAGTCATTCATATGTGCAACTGGGATGTCAGACGAATATGTTGGTGCAGGACTGCATCAACATAATAGAAAAGATGGGTCTTAATTAAGTCGTAACAAGACAGAACATACGATAGTTGATATCAAGAATGATGAAGTCAATAAAGCTGAAAGACGATTTTGCTAAAAATGTGGCTGACTTGAAAGAAGTGCTGTTAGACTGTCAATCATTTATGGTATGAAAACGGAGACAACTCAACAGGTAAAAAGGCAGAGTTGAAAATGGTCAAATAAGAACTCGGAGTTATCAGAAAGGAAGAAATAAGGAATGAGTACAATTAAGGAATGAGAAAAATTGACAAAGTTGCAGGAGTGTTACATGTAGCGAGGAATGAAGAAGATTATCAGCTCACCTGATCGCGAAATTAAAAGAGAAATAATCTGAGTATGCTTGATAATGAGTAGAGATTTATGCAAGCTCTCACTTCGAGTCTTTCGAAATAGATATTTTTTTTCATGCTTCAATAATTCTATTTTTCAATAATTCAATAATTCTATTTTTTCCGTTTTGTAAAACGATTTTTGTCGTTTTTGAAACCTATACTTTTCACATTTAACAATTAAAATTTTAAAAAGTATTTTCCAAAGCTTTTGAAAAACTTATTTTATTAAATATATACGATAGCGGCATGCGAAATACTTCTAGATAATAGATTTCTATAATATAAACATATAATGTAATTACAGCACATTGTTATTACACAATTTTGATACACACAAATTTCACAATTCCTATTTCCCGTCTTTTTCTTCTTGCAGCGATGGCAAGGCTCGTTCAAATAAGTATCACCTCACGCTACTATAGGAACAAAATGCTAAAATAAAGAAAAAAATATCCAACTCAGCTTCGAACGTTGACACAATTGCTTTCATATTTTTTGCAATATAATGCTTTTACAAGATCTTATTGGCACGGATCAAGATATTGGTGAACATTCAATATACAAATCAATTTAGCGTATCCATTGAAGCTATCAAAGGGACCTTTTCTAAGACACAATGTACAGGTTTATAGCTATAAGTTTTGTATAGTAAACAATAAAATTGATATGATGTAATTATGAAACTTCTCTTACCATTTCATCACCTTCATTAAACAACCTGGCAATTGGATTAAGCAATCTTTGGTCATTACAGTACTGGTTTCTCATCAACTCAATATTTCTTACACACATCGCAACTTCAGAATCCAGCAACACTTCCTGGGCGTGATCACGGCTCTTCGCTAGGGCTTCGCGCATGATTTCACGATGACGTAGCATAAAATGACCGGTTTCAAAAGGGTTTTTCCCAACTTTGGGTCTCAGGGGAGTGGGAACAAGTATTTCCTGTTGATTATTCGCAATAAATGCGGGCTGATTTACTTTTTGTACATATAGATTTTGAACCGTAGCAAACGCAGACGGTTGACGTGCAAGGGCTGCTGTCTTTAGTTTTTTTGTGAGAGACGAATTAGCTGCAGCTAAATGATCATATTTTTTATTTATGTTTCCACTGACTATTAATTCTCCTGGAAACGATGGCGGATTTCTTCCATTTCTAGCATCAGTTACAGGGATACCTTTCACAATATTTACTGTATCAACCTGATCAACAACATCGTATCTCTTTATTGAACTTACGTCATATCCGGTTTTGCAGCTAGATGGTACATTCTCAACTTGCGTTTGTGGAGTCATGATTCGAGGAAACAATTCACTGCTTTTTACATAGACATTGTTGTCAGATTGTGTGCTCTCAAACGATGACATTATGCTATCCTTATTGATGCTCGAAAAAAGGCAGTCACGTGGTGTACAATCGAATTGATCAACCAATGAAAGAGATTGGACGAGATAAGATTCATCATTAAAGGTACATGTTGGTAAAGGCATTGTGGATAAATTACCAATTGATGGAGCAAAGTTTGTTGTAGAATGGTAAAGGCGTTCTTCTGGTAGTTTTGAAGGCTTATCTACAACCAATGAATCTAACGGTTTCACATTTTCTGAGTCTCTATCATAAGTGATGTGAGAGCAATCTGACGATAAATAGGATGACTGTGTTTTTCTTGGTCCAAAGTTCGACGCGGAGGCAGCAGGAGATAAAAATAACTTACGATAAATAGATGGCTTTTTTTGTCTTTGGCCAAGAGGAATGCTTGTGTGAGAACTTACATCAGCCCCAGTCTCTGGTTCGGTTGGCAGTTGAGAATGTAAATTAGTGGCCATGAAACTGGATATATTCACCGTTAAATTTGAAAGGGTATGTTTTACTTCCTCTTCAAGTTTGGCAATCATAGCCTTCGTATCCTACGAGAAGGAAACGCCATGGTAAGAAAAAATTCATTTACTTTCTAGCACACCAGCTGAGTACTAGCGGCTCAGAAATTAAATATATTCATTTAAGCAATGGACATATAGAAGTTTGTTATTCATGTAACATGTGCTGATATTGTAGCCATCACTTGGTAAAAAAGATTGCCAATGTGTTTAAAGAAATTACTTTTTGCAGCAGTAATGTTCAGATCAGTGGAAAGAAATTTTACTTCTGAAGATAAAACGAAGATATTTACCTCTTCATTTTGTTGAATCTCCTCTTCTTCCTCCTAATAAATAAGTAAAAAAATAAGACGGTGTTTTTGGTTCAACGTGTTTAAATTATTATAAAACAGCATTGTGTGTCCATCACTTAAAGTGCCTATATCATGTTATTGGATTTCTGCTTTGTAGATACTTCAGGTTACATTAAAAACTTTTGTAATATATTCTATATTTCGAAAATATGATAGTGTTGTATATTTTTGAAATCTACGTTGAAAAATTGACTATTTTCATTGTTCGACCGCCAGTATAAAAAAGCTGGTAACTAATGGGTTTTTTTGACGTCACATCGGGAATTCATCTGTTGTATTTTGCTAAAAATTGGCTGTTTTTGAACTTCCACGAAACAAGATTCCATACACGTGTGTAATGCGACAAAATAACTATGCCTTTGAAGAAATTATTTGTGAATCAGTTCCCGATATGACGTCAGGTCTTGCCTCTCGCCGTAGTTTTATTAATGTCACGCTCGGACAAATAATCACAAATTTAAGCTCTAAAAAATTCACGAAGATCAAATTTTCGAGGTATAAAATATATTGACAATATGTTTAAAATATTCTAAACTATTTACATGGCCTAATTCACCAAATAACTCAACCATTGTCGAACTGCATTCCCAACGCCAAACAGCAACAGCCATGTAACACAAACTCCGTTTATATACATTATGTGTAATTGGTTTGCTGATTTTTAATTTTTTGCGTATAGAACTAGTGGATTGTAATTCATCGTTTTTCTTAACATTGCAGCAATTCTATAAAACTATACGTTCGTACATTTATATAATGACTCACCACAACAGGAGAAACGCCTCCCTGCGTTTGAGAGTAGTTTTTTAACTTTTCTGCCCAAGATATCTCACCGACATCATGCACAATCTCCCTGTTTTCCACGGAATCTGGGCTCTCTACTGTTTCTTTTTTGTCTAATTACATATGAATGAACCACAAAATATTACATTATTAGCATTTAACATTCGCACGATAACATGAGCAATTGAGCATTTAAACATTTAAACGATGTAAAGCGAAAACGAACCAACTAATCAATTGAGACAACACAATCCGATGACAAGTGGATAGCTACGGCAAGAATGCAAATATGCATTAAACAAATTAACATTCGAAGTAGCATTTTTTTACTTCTAAAATCTAGCAAGCCCTAGTCATTAAGAGAGTACGGATAAAGCTTTAATTCTTAATTATTCCGTAAAACATTCAAAAAAAGAGCCGGGGGAAAAGCTTTCATTTGTGACCTAAATAATCCATAACACCTTCAACAAAAGAAGTCAGTACAAAAATTTTGATTTAACACTTAACAAATACGAAATTTAATGCTTAAAAACTCCCTAATGATCGTAGGCCGAACTACACAGGAGTTTCGGTCATTTTTATATTGCAGTAGTAAAGAGTAGAAGGGCAATGTAGAGCACGATTGTGCCGACTCTTTTTTAGTCTTTACAACTCATCAATTCAAATTATCAGAACTAATGTTATTATTTCATATTATCATTATTAATTTGAAAATTCTACATGAATAAAAAAACAGCAGATGATTAAATAATCAGCGATGTAAAATGATAAAACGTCCTACCTTCTTGAAGAGGGGTACAATTAACTGTAAACCTGTTGTCAATATCTTGAACACCAATTATAGTTTTACAAGGCTTATAACTATCTTCTTGTTCTTTGATTTTTGCCATTTGAGCAGCCGCACGGCGCATGCTTAGTCTCTTCTCAAAGTCATTTAGGGGACGGTCGGGTCTTGAACCAGTGTAATATATGGACGCTCTTTTCTATAATACGATGTAAATAAAATAATTTTTTCACTCGATCGTACTATCACTAAGTGGAAGGTTACTCTGAGAAATATTTTTCAAACATTCTGTCAGAATATTTTAATAGAAGACAATTAACATCGTCGTTCCTTAACGATTCTCACGCCTGTTTCCAATTAGGGAAAAAGTAATGATGGCAAAAAAAGCCTACTGCAAAACTACTGTAAGTCATATTTTATAGTAATCTTTACCTGTACTGACGACGATATACGAGAGTTCCTCTTGCATGGTGTTGGTATGTTGTTGTCATTATTTAAAATACTTCGCAATGCATTATCGTCAACCTTAAACTCAAAAAAATCTATAAAACGGAAAGTTTAATCACCTTCAATGACACATTCAACTCGATTTTTTAGAACATAGCTAGCAGATATTCATATATAACAACCTGTATTATACATAAGCAATAAAATTGTTTTAAAGTTTATGATTTCTAACCTTTCTCAAATCGTATTGCTTTCCTTTTTACTGACGATGTTCCAGTTGAAGGAACACCAAACGTCTTGCCAGTTGCCTTTGGAATTTTGAAGACGTCAGGAGTCTCGGGAGGAGGGGAACTGAAAGCTTGTTTAGACTTGATACTTCCATCACAAATGTTGGAGTCTGTCGTTATTTCATCTTTACTGAAGGAGTAAAAAATAAAAAATGTTAAACTTAGTAAAAAAGCGAGTATCATTTAAATTTTTTCTTGATCTAACGGGCAGCCACACCACAAGGTAGAAATTGAAATTGTTCAATTTCATTGATTCCTATTTTGTTATACATCAGGAGTAGTATTGTATTAACTATTTACAAGCATTCAAATTTCATAATACTCAACATTTTTTATGAAATCCGCGACAACATGATGTGAGGCAATAATCTCACACAGTTTTTAAACGCTTATCCTGTTCTATTTTAAACTTTAAATCATTTGTTCTTGATGCAATAAGAACGCATCATTTTTCAATTGTTAGGTCTGGGAGCAACAATATTTATATGTACCAGCTAGTACTAAGATTGTAGAATATTTACCCACATATATCAACTTATTATGTAGCAATAAAAGAACAATGCATTGTGGTACTTATGAAAAAGTTAGAACCATTACTGTTAACCAACCATATGTAAGGTTGATACAGAAAAACTTACAGATCTATTTTTTTAATATATCCTGACAATTTATTGTTTTCTGTGTAAAAGTGTGCCATGCTGTATTTAAATAATTCATCTTCAAGATATGTACGTATGAGTCAAACATCATACAATCACACAAATAGAAAAGCATATAAAAAATGATGTAAATCAAGTTTTCCATCAGTAAAAACAAGTGCATCCAATACAATTAGCAAAGGAATTCAAAATGACTTTCATTGATTGAGTTTCAACCTTTCAATGCTAAACTTTTCTTCAATATTTTCAGTTTTTTCCTATAAGTAAAAGTAGAAATTGGCAAAGTATCAGTAAGTTAATGCATGATATTAAAAATATGTATGGTGATGTAAACATATTTCAAAAATTAATAATGAATTACACAGTGAATTTGGCAAATGCATACCAAGTAAATCAGATCTTCATTTTTGTCTTTTTGGTTCAAAGCAACTTCGTTTTTAAGCTTGAATGGTTCAATCTGTATAGAGGATCAAGAAAAAAATAATTAAGCTAAGTATAACATAGTTCATGATAGAAATATTCAAAAACTTAAGGAAGGCTGTCTTCATGTCAGAAATATTTGGTTGGAGGAAGAATGACATAATTATTCAGATGAAGGAAAATTTTGCATTAAAATGTATTATACCTTGGTATTAGCACGCTTTGTAACAGCTTTCCCCTGAAAAAAAAGAGTGAGTACTAACACTTCAGTATATCTAGTACCAGAAAATATTGTACAACAGGTCCTACGTCTCTTACTTTAGCTAACTTTGTTTGCCATTTTTTGTGCAGTTTCTCAAAGTCTGGTGCAGCTTTGACATGTTTTGATGTTGCCTCTTTCCTTCTTGAAGTCAAACCTTCATTCTTCTTTGACACAATGCTACACAATTCAATGATTTAATTTCTTGATTAATGTTTTCATAACTACCTACATTATACTTACCTTCCTGAAGTCAGTTTCCCATCTGTCTTTTTTATCACTAAAATGAAATTTGAAATGAGTATAGATGTGTAATAATCAATGTATCAAATTAGGGAAAACTGCTCATGGAATAATGGATACTGTTCACAGTGAGATTTCTAATGTTTAATAAATCAAATATTTCAGAGTTCACTAAATAAAACCTACCATTAATTGGCAAATTTTCCTTATTCCTTAGAGTGCTACCTTTTTTAATAGCAATTCTAAATAAACCAAACTTCAATGTAAATAACAAATCTGAATTGTGTACTAAACATCATCGTAACGCATACGATCATTTGTACAAATTAAAATCCACATTTGACGTTTAAGTTCTTCAGTTTACCTAGATTTTGTGGACACTTGACTCTTTCTAGCTTGCATCATTCTATATTTCGTACATAGGCAAAAAATACTGGGAAAATAAAGGATAACAACACACAAGTATAACACATATAATTACACACGAAATGTGCGGAACGCTCTGACAAAACGAAACTACGAATTTATAAAGTTGAATTTGATGTCAAAGTTGTTTAACCAATCAGAGAGCTGGATTTTGTGTTACCACAACAAAGTATCTGATCTCATGAAGTAGATATCTGGAGCATGAAACTTTGAAAAACAATTCCGTCATTTCATCATTTCTTGTTCGGTCAAAAAATGGAATTTATACTGAGAATGAAAAATATTTTGGGCTTTTCATGCTAGATATTTTCCAAAGAACGCTATAGAAATTTCAATACTGAGATAATATTTGCAGGTGGTAGAATATTTTTGGCCAACCTACAACTAATTCCCCAATAAGTGCAAAGACTATAAATATATCTTTTTTTCATTCTACATTTACGGTGAATGATCCAATAAACGCCTACTATCAATTAAATACCTTGTATCTAAAAACACTCCCCATTTGGAGCGTGGTTTTTATTATACCGTAGACACCTCCCTCTAATGAGAACCCTAACTCTAATAGACTTCACCACCACTACATTATCATGATGATGTCATAATAGTGGGTCTTTAATGGAACTCATGAGCAGGACAAGCAGACTACCTTGGAAAGTACAAAATAAGACTGATTCCGAATATAGACATGCCATTCTTTTATATTCAAGATAAAGCAAAGTTTGGACCCAGATTTGGTAACATTTCGTATTTATTCCAAAGATATCGTCAGTCTAATTGGGCTCAGCAAACTTAGTTTTGTTTTCATTTGTTCACACTAAGGTGACAGAAACATCTCTCCCTATTGAACGCCTCGTATCTATTTAACACCCCCCCCCCCAGAACGGCAGAATTATTTAACGCCCCGGGCGTATATAGGATCATTTACGTTATTTCTTGATAGGGTCTCGCCTAAATAAATATAAAATTGTTTGTTCAACATTCATTTGGAACATTTGCTATAATATACACGTATGTCTGTCTTTGTTTTTGTTATTTCTAATGTGTGCATTGAAATTCACAACATGCATCCATGACAGGCAACACAGAGCTCACTTAGCTTAGAATTGCTTGAGGCATTTTATGCAGATAATAAATTGAGTTATATTTCGTTCTACAACCTAAGTCACTTGTTTAAGTTCATACTATCAGTTGCACTTTTCCCTGATGACATCTTTTCGTCAATTTTTGCGCCAAGAGCTCAGAATTCATAAACGTTCTTAGAGTAGTGAGAATTTTGATTCGGCATCATTTGCTCTGGTATTTGTTTTGTCACCAGTCATTTGTTTACTACATGTTTGCCAGTAGTCAAGTCAAATTTGAACATTTTACACATTGGAATCAATCAATCTCACTTCTGTGTCCATCAGACGTAATCTGAACAGGTGTTGACGGGTGGCAAAAAAACTTTGCCATAAACGAGCAATGTCTAACAAACGAATTAATGCTGAAATATAAATATCCGAATTTCCATTAAATCTTTGCGATTCCATCGAAATGACATAAAGAGCCATTTAGAATGGAAAGTGTAGATTTATCACTATTCCTGATTATAGTTACATTGCTGGGCTTTGCAACATTGACAGCAATATTGGCGAATGTCGGTGTACTAATAGTTGTGTATTGGAACAAATCATTACATACTCAAATCAACATGTTGCTGGTTGGTCTCGCCGTTGCAGATCTTGGAGTATTAGCGTCATGTGTACCTTTCGCTATCAGAACTACTTTTCTTCACATTAATGTAAGTTTCTTAAATTTTATTCCTTGTCTTGAGTAATGTCTCTCGATAGTTGGTTTCCTGAGGTCTTTAATACCTGGTTGATGTTGCCAAAAACCATTATATGTCAAAGATTTTATCAGCTAAGACACGAAGAACTGACTGTTAGATTGGCGGTACAAGTTGATGTGGTACAACAAAGAACTAACATGTGCTTTCTTCAAAAACTAGCGTACTTTCAGAATCTTAAGAATGTTCCAAATTGATAATTGATGTACAATTTACGAAATTCATATGTTAATTTCTGTTTCATTTTTAGACCATCAGCGTTAAATTCTGCTTGTTCAGTGGGTTTTTGAATATGTTCTTCTTACTAGCCAGTACATCAATGACGATATGTATATGTATATCCCAGTACATCGCAGTCATTTCACAGACAAAAAAACTAATGACAAGCACCAACTGTTTCGCGATGGTGGTGATTGTCTGGGTGATATCCTTTTGCATTGCCTTTGGTCCCATAGTTAAATGGGGACGTTATGAATTCAACGACATCATATACGAGTGCAAGTTACCTCGTACAACAAACGTCTCAGAGAAGCTACACAATACAGCAGTCATAGTTTATGCATTTATACTACCTTTCTTCACGATGTTGTTCACGTATACTGCAATCATAAGAAAATTTCAACAACATTGTGTACACATGCTCCAAACAGAACAAATCATGAGTACAACACAAAGCAGAATGAATCTAACTTACAACCTTGAGAGAAAAATATGTTTTACCATGGTTATTGGGATAGTAACATTCTTGCTCTGTCGGACACCATTATTTATTTACATTTTGCTCTTGACCATGCAAGTCATAGGTACATTAGATTTCTTAGGGCAGCTGGCATTTTGGGCAGTATATCTACATAGTACAGCTAACCCATTTATCTATGCCTACAAACATGTCGAGTATCGAGAAACTTTGAACGAGATTCAAAGGAGTATTAGAGTGAAAATGAAGTCAATATTAATGAGTGACAATTTCACACCTGCAAGTGAGAAATGAATTAACACCGATTAATCAATTCATGTTTTGCACGCCAACCATGTTGAATACCTTACACATTATCAATGTTAAAGTGCCTATATCAGAGTCGGGGAAATAACGCGTTCAGACAGTTAAATCGATTTTAAGAGCATTTGTAATATATCTGATAGGACGAAAATGCATCTTCATGGAGTTTTTGGGCCTAGAAGTGATTTCGCGCCAAAAAATGACGTAAAAAAGGAGAAAACCAGTTTTACTTTTTTTTAAAACGGTTTCTTTGATTATTTGTCTATACATCCATGCGGAATCTAAAATTTGCAGCGCAGATTTTAAAGATTTGCTATAACAGTGTTTTTCTGTATAATAAAAGTTAGGTCTTCAATGCAAGTGTTCTTCTTTTTACATGTCCAATTCGGTGCAGAGTCACTTACTTCTATAGGCGCAAAAAGCGCATGAAGATAAAATTTTATAAAAAAAATTTCAAATGTTCTTAAATTCGATTTAATTTATCTAAAATTCCCAGACCCAGATATAGGCGCTTTAATGTGAGCTACGACCAACTTGGGCGAACATTCCTGTTTCAAAGAGATTTCATGGTTGCAAATCAAAAATGTTTTGGACAACGTTCCAAACATCCAACTCTATGAAATATTCCTAGATTCACGATTCAATGGCAATTATGATGAGTCCAGCTTTATATGTAATAAGTAGATTATGTAGTTTTATTGTACATAAAAACATCAAACAGCTAACTCTTACATATAGAAATACAATGATATTTTCAAAAGTAAAATAAAAATGCATACTATAGCCATGACAATACATTAGAACTTTATGAATTTTTCAGTTCCGTGGGCAAAATGACGCAATATGAAAACAAACTATCACAATAATCCCACTACATAAAGTATTTTAGTCAAAGTGCAGTTTCAGGAAGTGCATGCACGCAATTACCTTATGATTTCTAGACTAATGTTTTAGGCATTTTAGCTAACCTGAAACAATAAATCTAAATCGGTTTAGCAATAAAATTAATATTAAAAATGTTCTTAACTTCACTCTTTGCATGAGTCGTTCTCCAATGAAAGCATGACCTCTATGATAGCGTGCCTCGAGAACTTTGATCACCATCCCTCTCATTGACATTTACTGAATCCACCTCTACGTCAACGATTAACTGCTTGAACTGTTTTGTGATCGCTTTATATATAAGTTTAATAGTTTCATCTGTGAAGAAAAAAGACATGTCAATATGACATTAACTATAATATTTTTAACACATGAGTGGCTCACCTTTGTTGCAGGTAATTTTTCTAAATAAGGTTTCATCACGGCGTCACCGACAATGTTATGGACAGCAACTAAGCAAAACACACTCTCCTTTCTAACACTACTCTCTGAATGATCATAACACTATAAAACGGAACGTAAAAAACTAAATCGTTCAATCAGAAAGAAAAATTTCCCATAAAAAGACGAAAAAGCTTTTCTATCCAAGACGAGTACCAAAATATATACACATAATCACATTTTTATCAAAGTATTTAACTTGGTGAATTTTTTGCGCGATTAACCAAATAGATAATGCACTTATCTCTTGATTAGATACACAGGCATTGACAATGTTTATTGTACAAGAAAGGAAATACGAACACAAGGTTTGTGCTTGTGCAGCTAAGTTTACAGTTAAATTGCATTAGATTACTGTACAAACCTTTAATAGTGGTGCAACGAGAAGGGGTAAATTAATTGCTACCGTCGTATTGTCAACACTTTCCAACGCCTACACAATACATCAAACTGATGAATGAAAATGACTATTGTGATGAAATGTTACTGCGTATATTTACCTTTGTGAGCATTTTGATAGCAGCAAGGTTAACAGGATACTGGCTTTCATCTATTAAAGGTGATAATACAGTCATACATTCATCTGGACTTATAGATTTCGAGAGAGTTAAAGCTGCTTCTTCCGCTGTGCGAGTCACCTAGAAATGAAAACATTTTATTCACATTTATACAAAACATTGTTAAACATCAAAATATTACTTGAATACACAATTACACAAGAGTCTTTGTGGAACATCAGAACGTTTGATCAACTTTACATATTTTTCTGATTTAATCAAAAAGTTTTGGAGAAATTAAGCTCTAAACATCGAAATTCCCCCCACTTCCTAAATAATTTCGACACTTGACTCTGAAGATAACTACCGCTAAGGTTGTCGAAACGAGTCAATATTAACAAGAACATTCTCCAAACAGGTATGCGTTGGTTCAAAAATTGTAGTAATATATTTTAAAATTGACCACAAAAAATCTCACGACAGAAACCAATAATACCGCTAAGATATTTAAGAAATAAAAGATGTTTACTGTGTTTGAACAGGCTTATGCAAACCGAGGAGACCTTTGGGAGAACTCGAGAGCAGATCAGTGCAAGCCCGAGACCGAAGGTCGCTTTTAATTTTTCCTCTAAAATGTATTCATGATCGATTTGTAAATTCTCTTTGACAGATTGATTCTTTTGATAGATTTGATTGGTTGAGCTCATTTGTGTTTTGCACAGGCTAGTGCAAACACAGCTCTAGACCAATCAGCGCACGCGTTTCATTGTGTTTATTTTATAAAATCGCATGTTATTTTCAAAAAACTGGCCGCGTTTATTTTGAACAGCGGACATATAGGAAAACTTCATGAACAAAACAATCGTACGTTTCATGCATTATCACCTACAAACATCTAACGTATATTTTATCTTAGTCTCTTCTGACTCCCATGACGGTACTTTAACATAATGTCGATGTTAAAAGGTTTAATAAAAAAAAACTATTAAACAAAATCAACATATATCTGAGAATTTTTACGGAAATTTTCAGACTCCGTAAAACCCCCCACAAATGATATGGACAATTTAACAGTCGACAACAAAAGCAACCTTAAACCAAAATTAGATAAGACTTCAGTAACTTTCAATAAAATGTAGCTATCTTATCTATACTCACGTTTTTATCGATATCCTTGTGTAGATGTAATATTTCGGATATAACAAGCCCATTGAGTTCATTCAAGCTATAAGGCTGAGCTTTGACCATATCACGGATAACTCGCACTGCAAGAGCTCTGATTGAAGCCTTAATGAAAATTATAATAGCAGAATGCAGACTGGAGACTGCGGTATGATACATCAACATAAAACATCTTCATAAAATAACTAACTTACATCAGGATCCTTCATTTTATCGATAACAGACATTAAAATGTCCTTAAACTGACTCTCCCACAAACTTGGTGAAGATTCCCTAGCCATTTTCAAAAGGTCCGTCAAGGCATTCCGTTTCACATCGATATTGGTGTCAGAGAGAAGGATCAACAGCTGACGAATTGATTCAACATCATCATGAATAGCTATTAAATATATCATGAAATGAAAATTAACTTAAATAAACATTTTCGATGTTCAGTTTCAAGTTTATGTTTTATTATACGAAATTTTGCACAAACACACACCTTAACATGTTAAGCACGTATGATATTAGCATCAGTAATAAAAATAGTAATACATTTCTAGTTTAGAATCACAATTTCTTTAAAACAGTCATTGTTTAGAAGTTAAAACATTACAATGTTATAGTAAAATAAGATTGTAACCTTTATTAAATGTATCAGACGATTCATTCGATATGGATACTGTCACATTATCTTGTTTGGTATCAACACCATTTACACTTGTATCCTGCAAAATTAAATAACTTGACAAGTAGCGCCAACTTCAATGGACACTTTTATGTACTACTTACGGTCGAAACACGAGATGTTTCATCTTGATAGCGAGAAGCATCGTACTCAGTATTTTTAGAGACAGAAAAGGAGGGACTTGTGGGTAATTTCGGTTCTGAATGTAACACATGACGTGAGCTGTTATTAATTACTGTATCATTTGTATGGATCTCATCACTATGATAACCAGATGACGTAATACTCGGTGAATTTTCCGGGGGGTTTCCACATGCTTTCTTTCCTTCTAAGGATTCAGAGCTTTCATTCGAGCGTAGAGATGTTGCACTATCCTCTCGTTGTAACGGGGAAAGTGCATTAGAAACAACATCTACAGATGCAACCGGATCATCGCCATTGCTCGAATGTCTTGGCGCTGCGAGAGGAATACTACGGTAACCAAGGCGACCAGGAGAGGATGGCGGTTTTGCGTTTGATACATCGGACTTTGAAGTGTACGCCCTAGGATCATTGTCAACTTTCTTCAAGTGATTAAGGATAAGTTTTTTGGCGGTCTCCTGCATGTGAAAAAAAACCCATTATGAATAAAGGTGTCACTCAAACTTCATAATACAAAATGAGATTTGCTAATGTTGCACGAAATAACTTACGTGAAGTGTTTTTGAAAACTCAGGCAACATGCTACTGAATATTGGAGTATTCAATTCAAATAACGCAATCACGACATTCGCAGATTCCTGTAAAAGAATAAAAACAAACAACTGGATAATTTAAATTTCGAAACAAAAACAGCTGAAATATCGTAAGAATATAATGATTCAGTAGCACAATCGTAGATGCTCAGAGAAAAAGTAAATTTCTTATTTAACGTAAGATTGCTCATAAACTTTCTTTAACGACACATTGATTTAAAGTGTGTACTACTACTAATTAATGTTTCAAATGTTGACATCAATACACACCTTTCGAACCTCGCCGCTTTTCGGGTCCGAATTCCACTCGATTAATCGTGATACTGTCAGCCTCGTCTCTACGTACAGTTAAATGAAACTAAACATTTTTTACAGGTCACGTGTGTACGTCAAGTTTTCTACATTGTGACCATCTACAATGATTTTCCAAAAACTACTGGAAATTTTTTAAAAACTATTAGTGCTAAAATAACAATTGTATGTTAATTGTTGCATATTATAGTCATTATAAGCCCCAACATGAGAAAGTATAGAGGGTAAAAGAAAAAGGATACCCGATGAATTGATAAAGTCTGCAGCATCCAACCGTACAATGAGCCCTTGCAAATAAATTAAGATGGCAACTCTGGTCTGAAAAAGATTGAATATCAAGTTTTATTAAGAAAGAGCGAAGCCTTTACTGAAAAATATTAGACCAAGTTATTATTGTAAAGATCAAGCAAGTAGGAAGTTGTGTACTTAAGGGACCGATATTTCTCAGTAAAGACCATGCAAGTGAAGTTAATAAAAAGTTTAATATATGAGCATGAGACATTTGTAGTTTATCTGCTAGTTTTAAAAAGGTTTGGAACTAAGCCAATAAAATTCCGCTATTTCACCGGAAGTGATGCATGCCATATAATAAACATAGTAACAACCGACCGAAATTATTATGACGATGAATACACACTATTTGTGTACAAGATTTTGACAGACTGGGATTAAATCAAACTAAATTGAACGCAAACAAAGAATGAAAGTAATTGGATAGGAGAAAAAATCAGTCATCTGAGTCTTTTATTTATCCAGAACAATGTTTACGACCAAATGAGGCTCTTGACAAAATGTTTTGTACAACAGAATACTTTACCTTTGGATTTGGTATTTCTGACATAGAAATATATTTCGTCATTACTGAAAATTGAACGTACAACGGAAACGAATCTCTGTAAAAAGAAAATGTAGTTGCATTATGGTACAACTGAAAACAGGAAAAACTCGACGGAAGATTGTTATACATTTAGAATTTCTTATATAAAGTTTTACCTGACAACATCCAAGACTCTAACAACTTTGGAATGTACAGAAGCAAGTAAGTCACCACCCAGTTTACCAAGTAATCGTGTCAGCAAAATAAATAACCATTCGTTAAGGTCAGCTTTATGTATAACCATGAAATCCGTAAGGGTGTCCAGGAATGCACTATAGACCTAGAAATAAATTACACAAGAAACCATATATTTATGAAACTTGAAACTTTATGAGTAAAGATGTAACTAGTGTTACTTGTATTTAAACTACACATGGATTATTCTTACTTTATTATGAGGATCGTAGAAAAACCGATTGAAACATTCAACACAGACTACGATTTCCGTATGAGTGAGAGTACGTGAAGTTCGAAGGTAAGCTTGAATAGCAGTGAGAGCATCACGACGTTCAGACCAACTCTTGCTTTGGCACAAACGAGTAATTTCGGAGATTTCCTGCAAAATTGAAAAATTAACATTAAAAGTAAATACGTACTTCTCTACGAAATAGATCCCAGCAATGACGAAATTCTGTTTTCACATCTACTTTGAGTTGCGTTCAGCTATATGAAGAGCACACAAAGCAAGTGAAAGGTAGCTATAATTACCACATGTTCAAGTATGTAAATAATCTACATACGTGTCAAAGTGCAAATGTTATTAGCCGGCATAAGATAATGTATAGTATAGTGTTGAAAGTTAGTCAATGTAAAATGTATATTAGGGGCGAATTTCCAGGGTGGTGGGGGGTGCAGGAAGTTACGCACTCCCTAAGAAAAATTCTAACATGGTATTACGTACTGTAGACTATTATAACAGTATTAGAAGCTAAGAAATTGTACAGTAAGACTGTGTAAAGAGCGGAACTTATCATTTCAAAGGCAATTACATGCCGTGCATTAATATTTTCATTGAAACATTAAAATTGAAATAAATTACTAAATGTGATGTATCCTGTTACTTTGCCAAGTCAACTCAGTTTGTACTTTATTTTCTTGATTCTGGTTTGTCATGTGTGAAAGCAACTGTTGTATTCGTGTTTCACTCGTCGTTGGCAATATTTGGATGTATAATTTATGAGCTTTGTTGATTATTTGAGGAAGTACAGGGTGACCCAAAAAGATTCGTACCCATGAAAATTTCAATTATGGCTTTAATTAAAAAGCTATTTATTTCAAATTACAACCACACATCATTCAGTTTATGGAAGACTATTCACAAGAGTTTCGGCCATTTCTGTCAATTTTTAGTCAATTTATGGCTTTCCCAAGATGTGCTCCAAATGTCCACCATTTCGTTGCAAGCAAACCTGTACTCGTCTGGCAAAATTTTGAATAACTTTTATACACTCCTCTTTCGGGATGGCTCTTATTTTTGCTGTGATGGCAGTTTTAAGCTCTTCAAAAATAAGAGCCATCCCGAAAGAGGAGTGTATAAAAGTGATTCACAACTTTGCCAGACGAGTACAGGTTTGCTTGCCACGAAATGGTGGACATTTGGAACACATCTTGGGAAAGCCATAAATTGACTAAAAATTGACAGAAATAGCCGAAACTCTTGTGAATAGTCTTCCATAAACTGAATGATGTGTGGCTGTAATTTGAAATAAATAGCTTTTTACTTAAAGCCATAATTGAAATTTTCTTTATGGGTCACCCTGTACTACACAACTATACAACTAAGATTTAGAATTTACTTAATTCTATCAAAAATGCTTAAAAGCTAATAACACTTCCAATTCGCAAGGTTAACTCATTTGTTAGTCTAAAAATCTACAATAGCCCAAGGCCCCCGCACCATTAGCTAGGAGAATGATGCACACCCCTCCTGTCAAACGAGCATTAATCCGCCCCAAGGCAAATGATGTATATCATTTGAAGTAGTAAAAACAGTTGATTTCACCAGACATACAACAAAAGATGTGTAGTATATACAATGAGAGTACAAAGAAAGAAAAACCAACCAGAGTTGTCATAACAGAAGATGATCTATCTGAGTGTACACTAGATGTATCACTGCCTTCATCTTGTTCTTCAGAACATGTTGAATTAAACGAGTAATTTCGCGGTCGTGGACTTTTCGACTGAAAAAGAAAGAATTATATATTTATAATAATAGTAAAAAAAAACATGGCGAAGTTTACCAAATTATCAGTTAAATTAATTAAATTTGTTGTTTGATTACTGATCAGGAGTATTTTTAACTACAGTTATCCACCTCTCTATGTGAAATGTAATTCTTACCAAAGCATCCCAAACAGCAGCTTCGGTAAAATCCTTCGCATCCAGTCTCCTCACTGTATAAGACGGATACATCATTTTGCAAATGTAAAGTAGTTTATCAACCAAGTCAGTAATTTTCTCAATCACCTCCCCTCCCTTCCAACCAAAAAAATTATTAAAAACATGAAATTGAACCAGATGATAAGCAGAGTACTTGAAAAAAAAAGTTAAATTAAGTTACATAGCAATTAATGTTAATATGTCATCAATAATATATTCGTTAATATTCATCGATAGCTAAGTTACATAGCAATCAAGATTATTCTGTCCGAGGAAACAGTTGCGACCTCGGACAGAATAAGGTTAGAACGCATATAATTGTCTAAGTGTAAGGAATATAGTGACTAGCTACTTTGAAATAATTACGGTCATCAAAATACAATTACAACATTCAATAATTAAAGGCAAAAAACCAAACAATCTTAGAGGACAAACTGTTTTATTAGCGCGAGATACATTCTACAATTTCAACGAACGAAGAACTGTGATGAAAGTTAGTCTTACCATGAGATGGTTTCCTTCCATGTAAGCTACTGCTACTGAAACTACGTAAACCACGATCACGTGTAGGGCTAGGATCACGACTGCTGGCACGTGAGTTGCATCGTGATGCAGAACGGGAACTAGAATGAACATAAACAAAGGACTATTTATAAACAATACATGCAGCGACATATCTATAGGTATGCTCTAATAAACTATATATAATAATAATTGATTACTGGTAAACATATTTTTGAGGAATTATGCTCACTTTGGTGTCGGTATCTTTGATCTTAAAGGACTTGCCATAGTAGAATATACGTTTGATCTTTCTTTCGGTGAAAACATAAAATGGAGGCGTGAAGGTGAAGTAGAGCGACTAGCAGCTAAAGAAAGATAAACGAAGATCTAATTAAAGTATTCTTTTGCACAACAACTGTATGTGTTGAAAGATATATATTTAATGATCAAAAATGCAGTAACCCACCCCTTGACTTCTAAAATGCTCAGTTGTACAAGCAAACACACGAAACTTAAGAAAAAGAACCGAAATAGCGAAAATAATTTCGTCATACGTTGTGACATGTATCCTCGATGAACGACTTTCGATGAAGACCGTGATGGTCTAGGTCTAACATCACTTGGTGCATAGTTTGACGGTTTAACTGCATCTTCTGTTCTTGATCTACGACGCATGCGCGCTCGTTCAGCTGCACGAGCATCGACACTACTGACTGATCTAGCAACCATTCGACTGGGAGTTGAAGAGTTATTTTTCTTTCCAGGTAACGCTCGACGTCCTGGTGAGGCTGTTGATTTTAGTTATAGAATATAGTCAAAATCACATATACAATAATCAAATACAAACAGTAGAATTGTTTTTGTTTGAAAATTAATTGACATAGCTAGTACAAGGAGCGTACCCTCTCTTGAATTTAATCTTGTCGGTTTATTATTAGTGACTACATCAGTCCTCGTTACTCTACAAGACAAAGAACTGCTGTTACATTAAAAAGAAAAACGTTCTTAATAAAACATATCAATCTTACACAAAATACTAAATCTCTCTCACAATATTTACTGTAAATAAGCCATAAGGGAAGTAAATACAGTGCATTCAGTACATATCACAAGTTTCTCTACGTGAAAATTTCTTCTCAAATTGGAATTTCAACAGAGTGAAAAGTGTAATTATCCAATACCACGAAGGAAAATCATGTGTGTGTCACTTTACGTCTCATACTTACGACACTCGATACGTAACTACGGAGTCACAAGATACATGGCATTGTGTTTTACGTATTGAAGTTTAGTGCAAGTCTAGTTCCCAAAGCATTGTGTTTTACGTATTGAAGTTTAGTGCAAGTCTAGTTCCCAAAGCATTGTGTTTTACGTATTGAAGTTTAGTGCAAGTCTAGTTCCCAAAGCATTGTGTTTTACGTATTGAAGTTTAGTGCAAGTCTAGTTCCCAAAGCATTGTGTTTTACGTATTGAAGTTTAGTGCAAGTCTAGTTCCCAAAGCATTGTGTTTTACGTATTAAAGTTTAGTGCAAGTCTAGTTCCCAAAACATTGTGTTTTACGTATTGAAGTTTAGTGTAAGTCTAGTTCCCAAAGCATTGTGTTTTACGTATTGAAGTTTAGTGCAAGTCTAGTTCCCAAAGCATTGTGTTTTACGTATTGAAGTTTAGTGCAAGTCTAGTTCCCAAAGCATTGTGTTTTACGTATTGAAGTTTAGTGCAAGTCTAGTTCCCAAAGCATTGTGTTTTACGTATTAAAGTTTAGTGCAAGTCTAGTTCCAAAAGCATTGAGTTTTACGTATTGAAGTTTAGTGCAAGTCTAGTTCCCAAAACATTGTGTTTTACGTATTGAAGTTTAGTGCAAGTCTAGTTCCCAAAGCATTGAGTTTTACGTATTGAAGTTTAGTGCAAGTCTAGTTCCCAAAGCATTGTGGTTTACGTTTTATGTTTAGTGCAAGTCTAGTTCCAAAAGCATTGAGTTTTACGTTTTATGTTTAGTGCAGGTCTAGTTCCCAAAGCATTGAGTTTTACGTTTTATGTTTAGTGCCAGTCTATTTCCCAAAGCATTGAGTTTTAGGTATTAAAGTTTAGTGCAAGTCTAGTTCCCAAAGCATTGAGTTTTACGTTTTATGTTTAGTGCAAGTCTAGTTCCCAAAGCATTGTGGTTTACGTTTTATGTTTAGTGCAAGTCTAGTTCCCAAAGCATTGAGTTTTACGTTTTATGTTTAGTGCAAGTCTAGTTCCCAAAGCATTGAGTTTTACGTTTTATGTTTAGTGCCAGTCTAGTTCCCAAAGCATTGAGTTTTACGTTTTATGTTTAGTGCAAGTCTAGTTAATGGTTCCTGCCATTCAAGGTGAATAACATACCTTGAAGTCGCACTGGTCGGTCGAGTTCTTATTGACCCGCGAGAACTCGTGGATTTTTCAACTGTATGATCAATATCAGAAGACTTTTTGTCAACTTCAAGTAGTTTTTGTTTGCTTTTGTCTAAGTCATTGAACATTCTGAATGATGGAAAAAAAGAAGCTTGATGTATGTGGCTGCAACACAAATCATTTCAAACGAAGCAAAATAAAAACAGCAAATAAAAACAATTCAATTTACAATAACATACTTGTCTGCCTTGTCTTTAAATAATTTCGAAAATTGCCAAAACGCCCTTCGGTAAAAAAGAGATTAACTAAATATAAATTTTCACTGATCGCATGAGAAACACGAACTCGCCAATAGTCGTAACCATGAACAGGTCAAATGGACAATGTAAAAGAATACGTTGAAAATTATAGGCAAAAGTAATTTAAGTAAATAGAAATACTTTATGCTGAAATACAAATTAAAATTTTCTAATACGTCAGTATAGACTCAAAGTTTTAAATAAGTTGAAAAAGTCAATGAAAAAAATTCAATGACATACATACTTTCTTATAATTGCACGGACATCAGAACTTGCGTCACTTAAGCCATTTCGAACAACCTTCTCTAATTCATCAACATGTCTGAGAAGTAAAATAGATGAAAAAAAGATGCTCTATGTAGCATTGTGTGCATATATGATTATGTTTTCTAATTTGGAAAAATTCTCAAGCACAAAGCAGGAAAGAAAGAATATTCTTTTTATGCTCTCTATACTTACGATTTTAGATAATGCAGTTCCCAATATTCCAAAAGTAGCACAACATAATCTGCGCAACGACTAGAAATGCAAAAGCCATAAAATAGCATTTATACTAAATGGTTGATACAAGTTACAATATCAAATAAAAATGTACGTATAAAAACAAAAAGTGTTCAATATCAGAGCAGATAGAGCTTTGAAATTATATTTCAATAACACTTGAAATGATTCACTACATAATGTTTCACGCAAAGTATGAAAAACGTGAAACACTGTATTAGTGAATTATATCATGTGTTTTTAAATATAATTTAAAGTTAATATAAGTTAGATATAAAAGTTATCTAATAAAAGTTATGCTGATTTCTTTCAAAGCAGATTCTAATCTGAGCAAAGTACAGGACCCTACCATTCCAAATTTACAGTATTTCCAAAATGTACTTACATTCGGACAGGTGTTGATCTTGACGTCATTCGAGTAGTAATGTGAAGAATAAGTCTGGGATAATGGGTGTTCTACATTGTTTACAAAAATATAACACTGCATATATTTCATAATGATAAGTAAGATACAAGACAAATAGCATTCGACAAAATAGATGATAAAATGAAATGAACAGACAGTTTCCTTTTGGATTCTGGCCCTTTGCGTACACCATATCCGTACAAACAAAAACAATAAAAAATACCTTAATGATTATCTTTGCACATGTATCCCCAGATGAAGCCATTACCTGAATAAAAATACAAACTATGTAGAACAGCTTTTTTTGTAATAAGTATTTGACTCATATGAAAGGTAAAAATAAAAAAACATGCAGGTATATGAGAAAAAGTGGAAGACACAGATGTCTACAAACCTTAGTCGCAGTGTTCGCGTTTAGGTCAATTACCGTTGGAAGAATACCGTCTACGACTGGACCAAATTTATTGCCAAGTTTTGTAGCAAGATAGCTGAAACCAAAGAGCATTATAAATTAACTGCAGCTATACAACTCAAAGTAAATGGTTTGAACCCGGGAGTATCGTTATATGTTTGTAAATGATGATCGTCCAGGTTAATAAAGTCCTGAGAAGGACTGTTTTTGATGTTGTTGAAATTTTCTTCGTTGGTTCAAGCATTTCATAAGGATATATTTCCCAGGGATGGCATTGAGGGAAATTACTTGAAACACTATCACCAAGAAAGCGATGAAACAAAATACTTCGTGAGTATCTGAAGTTGGAATCCTGTGTAGCCTGAATCCTTGAAATGCCCGAAGCTAACTGTACACCGTAGTCAAAAGAACTTACACATTAAACTGACCTAAGAGGATTATAAAATTTTAATTTCTCCCATCACATTTTGCAATGTTAACAGAGCCAAATTTTTGAGCATTTGGTTTTGAATGAAGAAGAATAAAGAATTAGCGCATCTATAGATTTTGCACTACGACTTCAGGCCACGAAGGGTTAGTTGTATTTTTTGGGGGGTGTCTTCAAAAAGAAGCAAAAATACAGACATGCAAAATATTGAAAATAGAAACATGATGAAACGATTCTAATAAATTTTATCAAGATTAAAAGACAGGAAACTGAGAAAACATTGTTGAGCAAGGACGCCGATGAAATAGATATAACAACAGATAATTTCCTCAAAAAACTAAAGCGGAGGTAAGGACAAAGTATGTTTCGAGGCAACAAAGACCAAAAGATACCTAAATTTGTTCTCTTTAGAGTTACAACGTTTTAAAAAATATGATTTGGGAGCTTTACAAGTTAATTAACAGTTTTCAAAGAAAACACGTAAAGTTATAGCTACATTACAGTAAAAAGGTTTTAGTGAAAGGGAAAATAAAAATTTGCTTCTCAACGACTTCATGCAAACAGGATTTTCAATTTCCAGAAAACATAGAAACTTTTGTTGGGTGGTGGTGAGTTTGATTAAGAAAGTTATTGTCAATTTAAACTTCATTATTTCTAATTTAAATTGAATTAATGCATTTTAATGGCATGTTGACAACGCGAACATGCTTACGTAGCAGTGAAAATAAATAAAATATTCAGCATCAGAAAATGACTTCAATAAACAGCAAGTGGATTAAAGTTTGAATTATAAAATAGAAACTAGAAGATTGAACTTAAAGTTAGGATACTAAATTAACTGCACATGATATAATCTAACCTCAATGTCACACATGCCTCTCTAGCCACAGCAGATCTCAATGATTTGACCTGACAAAAAATAAAATACGTATATATAATAAGTTCAAGTTTTAAAGCACGTGTTTGAAAGAAAAGAACGAAGAAAACTTACAGCCGCATTAAAAGCACCTTCCAAAGGCTTCAATTGTGTCATAAAGTCAAAATCAAGCGAACCTCCGTCCACCAAACTACGGACTCTTTTTAACTATACGATGGATTCATAGAATTAATATTACTTGACCACGATAGAAAAAATCAAACATTCACACACACGTTTTCATAGCAAAAGAGATATACACATTGTCTAGTATACATATACATAGTAAGCAAAAGTAAATATGGTGAACACTTACTGCGGCAACATGTTCCTCCCAGTCATCTGATGGACTTGATAACGCGTTGGAAATCTTTGTTAACGCATCACTCAACTCTCTGGCCGAACCAATCTGTGAAAATTGATAGTTTTTATACATTTTTAGATCAATGATAGACATGAAGTAGCAGCAGACACAGCAAATTGACACCAGTTGTTTTGGACTGATATGTTTTCACAAAGATATATCTTATTTCTTATTTCCCAAGACAGAAGTAATTCAAATCAACTATAAAGAAATGCAAATGCAAACAAACCTGGACAGTTGGAGTATCCGTGTATGCTCGAATAAAATCATTTTCATCGACAGCACCCGCAGCAAGTCCTATAAAACGCAAAAGATAAAAGGAACATTTACCACAAACGTTTATTGTACTTAAAATAAACATTTTATTAACTACCTGATGTTGAGGATCCTTCGCTTTTTGCTTCATTTCGCAAATTTGATTTTTTCAGTTTAACACTTGCTTCTCGCATCTATGGAGACGAATGTGCAGAATGAGTGTCAATACACTTTAAAAGGATTAGGCTGTAATGCTTATAAACCTTTGCATTCAGTCACTTATTTATATATTTTACGAAAGAAAACGACAATATCGTCACCATAAGATTCACAAAGCACAAATTAATGTTTCCCTATTCGTTTTTACTCTTTTCTACAAGTGACAAAAATTTTGTAATCAAAGAGCGTTTTCCAACCACTCATTTAGCAGGTGTTATGGATTTAAGTGTCTGAGTACAACAGATAAGTACAATGTGTTCAACTACATGAATTTTCATTTTTCAAAAACAATAAACTGTTTCAGACACATCAAAAATTTTTCGAGCGACCACATTTCCAGTAAAAATTTTTAAAATTCGTGTAATCGATACTTTAGAATTTCACACAACGCTGTTCAGTGATCACGTACACATTTAAAACATGGACGACTTTTAGTGGTTTGGGAAATGAAAATTGCTGTCATTTTAGATTTAATCGCTAGATAACCTATCTAAGAAGTCATGTAACAGGTAATGCATTTTAAAATACAAAAAAAATTCAACATGTAAGAAATTTTGTCTTAGTTAGTTCATAAAACACCAGGAAAACTTTACCCTTTTGTTCAAAAATGGAATTTTCTATCAGTACGTACATTTAAATGTGAAAGCAAGTGAAATGAGATCAGTGAAGGGGGCAATTGTTCATGTTTAATTCAGACAATTTTAAGTATAAAATACTAAGCTTGCCACAAACGCAACAACCACTAGAAATTTTCTCTCTGATACAATTACCTTGACGGGTTCTTGTACATCCCCATTCGCTTTTGGTGGACCTAAATAATAAAAATTAATTGTACGTAATGACAAATACTTTAAAGATGCTTTACTTCATAAAAAACAGACTGCTGTTGCGTAAATAGAATACTACATTCTCGCCTAGCCCCAGTGCCCATCAGTGACTAGCGCATTAAGTAACAACTTAACAAGCGTGTGTGATAATGCTAAAGAGATGGAAAAATCGCCACCAGAACAAGTCACTTAAAACAAATTTTGACTAGGCATTGCTATACAAATATTACTTCCACACATGGCATACTTCAAGACTGACATAAAGTCACTAAAGAATGAAATAGTCTTTGACATGTAACATAAAGCATGTTGTTTTTGGTGGTTTTTTTTGTATAAAATATTCACCTATATGATGTAAAACTTTTTACTTGCTTTTCATAAAATATTTAGCTATACGATGTAAAACTTTTTACTTGCAACGAGACTAAAAAATACTTTCAGAAGTAAGAAATATTGTGGCACACCACCAATGGTTTGGTTGTCATTCAATGTTTTGGAAATCATGCCGTGACTGCAGTATTTCCTCAGCGATGAACAGCGATTTTAGATTTTTACACAGTGACGACTAAAAGAGCCGTGCTGTTATAACGATACCTAGCTGAGATGAAACATTCTTTTGTTCAGGTAATCAAGTTTCGTCAATTAGCATGACGTCAAAATGCATGTCATTTCACTGGTTTTAACTTTCAGACATCAATGGAATAACTCAGAGTATTTCTCCAACTACAATCATTTAGTTCGCTTCTTTACTTGCATTCATGTGCAAACGTCATTAATTGCATTGGGGACAATAATTATGTTGCAAAAATTTTCAAAAGCTTTGGAATAAACGTGGAATGAACAAAAACGCAAACAACAAACAAAGGGTTAGAATGAAAATATAGGAGACAAAGGTCATAACCTGGTATAGTGCTTGCACAATTTCTCGAATACTCAAATGTTATAACGAAATGTGCGTGCAAGATATATGATAAAGCCATCCAAAACAATTTCTGTACAATAGACCCCCTCCCATAACCAGAATATTTCCTGCAGTATCTTAGATGACCTTGTCTGCAAAAGATGGCAACTTGGTAAACACTCCGCCGCATTTGCTAAGAACAGAGCGTTGAAAAACACTCATTCTATAATTCCATAGAGCAGTGTACTTGCATTATTTCTGTATACGTTGGCCATGAGCCCGCGCTCTACAACAAATCGACATGCACTTAAATTCGAAATGCAAAGTAAATGTAAAATGATCTTACAAAAATATCCTAGAAAAAACATACCCTGCGAACGAAACGTCTCGCACATATGATTTATATCGTGTAAAAGTTCGTAATATTCTTTAGAAAGCGCCGAAAATGTTTCGTTTTCCATAGGTTTTAAACAAAAAGCTATAGCTACTCTGAAACATCTTGAAACATAAAAACTAATCTAGATCGACTCCACGCAAACATGATAATCAAATATTTACAGTCTTCGTTCACTTTACGACAACTAAAAAGATATCCTTGTCATAGTATATGAAAAGCCAGTATTTTCTTGACAGACGATAAACAGTATTTGCCAGCTGGTCTGCATGGGCAGACGCACACACACCACACAGTAAGAAATTTCCTTGACAAATTGCAACAAAATACTTCTAATCCATAAAATCCGTACAAGTAACTGCGTAGCTTAATGTTGTCTTTACAGTCTATCTTCGCAGCATTGTAATAAAAAGTCGCTATGTTTTTATACGTTTCATGTAATTATTCCATCACTCCATTTAGCACAAGTATATTGCGTAAGTAAACTTTCGTGAAATAAATATGTAATTTAAGTGATTAATTATTAACAAAAATATTAAATATTAAAACTAGAATGAAACAAACTAAACCGAAATGTACGTAAGTATGAAAATTTAAAGTAAAAATAAAATTTAAAGAAGCTGTACAGAAAACATAACGCAGAATCAAAGGCAATTTTTGTGATATCGTGAGAAAAAATCCATCGCATGATAAAAATAAAATCCGATGACTAAAATGTATTTAACTACAATTGGAATGAACAACTATAACAAAATTAGTATTTTGTTCAACATTTGTTAATACACCCCAACAAGAAAAAGTAACTTAGAATGTTCAGAATTTTTTATTAACAGAAAACACAGTCAAAGTTTAGACACCTACATAGCGTGCAGCAGAATTTCAGAGATATTACGCACATTTACAACAAATGATTGATTTAAAATATGGTTTGCACAGCTTTCCAAAGAAGCATCACACAGGCAATATATTTATGAGTCTGTTGGTAGCATTGTTGGCAGACTGAAAATTGAATAAAATCATTAACATAACCTCTAGAAAACCGAGGTCAAAGGATAGTGGAAAGCTTCAGTGAAAACCATGTGCTAAAAAACTGTTCTTCAATTGACAGTAAAAACATTGTTTGTAACTTTATAATTTGATGCGATGATTTGAGAAATGAGAAATATTGTTTACCAAACATACACTTGCGTGTACATAAATAATGTTTAGGTGGAATGACAAATATTGTTAACCTAACACACATGCGTGTACAATTTATCAAACACACATGCGTGTACATGTTTAATGCAATGATGGATATAGTTTACCAAACACACATGCGTGTGTACACAAATGATATTTAGGAAGAACGATAGATATTGTTTACCACACACACATTACCACGCACACACATGCGTGTACATGTTTAATGCAATGATGGATATAGTTTACCAAACACACATGCGTGTGTACACAAATGATATCTAGGAAGAACGATAGATATTGTTTACCACACACACATTACCACGCACACACATGCGTGTACATGTTTAATGCAATGATGGATATAGTTTACCAAACACACATGCGTGTGTACACAAATGATATTTAGGAAGAACGATAGATATTGTTTACCACACACACATTACCACGCACACACATGCGTGTACATAAATGATGCTCTAAGAAAACGCAATCCATAACATCATTGAGAAAACATTGCATAAATTTTCAGAGCAAATTGAGCAAAACATTGTTCGAGACCAGCAACGACGCACTATTGGATGCAACCATAACAACAACTGTGCATAAAAATTTCCAATCAAATTATACGAATCCTACCGTCCGTAGCCGAAGCAATCATAGTACCAGACTTTAACACTTCATCGAATTTTGAGTTGATCAATGAAAGTCTACCGATAAAAAAATGAGAAAATAAAAATTATACTCCAAATGCACACTGTCTAAATTTCTTCTTAAACATTATAAATCTTCTACTCGACAATTTCTTTGAAAAACCTTTTCCAGCTGACAATTCGAAAAAATAATTAGTAAAACACACTCCAAAAAACATCATCATGCAAACTCAAAATTTAAGTTATTAAGAGACGCGATCTAAAAGCAATATCTCTATTTTATTTCAAAGTCATTATCAAGCTAAGTGATTATTTACAATTTATAATTTAGTTTAGACCAATTATGCACCACAAAACGATTGCTGCAAAATTTTGTTTCCAAAACAAATTATAGGCGTTGAAATACGATAATTTTCTTCAAGTGCAATATATTGAAATACTCGTCAAAGAACCAATAAGAGGTCGTAAAAAAGACACGTGTTAATTAAAATGGGTTTGTGCCTCATCCCGTTTCATTCCGTTTCATAACAAATTACATAATTAATTTGCAATAAAACTCGTTGTTGATATAGTTTTTGCTTGATTTTGAAATAATACGAGACCTTTATTGACGAATAAATTGAAAATGGTGACAACTGTATACCTTGTAGGTGGAATTCCTCTTTTACTTAAATCAATGCGAACTTTTTCACCAACATGTCGATATATTTCAACAAGAGTACGAATGGCATTATCCCGCACCTTTAGTGAATAGAAAGAGCACATTAACGGTTCATTAAAAAATCATTCAACCGACGCTAATTTTAAAATTCCATTAATAGTTGCATCAAAATCGTATGTAAAAAACAAAGAAATATCATAATTTATATGCGACATTTTTCTTACGCCGAACAAACAGTCGGCATCAGCAAGAGTAAAAATGTATACAAAAAGTTTTAGATTGGAATGTCAACTACATCATAATGACAAGCTATGAAATATGAGTAGTATGTACAACAATATACGTACCTGACTGTTAGCATCACCCAATAATTTGCATATATGAGGGGTGAACTTTGATATAGACAAATTGGTTACACCAAATCTGATATAAAAATAAAAGATAGAGAAATACATGAAATGTTAACCATTTGTTTTGATAAACATGTTAATACCTTTTTAGTGTTGAATACAGAGACCTTGTAGCAAATTAAAAGACGAAACAAAACAACTACTGCATACATATGTGTTCATATGCCAGGTTGCATCAATTTTTTCCCATTTAAACTATGTTTCTGTTGATCTACATCTTACTAAACCTTCGCAATCAGCAAAAACTGTCCACATACAGTTCACATGCTTAATGCATCACAAACACTAAGTACAACATCCTTAATGCACATAGCGATGTAAAATCCAAACAACAAGTTTCGATTATGTTACTGTGACATGTGTAAAACAATAAAGACAAACTTTCTTACACATTGATTGAATCCATGAAACATGTCATAACTTCTTCACGAACTTTAAAGCCTTTATGAGAAAATGCTGGTATCAACAAATCTAACACAACCTGAAAAACAGCAAATTTTCAACTACTATGCATATAGAATGAAAGTGCATCCTAAATTTTTAATATTGTCTTTGTTTCACTTTAACATTGTATAATTTTCAACTCTTTGCATTTCTAGCATCAGTTTAGTAATCAAATCAAATATTGGCCATTTACCATAGCAATTGAACTATTCAACATAATATTTAAATTAGTCACTATGACAAATTCTTCATTTTCATATACATTTGTTAAACATGTTGGTAATTATCAGCAAAAACAAGCAACGTATCATGATGACTAATAACAGAGTAAATATTAAACTAGTTGAGCCAATTATTCACAATACACACAACAAGAAATGGTTTACGTACCTGAGGGGTGAATGAGTGCATTAGTTCCTGAAGGAATGATCGTGAATTTTCTCGAACCTATATGGTTGAAATTATGTTATGTTATAAATACAGTACAAAGTATACCAAAAAAAAAGTGACACCATAAATAGAGATTCTTTCATTGTTCATAAAAATCTGCTAATCATTATGACTACAACCAAGGGAATTCAATCATAGGCTATTTGTTTGAATTCATATAAACAAAATATCATTGAATTCCCTTGTGTGTAATCGTATGAAATACTTTGTGTAGTGTAATTTTTGTTACACCCTGTATAACTGGTAGTGTTTCTTAAAGACTTTCTTAAAAGTTATCATTCGCCATTCGGTAAGAAAAGGTATCACATAAGTTATAACATACCACTGCTTTGCTGTCGCCAAGGCGATCAATGATTATAGGGACAACTATTAACACAAGATAACAAGGACAACAGTAAAGGTATACGAAAAAATAGCTTTTATTTGTTATGCACTAATCCATACTTACCTTTATTCAAATTCAATTTTACAGATTTTCCACCTCTTCTAATAAGAATTGTAAATAATTCCAAACCACTAGCACTGATCTAATGGAAGCATAAAGTTGTAAAAATACATAAAAACACTATTCTTTGATAATAAATATTTCTATTTTGTTCGTAAAATTGCATAAAGAAATAATAAAATTAAAGTGTAGTTTGTTTATATCAGCCACGTAAGCGATGGTTCCTCTAGTTTGGATTGTATTTCAATTGCTACTTGTTACTATAGCATGACAGATTTTTCTTGGTAAACTTCTGTTACCTTTTTATTATCATACGCACCCCTCCGGCAAACCCCCCTGCCAAGGCTACCTCATTGTGCATGCTCCCCCTAAATCTATCCCGTGCCATGTCAGTGAGAATTAAGTTGGTATTACATAATTTTGTCTAATAATCAGGGCTCAAAATAACAGACAAAATGCCTTCTGTCATGACATATTAAGATTTTTGACCAGTCACCAATACTCATAAATTGCCTATTTGTAGGTGTAGACCATTCTGGTTAATGGTGTCCTGAGAGCTGTTTGCATTCGTATTGACTGAGGTTTTGACAACACAATGGTAGTCACCTTCAGAGTAAAGTGAGAAGTAACTTGCACTTGTAGTCCTTGCTTGATTCTAAAGATAACTATTGCTAAAGTTGTTGAATTGTCAGTTAACACCAACACCAACAGTGCTTGTAACAACTACACTAACTAGGACGATTTACATCTACAAACATGCATGAAACGATACTCACAATAAGGCTTAAACCATTCAATTCATGCATAAATTGTATCAAAGAATGCGAAAAGATAATTTGAGACAACAATTTTTGATGTTTTAATTTCTTGAGATCTTACTATAGATTGCATGACCATTCCATGGTACTTTTGGGGAAAACATAAAAATGTGGTTGGTCAAAATGACTATCAAGGTAAAAATTTGGTCAGTCTACAAGCATTTTCGGCAGATCATTGCCCTATAACCAGCAATTATTGTGAGCTCTGCCAATAGTATATTAAGATAAGTTTATGTCACAATTGATGTGTATCACCGAAAATAGTATAATGAAAAACCACCATATCACAATTTTGCATAAATTTATAATTTATATGAAAAAGGGTAAAACATTCATAAATACAACACATATTAGTAAAGTTTGAATGACTCTCTATATTAAAAACAAAAGATGTTTGAAGAAATTTCTGTACCAAGCAATTAATTCCATTTAACACAGCAACTTTCACGGTTTCAAAATTAATTTCATGTGTAAAAGGTTCATTTGTACTTCAATGTCTCATATGGCTTTTGATGGAATGTCATGTAAAATTACACAACCATTTTAAGGTTCCTACGTTGCTATCAATAACACATGTAACCGAATTATTTCATTTTTGTTTCAAAATCATATAAAACTAAGATGTGAATTATACTATCACATGAGTTGCACAAGTTATTTCTTATTACTGCGATGCTCATTTAAACAAAACTATCAGTGAAGCTACAAGCTACGGTTTAATAAATGATGAAAGTATCAATTCAATAAAACGAAAATGCTTATAAAGCAAACATTCGTTTCAATATAAAAATTATAATTATTCCAACAGAGAGCCATACAAAATTAACTATAAATAATGGATTTCTAGAGCTTTCGAGCGAAAAACATTGTTTGTGATAGTGAGTAAAACGTCAGGACAAGAATCAATAACTGCCGCCACATAAAAATTTTAAAATTTATAAATGGTAGAGTTGACAAACCTTATAATTTCCACTGTTTATCCATATTTTAAAGTTGTCGACAAGGCAATCGATCGCATCAGCAGTAAGCGGACTTAGAGGATTACTCAGATACTTCTTCAACTCTTCGCTGGCCATCATTTTCTTGTGTGTATCGTTTTGTTGTACCATTGACAATAGACTATTTAGTTCTGGATAGTCGTCCATTTTCGACAAGGCAAGATCAGAGTTGTATCGTTGAAATTAACCCAATCCTCGAATAAGCGATAAAACCAAATCTTTAAAATTTAAGTAACGCTAAGAAATTAGCCTCCTTTCTCGTTGTGTTGCATGGCACAATTTCTTACAAGGTAGGGTGAAGATGAAATATTATGTAAAATAACACATTGTTTCTCGCATAGCCGCCATTTTCTGTCTTCTTACCTCTCGGCTCTCGAGTCTCGATGAATCGTTACGTCACGCAACAAATTTGTTTGTGCCATTTCGTAGCATTCACGAATAAATATAACAATAGAAGAACACGGGGGGTGTTTCGATAAAATTGCAGCAATGGTCATTTTCGGTCAGTGGAGAGACGGAGACCAGACCAGACACAGGATTCAGTGGCGGGAACAAGCGAGAAAATACAACAATGTGCTTAAATGACATAATCAGATAACCAAAATATGAATTCTAGTTGTGAAAAAATTCGTATGATAGCAATTAAGACTTAAGTCAAAACAAGACCAAAGTTTGAAGAACTAAAATTCACCATAGTATAGTCAGGCATTGCAAATTTTTAACTGCCATGAGTAAAAATCCCATATGAACAAAACTATTATAAATATGAAACCAATTTACACAAGATTGACACTTTATTTAATAAGTTTCCTCCTTAAGTTTCTCGCGTTTCTCGTCGTCATTATTTGGTGGTTGTGACAAAACGCGATCAATTAACCCAAAGTCCTTGGCTTCTTCTGGGGAAAGAAAATTGTCTCTTTCTAGAGCTTCCTCTAGAAAAACAGAAAATATATATAAAACCGAGACCCAAAAAGGTTCCCAAATGATCGAAACAGAAAATATTTTAGTTTATTGATGAGTGAAATTAGAAAAGTTCTATAAAATAGCAAAAATGGTATCAAACTACCTTATTGTGAAACATTACACTAAATAGTCAAAAATGAAGCAAAAGCTGACCACACAAAGTCCCATTGAGTGTTCAGTCTGTACAAATATAAAGAATAATCTCCATTCCCTTCTGTTGCGATGCCTCTCTTGTTTTAAGCCCGCGCCTGCCCAAACCTCAGAATACTTCAAATATCCCTCTTGATACGTAATATAGTGGGTATACTTTACCAATTTTATCGACGGACTGTCCTGTATGTTTTGAATAAATATCGTTGATTATTCTTTTTAACTTCAAAATTTCCTGAGCTTGAATAGCAATGTCAGTGGCCTGACCCTAAACAAAACGAAAAATAAAAATCAGACAAAACGCAATTGACGCAAAAAAGATTTTATCCAAATCCTTTTCACTCGAAATTTTTTAGACCATTAAATTTTTTTTCGAAGTATCAGAGTTATGTAAGAATGACACTTCAGTCAATCTGAACACTCAAAACGAGAGATGCAATGGATGACACCATTTTTGATAATTCCATCCAATCAGACATTCATTATTATAGTTACTGTATTATAATTTAGTATAAATTCTCTGTCAAGAGCCATATTTACAAAACCAACAAGAGATTGAAAACAACCTAAAATTGTTTCACGGACATTTTTGCTAAACACCAATGTTGCTGGGTTATATGATTGACAGATATGTCAACATTTGCATGTGTGAATATACAGTAGAACCTGTATTAAGCGGTCACCCTTGGGGATTTCTCGTGTGACCGTTTAATACAGGTTGACCGCTTAATACAGGTCTTTAGGAAAATCACCAGACGGGCTAAGTGTAATATTTCATACAACTTAAGTTGAACTAATCGGTACTGTTCCTTAGCATATATGCCAAATAACAACACTATATAAAGCAATTTTTTCTTAATTTGAAATTGAAATTAAAAATAGTACACATAAAAATGTCACGGCTCAAATTGCTGAAAAATAATAAACGGCAAGCGTGTCGACAGAGAAGGTAGTTAAATTCCGTGTGTATATCCCTTTTTTTGAAGATACGTTTTCTTGTCAATGGCTGAAGGGCGTAAGAAAAGTTTAAATTGCTGGTGCAATTCGTCAACACAAACATAAAATATTGTTGGCTCTTATGAGTCATTACGGAAGATAAATACAATATAAAGACATGTATACAATATAAGTGACATGTTACCAAAAAAATATTTAATTATATATTTTATTATGGGGTGTATTTACTTAACCTGACCGCTTAATACAGTTTCAAAACAATCAAAAATTGAGTTTGGGACATTGGAAAAGGTGACCGCGTCCGCTTAATAGAGGTGAACGTTTAATAAAGGTCTCTTTAATAGCATTTATATTATGAAATTTTCGGGACTTTGCCATATGATCACTTAACACAGGGCGACCGCTTGATACAGTGCCGCTTAATACAGGCTCTACTGTATATTGATATAAGTTGACGTATAAGCATTGAAATGTCAAATTATTGACGTTTTCTTTAGTCAATCATTTTGCTATCACTTTGCTTGCCAATCATATGACATATGTCAATCATCTGGCATATAAATATTGAAAATATAAAAATATATTTAAATTATATGTTTGTAGATGTAGATCGTCCAGGTTGGTATAGTCCTGAGAATATATATATAAATGATATGTAAATTAATGGTTAACAACGATGTTGCGAGGTTAAAAATTGTTCCACGTTATGGACATAAATTGGGTGCCCTATGTTTATTGATGGCTGACCCAAAGACAACCTGAACTGAAATATTAATTAGAAACCATTGATAAAGTTGTATCCACAACATGGAATGCTAACCGTTTGATTAATTTATATAATAGTGAAAAATCATGATACAGTGACTTTAATTCATTACCGAAGCCCCTCCGTGAGGTTGATGAACCATGATTCGAGAATGAGGCAAAGCATGACGTAACTGATTGGCTCCAGAAGCCAATAATAATGACGCCATACTACATGCTTGACCAACACACCACGTTGAAATCGGAGGACGAATGTACTAAAAAATATCATTAAAACTTGATTAACTTTATTTTAATTGCGGGTGCAAATCTTCATTTTCATTTGGAAGATGTTTTATTTCACAGTACTAAATATTCTCCGAGGCCCAAAGCGGGACCCCAGTACCACTGAAGGGGGAACTTGTGAGAGTGAAGCAAAGATTTTGGTCAAGTAGCTAGTCTCAAATCTCACAAAATGGTAATCTCAAACAGTGGCTTCGTTGCGTCTTATTTGTCAATTTTCTTAAAAAGTGATTTAAGTTCTTGACAAAATGATTGTAAATGAAGGTAACCGTGGAGTAATCACCAGCATGAAAGGTGAAGAGCAAAAATTCTGATGACGATAGTGGTGGTGAAAACTTGGATAAGTTCCCAGGTTTATGAAAAGCATCTTTTAATTTATTTGATCTAATCAGTTTAACAGACTAATCAAAGACGAATAAAAGATTGTAGCTTAAATTAATGAGAATATATTTGGCTTCATCAAATCTTTGGGCGTTATGCAAAAACTAGAAGTTTAAACAATCTGTTTTAATGTCGAAAGACCTTCAAAGATAAGAATAATTTGATTTTTTAGCTGAAAAACCTCTCAAGACTTCAATTTAATGTGGCCAAGATTTGATCAATCTATCCAGTGCAAAAGAAATCTGAAAGCCGCTCTTTATAGCGGAAAGCCATTGCGATGGTCTGGAAAAGTCTATCAGAATGCAGTAAATATATCATAACTTATGTCCACTGTTTTGACAGGACATACACAGACATCAAGAAATATCCTCAAACAATTCTCATCAACTCGCTTGAACAAAAATTCACGGTTTAGTTGTGAAAAAGAGCGACTCTCTGCAACCATAAGCAATGATGTCTTATACTTATACATTTTCCAAATACAAATTGACATGGTATTGCCCATTCACCAATCGATCACTACATATTTATAAAATTACGCCATGACGTACACCATTTTTTAGCTAAGTGTACAAATAACTAACGCACGTCTCTTATACATACGAAATATCTTGTAGTGTAATATCAACGAGTCTTAATGAAAAAAACAAGAGCCAAAGTATGTTTTCAATGTCAACAAAGATAAATCGATATAAAGAAAAAAATGCCAAGAAAAAGAAGAGATGCTTTAACAATGGACGTGACTATATTGCGCAAATTTCAAGCAATTTTCTATAACAAGACCAATCTTATCAAGTTTTTTTCTTGAAAGAATAGAATAAAACCAGAGGGGAAGCTAGCTGAACAAAGAATATTATTGTAAGAACAAACAACCAAAGTACAAGTGATCATGGAATACGAGTAATACTTAAAAATACGAGTAGATTACTCCGAATGTGAAATTTACTTGAAGAAAAAGTTGGAGCGAAAACTGCCTTCGTTTCATGTTGGTGCAACGTGAATGTAAATTTTCACAATTAAAAAATTATTTTGCACCGTGTGTCCTTCACACAAACTTATCAGAGTAACCACGATTAGTTTTTTTTTTTGCCACAAGCTAGTATCGTCTTAGTAAGCAACACAAAATGTTGCCTTTTGGTACAAAGTGCACGTTTTAACATTTTATCACTTAAAACGAGTGGAGTATTCAAGCTAAAAGTTGAAGGTTTTTAAAAATGATTGAAAGCATTGTCCCACTGACTGGTAACAAACATCTTATTTTAGAACTTCTGATCAAGAATATGTCACGAAAAACATGACACTGATTAGAAAAACATGCAAATGAAAAGCTGAGTCACTTGTACAGATGTTATTTCATTTTGTACAGATGTCTTGCAAAACATGTCTTCATTTTTTAGGCTTAACACTACATTTGGTGAGAAGGAGCTTGGAGATTATTCCAATGAATGGAAATTTTTTCAATTCAAGAAACCAAAAAGCCACCATTTAAAATGGACAATCCATAGAATAAAAAAGTAATTAAAAATGAAAATACAACAATCCCTTCCACAAAAATCCAATGGATAGCACTATTGAGGTATCGTGAAACAGGGCTATGAGCTTAAATGGCATACTTTCTAAGGAACATAAACATGTCACATGATGCATGATCATAATGTAGTTGAAACATATGCATGTAATTCTTTAAGATGCAAATATGTACTTGCAATGTCGATGATCAACAATGATAAAAGTCACACATTATTTTTCAAATAATTCATGTGGAGACAAAAGTGCTTTAATTTTCTCTTGGGAAAAGAGGTGAAATAAAGTGGAAGTGAAATGATGGAAAAGAAGTGAAATAAAGTGGAAGTGAAATGATGGAAAAGAAGTGAAATAAGGATGACTAATTATTGTATGATACCTGCATAGTGTCATAAATTGCCAAGCCAGCTGTGACTGCCCCACCTACGAAAATTTTTGAAAGTACGTAAACAAGCAAAAATACAGGAACATGCAGTGCTGTAGAACTAAATTTATCAGAGAGGAGGCTCTCTTGACGAAGCTGAAGCCATGAAATTATGAAAAATTACCCATTTCAAAGGTAGAAGGGTAGAAGGGGGGTTCCTCCCCCAAGCAACCCTCCCCCACTTCTACAGCACTGGGAACATACCTTGAGACATCAAAGTACAGCTTAAATTGTAAAACAAATGATTTTTCATGCAATCACTACCTGGACTGTTTACATACATATGAATTGGTTTTATAGCACTTTCTGTTTGAAGAAAGAGCAACTGTGCCACAACTATATTAGCCAGATCATCAGTTATCTAAACATCGTTATTAATAAAAAATAAATATGACGTCTTAATAGCTTGAATAATCTTGTCAAATTAAAAATGAAACATGAAAAATAAAAATCTTGCTAAATTGCAGAATACCAGTCCACTCAGTTTTAGTGTTAGGGATAGGGTCAAGTTTATATTATATGTGTATGAGTGGATGGGCATTCTGCAATTGCTCCAAAAATCTTGCATACCGGGCCCATAACAGTTATAATGCGATCCTTCAAAAGTCGAGAGTATATGTCATATGCACGCTCCCCTCGTCCCTGTGAAGAAATCCAACATTAAATAATATTATACAGCAAAAAAGTAAACGGTTAATAATTAATTGAACTACAAGAAATAAAAGCAACAACTTATGGTAATTTATTCCAAAGCCATCATCAGAGAATACATATAATTTATTAATCCTAACACGGTTTTTTAATATGCACATGAAAAACATGTGACTTGGACGAGATTTGAACTCCCACTTTCGGGAAACTAGTCCGCCGCTCTACCTGTTGAGCTAACAAGCCCACAGGGATTGAAGACGAGTCAAATCTCTTAAAACTGCGTATGGACGAGAGATTCTCGCCACTATAGCAGTTTACTGGATGGCACCGTGTTTCGACTTTATTCCAAAGCCATCATCAGAGAATACATATAATATATTAATCCTAACACGGTTTTATGGTAATTTAAATGAGCTTTCATGCAATTTATGACAGTCGACTTTTAGTCGGTTTATTGATGCTAATCAGTGTTTAATTAACTTATTTATCAGACATTTATCCACTATCGGTCATAAGTCCACCATTCCACCTTCATGATTTCAACCTACCGTTTGCTCGATTACTATTGGAACCATAGGATTTAGAGAGTACCTTGTTGTGTGCATATATCTCATAAATGTATTAGAGCTGCAACCAAATATTATATTTCTAAAACGGTTTGCAATACATCGACAATTCGCCATTTTGGAAAACTTTGTCATTACTTCATGTAAAGTGAAGTGAGCCCTATGTTTGGCGAGAAAGCCCTGTTTGGCGAAAGTGCTGTGAGCCCTATGTTTGGCGAGAATGGAAAACCCACAAAAACGTCTAACTTTGACGCGTTTAAAATTTTAAAACAAGGCATAACAGAGTTCAAATTTTCACCTGATTGAATTAAATTAGATTTTAAACCTTTGATTTTCTTTGCGCAGGCGGTTAAAATTGATGCACTTGCGAAGTGCTCTAACGGTTTTTGAGATAAATTTTTGATTGTTTTTACTTTTAGATAAACCTGACAATGCCAAAATGTACAGATGTTGACACATTGTTAAGAACTTTTGATGAAAGGATAGTCTTCTGGACACGCAGATGAATAATAACAACAGCAGAAGTTTAAATTTATGTATTAACCGATCAAAACGTCGTGCTTATAACTATAAAAGTATATAAGAATAATTTCTTTCCCGTTATCAAATCAAATATAAAATAACCACACTTTGAGAATGGCAAAATCAGTTACCTATAATTAATAAATATTTTGTAAAGTTCATGAACGTTTTTGCTTCTCTCGTAAAGAATTCTGTTGTCCTTTTGAAGTTCTTCGCAGCAACGAAATAAATAATTTTATAAACAAAATTATTAAACTAAAAAATAGTAAAAAGAAAAGTTAGTCGTGGAGCAAAACTAGTTCTTTTCCAAACCACATATCACACAGAGAAGAGAAGAGAGCGGTCGATTGATGTGAACGCCTTTTTTGTGCTACTTTTAATGTAAATTGACAAGATAAACTCACCATAATGGAATTAAAAATAAAGAAACTACAACAAATCCTAAGATTGCCCAAAACAAACAGATCTCTATGGTAGATGCTCCAGATCTTTTTACATCAGGACAACGATCCGCAGTAATTTTCTACACAAAGTAAAATTTTATAATTAGCAATCATGAAGTAAGGACAACTCACAAAACCAATATCTGCTAACTATGATACACAAGAAGATACTTTAAAAAAATCCCAATGACATCAATTTACAACCAATTTTTAATATCAATATTATTACTTTTTTAATATGGTCAAGGTCAATGACAACTTTAGAAACAATTTGGGCGTTTTTTCCATATATTAAAAGCTTTATTTCCACCTACAAACAACAAAACATATAACATATTAATCGATGGTAGGCGAAAACTGCACATGAAATCACTTTTGAAAAAATGAGACAAAGCGTACCGGAGATGTATTCCAGTCTATTTCAATTAAGCCAAAATTTCTTTCCACTACAGGTTCAGTTATCCTAAAATCATTCCCTATTGCATTCCTGAAGGGAAATACATAAATGAACACAATAGCGGTAAAAATTACAATATTTATTATGAGCCTGAAACAAGCGATAATAAATAATTTTTCTAAGAAGAGTCAACTGTTATCAATGCTTTGATTGTTCAGGGCCTGCATGTTTACATTGGAATGAGTGTGAGGATAGATTGGTCTACATGATTTCTGGAACAATTTTTTCACAAAAAATATAAATAAAAAGTCCATATGAACTGCTCATCAACAAAAAAAATACGTTAAGGCGAAAATGACTCTGTTGAATTCTACTGTGTATTAATAACCTCAACCACTGTATTTCAACAGCTCACTCACAACCACTGTATTCCAACAGCTCACTCACAACCACTGTATTCCAACAGCTCACTCACACCCACTGTATTCCAACAGCTCACTCACAACCACTGTATTCCAACAGCTCACTCACAACCACTGTATTCCAACAGCTCACTCACAACCACTGTATTCCAACAGCTCACTGCAACCACTGTATTCCAACAGCTCACTCACACCCACTGTATTCCAACAGCTCACTCACAACCACTGTATTCCAACAGCTCACTCACACCCACTGTATTCCACCAGCTCACTCACAACCACTGTATTCCAACAGCTCACTCACAACCACTGTATTCCAACAGCTCACTCACAACCACTGTATTCCAACAGCTCACTCACACCCACTGAGTTAAATTGCGCTTCCCATTATCAAAGGCAAACTGACTTTTTCATCGATACAAGTTTTTGCTAAAATATTTCGAATCAAGCAAGAAGCTGATAGAAAATACCGTCTTCAAATAGTTAGGATGTAATTTTGAAGCCCCACTCATTGTGTGTGTGAGTTAGTGTACGTTGATGGGAATGGACAGACAATTAGTACTCATCCAGGAGGAATGTTTCAGTGTGCGAAAAAATATCGTATTATATGAATAAAGAAGAATTCTCCATACGGCAAGAAGCTTGAAAGCTTTCGGCACGAACATTTTATATGAAATGAATTATCAGCCAGAAACACAAATGATTACGTAGAGATCGGCTTGAACTAGATATTTAAACAAGCTGTGTTTATTTTACCTTATTGACCAAGCACATTGGTCATCATTAAGTATGGGTACGGTGCAAGATAGATAAAGACCACTAGATGTCAATTCATACAATGGATAGCCTGCAGTGACAAAAAAAATGCACTTTCAACTGTCATGTCAACTAACATAAAAAAGCTTGTGTGTTGTGACAAACCTGATGATGAGCTATTGAGACATGAAGTTTCACCAAAATGAACATCACCACTTAAAAATATACTCTGAATGAAAAACAAAATTCACTTTTGAAAGAAATTGAAAAATAAATGATTCACAGAGAGACTTTTCACCTTTCCTCGTCTTCTTGTCAACCAAATTAGGCGATCATAACTATGTGGGCAATCTTCCCAGTTTTGAAGACCTCTCATTGCATTTGACAAAATCTTTCACACATAAAAACGAATGATCTTTTAACAAAAGAAAACTTAAAATAAGAAGCTACGGCTTTGCGTTCAGTCGATAGACTCAAAAGCTCGAAACATGCAGGTGAGTAGGCAAATTCCACCAGCACCGATTCTGCACATACAAAATTTTCCTCGAGAATTTTATCTGCGCAATACGAAATTATGAATGATTCTATTGAATTCTGCTATTTTATTCGCTTTTGAAGTTTGAAGGTAAAATGAACTTCGCACAACGATTTTTGGAATTCTCTAAGATATGAAAAATTCAGTTTGTGTAATCAGGCTTTTATTACAAGAAAGGGACCGTTCCTTGTTTTATATACAATATGAACATAAATATCAGGAGACCTGAAATATTGAAATAATTATGTCAACGTAGTCGTTTTCAGTGGATGACAAAGAGAAACGAGTAGTAAGCACTTCGCTACATGTATAGTTAACCAAGACAGATACTGTCAATGATTGAAATTTCTGATGACTTTTAGTATCAAGCAAGAGCATTTTTTGGTCACGTAATTTCAAAGCTAAACAACTGAATGCAAATGACATGTTTATATCCAGCCAGTAAACTTACTTACTTGTATTCCACTGGTTACAATGGTTAAAGCAACAGGTGTAGGGTCGCTCATTTGTTTTTCAAGCCACTGCCATTGTTTATCTCCAAGTATGTCACATTCCTTACCATGCACAGCAAAGGATCGTACATCCAACATGATGATCTTAAATATAACAATAACATTAGTGTACATAAGGGCAGGGGGTAAGCCTTAATCTGCTTTCATGAACAGATGACTAGCTTTAACCACCCCACCCCCAAAATACCACAACAGCAACAACAATGATAAGTACAAACAAAAACAGCAACCGCAAGTACAACAATCACAACAAAAATCTGCTACACCAATATCTGAAATAAATACCTTAACAGCTTTATTACCATTACCAAAGATGTAAGAAACGTAAAGTCCTTCGCGCTGTCTTCGTATGCTGTTTAGTGGCTCGTCAAGAAAATCAAAGTACAAGTCCTGAGTTTGTAATCTGTTCCAGAAGTTCTAAAAAGGATTATGTCACTTTTAATAAACACTCCAGCTAAGGAATCTTGGGGCTGAAATAACACTAAACGAATCTTTCAAATGCGTATTTGAAACCCACATTCAAAACTTGACACCCCCAAAAATTTCTGTGTGGACCCCAAAAATCAATTTCATTGTTAAACTGACACTAAAATTTTTGCAAATACATAATATCCATTTTTAAAGTTAAAATTGTGTTGAATAGTTTGCGCACGAAAATGACGCAGCTAGAAAGCAATGGTACACGTTAGGGATAAAATATGGCACATGTTGTTCAAGCTAAGAAAGTTTTAGGAAATTTGGCTGATGCGTACGCGAACGGTTAATTAGCTCTCAAATTGCAGATTATTTCAAATTTTTCGTTTTTAAATGTCATCTTGATATACGTAATCCTCATCTGTTATGAGTAAATTTGAGCTTAAGTTTTAAATCCAAATATAAATGATTGATGAGATTTCGAGGCAAAATGGTAGGCTCAGCAACTTGGATGGCTAGAGTTCGTGAACAGTTAAGCAAAATTTCTCGAAAGTTTGTAAGCTTGTACAACATGTGTCATATTTTAATCATAAGTAATCCAATTGCTTTTTGGCTTTGTCGTTTTCATGCACAAGCTATTTCAAAAGTGCTTCTTGGGAAAACAATTCTCACACTAAAAATGGTTATTGTTTGCAAAAAATTTTTTTGTGATATGAAAGATTGGAAGTCCAGCTACCCAATGCATCAAAGATTTTTGCAGATGTAGTGCGCTGATTACTTTAGATTTTCCTATCTGTTCAATTTTTTCTATATACACTGTATAATTAACTTACTATTCCTCCATCGTTCATGCCAAAATCATGATCATCCCAAACACCAAGTATGCTTATATTGGACTTAAGAAATTCCTAGACATTCAACAAAGGCATAAAAGTATATTCATATATCCTATTAAATGTAACTTTATCATAGAGTCATAGGTTTCCAAAAAAAATCTTTTATCTAGAAGAGGAATAAATTCATAATCATGCATGAAGCACAATTCACCTTGGATGCGCATGCAGGGATGAATTAAATATTACAAGTACAATTTATTCATGGGGAAAAATGTCTTAAACTACTCACAAACATCTATTTCCTACCTGATAATCTGGATGATTTTTTTGTCTCCTATAATATTTTGCCATCAATGCCAAGGGCGAAGGTGTCCAAACAAGAGGAAGCACTCTTGTATCACCATATACAGCTAATAATCAAAATTATTTAATGGTATGGATATATTTCTTGTAAACAAGACAAAATGAATGAGATGCACAAAATATTTCACAACTTATAACTGTTGTTGATAAATTCTTGTGACATCAGCAAGAGTATACAATGTTTAAGAACTTTGTTTTCTGGTGGAAAACAAACTTTATGGCAGGAAAGGATAGTGTGCATATACGTATGTTATATTTTTTTCACCCTGCTATATTACGAGACACACTGCATATATATACACTGCAACACAGTAAGATAAATAACAAAACTCTTTGATTCTAGTTGTTAATAACACACAATACATTTATAGTGACAAGAACTGATGATGTAGTAGAATATCTTACCATCACCAAGCCAAATCCATAAATCTGGGTTTTGCTGCAAAATTTGTTTCCAAATAGGTTGTGGCTGCTGATGCCATTTTAAACCACTAAACATGCCGCTGAAATTGAAAACTTAGTTGTTATGTTTTGAAATTCATTCATCTTCCTAATTCATTCAAGAGATTCAAACAAGTAATAATAAAGGCACATTTTAATACACATTCTCATGCTGTTATAATGAATGAAAATTAGTAATAACTCTTATTGAAGCAGTTTCTAAATAGCAGACCAGTTTATAAATCTAGTACACTATATCTATCTATTCAACAGGAGGAAGTTTCTTATTAACAACTAAAGGTCATGCCACGTACAGGATACTACTTTTCCTTAAGTAGGCCACAACAAGTAACCCCCATGAAGTTCAGACCATAGCCATGCATGACTATTCAAATCCAGGAAATTGTGCTTTAAGTTGATGCTAAGATTTACAAGATACGATTTGCAGGATGAAATCGTTAACGATCACATTGTTCTCCCCGCAATTTAGTACAAAAAGCAATGTTGTTCCTTACTTCATACAGCTTCCAAATGCAATTCGACTGATAGACTTTTCGCTATAATTAAAATCTGATTGCTGGAATCCATTCAGCTCGTTAACACATAGCATCTTGCCAAGACAAATAATATAAGGAGTCAAAAGAAAAAATTTAAATATACGCTTGCAGTGATTAGCCATCTTTAAATAAATAATTCAAGTCAATTATTAAATTACTGAACTTTGTTCGTTGCGCAATTTGATATTTCCACTTGGACAATTCATGTCAAATTACAAGCAGCTACTAGCTCACCATTGTGTGGTAGTAGTAATTACATACGAGATACGGCCATGTCAGTGGATACGACGATACAAATAGTATCATAAATGACATAATCGTTCCAAAATTAGCAACAGATGAAGAGCCACCAATCAGCAAAGCGAACGATGAAAATTCGCCAGTGACAAATTAATTAGTTGAGCTGCGAGAGACGATGGCCGATGGGTAAAAAGTCGTGGGTATAAAGAGGAAAGGTCAAGGATGATAACAAGATTGTAAATTAATTTGACCTTTTCTATCCCAAATAGCTCGATGTCGACCTTTTTTTTCTCTTTTGGTCTCGGGACGTGTTTAACACGGGTTGAACGGTATAAACCTAATTTATACTTACAATACATATGATGGTAGCTCTGCGTTTGCTCTTAAGCACAAATCACATAATCTGTGACAAAAACTTGATATCATAGCTTTGAATGCGGACACTGTACATTTCTGTAGGACACTGTACATTGACCGAGGTCAATGTAACAATGTTATCTGAAGAAGCGAAGCTAAGGCAAAAAACATTGACCTCGGTCTGAATAATTCTTGATATCATGCTCAACCTCATCCAATAATTGCTTATTATTTCTCTTATTGATTTTTCGCTTCAGCATCGCAAGAGCTTGCTTTCGATTCCTTTCCAAATGACATTTAAAATATTTCGCAGTTAAAACTGTTAAATATGACGACAAGTACTATTCGACCACATGTAAAAATCACAATTACACATGTCTGATTACAACCTTATAATAAACTGATAGTAGTCAGCTATCCGACACTTCAAGCGCCCGCGATCATATTTTGTGTGTGTATTTTTATTTTGTGTGTATATTTTTATTTTGTGTGTATATTTTTATTTTGTGTGTATATTTTTATTTTGTGTGTGTAATGTGTTTTGTGTATGTATTAATATCTTTATTTTGTATAATTCTTATTATTTAGTGTGGTGTCCCTTGTGTGACCGTAGGTGCTGGCTTATTCAGGTCACATAATTTGTTCAACCTGTAAAGGCGTGCCTAAGGTACTTAATAAGCATTAATTGCTTTGTTGTTCGCCACTGCAAATTGCGATCTTTTTCATCAGAGTACAGTCATGGCATCTTGTTTGCAAAAAGAGCTTAACTACAAAGAAATAGCCGAAATTTATTCCAAAGTAAATGATTTCCAAGTCGAACTTGGAAAAATGATGGTATGTGTATTGGGCATAAAGCGTGGAGATAAAGTTCTTGATATCGGTTGTGGCACTGGAGAAATCACAGCTTATATAGCTGACACAGTAACGGAAGATGGTTTATGTGTTGGTTTTGATCCTGACAAGTATCGTATTGAAGTTGCAATGAAAAAGCATCTTCCTGGTCGGACAAACATCACTTTCTTTAATGGCGATAGCTCCTCTAAATTTCCTCATGCTAATGAAGAATTTTATGACTATGTGCTCTGTTCTGCAGTATTTCATTGGATGAATGAAGAGGAAAAGCTTGTGTTCTTGAAGGCTGCATACCTATCGCTAAGACCTGGAGGAAAATTGCTTATACGAAGTCACGAAAAAAATCCTAACATGTTAGAACAGACACAAAAGTTAGTTGCTGATAATGATATAAATTTTAGTCGTTCACCATTCAAACTTGTAACGAAATCAAAGGCTGTAGAAATGTTGCTGCAAAATGGCTTCAAAATACAATCTGACAGTTATTTTGATTTTTTTTATGTATTTGAAAGTTTGGAATGTTATTTAACTTGGTTTTCTTCATCAGCGTATTTAGATAAGACAAAATTTTTACCGGAAAAAGTGGGGAAATTTGCACTTCAATTTCAGAAGGATGGGACAGTCCCTTTAAATGTGACGTTCTACAAAATCGTTGCCTCAAGACCAACTGGCTTTTAATGTTCTTTAATCGCTTAGCAGAACTCGTATGCTGTTTTGTGTATTTTCAAGTAATGTAATATATCGTATGTTGAAACTTAATCTCAATCATGAAAACATTGGATTGTTCCTTGACTTTATAGTTTGAAATGTAGCTTGTTAACATTACAGAAAGTAGTTACAGTTTGAAATGTTTCTTTCTAAAAACAATGCATAACTTATAGTTATAACTTACTTGTTGCCAATGCATAACGTATAATTATAATTAGGAATGGCAACAGTGCAATCATGAATCATGATTTGAGAAGTCGCGATCTTTCTAGATCTCATAAGCGCTTTTCGAAATACAGTTCTATAAAACTTATAAACAATATTTTTTTCGATATCTTGGTATTTTCAGTAGTATATTATATTCTCGGTGAACGAAAAATTGACTATCGTTGTTTTTTATTTTTCTGCAGTTATTAACTACATTGACATACTGCAACTTCTTACCTTGAATGCAAGCGAGTTGACCTCGATACAAACAAGTTCAAAATTTGGTTTTGTTAGAGTAGAGTTCTACTTGTCGCCAACTTCTGTTTTTTTGCCAGTAGCGGTTCAGAGTTGAAGCAAAATAAATGATTGCAGCATTTTAAAATCTTCAATTAACTGATTACTAAAGTAAATGGTTTGAACCCGGGAGTATCGTTACCGCTAAGGTTGTCGAAACGTCAGTCAGCAACAACAAAAACAGTCCTTCTCAGGACTATACCAACCTGGACGATCTACATTTACAAACATGTAACTGATTACTATTGGTAAGAGGCTCACACTAGGAATATGGTCGTGTAAGAGACTCGCCATTATTAGAAGAATCCCGGTTGGGTTACACCACTGGCTTAACAGGTACCATAATATCCCAGGCCCAGGTTGTTTGGTTTCAATGGTTTTTTCCAATAGTCGTTTCATATAGGTTGCTGTGTTTGTTTGCTCTGTAGCCTCTAGGTAAAATCCAAGATGGCTACCTGCTTATGTAACGACATAAAATTACATTCCGTACAAGACTAATAAATGAAAAATACTTTGTAAAGTTCGTATGAAATAACTCTTTTTCTTGTTTTGCTGACTGTAGTAATACGAATTCTGAAATTATTGATATCGTTGGAATTTTTATTTTTCCAAGATGTATGGCCTTTCTAATAAATGATGTTTGGTTTGGATCACATCACATATGACATAAAATTGTGGCAATCTTAGAGCAATATTTCAGCGAGATACTATGAATGATGAGGAGGCATTAAGCGCTTTTCAGACCTACCTTGGCGAAAAACATGAGCGAGAAATCATCGGCATTCTGCTTTTCGAAGATGCTGACGCTTGTTATTCAGTAGTTGTCAACTGTCTGGAACTTTTCGATGCTAACATTGAACTAAGCGAATGTCTAGTCGTTAATCCTAAAAAGTTGCTACCACTGTTCCATAGAGCATTGAGAGACTGCGAAAAATCAATTTATGGAGTACATAGTCTGGCGGAAAAGATGAAAATTAAGAAAAATGCTTTTGTTCGACTTTCAAATTTACCAACATGCCCTGAACTTTCACGAAAAACAATACCCAGGTCAACTGACATCGGCAAGCTTTTATCATTCACCGGTAAATCCCTGTATATAATCAAACTGTTGCCATCTAAGTACTGATGCTGTAATTACAACACTCTATTTACTACACTTTATTTACTAAATTTATAGCACTTTCATCTTGTTTTAACAATCCAAGATCTTTACAATTGTGAACCATTTCAATCCTATATCATAGTGATTTGATCAGACCGAAACTGCCCATATTTTTGGCATATGTAAAAGATGTTTTATAAAAATAGGAACTGTTGTTCGAGTAACTAGTGCAAAGTTGGTTGAATGGGAAAAAGAATTCAAGTGTGTCAAATGCAAATTTGTCTTCAAAGAAAAGGGAGATTTTGAGAAAAATTACTCAGTCAACAAGCCAACACATTGTCCAGCAACTGATGGCTGCTCATCCAACAAATTCACTTTGTTATCAAAATCAGGTAATACTCCATTGTCATGAACATTGTCATTTGTTAAAAAATCTTCCCAGAATACAAAATTGTTCAGATTCATATTTTTTAAAATAGAAATTTGTCATTTGCCATAGTGTCATGTGTTTTACTTATTTGTAACAACAAATAACTATTGGCTATCAAGAATGAGCCAAATCAACAAAACTCAAAATGAAAAGTGTGAAGTAGATGTGTTCACTAATTGGATGTTAACTATTTTAGAAATAAGACCAGATAGTTGTCAAGATTATCAAGAAATCAAAGTGCAAGAATTGATTCAAGATCTTGGAGTTGGAGCAATTCCGAGAAGTATGTGGATTGTTCTTGAACATGATCTTGTAGACAGTTGTAAACCTGGTGCTGACGTCACTATATCGGGTGTTGTAATGAGCAGATGGAAATCGGTAAAAATTGATGTAAGTTTTCAAGTATTCTAACTTTTCTTTTACTTTTACAAAAAATGATTGATGTTGATTGTATTTTACCAAGACCTTAAATTTTACTCATATTCGTCCATCATTCAAGTAGAGATTAGTTACAGGAACCACAATTTTCTCATTTGTGCCTTTGAATGTTTAAAATTCCAGGTAAAGTGTGATGTTGACGTTGTTCTTCATGCAAATCATGTACACGTTCATAATGACCAGAATGGTGATGCTATCATCACAGAAGAACTTCGTAATGAGTTCCAGAACTTTTGGAAAGAACATGAGAATAATCCCCTAGAGGGTCGTAACCATATCATTGCCTCTATGTGTCCTCAAATATTTGGATGTTATGTAGTTAAACTTGCTGTTACTCTTGTTTTGATTGGTGGAGTAAGAAGAATCAATGAAACTGAAACAAAAGTAAGAGGAGAATCGCATTTACTCCTCGTAGGGGATCCCGGTAAGAAAAAAAATCACCAAGTTAAATTAATCTTGAAGTTTTTCTAAAGTTTTTTATGTCATCTTTATGACATTCACTCTTCGGTAGTTCATTCGTATTACCGGCAGAACGGAAAATATTAATTAAAGGGAAAAGAAAGTCCAACTTTGCTAGAATGTTGCTTATCAAAACTTTACTATCCATCATACAAAAATTTAGTATAACTTTACATTAAACACTTCAGTTCATTGGAACGTCTATACTGTAGTCCATAGGGTTTATGTGAACATTGTCTCGACAGAATTTAAGGAAACGAGACAAAAATTGAAATTATGCAACTTGAAGAAATATGAAGAGGTCAACCGCCACCTCCTGCTTACTTGACAAATAATTTTAACAATGGGGTGAGCCCGCCCTTCTATACACTCCTGGTTTGCCCTTGACAGCAATAAAACCCGTTTTATCACACAAACCACATTTTTGAAATTTATATTTAAGCATAGTGACACAATTTCATGCGTTTTTACTGTTAAAGGTACGGCTAAATCGCAGTTTTTAAAATTTGCGGCGAAAATCGTCCCAAGATCAGTATTAACAACTGGTATTGGTTCAACAAGTGCTGGGCTTACAGTAACTGCTATAAAAGATGGAGCTGAATGGCAGCTCGAGGCTGGAGCGTTAGTTCTAGCTGATGGAGGATTGTGTTGTATTGACGAGTTCAGTTCGATCAAGGAACATGACCGAATAAGTAAGTAAAAATGAGAAAAATTAGAAATTGATTTTAAGTACGTATATTGTTAAAGAAAATTGTATGAAGTACAAGATAATTGCAACATGTTTCATTCTACAATATTTTTACTGAAAAGGACGTGCGGAGATGAAAAACGTTCAAGTTAGAAACAAATAAAGGATTTCTATGTTTGATGAGTTTGCTGAAAATATTTCCTGTGAAAAAGAATCTAATTTATATATGTCATCCTATTATAAAGGCATACACGAAGCGATGGAACAACAGACAATAAGCGTTGCTAAAGCTGGAATCGTTTGTAAACTCAACTCGAGAACCACAATTCTTGCTGCAACAAATCCCAAAGGAAAATACGATCCAGAACTAAGTCTTAGTGTTAATACAGCCATCGGAAGTCCTTTGCTAAGTCGATTTGATTTGGTTTTAGTCTTGGAAGATACTTATACTCAGGAATGGGATAGGTAATAAATGAATTCTCTTATGTGTATTGTTATATAGTGTATAAAAAATTGTAAAATGTTTAATAAGTAATGTAGCAATGAAGTAATGTAGCACGTTTATAGTCACATAATATTTTTAATGTAGCAAATAGTATTTTTATTTATTATAATTTGTTTGATTGGCTTTGTGAAGAGGCATGATTTACCCTTACTATTCACAGAAATCTGCTACTTTCTTGGATGTAAAGAAAGTATTTATTCATTAAATGTTTCGTTTCGTTTAAATTTCTAATGAATTCATTAATGGATTGCAGGGTTGTCTCGAGTTTTATACTTCAAAATAAACGAATTGGCCAATTGCGAAACGCTGATGATTCGAAACTTTGGAGCATTAGAAAGTTACAAGCGTATATTTTTCTTGTAAAAAAACGTACACCTACCCTGACAAATGAAAGTAATAGGTAGGGAGTACATCGATGTATGTATTACTGTTTATTGATTTGTTTGCGCGAGGTCTGGGGTCTAAGTTGATGCATTTGCGGAAAATTTAAAACTGGTTGATAATCGATGGGTTTGTTTCTGACTATAAACATACGTACGTGATCTAAGGTAAATTTTTATTTTATTTTTAGGATACTTAGCAAGTACTACCTATGTAAAAGGAAAGCGACAACTAATGTTTCATCTCGTACAACAATAAGATTATTAGAAAGTTTGATTCGCTTGGCTCAATCACATGCAAGATTAATGTTCCGTGATAAAGTTACGATTCAGGATGCTATAGTAGCGGTTTCATTGGTCGAGTGTTCCATGCAAGGTACTGCAATATTGGGAACAACTAATGTTCTTCTCACCCGTTTTCCCAATGACTGTAGAGAAGAGTACATAAAACAAGCTGAAATGGTACTGAATGCTTTGGACCTACAAGACATGCGCGATATGATTGTAAATTGATTCTATGTGGAAAAATATTCTTTTGAATAAGTAATATGGTCAGTCTACAAATGAAGGAGTGACAAAGGAAAATTTTTTTTCTAGAAGTCAAACTCCGAGTAAATATTGAATTCAAGGGTTTTATTTTTATTTCAATGTATAAACATTCAATATATATATACTATTTACCAAACAAAATTATACATACGTAGAATAAGAAAATCAAGCGTTTAGGTCTTTAAAACATTGAACGTAAAACTTTCTCGGGATTTTGAAAGAAAGATTGGGTTTGTTTGTTTCATGTATCATATAATAACTAGAAGTGTTATTTTTGTATGGATGCCACAGCGGTCATATAATGTCTATATGATGGTCCATATGTATATACGAATTGACCACTAATAAAGGTAATGTTTTGTCTATCTATCTTTCTATATAAAATGTTAATTTATTTTCATTTATATGTAACTTTAAGAAGTTACAGCAGCGTACACAGTTCCATGTAATCCTCGACACATTAATGAAAATTCATTCACTGCTTCTTTTAATCTTCTTTTATGTACACGTTCTCTGTAGGTTAAATAAAAATTACATACTTTTACAAATTTTTATCCGAATACAAATATTTTTGTTTTCGAGATCGAAGGATATCATTTGATTTTGTGAAATATTAGCTACTAAAGCTACCTGTGTGGTGGAAAACTTTCCTAAATCTAGTTACCTTAATAAAGAACTCGTGAAGTGTTGTTTCTGTTTTAATGTGACTAATTTTGATGGAAAATCTTCGGCACGAAGTAACTCCTAAATAGGAAATGTAATAATTAACTTAAAGCTAATGCAAATTGACAAAACAGCAGCCATTCCCTAATGTAAGTGTGACAAAACAGCAGCCATTCCCTAATGTAAGTGTGACAAAAAAAGGAGCAATTCCCTAATGTAAGTGTGACAAAACAGCAGCCATTCTCTAATGTAAGTGTGACAAAACAGCAGCCATTCCCTTTATGTAAGTGTGACAAAACAGCAGCAATTCCCTAATGTAAGTGTGACAAAACAGCAGCCATTCCCTAATGTAAGTGTGACAAAACAGCAGCCATTCCCTAATGTAAGTGTGACAAAACAGCAGCCATTCCCTTTATGTAAGTGTGACAAAACAGCAGCAATTCCCTAATGTAAGGGTGACAAAACAGCAGCCATTCCCTAATGTAAGTGTGACAAAACAGCAGCCATTCCCTAATGTAAGGGTGACAAAACAGCAGCAATTCCCTAATGTAAGTGTGACAAAACAGCAGCCATTCCCTTTATGTAATGTATAATGAAACCTGTAGCCACGACGATAACAACGTCACACAATTAAGATTTAAAGCCATAAGTATATCAGCAAGACCATCCATATTAGAGCGTGGAACACGACCACCAACACCCTGAAAATTCAATGATAGATTTTTTTGCAAACCTCTGAACTGAGACGTTCAAAATTGTAGTAAATGACATTTGTGACTGAGTTTTAGAATTTAGATAGTACAAAATATTTTGGTACATGCACATTTTCAGTATTCATTGATTAAAATCATGAATAAACAATTTGCAAAGCGACATAGTTGTCTTCGACGAAGAAAAAATATTTGGAGGACATCGTTTTTCCTCAGGTTAATTTAAATAAACAGCAACTTTTGAGATTGGTAAAACTCAAGTTTTAGCGGCATTTTATATGAAAAAGAATGAACGCGATCTCACCTGAAGTACTTGATTGACGAGAAATTTCCCATAGTTTACCAAAGTTTCTCTCACTTTTTCTTGGGTTTCAAAGCTTCGTATAAAAGCGACCTACAAACGATGATTTTTAGTTTCGGTTGTCATACAAAGAATGGTTATGGTAGTTCAGTGAATAAATTTTATCGCACATTTACTGAGACCGAATGAAAAATTGTGCTTCGTAAGCCCCCGAGACTGTTCTTGTAAAATTAGTGTTAACTGGAAAATGCAAGGTCAACAAGGTTTTTCCGAGGTCCAAGTAGCTATATCTGCGTTTTCTTATATGTTGGATTGATTTTCCATAGAATTGTCGTAACTTCACGGATAACAGACATGTGCTCCTAATGTCAATAATGATAAAAGTTTTACGGTGTACTAGTTTCCCATTTGACAAACCATGCAGTCAATACAGTCACGCGTCACGGTCTTCAAAAACAGAAAACCAATGAAAGTGAACTACATATATGACGTTTAAATATAGTAAGAATACGAAAGTGGTATTCGTGTGATAATTTAGCAAATCTTAGTGGCTAAAGGTACGCTAGAAGGTACATCAGTCGATTTCATTTCATTTTCCCGCATAATACGGAAAATTTGATTCCATAACAAAATCTTGAAGTCACGTTTCTATGTAAATTTAACAAAATTATCAAGTAAAGTGCACGTATTTTATAGTGACACGTGGTTCTGCAGATTGTTTTTAGTATAAAAGTGAATACTGAGTTAAACATAATGATAAACTTACAAAGAATGCGCACGCTGCTTTTACTGTGTGCTGCTCTTGTCTAGTGAGAGCCATTAATGCTACAGGAGAACAAAGATAATCATATTAGTTGCTGTCAACAAATTCAGTTGCTAGGAAACAAGGTACAACATTTGTGAACTTAGGATAAAACAAACAAGTTGGATAGCTGTATCTTGTATCGAGCTACCCGAGCCCTTACGTTTTTGTTATACTGATTTTTGATGGTGGTTGTAAAATGTCAATGGCGAAGGGCTGTCTAGATATGTGAACTTACCACATTGGAAACAGCTACTATGTAAGTTGGTCGTTGCAAACATGATACCAGGATTACTTCGTACAGCCTACAGCAAAAAATTTTTTTTATTGGTTTGCATGATTTTCGAAAACAAGCTCGCTCTCAATCAATATCAACTCGAAAACCATCGCCCGTCGCATGTACGTACATTGATCGAGAAATTCAGTCAATTTCGCATCTTTCAAGCCAGAAAACAGGCATTATGTACAATAACAACACTCCTGGCTGGGGTTGCAAACCACAACAGATGAGGGAGGGAAGGAGCGTGTTTTTTTTTTAATTAAGTGTAGAAATCTTTAAATGTGGTTCAAGCTCAAATCACGTAATCATGAAAGCAAAATGATTACGAACTAGACGTACGAATAATGTTGACGAATTATGGACCCCGTTTTATTTGACAATCCTGTTATGATAGAGCCTTCCCAAAAGAGCTGCAGATTAGTTATTGGTTTAAACTGGGATATCATTAAAACAAATACAGTCTTGTTTGTTTTTAAAAGTGTAACTGAAAATGATGAGATCATCGTAGTATTGACTTACACGACTGAGAAAATGCATGAACGATTGGATTACGTCAGGATTATTTGAAAAATCTAAAAATTAAAAACATGTGTTAAGAAATCTAAAAAATTAAAAACAGCAGCCCCACAATATAACATACTCTTTTATACACTCTGAAGCAATATGATTGGCTATTTATCAATGCTTGGTGCCCATTACTTGGAATACGTAATTGCGTCTTCAAAAATGGCGCTAAGTTGTGGGTTTATAATTTATAGGTATTTCACCATTTTCAAAAATATATTTACATGCACACAATTCGGAAAAATGAACCGGACATTGATCATATGAGAAGAATAACTGTAATTCTAACATGTAAACAGAGCTGGGGCCGATTGCACGAGGCCTGGATAGCGTTATCCACTGGATAGCAAGTTTTTTAAGACTTTTATAAAACCTTTTAAAAAGCAAAAAGTATGAGATTCGAACTGAGCAATCACTGAAATAAAACATTGTTTTGAAGATTAGTAAATTTCTTTGACGTAAGAAAAATATAAAAATCTTTTTACAAGTTTGAAGATTTCTCCTATCCAATGGATAACGCTATCCAGGCTTCGTGCAACCGGCCCCTGGTGTTTACGGGCTTGTCTGAGGTACATCATCGCGCTATTATATTTGCTATTATATGAGAAGAATAACTGTAAATCTAACATGAAAACAGAGCTGGTGTTTGCGGGCTCATTGTGCCATTACCTTTACTCAAAAGTTCCAATGTGACCAACGTCATTTTTTCGAAAAAATTCAACATGACTTTATGTAGTCGACTTTCTTTGGCGTATATTCCCAGAACCTAAATCACAACAGCACTGTCTTTAACGATGCAAATTTTTATTTACATTACATGTAGTTGTACACCAAAATCATTCTTCACTAGCGGTAATAACTAGTACGGAAACACTTCTAATAAAGAATAGTTGAATACGACTCACCATAACACTCGTGTCTAGGACACAACTACGTGGAATTTTTAAGTGAAGATCAACAAGCAGTTCAGTTAAGCTTTGAACCAAACTTTGCATATTCTCTCGTACTGTATCCAATGCTCTTTCCAGGCACAAACAGATAACCTAACAAACAAGCAAAAAATGCATCAAAACAAATTCTACTTCAAAACATTACATTTTGAATTATTTAAAACACAAGACAAAAAATATTTGACAATGATCAAGTTTCACAAGTTTCAAATTTCCACAGAAGATACTTCTTATTGAGGTATAGAAAGATACACTGTGCTCATTTATAATTGTCAAGCAGTTGCACAACATAGTTCAAAGGTAAAAGTGTGCAAGTTAATGAAACCATGATGTGAAAAACAAACAGGGTGTCAAATATTTTCTATTTTACCTAATCGAACATTAAAAACGATACACAAATTCAAAAAAAACTCTGAAATGCAAACCTGAATAATGTCTTCATCATTTATCCATTTCTTTCCCAATTCAGCTAAGGATGAAAATATTTTCGCTAAGATGAGCAGCACCTGAAAATAACCGATATGTACTTTATCAAAAAACAAACTTCAAAGTTATGATATTAAAGTGCCCACGTTCAACAAGAGTTCTTTTATTGTTTATAAATGTTGCGCTGGGAATGTAAACTTATTACCCTCTCTTAATTAATGTTCAAGCCTCAATGGCAAAATACATTAATTTGACCCTCCTAAATTAACATTTGATTTACGCCGTATTAATAAAGATCAATTTATGAATTTTGTTCATGTACTTAATTGATCATATGAGAGATTCATAAATAAGTAAACAAATTTTTCAAGTAAAAAACAAACAGTATACGTCAGTGAAGAGTTTCTCAAGAAAGACGTTGCTAGTGGCGGACTAATTTCAGTTTTAAGGAAAATTCATTCCAATGATCTGCTTCTTACTTCTTCCCAATATTTGAATATTTAAAGAAATTTCCCGATTGTTAACTGTATAATATATAGATAGATTGAAGAGACCGAAAACATTAAACATGTTTGTTTTTTATTGCAAATGTTCTAAGAAAAACTGGTGTATTATGTTAATTTTAAAAATAAATCATACTAACTGGATGTTGGTTATCTCCAATATCATCAGGATTGAGACACTTGAACAACATTGTAAATAATTGTAACTCGACGTAAACTTTAGTTTTCATTGATGGCGATGACTATATAAAAATATCATTATAAATTATCGCATGTCGATCATAAATTATCTTATATTGATCTACGTTTGTATTTGCATTCTATAAGATTGTGCAAAAGGAAACAAAAAAACTTATTATTTAGCTGTTGCAATCAAATCTCCAATCAGATCACATGGAACATAGAGAAAAAATGAAAAATATCTTCACGGATCGAAGATATTTTTACGTGGTCAATTAGCCACTTCTAAAACTGTAGGGTGTCTGGGTAAAAAATACAACTTGTAAAGGTTGGGAGTGGGGGTGGGGTGGTGACGCACACTTTTTGAAATAAAAAATATATATCACAAACACTTATAACAAACAGCACGTTTGAGTAAAGTAAAATAGTTTTTAAGTGGATTGTTGCGCAACACAGTTATATTCTACTGAACTGCAGTACAGTGGTTTCTGTTGAAACCAACATTGTCTTTCTATTGATGTAGTTTTCTTACTTTCTATATTTCTCTTATTGTAATGAAACGCAATATAGCGTCTCTCAAAACAGTACCAGAATGCTTCAAGAGCTTTAATTGTCATATGTAGAGTAAGCATTGCTATTTTAGTATGTTATGTAAGCGTCTCTCAAAACAGTACCAGAATGATTTAAGAGCTTTAATTGTCATATGTAGAGTAAGCATTGCTATTTTAGTATGTTATGTAAGTGTCTCTCAAAACAGTACCAGAATGCTTCAAGAGCTTTAATTGTCATATGTAGAGTAAGCATTGCTATTTTAGTATGTTATGTAAGCGTCTCTCAAAACAGTACCAGAATGCTTCAAGGGCTTTAATTGTCATATGTAGAGTAAGCATTGCTATTTTAGTATGTTAGGTAAGCGTCTCTCAAAACAGTACCAGAATGCTTCAAGAGCTTTAATTGTCATATGTAGAGTAAGCATTGCTATTTTAGTATGTGATGTATTATGTATACCCTGAGTTCAACATGTCAGAAAAAATATCCCTCTCAACCTTGAAGAACAATTAGTTGCCAGGTGTATGTTTATAAAGTCAGCTGAGTGTATCACCAAAACAAAAACTTATTCCTTCCGTGCTTAATTAAATGTCATAATTGCATACAAAAGACAAATGAAAAAGCACCAAATTTTGTCAGACAACAGTCGTGTAATAAATAATAATACCTCTGTGGCAGCAAGTTCTGTTAGAAACAGGACACGTGGCGAGATGATTGCGTCTAAAGAATTCATTATATCGACGATCGATTGAGCAGCAAGTGCATGACCTAAACATTCCATACAACGAATTTGCTCTCGCTCCTATCCAAGAGAAAAGAAATCATTTTTATACAGTAGCTAAAAAACAGATGCAAAAACAAATTCTTGACACACGGAAAATTATGAGCAAAAACTGTTTTATTAATCACTATTGACGTAATTCTACCTTATTCAAGAAGTTGTGCATTTATGTAATTCATAATCGTGCAAAATGAGCTTGAATCAATGTCACCTGGGTTGAATACTGTAAACAGGAAGAAAATAACGTAAGCATTAGCATACCTTAAGAATGGGGCTGTTTAACCACATCTAAAGAGAGCAATGTAGAACAAAAAGAACAAAAACAATTTATCAATAAAGGATCAATAAACAAAAATCGATGACACCCCATTTATGCAATTCTTTACTTTTCAATAACATACAGGAAACTTGATAATTACTGTAGAATTGCGATGCAAATTGTAATCAGCACATTAATTGGATTCGATAAAAATAAATATATATATGAGAAAAAACAAATATATACCTGACATTTATTTATAATTGATAATTGACTTTCTTTATCAAGGTCTTGTGAGCACTCCTGGCATATATCACGCAGCGCTTGAGTAGCAGCGGGTGTAAGCGTGGGCTCAGATATACTCGACAGCAACACAGGAATCACTGACTTCAGTAACATAGAATGACATTTCAACCAATCACAATATGATCCTATAAAAACAATGTCGTAAGCAAATGATGCTTTTTTATATTGGCAGTTCATTGCAACAAACTTAAGAGATATACTATTGAAATGTAAGCTTACCAATCATTAGCAACGCAGTTTGGGATACATAAGGATGAGTAGGTATCCTAGGAAGCATATCCAAAATAGCAGGCAAATATGTATCTTCAGTTGCATCAACATATCCAGACACCGACTGTATCATAAAAAGAATTGATTCTACCACCTTAATGAACAAAAATTCAAAACCTGTCAACAACACGATCCAAACGAAGAATTAGATTGATATTTACTTCCATATAAAAACATGAGGCATTTAAACTTTTTCCTCCGTCACAGTGCAGTATTTTGCACTTAAAACTTATATCATAAAATGAAGAATACAGGAAGTTTAACCACCCGCTTATTGAGGGTCATTAAGTAAATTTACACTACTTATTACATGATACTAAGTGGTAATAATATAATTGCGGGCATTTCATTTGTTCTTTCAGAAATGTATATTTGCATTCATTTTTTCTATTTCTATCTACTTTGACGACAAATAAAGTAAATTTAGAACTTATCCAACCTGACGCGACGTACAAAATTGGTAAAATTAGAAGTAGGAATCAAGGATAGTGAAAAGTTTAGAACCAATGCACTGTCTATTTGACTTGTACTTTGAATATGAATCAAACATTTTTATACATTGACAAAATTTCTCCATCTACTCCGATCTAATTTTGACACATGCATCAAGTAAGAATATTTTTGATAAAACTGTTATCGACTATCCTATTTACTTTACTTTTACGCATGGCGGCGAGAGTCCGCAAGATGCATCGAGGATACGAGTTGAAACAACATTTTTTAAAGTCTAAGAAGGCTGACAATACGCATTACAATATACAACTAAAAATTATAATTCATTGTTCGTTGCCATGGCAGTGCAAGGTTGCTTGGTAAGTTATTACACTAATAATGAATGAAAAAGATATATTACGTAATCGTTTGTAATGGCCCTGCAAGCACAAAGACAATGCCCGAAATTAAATAAAACGAATTAACTAATTATTATGGTATCTTTAGGGTACTTTTATCTATTACGGTACTTTTAGCTAAATATTAAAAATACAAAAACCTGCCAAGACGTGTGAGATGCTAACAAAGACTCTGAAAGCTTCTGATGAAGGATGTTAAGACACTGATCACGAAGGAGTCGATACGTATGCATCTGAAACGAAAACATTCAACATATAGAAGGCAACCAAACGTATATAAACACATATTTAGTTGTATACAGATTATTAGATAAGGCAAGGTATTTCAATAGCTTATTTGAATCTATCGAAAGTGGGATGACATCGCTAGAAGCCTAAATAATGTGAAATAACTAGATCAAATTCTCTTTAAAAGACATAAACAAGGAAGAAAAATTGAAAGCAACACAAAACACACAATCAATATAAGAAAAAAAAGATATTTACTATTGTATCTGAAATATCTTGCCGATAACAACGAAATTGTTCTCTTTCATCTATATCAAATACATACAAATATAAATGCATTTGTATTTTTTCTATCTTGTGTAAAATAAAAAAAAAGAAGTTTCAAAACTTTTTCTACTGGTTTTGAGGTGCCCATCATTCGTAGCATTCTATATACGTACAGGGAGTATGAAAACAAAACTGAGCAGATAGGAAAACGTCGCTAAAGTTCTCAGCGCACAAGATTTGTAAAAACTTTGATGGAATATTTGGATTAATTTAAGCTGGAGTTACGCATAATTAGTGAAGATTATAACAAGATGGCATTTAAGAAGAAAAAATTAAAAACAATCCGCAGTTTGAAAGTTACAGAGTTTGCGCACGCAACAACAAAATTTACTAAAACTTTGTTAGCTTGTACAACATGTGCCATATTTAACCCTATGTGTTCCAATTCCTTTTTAGCTGCATTATTATAGTGCGCAACCTATTTCAAAAGTGTATCTCGGCAGTACAATTTTTAATCTAAACTTGGCTATTATTTTATTGTCAGATGAGCCATTAGAAGTCCAACTAACTATTTCTTCCAAGATTTTTGCAAATCTTGCGTGCTGAGGACTTTAGCTACGTTTCCCAAACTGTTCAGATTTTTTGATAGACCCTCAACTACACGGTCATACATAGTTTCAAATCATGATATACGTCAATAAACACAACACACAATTTTCTCCACGATTTTTATGCAAAATATAACTACTAAAAACAAATCTCCCCCCCTCCCCATAGAGAGACAACTCCGGTAAACGTTCACTAAAACAGACCGTGTTCAATAAATTTTCCTTCGTTGAACATTATCAGTTGATTATTTTTTCATAATTGTTTTTGTGTCAATATTACCTGCGTTATATCCCGACCAATCAGAATCGGGAGGATATTGCGCCTTCTTTAGTAAAACCTCAAGATTAAGAATCAATAGAATCAGTTGTCAATCAAATTGAATTTTTTGTACGTAGTACAAGTAACACTTGCCAGAATATACTCTTTCAATTCTCAGTGATTTTTGCGAACAATTTATTTGTATATGAGCTCATATTCAATACATGTATAGGTCACGTGCCATGGCTCCTAAGTTAATCCTAAGCTAACCCAAGACATAACAAATATGCTCAAAGAGGACTTTGTCTCGCGTCTTAGCAAAATGAGAGTCAGCATTAGGTTGTAAAATAAAGTAGCCTATCAAAGGCAAGAAAGATCATAAGAAACCAAAAGATACTAAAATATATTGTACGATGAGATGCTGCTCTGCAGGTAAGTGACAAGACTAACTATATATTTGCACCTTTATGTTTACATCTTTTTCACACAAGTTAAACTGAAAGCAGTTACGCCACAAAAACAGAAATATTTTCCTTCTTGCCCTCATTCACTCAAACATAACAAATGAATTTCGTTTGGGTATGAAAACAATAAAGATATGATTCTTATATGAAAATTATGAATGACAAAAGGAGCTATTTCAAACGACTTACTTGAACAAGTTGGATGTAAAATGGTCCATAAATTTGTTTATATTGAATGAAAGCAGCTTGTTCTGCATATTCTATTTCATCCTACAAAAAAATTGACTGATAAAAAGGCGCTAAACATTTTAATTTCCAAATTAAGTTCATGCCCCCTCCCCCAAATACAAAATTTCCATCTTTATGTCCTCATTTTATATTCAGCGAGAAATACACAAAATTGACCATAAATAAATAGCACGAGATTACAAATTGATTTGGACAATAAACGGCTTTATGAGGTTAGGATATAAATGTACATTTCTTTCTCCATTGTTCAAAGTTCCACCACATTTTGAATGATATAATGAGCTTTGCTCGAATATCGATAAAAATTTTGAAAGAAAACCCCAAATTGGAGAATGAAAATTTCAAAGAGAATTCAAACGCATAAGTGTATTTAAATGCAAATTTGAGTAAAAATGGGCAAAATACAGAATCATTATGTTACCAGGAATGAGCACCAAAAGGAAAAAGTTATTTCACTGCATTGTTCATCGATGGGAAAATAACCTGGAGAGTTCGTACATTCCTACAAAGGGACGTTTCATGTATTATTCATTTTGATTCACTGCTCAATAAAGTCTAGAAAATGGTCATAGGCAAACTCCAATTACAAAACAATACGTTTACCAAAATCAAACTGACAAAAATTCTTGACAACTGTTGTTCATCCGAACTTTCCGTATTCATCAATATTTTTGAATGCGTTTCACCCAGACTTACAAGAACACGGCAAATACCAGCCACTTTCTCCTAAATATACGATAAAAAGGTGAAATAGTGTAAGTGAAAAATTTTACTCGTATTTTCCATCAGGCAACAGTTCAGAGTTTAAATACGTCAGTGGAAGATCACCGTTTATAATACCAAAGTATGTATGTACAGTCAAATATCTCTACGTTCTATTAATGATTATAAAATAAAAACAATAAAACGCGTGCGGTGATTGGTCTATAACTGTGTTTACATTTGCTTGTGCAAACATATCTGAACTCAATCAATCAAGTCAATCTAACAGAATTTGCAAATCAATAATGAATACATGTCGGAGGAAAAATTAGAACGTTTGTTTTAAATTTGTCTGTTTTGCATTATTGTTATTTTATAAAAGAAATAAAAGATGTTTTTCGCGTTTGCATTGGCCTATGTAAACCTCGGAGACTTTGCAGTGATCTGCTCTCGAGTTTTGAGTTCTCCCAAAGGTTTTCTCGGTTTGCATAAGTCCGTGCAAATCAATGATTTAGAACCCAATCCCCTAGATGTCCAACTACTTTGTTAAAGTGAGGCAGACATCATCTTGAAAGGAGGCAAAACCCAAAAGAAGTTAAAATAAAGTTTATATCAAACATTTTAAAAATTATGACAAAACTAAAACAAACCTAGACTATGTTATGAGAAAAGCAGATGTTATTCATAAAAAATCGGAAGTTTTTCCACCTTTCAAGATTGCAGGATGCCTCGCTCGTAACTATGGGAGTCAGATATCTATTAGATTTAGATTGGGTTCTAGGTCATACGGGAAAACACAGTACATATATATTATTTCATAGATTAAATGCTCGTACAACTATGAGAAATTGTTTGCTTCACATATGTAATACCTACTTTCACTAAACACAGGAATATATTTTGACACGGTAATGGACAACATGATAAAATATAGTTTATAAACGGTATATGAATTCGCATATCAAACAAAGAGAGCGAAGTCAAATTTGTCTTCTTCATAAAAGAGTAACAAAAGAGATTTTTCCTCCCTTCTCTTCCCTTTGGATCGACAATTCTGTCAATTCATCATTAAACTTTCTATGATCAGTGATGATTTTCATTGATATGCAGCAATCTAATCTTTAAGCGATTCCAATAATTTTGAATAATAAAATGACTGTGTTATAACTTAACTATTTAAAGACCTTCGCAATAGAAACATAAAATGAAACGTTAATTTTCCGACACACAAACAAAACTACAATACAGTAAAAACAATAAAACATTCATCAAAACTACATTAAGTAACTGTTATAAGAACAACTTACTCCGTCGTTGCATAAAAAAGCATTTTTCAATGTATCGCCCATCTCTATGGCACGTTTTATATACTTCCGAATATAGGAAGGTTCTCTAAAATAGAAAGAATTATTGATGACTAAGTCAGTTGATGAGCAATTCAATTACAACAAAAATGTCTGTTAATTACTGTATTGATGACAATTATGATTTCATGCATTACTAGCATTTCTGTAATTAGTTAAACAAATAAGAATATGCTATGCATTTGTAGTCAAGTGTTTATCGTCATATTCATCTAAATGGATAAAGGAATGAATTAAATGAATAAATTACATTCGCTGTGGTTTACATCGTCCTAAAGGGCATTGGGCATTAACTACTACTGAATAACCACAACATAGAAAAAAAATATTTATATATGTACGGCAGTACAAGACAGACATTTCCCCTTTCATAAAAGTTCCAAATTCCACGCGCTATATTATAAAGACTCATAAAAATATAAAATGTAAGCTTTACTTGAAACTTTCCGGACATGTCGTGAGTTCAGTAAGTACATCAATAGCTGTATCAAACAAGTTTTCATCTTGAAGACAAGATAAAATACTTTCTTCTAGTACATCTACATCAGATAACGTAACACCGAACTGTATCCAGCTGATCAAACATCGCAATGCCTAGTGAAGAAGATAAAGTATCATCAAAACACACGTACACTGGAGTCACCGTACGTTGTAAAAAAACGGTTTTGTTCGTCGATAAACTGCTGTACATAATTCGATGCCTTCCTGGGACCACGAAGCAGGGGGATAATTGAGCAGACCTTACAGGACCATAGAGGAGGAGGTAGGATAATAAGCATGCCTTACATGGAAGGCGAAGCAGGGGTGAATTGGTGAGCATGCTTTGGTGAGCATGGACAAGAAATCTAATGGCCTCCTACATATAGACTATGTCGTAGTGCTATTCTGCCTTCTCTCCACTTTTGAGCAGACTCAGCAGTTCCTGCCTAAACATTGCTGACTACATAGCAATGTTAATCTGTCAACCTTAATCCGATTCTCTAAACATTTTTATTTGTTTAATTCGCTGGATGTACGTACAAACAAAAAATCCTACCTGCAATTTGACGGTTGTATCAGACATCAAAGCACTGGCTAAAACCTCAACAACAACAGGAACAGATAACTGCAATTCACGACGTAATTCTACACGACGCGTGCTCATAAAGTCAGATGAACGAAACTAAAATTGAAATTAAGTTAAGTTGAGTGGAAAAACAACAAGATATTAAAGTTAATAAATTTGATTAAGTTCATAAGAATTGCTAGTCTCGCACATTGAGTGAAAAGTTATTATACGTAAATGTTTCAAAATGTTATATAAAGAAGTGCATTTTTCAATACACTTCCCTTCAAAATGGATTGATTTTAAGATAACAATTGCGTAGATCAGGGGTCTCCAAACTTTACAGCCAGAGGGCCACATGAACTTTCATCCAGCATGTTGAGGGCCGAAGAATATAGAAAATTTCCACGTTATCTTTCAGCTTTTTAAATTTCGCAATGTGCTTGAAACGGAAGTAGGAAGTTGGGAGAAAAGTTGACGTAAGACACTCTTGCTAGTTGGCTTGCAACATAACGTGAACTTTCTGCACAAAGTTTATTTTGTTTAATAATATTATTATTTTTTCTTAAGTGCCTCTGCGGGCCGGATTGAGAGGCCCAACGGGCCGCATCAGGCCCGCGGGCCGTAGTTTGGAGACCCCTGGTGTAGATGACTAACCATCGTTTAACCCTCTAAAGGCCGTTGTTGCCAACGAGCAACAATCACCAAACGAGATGTGTACAAACTTTTGAAAAGGTCCGGCTCCTAGGGGGTTAAAAAACCCATACTAGCTTTGTTTAGAATTAACTTACGTACCTCTTCTGGTAAAACAGTTATTACTTCAAGAAGTATCGTTCTCATATCAGTACCCTGGAAAAAATGATACTTTACTATACATATGCAATGACCTAAGAATATGTGTGGTAGCATGTGGATATGTGTAGTGGCATGTGTATAAGTTTGATGACATGAGGATTTGTGCAATGACATGAGGATTTGTGCAATGACATGTTATATTTGTTGTGGCATGGGAATATTCAGTACCATGGCCCCTACTATTTTGTTTAATTAAAATGACGTTTCATATTAACAAACGTCATGACCGTCAGTGATTGAGTTAAATATATATCTCAAATAACATAGACATCATTTGTAGACTATTTTACTGAAAGAAAATGCACCATTTCTTAGTCTATGTTGCACTTTAGTTTAAATGGTGAAGTAGTATTGAATGTGGCTATTTCTACATGTACTTTTGTTAACACAGCAAAACCTGTAGGGCTAGGGCTTGTGGATTGGTTGTGACAGGAGCATTTATTATTATACCCACAGAAAGCATTTACAAATTATGCAGGGCATGAAGTCTGTTATTCACCTGAGCATTGCTTGCATCTTCAAAAATTCTAACAATATCCTTGACCACATTTGTCCAATGTTGCGGCATTGTTTGTATAGCAAATGCTGCCAACTAAAATTGAAAGTATAAACTTGTCTAAATTAAAATCTCAGTAATTTTCCATTATTTATTGCATGTGTAATAGTAATGAAGTATAATCTTGTCTAAATTTCAGATATGAATATTGAATGGATGATTAACAAAATCAGACTATTGATTAGCTTGCAGTCAGCCTATACCTGAATTTCACTGTAGAAGTAACAAGTAGTACAAAAAATGAAATTAATTAACTCGGTTATGCTCTTAGCTAGACTGGGGCTAAAGTAAAGCAGCCCCACCTGGTTTGGTTCTAGTATTTTAAAGTGAATGGTTTAAACTCACAAGTGTCATATATTATATGCTTGTACATGTTGATCATTTAGGCTAGTTGAGTCTCCACAAAGAAAGTTAGTGCTAGAGTTGACAGACATTTTGGCATACTTAGCAGTAGCCTTCTTCAGATTCAAGTGAAGAGTAATTTTCAGGTTAAATATAACAGATAGCATGACAAACCTGACATTTACTCTTCATTTGACTCTGAAATTACTACTATGACCAGGTTTTTGAACATATTTATAAAGTTTTATACTTCAACATAATCATATTTTATAAATATGGAATTTGAAGTCTTTTCTCATTATACTTACTGCAATACACAATCTTGTCAAAACAATCCTAGTTCCACTGGAAAATGAGATTATGTAACGAATGAGTTCTGATTTAAGTTGTTCATATTGGTTCTCTGGTAATTCAGACCTAAGAAAAAATTAAATTGCAATCACAACAAATGAATTACATTAATTTTTGCCAGTTATTTTAACTGTGCACATTACACAATAAATATCCTCACCAATATTTTGTGATCTTGTAATGAAGAAGTGAGGCACCAAAAAATTGTACTTCAGGTGCCTGTGGAAAAAATATAAATAGCAACAGATTGCAAAAAAAACATGAAAACTCTGGGAAATCAGTTTTGTTTGACAAATATTTATTAAGATTTCAGGAACCTATCAGTATACACCTCTATTCAATGAATACAAGCTCAACATGAGTGAGTTTGTTAAGGGTATGTAGCCCCTCCTCCCTAATCTTTTTATTTAACTTAAGTTAATGACATGTAATTGATTGCTATACCAAATACTAAGCAAACCTTGTCATTGCTTATGAGTCTCCAGCAGACTTGCCATGCTTGCGATAATTTCTGTATTTCTAACAACCATTTATGGGCTGAATCTTTGTTTTCCAAATTTGGATCACTATATAGTGTATACAATGCCTAGAAATTCATAAAAAATTACATGCATATCATAAATTTTACATCCTTATGACTGCTTAGTGAAATTGTACATGAGTACATTAAAATTTTGATCCCTGCTGATGACAAAGAAAACAAATCTGTAAAGGCATTTTGTAGCATGTCATGTATAGTCGTTCAACTCCACATACAGTCACACTGCCCAACGTCTTTCATGAATATAGCATTATATTTAGTTATTTAAACGGCTGATTTTTTCAAATTTTTTCACAAAATGAAGAAACATGTGTACAAAAGAAGCTCTAAATCACTCATTTTAATCCCAAGTTAAGTTGTTCATGATGAATCTCACTGAAATTGAATAACAGACAATAACCAAGTCACGCAAACTTGATCACTGATTATATTTCAAAACCCCGTCAGCTCAAAGCCTCAAACAAGAAATGCCTCGTTGATAGTGAAGTAAAAGGCAAACTAAAATTAATTTTTCAGCAGACTGACCTGTTCTGTACTAATTACTAAGTTTGAAGTATCGTTCTCCATAACGAGCCCAATAACTCGGGAAATTATATCCCGAGAGAAAAATATTCAAGGAATCAAATTCACCGCCATATTTGAAATTCGAAAGAAATCAAACAATGTATGGTAGTTTATGACGCATGCCCAGTTATGGTTAGCTTGATTGCATTGATGACAATCAACTGGATTATGGTCATTATGGTATAACGAATGGGTATTACGCAATGGTATCATCTTTATATCAGTCTTAAAACGTTGTCGCGTAGGAAATGCTCGTTTAAAAAATTGACGTATTGTGTTAATTTCAATGTATATCACTATCACAGCTGCATAAAGTATTGCCAGCTACATGCATATTTTTTACACATCTATGTTGCAAGCACAAAATATTTTCTGCTCCTGTGAATATAGCAGCAAAACAATTCACCAGTGGGTTTAGCATAAAAAAATTTAGAAATAAATTGATTTAAAAATTTATTTTACACCCTATTTATAATTATTAATTAGTCTGTGGTGTAGCCAGCTAATGCAAACCAATTTAGTTTTGCTATGCAATATTTTCTGTGTTCACTGACACTCACTGCGGAAGAAGTAAATTTCCGCTACAGAAATTTAGAAAGAAAAATAATTTTCTACAGTTTATATAGCAGGAGAAAAACATGGGAGAAAAAGTGAAATTTCAACTGTCTAGTCTAAAAAGTCATAAAAATTAAATGTAAGGACAATTATGTTCCGGATTCTAACGATGTTAAGCTGGTGAGCCTATTTTTTCAAGTGAAAAAGTAACATAAATAAAAATGCAAGCACTGATAGTTAACAAATATCACCTTGTTTTTTTTATGCCATTCACAGGAAACGAAAACGGAGATACAAAAACGAAATGTCAGACAATTAAAATAATTTTGTAAATATATAACAATCTGGAAGATTCTTAAATAAATTAACATAAGTGAATAACAAACCCAGATTCAAAACATTTGAAGAATCATAAAATAACAGGATCATGCATGATGCATTCAATACCGTCTCTGCTTATGGAAAAAATTGTCTGATAACTTATCATCACTCGACGTTGGATTTTATGTTCAGTGTAACAAGAAAGGAGAAAGACAGTTGATAAAGTCGCATGACTATAGCTACGGAGCACAACAAACTATATTGTTTCATTTTGTTTTTTAATTTTAAATGTATCGCAACTAATGCATGCAGTTGTTCGGTATTGAATTTTAAGTAAAATAACTCAGTCTCAATGGTAATTTCTACAAAATCAGCAAGTTCTGATATTATCTAAGAGCATGAACATCAATAAAATTTCTTATTAATGTCTTATTGATTCACGTGATGATCAATTGGTGGTTTATATGGTACGTCACGGAGCAATGTTTGTGGTCAAATACAAAAGAATGCTTTTCATGATTTGCTTAAGTAATTTTGTATATATGTACGAGCATTACACGCTTTTGACATGCATCATTTTATACAGACAACATATTACAAGAACAATTATGCTGTTTCATGAAAAAATTGCGAAATTACAGGTGTTTTTAAATTCTTTTCAATGTTTCACAGAAAGTGTCGCTATTCATAATAAAAACATTAAACACATAATAAACAAGATACGTGTCCTATCAAGCATCTCATATGCTTCTCATAAGTTTCTCATTAAAGTATATTTGCTTTAAATTAATATTATTGCACCATTTCAAGCTATATCATGGCACAAGTAACACTATTGGTGTGTCTTCTTTTGATCAAACATTTTATACAAATTCAAGGTATGTATTTTTATGTTTTATTTAGAACTGAACAAAAAAAGTATGGCTAGTCTGCATAAAGAAAAAGCTTTTTCTGAGCAAAACACGTACATTTACTATTTTCCCAAAAGCAATTATGAATATTTAATATATTAATCACATGTGTTATAGTAATATACGATGTTAAGTTGACACAAATTTGAACGTATGACTCTTAATTTCCCCATCTCTTTAAATTTCAAGAAATCATTTTCAAAACAAGAGATTGAACAATGTGTTGAAATTCGATAATAATTACTCCGACAATCATTTACTGATAAAAATTCAGATAAAGTCTAATTCACATGCATGGATAAAGGTTTCAATCTAAACTTGAAGAGCTTGTAAAATCTATAGCTCTGAGATCAAGATTAGCACTTAGATATATCAAAAACATGTTGTGGAAAGGTTTTTCTTAATTTAAGCGTGCATGAGCGGGCCGACAACAACCCCAACGCTCCAATCAAGATCTTGTGGTCAAAAAGGACGTGGTTTAAGTGACAAGGCCAAGATCGTTGGAGGTCAGAATGCCTTTCCAGGCGAATGGCCATGGCAGGTCACTCTTATGGATGAAAAGGGAATATTCTGCGGAGGTTCTTTGGTATCAAATCAATATGTTATTACAGCAGCTCATTGTTTGAAAACTTCTAACTGGAGTCGAATAAAGGTTGTATAGTTGAAATTATTTATATAGGCGTCTTTCAGCTTTGTTTGATTTGCAGATTGCAATTTTTTAATTTGTAAAATTATAAAACTTTTTATGTAAAAGGTAAGACTAGGAGAACACGAAATATGCCATTATGAGGGAAATGAACAAGACATGGATATAAAGAAAAATGGAATCACCATTCATCCTCAGTACAACAAAAAGACAATTGACTACGATATTGCAATTATTGAACTAAAGGAATCAGTCAATTTTACAAAAAGAATAAAACCCGTCTGCATTAACACAGGACTTGATTTTACTGGTAAGAGCAAATTGCAATTTAACAAAGTTGAATAAATTCTTTTACAACTGGACGTAATGCAATGCCATTTATATACTAATATGTTGACAGGTACTGATATGAATACTTTCACCATAACTTTATAATTAATATATTAGATAAGATAATGAGCTGATCAATAAACCTAAGTAATTATTACTGTATAAGTTGTTGAAGCATTCTATTAAGTTACCTATAGAGACCTCGATCACGATAGCAACTAAGCAAGAGAATTCACTTATCACAAACTATTGTCTTGGAAACAGGACAACGCTGTTACATTACTGGTTGGGGAACACTTCAAAGTAGAGGATTGTTTCCAAAGGTCTTGCAAGAAGCTCAAGTTCCCATTGTGACAGCAGAAGAATGCAAAATAATTTACAAAAGCACGATAACAGATAGAATGCTCTGTGCAGGGTTTCCACGGGGAGGTGTAGACACATGTCAAGGAGACAGTGGAGGTATAAAAAGAAATAATATTTTAAATCTATTTGCAGTTAATGAAACTTGAGAAAATAAAAAAATGAACTCATTCTTAGCTGTCCAAATAAAAAGCCCATTATACTTTGCCTGTGACGTTTTCAAACGTAATATGAATATGACGTGTATTGCCATTAAACAAATATATCGTTGTCTTTATAGGTCCACTGGTCTGTAAACACCGTGACGGTGCATGGTATCTAACTGGTATCACAAGCTGGGGACGAGGTTGCGCAGTATCTTACGGTGTCTACACCCATGTCGCTAATCTTTATCCCTGGCTTGCCAAAATTACTGGACTTTAGTCTTTAGACTCTCTCAATTTGGGTAACTTTGAGTCATATATTGAGACATATATTGAGTATTATATTTCAGTCATATATACTTTGAGATAAATATATAGTTGTAGTTATTTGTAAGTTAAAGTAATATGTGGAATAAACTACGAAAATTATTGTGACATTGTTATATTTCTAATATTGTTGTCGTTTTTAGCGCGTGAGTGCATAGTTGTGTTCACAGAATAGGAAATGAACAGAAGGCCAACTAAGTGTCGGAGCCTTTGAAGTCAGTGTCTTCGCGCATGTCTCACTGCGCATGCTAGAAATTCGATGGCCGCCATTACTCTGTCAAGTACTGGATAAGGAATTTGTATATAATTGTATTGTGCGAGACAATAATTTACACATTGTGAAGGTTTACTTTTATATTATTTTTCCTGTTATCCCCAACGAATTGTCATATTCTGCCAGACAAGAAGACTATAGGGTTCTCTATAGGGAATGCCGTACTCTTTCATCTTTGAAAAAAAAATGAATTAAGTGAAGATTATATACTATAATTAGAGTAATTTTTTTCAACTTTTCATAAATTTACTTTTTATTTACTTTTGGTTTATTGATTTGCGTTGCTTGAAGTGCAAATGTATGATTATTTAATGCTGCTTTTCTGAGATTGGGGCGGCTAAGTAAATAATCAAAACTTTGCTGCTAATTTTACTATGGAAAACTCAAAATTTATTCAAAATAGATTATTACAATCAAAAGTTGGCTGATAATTTCCTTTTTAAAACAAAACAAAACGAAACGAAAAGATACGAAATGAAACGAAAGAAAACGAAACAAAACAAATTAAAACAAAGCAAAACAAAACAGAACAATACAAAACAATGCGAAGCAAGTTTTTGCTCATATATTTAGCTATAGGATTCCGGATAATGGTCAATTACCGTAAGATTCCGCTTGCTGCCACAGGCAATTAGATTGCTGGAAAAGCTGGAATTCCATCACGGCTGATCGGAAGAAAATTAATGTTCTTCTTTATTCTTTTCCCCTAGCCAAAATTACAGGAAAACCTTTTCTAGAAACAAAATTCGGTAATGTTGGAGAAATGTTTCCTACACAGATTGAGCTCCAGTGACGTGTTTTTTAGTTCTTATTAATTTAGAGATACCAGAAGTACATGAATACGCGAATCAAGTACATATGAAGCCGTGCAGAAAGCGTTGTGGGATTTTAAACGATCCAACGTTTCAATCCGTTAACTACACAACTAAATTTAAAATGACGATGCCGCGGATTGCCTTTTTTCTGAAACTCTCACTAGAAATAGGTTTGCCGGAACAATAAAAGACAATTGATAAATTCATTTGTTTACTTCTAAAATTTATATGGAGTGTTATGAGATAATTCGTTTAGTAATGAAAAGTTGGAAGTAGTCGTTCAATTTATTCTTCATTTGTCGTATAAAGTTACTTCACAAAATTTTCGACAAAATCTAACAAAAGCGATTTCATTAGTAATAATATGCTTAACTTTCCACGTCCTTGCGTTGCGTCAGGTAACCTAAAAGGCTCATATCTCTGCTTCTAAAGTTAGGGGGTTCGAGCCTCCCTTGCCACCGTGCTCCTCGCGCTTATGGCACGAGAACTCAGTTCCCCATGTCGACAACAATAAAATGCCAAAAAAATACAACTACATGACATATAACAATTTCTGTGCAGGGTTTGAAAATGTATGAGCTGACGCATATCAAGGAAACAGCGACGGCATAAAAAGAAATAAGAACAGAAATCTCTTTACAGTTAATGAAACTTTCCAAAACTAAAAAGTGACATTATTGTAAGCCAGTTTGTGATGAGCATTTGATAAAAAAACAGATTACATTATCTGTAATATTCTTGAACTGAATATGACATGGAACACCAGCAAAATAAAATACATCATTGTCTTTATAGGTCTGCAGTCTGTAAGCATATCGTGATTATAGTATTTTACAGGTATCAAAAGCTCAGGACAAGGTTGCAGAAAAATTTATGGTGTTTACCCTGATGTCGCTACACTATATTCTTGGTTATAATCTACATGCATAAGTTTGAATATTGGTAATGAATTGTTTTCAAGTGATCACGTATCAAACACTGCTCATAGTCTACGAATAATTGAGATTTTTTTCTACCCACGTTTTTTACTCACGACACAAGACAGAACTATTAACTCTCTGTGAAAAACGAGTTAATTTCATGAAATTCACAGATGCCTTCTAACATTCAACTACTTTTCCACTTTTCCTTTTTGAATAATTCGTACAGCTATTTCACAGTACTGCAGAGATTTTCTAAACTCTGCTCAACTTTTCTGTCTAAAGGAATCAAAATAGTTATTATAGTATTAAAAATAAAGAAAAACGACGAGTCTGATTTATAATTTACTCACCAATTTAATTGATCGAACAAGTTCTAATGACTCTAATTTACAGTTCCTAAAGGTCACGTAAAGATCATTTCTTCCTTATACGGTGTTAATCTTTGCAGAAAAGGTAACTATTTTATAGTTTAGTAACTGAAGTATTAAAACTTGCTTCGTCCGATCATACACAAAGTACAGAAGCTCCAGTAAAAGGTTTAAGTTACCACTAAAGTTTACCAGCCAAAGAAATTTGTTTAGAAGTGAGAAAAAGAATAGTTGATGCTAACAAAGCTGGAGACGGATATAGAAAGTTATCCAAGCGTTTCCAGGTGTTCAAAACAGAAGAAAAGGGTATCATTCCGAAATTAAAAGAGACTCATTTCCTTTACAAAACAAGACAGGAGGAGGAAGAAAGTAAAATATTTCAAGTACTTTGGAAAGAAAGTTAGGTAGACATGTGCTGAACGACCCTTGACCAAAGACATTAATGACCTGGTCAATTTTTAAAGTTTGCATTGTGCATGCGCTGAAAGCATTTAAAGACCAAAGAAAATAAGGTAAAATTTCTCGTTGTCTTTTGTTTTCAATGCACGCGGATTAGGTAAGTCGAGTATCCTAAGTGAATGTCGGAGAGGCATCTTATTTTATTGATATTTTACATGCTTTCAGCTCTTACAAAATTTAGCCTTCGAGGGGTGGGGGATGACTGATTAAATTTCTAAAGACTTGAAATTGTACGAGATTCAACAATTACAAATGTGGAGAGTAAAATCCAGAAAAAAACAACATCAATTAATTTTTTGATCAACGTTTATAACATTTTAGTGTCGTAACAACGCTTTTTTAAAGCAGTATGGAGAGTTTCGAGGCAAGTTACAAAATACCTCAAAAAATATTATGAGCACATCGCAGTGTAGTTTCTTAATATTTTGTACAATGACGGAAACACATGCAATCGTAAGTCTTTCTTAAAGAGAAAACTCACAAACCATGTTACTTATACGTAAAACTCGAAAGCAAACTACAAGTGTACAAATTACTGTGGAGTACAATATAAATCAAAATTTCCTTTATGAACCAAATATTGTGAGATTGCCATACACAATTAGTGTCTTAACAACATTTAATATATAGATATTGATTCGCTCGTAACCTCACACGATTTGTTTGTTTTGTGAAAACAAATCAGTATACCACTCAAGTGACTCAACTGTCCGACCCAGAAGTGTCTATTCTCAGTTTGTAATTATCAATTTCATGTTTTGTCTATAGTTGATAAATACATACGTCAGCTTGTGTATCCTTTATGTTGTTGAATAATGTAAATATTACAGGCTACTTCATCTTAAGTGAAGCATCCAGCCGTAAAAAACCCGGCGATAAAGCAAATCTTGTTAGTCCCAAGCTCAGGATTGGTCACTGGTGTTTAACATTCTCCTACAATATGTTTGGTAGCGATGCTGGAGAACTAAATGTTTGTCTGGGCATGGGAAGTTATATGAGGCAAAAGATTTTTACAAAATCTGTCAGTCAAGGAAACAAATGGAAAAAAGCAAAAATTGACATCAATGTTGAAAATAATTCTTCTGTAAGTATCAATAATATAAATAAGACTCGAGCAAGCGAGCTTCAGTTTCAATTTAAGTAATGCTAAAACCAAACAAATTTTAAACAGTTAGCTATAAAATGAAGTGCTTTCTGTAAGGGGGGCATGTAGGAAAGTCAATATAATAAACAACAACCTTTGAGCATTGTTGTCTATTGGAATGGTCAGATTGACTTGAATGCCCTTGTTTAACACATCTTACAAATAACTGTTCATCTAAAAACGTGTCACTTTTTCTCAAAAAATCTGCCTGTAAGAAATAGCTTTTTAGAATTAAATCTAAGACATAATTTGGCGCTTGCATGTGTCGTTTGAACAACAGGATGACGCCACTGATGTTGGAATAAAGTCTTTTGTCTCATAAGAGAAAATTTGAAAAAATCTCAAGCACTCTTAAGTGCTTTGAAACTCATGCGCTCACTGTAATGTACGATAGAATAAATTGATAATGAGATTTTCAAGGCAAAGTTCACGATGGCTTCCAAAAAGAAAAAAAAATGCTCATCAAAGAAAAATTTGGTTTGCTTCAACATATATATACGCGTAAGACCATTGCAATGAAAGAGAGTTTCCAGAAAACTTTAAGAAAAGCAAACATTAAATAGCTTATTTAAAGTATCTGGTCATAAATTGTATTACTGACAATTATTTTTTACATATTTGTAAATGTAGATAGTCCAGGTTGGTATAGTCCTGAGAAGAACTGTTTTTGTTTTTGTTGACTGACGTTTCGAAATTATTTTTTATTCACACCAAGCGGGTAATATTCGGTACCACGCGAGGAAATGGTTGGCAAGGACATATCACGCGAGGAAATAGTTGGCAAGGACATACCACGCGAGGAAATGGTTGGCAAGGACATATTGCTTTAGACGAGATCTCTCTAAGCTATCAAAAATGTCTGGCTATCCCAAAACTCCAGCCGAGATCATGTGGTCAAAAAGGACGTGGTCTTAGTGACATAACCAAGATCGTCGGAGGTCAGAATGCCTATTCAGGCGAATGGCCATGGCAGGTCGCTCTTATGGATGAAAAGGGCATATTCTGCGGTGGTTCTTTGGTATCAAATCAATATGTAATTACAGCAGCTCATTGTGTCAAACATGTATACTGGAGTGGACTTAAGGTAATTTCAATATCGCAAAAATATTTACAAAGTGTTTCATGTGACAATACAACGGTATAAACCTCTTTGCTCAGCTCTAAATATCTAAATTTTTGAAAGTATTGTGTTTTTTTTGAAGGACTGAATAATTTTACCAACGAATTGGGATTCTTGATTTTATAGGTAATACTAGGGAAATACAACATGTACAGTTATGAGGGAGATGAACAAGTCGTGGATGTAATGAGAAATGATATTACCATTCATCCTCAGTATGACAGACAAGCATTCGATTATGATATTGCAGTTATTAAACTGAAAAAATCAGTCAGTTTCACAACAAGAATAAAGCCTGTCTGCATTAACACAGAAATTGATTTTACTGGTATGCTTTGATAATACAAAAAAGGACAACATTAAAGTTTTTGCTTTGACAATCACTTGATTCAATGTTGATCACGTGGCCTAAACGTTTCTCCTTTTGAGTGCCCAATAGCACAAATATGATCTCGCTTCACTGAAAGCAATTTGTGTTTCTTTTTGCCACGTTGTTCAACTTTGAACCTCTCAGCTAGCTTTTATATATAACTATTCCCACCTCTAAGTTTAACTCTCCTTGCTCATGAAAACGTACCAACTTTACCAATTACGTAGGTTAACTCACTTTATTATGTACTGTTGTTATACCAACAGGACAACGCTGTTACATTACTGGTTAGGGAACACTTGATCTTGGAGGACTGTTTCCAAAGATCTTGAAAGAAGCTCAAGTTACCATTGTGACAACAGAAGAATGCAAAATAATTTACAAAAGCAAGATAACAGATAGAATGTTCTGTGCAGGGTTTCCACGGGGAGGTGTTGAAACATGTCAAGGAGATAGGGGAGGTATAAAAAAATAGCATTTTAGGTCTGCTTGCACAGAAACCTTCAAAAAATAAAAAACTACATCATTTTTAATTACATTGTGATTGCCAATTAAGAAAAAAATTACGTTCCCTCTTTTTCACACGAATATGACATAAAACACTAGTAAAATATATATCGTTGTCTTTATAGGTCCGTTGGTCTGTGAACACCGTGACGGTTCATGGTATCTAACTGGCATTACAAGCTGGGGACGAGGTTGTGCAGAATCTTACGGTGTCTACTCTCATGTCGCTAATTTTTATTCCTGGCTCACCTAAATTACTTGACTTTATATTCACTTGACTTATATATTTGATTTTTAACGTAGATTATGAAATTATTATGTGCCCAACCTTTGTGACCTCCGATAATTGTTACTTAATGTTTCTAGCAGTAACTTTTGATGCTGCTTTAAATACTTTGAGCTTTGATTGAAAGCGAATAGAGCTAATATATACGGCTCATCATACATGGAATAAAAATGAATTGTTGATCGACTTTCTTTGGAAGATATCAAGAAATGTGTAAAACATGTTTAACCTTGCGTCACATGCATGCATTTACTATATTTCTTGTTTTTTTCATTTGGTATTTTTCACCCTGTTTTTTTGGACAAACATGTTGTCTCTCATCATTTGTAACTTTTAGTCTAGCTATGAATTTTTAATGTGCCACGTAGCACTATAAATGCTATCATTAAGGACAATGTCATAATTTATAATTACAAATATAAATTTTCGAATGAAAACGGCTTTTTAGAAAGAGTTTGTTAAAACTGAATAATTTTGTACGCAAAACTCCAAAGCCCATTGCAATTGTTATGAAAATATTATGGTGTATGTCATTGAAAAAGCAGTAGATTTCTAAAGGAATGAATAATCTTGTCTCAAAATTTAAATACTGAAGTTCAGTTTTGTAGAATTTTTTCTCATATAAACCAAAGTAGCGTGCTTGCTATTAGTAGCAGTCACTATAAGCTATTCATGCCGCTGTCTTTGAGATACAATAAAATATAAAAAAGAAAATGATGGCCATAGAAGTAGGCATATCTCTAAGCATTCAAAATACCTCATTGCATGGGGACTAATTCTCCGGCCTTACTAATTTTGAACTTATTTTACGAAAAGGAAAAAATCAACACTGTTGGAAAGGGATAATTACAAATGGGGCATAGGAGGGGTCAATCATTAGGTCTAGCAGGAAGTTCAAATTCCCATTTTGCATGACTGCACAGAAATTCAGGAAGTCATTTAAAAGTATTGCAGACAGAATAACTTGTGCTTAGTTTGTTGTTGATAATGAGCGTAAATTGAACTAGGATAAATTAAACTCGAATTGAAGAAATGACATTAGTTTGGTAACCTCAATTTAGCAGTCTAAAATAAAATTATGAAATATCAAGTGAGCAATTCTCAACTAACAGAATGAAATTTTTCCATACATAATTTTACATTTCACTACAAAGATATAGAATGGCTAACACATAGCTTTTCTATTTTTCTTTTTCAAATGATATTATTAAGAAGCAGCAACGAGTGATATGCTATTTTTCTTAAATTTTAACTAATCTAAATGTAATAGCATATTTCTCATCAGCAATTACGAATTATAACGCAAACAGTTTCCCGTGTACGTACTGATGACATAGCATGCAGCAATATGTTTACCAAAGCAATATTTTTATGTTAGACATGATTTCTTGCAGTTGATGTTTTGACGTATTGCTGCATGTACAACATTTTATTTCATTTCAATGGTAAAATCATGTAAACATAGTCTAGATTTCAAAAAAAGCTGAATAAAATCTATCCTGATTTTGCAAGCTGCAAAGTTTTTGAAAACAAAAGGCCAGGAATGAAACTAGAGTTGATCAATGAACCGAAAGCATTTACTTAGCATTTTTGAGCTGTGAAGTGTGACCAAGGTTATATTGCTGATAAGTCTGCCATATATGCCAAAATCTGTACAAACATGTGAATAAGCATGTTAGAGATCCTGCTGTTGGCAAACACCTACGTAAACATAAAATTAAAGATCACTTGATTGTCACAAAAAATGTTTGTTTGCTGTAAGTGTTGGAAAAATAGGATTGTCTAAATATGTGGTGATTCTGGTGAACGTAGCTCAGCTACTTTTGCATTACCTTAATGTTGATGATGCTATCAAGGAGACGTTAATTAACATTTCAAAGACTTTTTTAGTCTAAATCAAAATCGTCTAAGGCAATTGTTTAAGTTTGTCGTCTACATAACAAATAAAAGTTTTCGCATTGCGTGCAATGACCATGAATTGAAAATCAAAAATAGAATTGTCAAGTATTGTATTTGCTTTTAAACATGACAACCTTGCTGTTTCACTTTGTTTTGCTTTAACTGGAAAACAGCAGGATATTTATATCAAATAATTATAGCTAGTCTAATTGTTTTTGCTATTTTGTAATAATGGTTTTGTTGATGACTATACATGCATGACTATACAGTATGACTATACATGCTTTTTAAATTTGCCTACCGCATTGCGTGCGTAAATGGAACTTTTGGCTTGATTTTGTTGTGGCTTATGGCTTTCATTTTTAGGTGCACAAATTAACTTCTTCACTGATTAAGCTCTCACCCCAGTCCTTTTACTCTAATTACTTACTGACGTCACAATGATTGAAGAGTCCAAAAACTAAATATTTCGTGTAGTTTTTTTTATATTTCACAAACGGAAAGTAACAATTAAAGAATAAAGATTTGCACAAACCGTTTATTTACAAATTTATTCGTTTGAATATTTTTTGCCAGTTGTTAACTTTTATTGTTTATTGAATAATGACTTTTGTGTTCAAAGAAACGAAAAGAGAAGTTTTGCTGTTTATAGTAAATTCAAAAAAATAAAATAACTTTTCGTTAAGTATTTCTTCCTTAATTTACATTTTCTGTATTGTGCAGACAGAGTAACAGTTGCTCAACTCAACAATGGCAACATAGTTCTTATGTAGAGTTCAGCTGACACATTTCTAAACGTGCGATAAACGCATGTTGGATCTTACAGATCTCACATGAGGCTCATAAGTTTATCATAAGAGTATTAAAGAGCAGTGTAATGCATATGTTTTTACTCAATTAATATGATTGCACCATTTCAAGCTGCACCATGGCACAAGTAACTCTCCTGGTGTGTCTACTTTTGATAAAATATTTGATACAAATTCAAGGTATGTATTTTTACATTTTATTTGAAATATAATATGACTATATTGTTTTGTATTAATAATATAAAATCGAGGAAATAAAAAAACTTCAGCCCCACATTTTTATCTATTTCACTAATGTTTACTTTACAAAAGAAAAACTGTGTTTATAACTTAGCTTGCAACATTTAGAAAATTCAAATTTCTGCAACTTTGAAAAAAAGTCAATGGTATTTTGAGCTAAAATCAAATTTTACCTTTATTGATCAGGAAATAGTGTTTTTTACTCAAACTTCCGTTGTTGCCAAGACAAAGAAGGTTTTTCCTCGTTCTATGCTTTTTCATTGTTTTAACATTTTTATTGAAAAAATTACGTTTAAACATTCCCCATTGCCTCAAGTTCAAAAAACACTTATTTCTTCATTTATGTTTACAATGATGGTGAAAAGTAATATGTAGCTACTGTGTCACGATTTTCTCTTCAAAGCATATAGGGTCGAGTCATACTACTTTCTTTACAAAATTTAAATTTAAAATTATTTAGCAGTTTTTAATATCTCAAAATGGTTCTTTCCTACAGAGGGCGAAGACCAATTAATCAATTTGATTGTGAATGGCCAGGTTGTTTTGGAAGGCTTTTTGGGAGAAAGAAGTTAAAAATACTGCCCTCGCAATAAATTTGTACCAAACTTAATCATTTAAAATGCACTGCAGAAAGAAACTTTCTATGCAAAAAGACAATATAATTTAAAAGTAATATAATGCTGAACAATTAAAGAAAAAAAAACAACAAACAGCTAACAACTAAACGACTGAAAATAGACTAAAGATAAATACTGCGTACTTTGACAGAATTTCATAAGAATCATAATTTCTTGGTGAGATAGAAATTACTATACGTAATCAGGTACTGCATGTTACATAAGCTTACGTACAAAATTGTATACAATGGAGCAAATTGTTTGCAAAATGAGGAAGTATTTGTGTTCCTGCTTGAAGTCGCGTGAGTGGCACCAGAATAGCCCCATGCTGGGTGTAGATAGGACGTTGACCAAGTAAATTTCAAACAAATCTGAGTAGCACACGCAGTTATGAGGAATCCTAAATTACTCTGATCAAAAATTTTGTTAATCAAATGATTGGGTTCTTTCTACAATAAATACAATTAGCAACTGGTGGAAATACTTTTAACTTTAAGACCGGATGTAGGTTTGATAACGAAATCAACATTTAACAGTTCTTGTAATTGCCGGTCAAAATTTCAGCAAATTGCAACTTTGACAAAAGAAACATCTGCAACTTTCAACATGGCCCTGGAAACTTTAATTGGACAGTTAAAAAAGGTTCAACACCTAGCTATGGAACAGGCCCCAGTAAAGATACAAGTGGATCAGGTTTACATACTCAATATTTTAATACAATAGCATTATTAAGTTTCTTTCAACTTTATGCTGTTGAGTGATTGAATTTTCGAGATATTTTAAGCTTTAATTTTCTATTACATAGTCTATCGTTTTTTAAATTATTTTAACACGACTAATATTCAATAATTATTCAAATCTAGGTTACTATCTCTACCTCGAAACATCAAGTCCGCGTCAATATGGAGATAAAGCAACTGTTTTAACACCATACTTATATGGTGAACAATGTATGAAGTTTGCCTATCATATGTACGGCAGCAGTATTGGTTCTCTCAACATTTACGCTGGTAGTCAAATGATTTTTAAGAAATCAGGAAATCAAGGCAACAAATGGGTGTTTGTGGAACAATTCATTCGTCTGAATGGAAGTTATATGGTAGATTTTAATTTATTTTTAAAAGTACTTGGTCTGGATTTTTAATGCACTTTTCCTTTTAATTTTAAGAATGTCAAGCTTTTTAGAGACTAGTTTAAGCACATATTAATAACAATCATAAAGTCAAGGCGTACAACACATCTTATAAAAAGTGCCGCTGTTTACATAGAGGTTGAACAAGTACTAACTAGAAGGCAGGTTATGAACAATTTCAACTTAAGATTAGACGAAGAGTAGAATTTGAACTAACTAATGCAACAGAACCTATAAATAAATAGTATTTGGGTTTTTTTGATCAGCAAGTGTGAGATTAACACAAACAACAATTCCCACTTCTCAAACCTATTTCATATTATTTTCTCTACACAGGTAAAATTTGAAGGTGTTCGTGGTCTTAGTTACCAAGGTGACATTGCAATCGATGCAATTAGTTTTACACCAGGCGGATGTTCTTTGAAAACACCAAAGCCGACATTACAATCGACCCAAACAACGACAAAACCTTCTTTGGCACAAACAGGTAATGCAAAACGTAAGAAAATAGAAATCCAATGATTAATTGAAAACAGTAAATAAATTTTGATATCTGTTTGCCACATTGTAATGGATTGCTTTGTCTTATTTTACTCTGATATAAGAACCATAATATAAATTCTAAATTTCAAAAAACCGAATATCACATGCAAAAACTCAGCTGAGTTATTGATAAATTTGTTAGAAAAAGAGAAGAATAAAAACATGCATTTCAATAAAAAACATATTCTACTAATGTCTTTTGTCTTTTTACATCATTAGCAAACTGCAGTTTTGATAATGGAAACATCTGCAACTTTCGTAATGGAGCGGGGGAATTCAATTGGAAAGTTTACAGAGGTTCAACACCTAGTTGGCAAACAGGTCCCAGCAATGACGCAAGTGGATCTGGTATAAAAAAGTTATTTTATTACTTAGTCATTCTCCATCACAACTTAATTGCGCATCTCAATAACTACCAACTGAAACTCATATAAATGCTTACAAATTCATTTAATTTATTTATGTCCTACAAATTTAATTTTATTCTGTACGATTGATATTTGTAATCTTTCTGTTTTAGGTTACTATCTCTACATTGAAACATCAAGTCCACGTCAATACGGAGATAAAGCAACTGTTTTAACACCATACCTAAATGGTGAACAATGTATGAAGTTTGCCTACCATATGTACGGTAGAAGTATTGGTTCTCTCAACATTTACGCTGGTAGTCAAATGATTTTTAAGAAATCAGGAAATCAAGGCAACACATGGGTGTTTGTGGAACAATTCATTCGTCTGAATGGAAGTTATATGGTATATCTTAATTTGTTATTAAAAGTTCTTTGGTCTGGATTTTTAATGCACTTTTCCTTTTACTTTTAAGAATATTAAACTTTTTACAAAGTAGTTTAAGCACATATTAATAATAATGATAAAGTCAAGGCGTACAATACATCTTATAAAAAGTGCTGCTGTTTACATAGAGGTAGAACAAGTACTAACTAGAAGGCAGGTTATGAACAATTTCAACTTAAGATTAAACGAAGAGTAGAATTTGAACTAACTAATGCAACAGAACCTATAAATAAGTGGTATTTGGGTTTTTTTGATCAGCAAGTGTGAGCTTAACACAAACAACAATTCCCACTTCTCAAACCTATTTCATATTATTTTCTCTACACAGGTAAAATTTGAAGGTGTTCGTGGTCTTAGTTACCAAGGTGACATTGCAATCGATGCAATCAGTTTTACACCAGGCAGATGTTCTTTGAAAACACCAAAGCCAACAATACAATCGACCCAAACACCGACAAAACCCTCTTTCGTACAAACAGGTAATGCAAAACTTAAGAAATAGAAATCCAATGATTATTTGAAAACAGTGAATAAATTTAGATTACTGTTTGCCACAGTGTAATGGATTGCTTTGTCTTATTTTACTCCGATATAAGAACCATAATATAAATTTAAAATTTAAAAAAACCGAATATCACATGATAAAAAATTCAGCTCAGTTATTGATAAATTTGTTAGAAAAAGAGAAGAATGAAAACCTACATTTCAATAAAAAAACATTTCTGACTAATGAATTTGTCTTTTTACATTATTAGCAAACTGCAGTTTTGATAATGGAAATATCTGCAACTTTCGTTATGGAGCGGGGGCATTTAATTGGACAGTTTACAGAGGTTCTACACTTAGTTGGAATACAGGTCCCAGCAATGACACTAGTGGATATGGTATAAAAAAATTTATTTTATCACTTAGTCATTTTCCATCACAACTTAATTGCGCATCTCGATAACTACCAACATAAACTCATATAAATGCTTACAAATTCATTTAATTTATTCATGTCCTACAAATTTAATTTAATTCTGTACGATTAATATTCGTAATCTTTCTGTTTTAGGTTACTATCTCTACATTGAAACATCAAGTCCACGTCAATACGGAGATAAAGCAACTGTTTTAACACCATACCTAAATGGTGAACAATGTATGAAGTTTGCCTACCATATGTACGGTAGAAGTATTGGTTCTCTCAACATTTACGCTGGTAGTCAAATGATTTTTAAGAAATCAGGAAATCAAGGCAACAAATGGGTGTTTGTGGAACAATTCATTCGTCTGAATGGAAGTTATATGGTAGATTTTAATTTATTTTTAAAAGTTCTTGGTCTGGATTTTTAATGCACTTTTCCTTTTACTTTTAAGAATATTAAACTTTTACAAAGTAGTTTAAGCACATATTAATAATAATGATAAAGTCAAGGCGTACAATACATCTTATAAAAGTGCTGCTGTTTACATAGAGGTAGAACAAGTACTAACTAGAAGGCAGGTTATGAACAATTTCAACTTAAGATTAGACGAAGAGTAGAATTTGAACTAACTAATGCAACAGAACCTATAAATAAATAGTATTTGGGTTTTTTTGATCAGCAAGTGTGAGATTAACACAAACAACAATTCCCACTTCTCAAACCTATTTCATATTATTTTTCTACACAGGTAAAATTTGAAGGTGTTCGTGGTCTTAGTTACCAAGGTGACATTGCAATCGATGCAATTAGTTTTACACCAGGCAGATGTTCTTTGAAAACACCAAAGCCGACATTACAATCGACCCAAACACCGACAAAACCCTCTTTGGCACAAACAGGTAATGCAAAACGTAAGAAATAGAAATCCAATGATTATTTGAAAACAGTAAATAAATTTAGATATCTGTTTGCCACAGTGTAATGGATTGCTTTGTCTTATTTTACTCCGATATAAGAACCATAATATAAATTTAAAATTTAAAAACCGAATATCACATGCAAAAATTCAGCTCAGTTATTGATAAATTTGTTAGAAAAGAGAAGAATGAAAACCTACATTTCAATAAAAAAACATTTCTGACTAATGAATTTGTCTTTTTACATTATTAGCAAACTGCAGTTTTGATAATGGAAATATCTGCAACTTTCGTTATGGAGCGGGGGCATTTAATTGGACAGTTTACAGAGGTTCTACACTTAGTTGGAATACAGGTCCCAGCAATGACACTAGTGGATATGGTATAAAAAAATTTATTTTATCACTTAGTCATTTTCCATCACAACTTAATTGCGCATCTCGATAACTACCAACATAAACTCATATAAATGCTTACAAATTCATTTAATTTATTCATGTCCTACAAATTTAATTTAATTCTGTACGATTAATATTCGTAATCTTTCTGTTTTAGGTTACTATCTCTACATTGAAACATCAAGTCCACGTCAATACGGAGATAAAGCAACTGTTTTAACACCATACCTAAATGGTGAACAATGTATGAAGTTTGCCTACCATATGTACGGTAGAAGTATTGGTTCTCTCAACATTTACGCTGGTAGTCAAATGATTTTTAATAAATCAGGAAATCAAGGCAACAAATGGGTGTTTGTGGAACAATTCATTCGTCTGAATGGAAGTTATATGGTAGATTTTAATTTATTTTTAAAAGTACTTGGTCTGGATTTTTAATGCACTTTTCCTTTTACTTTTAAGAATATTAAACTTTTTACAAAGTAGTTTAAGCACATATTAATAACAATCATAAAGTCAAGGCGTACAACACATCTTATAAAAAGTGCCGCTGTTTACATAGAGGTAGAGCAAGTACTAACTAGAAGGCAGGTTATGAACAATTTCAACTTAAGATTAGACGAAGAGTAGAATTTGAACTAACTAATGCAACAGAACCTATAAATAAATAGTATTTGGGTTTTTTTGATCAGCAAGTGTGAGCTTAACACAAACAACGATTCCCACTTCTCAAACCTATTTCATATTATTTTCTCTACACAGGTAAAATTTGAAGGTGTTCGCGGTCTTAGTTACCAAGGTGACATTGCAATCGATGCAATTAGTTTTACACCAGGCAGATGTTCTTTGAAAACACCAAAGCCGACATTACAATCGACCCAAACACCGACAAAACCTTCTTTGGCACAAACAGGTAATGCAAAACGTAAGAAAATAGAAACCCAATGATTAATTGAAAACAGTAAATAAATTTTGATATCTGTTTGCCACATTGTAATGGATTGCTTTGTCTTATTTTACTCCGATATAAGAACCATAATATAAATTTTAAATTTAAAAAAACCGAATATCACATGCAAAAAATTCAGCTCAGTTATTGATAAATTTGCTAGAAAAAGAGAAGAATGAAAACCTACATTTCAATAAAGAAACATTTCTGACTAATGAATTTGTCTTTTTAAATTATTAGCAAACTGCAGTTTTGATAATGGAAATATCTGCAACTTTCGTTATGGAGCGGGGGCATTTAATTGGACAGTTTACAGAGGTTCTACACTTAGTTGGAATACAGGTCCCAGCAATGACACTAGTGGATTTGGTATAAAAAAATTTATTTTATCACTTAGTCATTTTCCATCACAACTTAATTGCGCATCTCGATAACTACCAACATAAACTGATATAAATGCTTACAAATTCATTTAATTTATTCATGTCCTACAAATTTAATTTAATTCTGTACGATTAATATTCGTAATCTTTCTGTTTTAGGTTACTATCTCTACATTGAAACATCAAGTCCACGTCAATACGGAGATAAAGCAACTGTTTTAACACCATACCTAAATGGTGAACAATGTATGAAGTTTGCCTACCATATGTACGGTAGAAGTATTGGTTCTCTCAACATTTACGCTGGTAGTCAAATGATTTTTAATAAATCAGGAAATCAAGGCAACAAATGGGTGTTTGTGGAACAATTCATTCGTCTGAATGGAAGTTATATGGTAGATTTTAATTTATTTTTAAAAGTACTTGGTCTGGATTTTTAATGCACTTTTCCTTTTACTTTTAAGAATATTAAACTTTTTACAAAGTAGTTTAAGCACATATTAATAACAATCATAAAGTCAAGGCGTACAACACATCTTATAAAAAGTGCCGCTGTTTACATAGAGGTAGAGCAAGTACTAACTAGAAGGCAGGTTATGAACAATTTCAACTTAAGATTAGACGAAGAGTAGAATTTGAACTAACTAATGCAACAGAACCTATAAATAAATAGTATTTGGGTTTTTTTTTGATCAGCAAGTGTGAGCTTAACACAAACAACAATTCCCACTTCTCAAACCTATTTCATATTATTTTCTCTACACAGGTAAAATTTGAAGGTGTTCGTGGTCTTAGTTACCAAGGTGACATTGCAATCGATGCAATTAGTTTTACACCAGGCAGATGTTCTTTGAAAACACCAAAGCCGACATTACAATCGACCCAAACACCGACAAAACCTTCTTTGGCACAAACAGGTAATGCAAAACGTAAGAAAATAGAAACCCAATGATTATTTGAAAACAGTAAATAAATTTTGATATCTGTTTGCCACATTGTAATGGATTGCTTTTTCTTATTTTACTCTGATATAAGAACCATAATATAAATTTTAAATTTAAAAAAACCGAATATCACATGCAAAAAATTCAGCTCAGTTATTGATAAATTTGCTAGAAAAAGAGAAGAATGAAAACCTACATTTCAATAAAGAAACATTTCTGACTAATGAATTTGTCTTTTTAAATTATTAGCAAACTGCAGTTTTGATAATGGAAATATCTGCAACTTTCGTTATGGAGCGGGGGCATTTAATTGGACAGTTTACAGAGGTTCTACACTTAGTTGGAATACAGGTCCCAGCAATGACACTAGTGGATATGGTATAAAAATTTATTTTATCACTTAGTCATTTTCCATCACAACTTAATTGCGCATCTCGATAACTACCAACATAAACTCATATAAATGCTTACAAATTCATTTAATTTATTCATGTCCTACAAATTTAATTTAATTCTGTACGATTAATATTCGTAATCTTTCTGTTTTAGGTTACTATCTCTACATTGAAACATCAAGTCCACGTCAATACGGAGATAAAGCAACTGTTTTAACACCATACCTAAATGGTGAACAATGTATGAAGTTTGCCTACCATATGTACGGTAGAAGTATTGGTTCTCTCAACATTTACGCTGGTAGTCAAATGATTTTTAATAAATCAGGAAATCAAGGCAACAAATGGGTGTTTGTGGAACAATTCATTCGTCTGAATGGAAGTTATATGGTAGATTTTAATTTATTTTTAAAAGTACTTGGTCTGGATTTTTAATGCACTTTTCCTTTTACTTTTAAGAATATTAAACTTTTTACAAAGTAGTTTAAGCACATATTAATAACAATCATAAAGTCAAGGCGTACAACACATCTTATAAAAAGTGCCGCTGTTTACATAGAGGTAGAGCAAGTACTAACTAGAAGGCAGGTTATGAACAATTTCAACTTAAGATTAGACGAAGAGTAGAATTTGAACTAACTAATGCAACAGAACCTATAAATAAATAGTATTTGGGTTTTTTTGATCAGCAAGTGTGAGCTTAACACAAACAACAATTCCCACTTCTCAAACCTATTTCATATTATTTTCTCTACACAGGTAAAATTTGAAGGTGTTCGTGGTCTTAGTTACCAAGGTGACATTGCAATCGATGCAATTAGTTTTACACCAGGCAGATGTTCTTTGAAAACACCAAAGCCGACATTACAATCGACCCAAACACCGACAAAACCTTCTTTGGTACAAACAGGTAATGCAAAACGTAAGAAAATAGAAATCCAATGATTATTTGAAAACAGTAAATAAATTTTGATATCTGTTTGCCACATTGTAATGGATTGCTTTGTCTTATTTTACTCCGATATAAGAACCATAATATAAATTTTAAATTTAAAAAAACCGAATATCACATGCAAAAAATTCAGCTCAGTTATTGATAAATTTGTTAGAAAAGAGAAGAATAAAACATACATTTCAATAAAAACATATTCTACTAATGAATTTGTCTTTTACATCATTAGCAAACTGCAGTTTTGATAATGGAAACATCTGCAACTTTCGTAATGGAGCGGGGAATTCAATTGGAAAGTTTACAGAGGTTCAACACCTAGTTGGAAACAGGTCCCAGCAATGACACAAGTGGATCTGGTATAAAAATTTATTTTATTACTTAGTCATTTTCCATCACAACTTAATTGCGCATCTCGATAACTACCAACTGAAACTCATATAAATGCTTACAAATTCATTTAATTTATTTATGTCCTACAAATTTAATTTTATTCTGTACGATTGATATTTGTAATCTTTCTGTTTTAGGTTACTATCTCTACATTGAAACATCAAGTCCACGTCAATACGGAGATAAAGCAACTGTTTTAACACCATACCTAAATGGTGAACAATGTATGAAGTTTGCCTACCATATGTACGGTAGAAGTATTGGTTCTCTCAACATTTACGCTGGTAGTCAAATGATTTTTAATAAATCAGGAAATCAAGGCAACAAATGGGTGTTTGTGGAACAATTCATTCGTCTGAATGGAAGTTATATGGTATATCTTAATTTATTATTAAAAGTTCTTTGGTCTGGATTTTTAATGGCTATTTCTTTTACTTTTAAGAATATTAAACTTTTAGAAAGTAGTTTAAGCACATATTAATAATAATGATAAAGTCAAGGCGTACAATACATCTTATAAAAGTGCTGCTGTTTACATAGAGGTAGAACAAGTACTAACTAGAGGGCAGATTATGAACAATTTCAACTTAAGATTAGACGAAGAGTAGAATTTGAACTAACTAATGCAACAGAACCTATAAATAAATGGTATTTGGGTTTTTTTGATCAGCAAGTGTGAGCTTAACACAAACAACAATTCCCACTTCTCAAACTTATTTCATATTATTTTCTCTACACAGGTAAAATTTGAAGGTGTTCGTGGTCTTAGTTACCAAGGTGACATTGCAATCGATGCAATCAGCTTTACACCAGGCAGATGTTCTTTGAAAACACCAAAGCCAACAATACAATCGACCCAAACACCGACAAAACCTTCTTTGGTACAAACAGGTAATGCAAAACTTAAGAAATAGAAATCCAATCATTATTTGAAAACAGTGAATAAATTTAGATTACTGTTTGCCACAGTGTAATGGATTGCTTTGTCTTATTTTACTCTGATATAAGAACCATAATATAAATTTAGAATTTAAAATAACCCAATGTCACATGCAAAAAATCAGTTCAGTTATTGATAAATTTGCTAGAAAAAGAGAAGAATAAAAACATGCATTTCAATAAAAAACATATTCTACTAATGTCTTTTGTCTTTTTACATCATTAGCAAACTGCAGTTTTGATAATGGAAACATCTGCAACTTTCGTAATGGAGCGGGGGAATTCAATTGGAAAGTTTACAGAGGTTCAACACCTAGTTGGCAAACAGGTCCCAGCAATGACGCAAGTGGATCTGGTATAAAAAAGTTATTTTATTACTTAATTAATATTCGTAATCTTTCTGTTTTAGATTAATATTCGTAATCTTTCTGTTTTAGGTTACTATCTCTACATTGAAGCGTCAAGTCCGCGTCAATATGGAGATAAAGCAACTGTTTTAACACCATACTTAAATGGTGAACAATGTATGAAGTTTGCCTATCATATGTACGGCAGCAGTATTGGTTCTCTCAAGATTTACGCTGGTAGTCAAATGATTTTTAACCAATCAGGAAATCAAGAAGATATTTGGGTGTTTGTGGAACAATTCATTCATTTAAATGGAAGTTATATGGTAGGGACATTGATTTTGTACGTGCAACAACTATATTTTTAAAATCAATGTTGGGTATTGTGTGTTGGAGAATAGTGCGTTTGGAATTTTGCGTTCTAGTATAATAAAATATGTTGCAAGATACAAGGTGGTATGATACAAGCTATGTTGCAAGCAGAGTGTTCAAAAAAGAGATAAACTTAAATAATAATCTTAAACAATATAGCAAAGTTATGCATACAGCATGTAAAGTAAATGGTTTGAACCCGGGAGTATCGTTACATGCTTGTAAATATAGATCGTCCAGGTTGGTATAGTCCTGAGAAGGATCCGGATCTACATTTACAAAAAAACAGCATGTCTTGCATGTGCAGAGAAAACGCTGTTGCGTGCGTTGTAAGTAGCATCAACTTTGTATCTATGTTTAAACCAAAAGTTAATACATAATTTACATTTTGCAACTCATGAAGATTACAACTAAAAATTGTGTTTCTTTTGCCAGTGTGAATGATTTATTAACTGCATGATTCGCAGACTGGTCACTTACTAAGTGTTTTGTTGATAATCTGGCAATAAGAGTTTCCATTATTAAAAGGAGAGGTCGCAGCTCTTTAAGCCTATTATTCAATTCTCTTCTTTACGTATAGGTAAAATTTGAAGGAGTTCGTGGCCTTAGTTACCAAGGCGACATTGCTATTGACGCAATTAGTTTTAAACCGGGCAGATGCTCTTCAAAAACACCTAAGCCAACAACAGCAACAACAAAAAACCCGGCAACCTCATTGGCAGAGACAGGTATGATAAAAGATAAAATTACATAAAAATGAACTTAATTTATGCATGTAATAATTTAAAATATGAGTAGTCTTATAAAGGCCTGTATAAATAGTGTAATTTTAATTGTTTTATAGTTCAATGCAATTTTGACAATGGTACGATGTGCTTATTTATAAACGCAAAGAATGATGAATTTGATTGGACATTGCAAAATGGAAAAACAGCAAGTGACAATACTGGACCTTTAGCAGACGTGTCTGGATACGGTACGTTGACGAATAATTTACAATCGAGTTCGACTTAAAAAATAAGATTCATTGAAACTGAAAAATTCTTCCGCAGATCTAACTTCTCTGTTTTAAAAAAGTGCGTTAATATTACATGGCAAGCATCGCTTTCGCTGAAGTAGCGAGCTTTGATGGGCTCAAAAACAATTTTGATGTTGTTATTTTTACAAAATATACTAAAAATTTCCTAAATGAAACAACAAAAGTTTTGTAGAACACCAAGAGGGAAATAAAAATGCATGTGGGAATGCGAGTAGGGGGTAGAACACTTGGAAAGTGAGCGGTTTTATTACGAGTTCTACGTTTCTATTATACGTAAGCATTTCAAATATTACACCTTTATCTAATATTTCTTCGCGTTGTAACTATTACAAGGTAAAATTTACAAGGCATTTACGTGCTAAATCATACGAGATTGTCATGCACAATGAGCGACGTAATAACGTGTATTAAATACGAAAATTTTCATAAACAATAAAATCCACAGTTTGTATCAACTTCATTCAGGTTTTATCCTCGGTCGATAATGACAAACGTCGGCTTGAGCATATCCTTATACTTCATAAAACATACAATCTCTTTTAAAAATTGTCAATTAAACATGCTATAAATATTACAGGTTACTACATCTATAGTGAAGCATCAAACCCTAGAAAACCGGGTGATAAAGCAAATCTTGTTAGTCCAAAGCTCAAGAGTGGTCAGTGGTGTTTAACATTCTCCTACCATATGTTTGGTAGTGATATTGGAAAACTAAATGTTCATAATGACAACATGGGTGATTGGCAAATGATTTTTACGAAATCTGGTAATCAAGGAAACCAATGGAAAAGAGCAGAAATTGACGTAAATCTTCTAAACAGCTCTTCTGTAAGTAAATTATAACATTGAAACTTGATATGGAACCAAATCAAATAACTCATTTCTGTCCTACTCAATTCCCAATTTGAGCAACTCAACAAACGGATCCTTTTTAATCTTCAGCAGGTGATGCATAAATTTTAATTATTTGTATACATACGCAAATTTCCCTATTTGTTTTGCTAGTGGCACAAAATTTGATTATAGTGATGGCCCTAACTAATGTCAAATTTGATTGCAGTGAAAATCTTTCGATCTTGGAAACACATCAAAATCTACCTATTAATGAAGTGTAAAATACCTTCCCATAAAAAAAGTTTTAAATAAATTTTCCCCAGAAAATATTGTGATAAGTTCCAGGAAAAATGCTATTTACATACGCATCTACAACATTTTATGTTTGCTTACAACTAGAAACACGAAAATAATTATAAAGTAACAAATTAAATGTGCTTGTAATTTTCCCATAGTTTGAAAACTTTTTTACTTAAGATAATATTTAGCACCACGCGAGGAAATGGTTGGCAAGGAGACATTGCTTTGGATGAGATCTCTTTAAGTTATAACAAATGCCCAACTACGCCAACACTTCCACCAGGATCATGTGGACAAAAAGGACCAGGTCTAAGTGACATAGCCAAGATCGTCGGAGGCCAAAACGCCCGTCCGGGTGAATGGCCATGGCAGGTCGCTCTTGTGAAAAAAACCTTCTTGACCTGCGGTGGTGCTTTGGTATCCAATCAGTACATTGTCACAGCAGCTCATTGTGTCAAGGCTTCTGATTGGAGTCGAGTAAAGGTGATTTTGTTTCAACGGTGCATAAATATTTATGAACTTTCATTGTAATGTGACACGGGACAACTGCTTTTCTCAGCTTATAATAACTCAGTAATTGGAAGTATGTCGATTTTATACTATATTTGAAAGCATTCAGTCCTCTTTACCAATGAATTATGACAGTTTTTATGTCTATAGGTAAGACTAGGGGAGTACAACACATACTTTCGAGAAAGACATGAACACGACATGGACATAATGATAAATGGAATCACAATTCATCCTCAGTACAGAAAAAAAACATTTGATTATGATATTGCAATTATTAAACTGAAGAAATCAGTTAGTTTCACAACAAGAATAAAACCCGTCTGCCTAAATACAGGAATCGATTTTACAGGTAAGAAAAGAAAATAATACTTTAAAGTTGTTGCTTTGACAAGTTACAAAAATGCTCAATTGACTGTTAATGGTCGCGTGTCATAACTCTCTGTTTTATACTAAGTGAGAAATAGAACAAATATTATCGCCTCACTGAACATTTAACCATTAAAATGATTTTCTGAAACCCACGTTAGTACAGATATGAATGCAAGTAATTCAAAGTTTAATTCAAGTCTCTTTGCCCAAGAAAACGTACCTATACTATAGAAATCACACAAGTTAATACACTTACTATGTACTGGTGTTATGCAAACAGGACAAAGATGTTACATTACTGGTTGGGGAAAACTTCGAAGTGGAGGATCGACACCAAAGATCTTGCAAGAAGCTCAAGTTCCCATTGTGACAATAGAAGAATGCAAAAGAATTTACAAAAGCAAGATAACAGATAGAATGTTATGTGCAGGACTTGCCAATGGAGGTGTTGACACATGTGCGGGAGACAGTGGAGGTATGAAAGTACATAACAACATAAATCTATTTGCATTGTGGAATTGACAAAAACCATTGCATTATCGGCAACGTTTCAAACTTAATTTGAAAATGACATGGAATACTAGTAAAACACAATATATCGTTGTCTTTAAAGGTCCACTGGTCTGTGAGCACCGTGATGGTTCATGGTATCTAACTGGTATCACTAGCTGGGGACGAGGTTGCGCTAAATATTACGGAGTCTACACTCATGTTGCTAATCTTTATTCCTGGATTACACAAATTACTGGACTTTAGACTCCTTTAATTTGAATAACTTTAAATGGTAAAAGATCTACACTTTAAGCAAAGACGAATATCAAACTGCAATTAAAAAACGTTGAACAAAATTAATGTGATTTATTTCTATTACAATTGTGCTTTTTGGTTAATAATAATAATATTTATGAAGTATATGAATTATTTGCAGAATTTTCTGTATTTTCTGTAATATATATTAATATATCTGGAACACGTGGTCATCACTAATTTAAGTATTTTGCCATTTGTTTTATAATTTTGTACCATTTTTTATAAAAAAAATATGAATAATTTAATATGAAGGTTTGTGATATGGTCATTCAAACAATGATGAACATATTGTGCGTTAAGATTTATCAAACGTTCAAACCAATCAAAAACCTGATCATACTGGTAAATACCAACACTTGCGTTTATGAAAAACCATTTCGTTAGAATTATTACTTGTATGCATTAGGGTAACTGTTATATTTTTTCAAAAATTGAAGCTATACATAATACGGTACTTTATGGTTCATCGCTCGCGTCATTTTTTCATCACTTTTCTGATTATTTCAGCGTTGCTATATTTTTGAAAAAAACGGTATGTAATTCCCAGAATCTATTTAAGGTCTTTCAGTTCTTTGTGAACTGATTAGCTTGGTGATGTGCTTTTGATAACTCAATAGTATAAGCACTACAAAATACATTACTGGAACCATGCAATCCTCCAGCCTTACTGACTTCAAACCTATTTTATAAAAAGAGCAAAAATTAAAACTGCTGGTTTGGGGAAAATTTCAAATGGGCCCAGAAAAGGTCAACACTTAAGGTCTAGCAGGAAGTTTGAATTCCCATTTTGACTACATAGAAATCCAGTCATATGAAAGCATATGCAGACAGAATGATTTGTGAATATTTTAATTGTTGTTGACAATAAGAACACAAATTGAGCTAGGATAAATAAAACTCGAAATGAAGAAATGACTTTACTTTAGGTTACCTTAACTTAACAGGGTGAAATAAAATTATCAAGTATCAAGTGAACAATCCTTGATATAGAGTGAACGTTTTTCCATACATTGATTTTACATGATTTATCCTGTTGATCAATGAACCGAAAGCACTTATTTAGCATTTTTGAGCAGTGAAGGGTGACCAAGGTTATATTACTGATAAGTCTTCCATATATGCCAAAATCTGTACAAACATGCGAATAAGCAAGTTAGAGACCCTGCTGTCAGCAAACACCCACGTAAACATAAAATTAAAGATCATTTGATTGTCTCAAAAAATGTTTCTCTGCTGTAAGTGTTGGAAAAAATGGAGCTTTCTATGTATGGGGTAATTCTGGTGAACGTAGCCCAAATAAAGAAAACTACTTTTGCATTACTTTAATGTCGACAATGCTATCAAGGAGACATTAATTAACATGTTGAAGATTTTTAAGTCTATGTCAAAATTGTCTAAGGCAATTGTTTAAGTTTTTCGTCTGCATTAAAAATAAAAATTTTTGCATTACATGCAATGACTATCAATTATAAATCAAAAATAGAATTTTCAAGTAATGTATTTGCTTTTATACATGACTACCTCCCTGTTTCACATTGTTTAACTGGAAAACAGCAGGATATTTATGTCAAATAAATTTTGTAATAATATTTTTGTTGATGGTAGTACAATGTGGCTATACATGCTTTTTAAATTTGCCAGCAGCGTGGCGTGCGTAAATGCAGAATTTGGCTTGACTTTGTTGTGATTTAGCTTTTATTTTTGTATGTACAAATTAACTTCCTCCTTGATTAAGTTCTCACCACAGTCCTTTTACTCCAATTTGTTACTAACTCCACAATGACCTAAGAACAGAAATTGAGCTAGGATAAATAAAACTCGAAATGAAGAAATGACTTTACTTTAGGTTACCTTAACTTAACAGGGTGAAATAATATTCTCAAGTATCAAGTGAACAATCCTTGATATCGAGTGAACGTTTTTCCACACATTGATTTTACATGATTTATCCTGTTTTTGCAAGCTGAAAACTTTTTGAGCCTTGAGGCCAGGATTGAAACTAGAGTTGATCAATGAACCGAAAGCAGTTATTTAGCATTTTTGAGCTGTGAAGTGTGACCAAGGTTATATTGCTGATAAGTCTGCCATATATGCCAAAATCTGTACAAACATGTAAATAAGCATGTTAGAGACCCTGCTGTCTGAAAAGACTTACGTCAACATAAAATTAGGTATCACTTGATTGTCTCAAAAAATGTTTCTTTGCTTTAAGCGTTGGAAAAATGGGACTGTCTACATATGTAGTGATTCTGGTGAACGTAGCTCGAATAAAGAAAACTACATTTGCATTGCTTTAATGTCAATGTTTTATCAAGGAGACATTAATTAATATATCAAAGATTTTTAAAAAAATATAAGTCAAAATTGTTTGAAGCAAATTGGGTTAAGAATAAAATTTTTTGCATTATTATAAGCAAAAATTAAAAATCGAAAATAGAATTTTGAAGTGTTGTATCATAAATGTTGTATAGGTAGAATTTTCAAGTGTTTTTTGAAAACATGACAATCTTATGGTTTCACGTCGCTTTCCTTTAACTGGAAAACAGCAGGATATTTATGTAGTAGTAATTGCAGAATTTATGTAGTATTAAGAGTATCTACAATTTCCTTTATGTTTTTTTTTATATTTCACAAAAGGAAAGTAACAATTAAAGAATGAAGATTTACACAAACTGTTTATTTACAAACTAATTTGTTTGAACTTTTTTTGCAAGTTGTTAACTTTTCATATTTATTGAAGATTGACTTTTCAGTGTTCAAAGAAACGAAAAGAAAAGTGTTGCCGTTTATAATATAATCAAAAAACAAAATTATTTCTCGATAATTATTTCTTTCTTAATTTACATTTTCTGTATTGTACAGATAAATAACAGTTTCTCAACAAAATAATGACAACATAGTTCTTAGAATTTAAAGTTCCGCTTACGCACCTTGAAGCGTGCAATAAACGCATGCTGGATCATACACATCTCACATGAAACTCATAAGTTTATCATAAGAGTATCATAGAGCAGAATTATGCATATATTTTCCCTCAATTAATATGATTGCACCATTTCAAGCTGCACCATGGCACAAGTAACTTTCGTGGTGTGTCTATTTTTGATCAAACATTTCATACAAATTCAAGGTATGTATTTTTACATTATATTTGAAATAGAATAAAACTATATTGTTTTGATAATGTTTAAAATCAAGAAATTAAAAAACCTTCTGCTCCACGTATATATCTACTTCACTTAGATCCACTTTATAAAAGAGAAACTGTACACAGAACTTAGTTTGCAGCCTTTAAACCCCTTGGCTATTACGTAAGATCCAAGAAATAATGTTTTTTACCCAAACTGCCGTTGTTGCCCAGGCAAAGGTTTTTCATTGTTTTACATTTAAACATTTTTATTGAATAAATCGTATTGTATTGAGATGAATATGTTTTAATTTACTTTTCAAGTTAATAATTTACTTTTAAGCATTTCCATGTGTCATGCTCTCGAAAAACACTCAATTTATTCATTTATGTTCACAATGATATTAAAAACTCGTGTGCTGTGTCACGGTTTCATCTCAATCAAAGCATGTAGGGTCGAGTCAAACTAATTTTAATAAAAATTTCAATACCTTTGTGAAATTTCAAAGTCACGTGTTGAAAGTCTCTTTGAAAGAAATGAATATCAAAATACTGTCCTCGCGATACTAATGTGGCACTTACTTAAAATGCACTGCAAAAATAAACCTTGGCTGCAAAGTAACAATAATTTAAAACTACAAATGCTGATTACAAACAGCTGACAAATTGATTAAATGTCGACTGAAGATAAATATTGTGTACGTAGAGCAAATTTCATACGAGATATATTTTAAATGAAGATATGATCTTCTTCATACGAGATATATTTTCTTGGTAAAACATAAATTACTAAGTAACCATGTATAGTGTTATGTGCTTAGGTTTGAAATTTTATGCGATGCAGCAAATTGTTTGGAAATGAGGAAACATTTGTGTTCCTGTTTGCAGTCGCGCGAGTGGCACCACAGTGGTCCCATGCTGGGTGTAGATAAAAGGTTGATGGAGTAAAGTTGAAACCATTAAAATTCTGATCAACACATGCAGTTATAGAATTACTGTGGCTAAAGTTTGTGTTGTTCAAATGATTGTGCTCTTTCTACAATGAGTACTATTACTGTTAGAGAAATATTTTTAACTTTGACATTGGATTGCAATATAACATTATCAACATTTAAAAGTTCTTGTAATTACGGCTAAAAATTTTAGCAAACTGCAACTTTAATAAGGGAAACACCTGTAATTTTCAACATGGCAAAAAATAAACATTTTTTGGGTGAAAATTGTTTTACCGATAAGCACTTTTGAAAGAGTTTAGCAACTAAAAGCAATTAAAATACAACGGGTTAAAATTTTGCACATGCGTGTATTGTGTTACTGATATTGAAATCTCTTCTCATTAGTTTTAGTCTCGGATCAACAAAATACAATTCGTGTGTTTTCCAAAATTTTAAGTCTAAAACAACGGCTCCTTTTTAAGAAAGCGACACTTACGCACTTCACATTCACAAAGGCAATACTTACTGTCTTATAGGTATTATAGTTAATATAATTAACTTGTTTTTTGTAGCTAATTAAGCCATCGATTTGTCCCAGAATATTTTACATATTTTCTCTTGAAAATGATGGCAAGATAAAATTGAAATGATGAAATCATAGTTTTATGGAAACTTTTACAGTTATTTTATTTATTACAGTTTATTCAGTTATAAATATTTTGTCTTTTCATTCATTGTGAAAAAGTACCTATAAAAGGCCAAAATCGCTTAGATAGTTTATATTTTTATACAACTAATTCAATTGTGAAGATAAAGATTATGAATTTTATCAGAATATTTTAGAAATGAGATTTCTATATATTGCACCGTCTAACTTTGAAATTATATTTAAATAAAACTTGAAATTGCACCATCGATATATTTTCTTTTTGCCATTAGGTTTCAACTCTGTTAGACTTCGGGGACCAAGAAGTTCTAGTGGTAGTGGTCGTGTGGAAGTATTTTATAATGGAGAATGGGGAACAGTTTGTGATGATAGCTGGGATTTAAACGATGCTAAAGTTGTTTGTCGTCAACTTGGTCTTGGTGCAGCTATTAGAGCTTTACAAGGAGGTAATGTTCCTGATGGCAGTGGACGAATATGGTTGGACGACGTTCGTTGTGTAGGAAATGAAAACAATATTTCGAGTTGTTCACATAGAGGATGGGGATCACATAATTGTGGACATGATGAGGATGCTGGTGTACAATGTTCAGGTTTGTATGTACATCACTTATCTTAAAAATTGCAAGATTTTATAAAAAGATGATGAACTGGATTATTTGGGAACGTTAATGATTAATTTAAACATTTTATATGATTTTATAATACTGAAAGAGATATTGACAAATGCCTGATGAATAAACACAGCTTCGGACGTAAAATAACTAAATAAACATAACTTATTCCATGAGGACATTATTAAACAAAACCTATTTCATGATGGCCCAGAAAAAGATTAGATAATGCAGAGCTAAAGAGCAGCCCATAGACTAAAATTTCCGTGGAAGGATGTGATAATCGTTATAATCAGTTTTGTTACGATTGTTTACATTCATTAGAGCTTCTTGAAGCTGTAGGCTGTAGCCTATGAAGCTCCCTTAAAATTAATTTTTTTGCATATTTAAAAGGAACATCTCCAAATATACACTACAGTGTAACTTTTTGACTTGTAATGGCGTGTTGTCCATCTTAAAAAATGCATTTTTAATTTCGTTTCTCACTGACCGCTAAGGTTTAGCAGAAGACATGCCTAGAGAGCACTAGAAACGTATTTATGAATAATTAAAAAGACAGTTATTTTAAAAATACGATAAAGATTCTCACGTTGTAAACGAAGAGTCTATGTGAACAATTTACTGTTTATTATTTGTTTATTTCAACAAGTTATGGGGCATTGTTGCCATATGGCAACAAAGTAAACGATTGAATGGAAAATAAATGGTAAAATTCGCAAGTTAAAGGGTTAAGAAGTTATTTATATTACATAAAGAAATAAGAACTGGTCTAAATAAAATTTTTTTAAGACTTATGAAAGTCAAATAGTGTCTAATTGTCCAAAACGTTTTGATATTGGTAATTATATAAGTTTTTTTATCATTCTTTTGTTACTAATTTAAATCATTAATTTCGCCAAAGAAGATTTTGCAATGGGATCTAAATCAACAGGATACTTTATATGTATACATGTAACTTAGAATATGTCGGAATTGAGACTTCTATGTTTTGCAATATCTATTCATTTCCTTTTTTTATCAGTTGTCAACTCTGTTAGACTTCGGGGACCAAGAAGTTCTAGTGGCAGAGGTCGTGTGGAAGTATTTTACAATGGAGAATGGGGAACAATTTGTGATGATAGCTGGGATTTAAAAGATGCTGAAGTTGTTTGTCGTCAACTTGGTTATGACTATGCTGTCAGTGCTTTACAAGGAAGTCATGTTCCTGATGGCAGAGGACGAATATGGTTGGACAACGTTCGTTGTGTAGGAAATGAAAACAATATTTCGAGTTGTTCACATAGAGGATGGGGATCCCATAATTGTGGACATAATGAAGATGCTGGTGTACAATGTTCAGGTTTGTATGTACATAAATTATATGTTTGTAAATGATGATCGTCCAGGTTAATAAAGTCCTGAGAAGGACTGTTTTTGTTGTTGTTGACTGACGTTTCGACAACCTTAGCGGTAGTCATCTTCAGAGTCAAATGAGAAGTAAACGTCAGGTTAGCCGTATTTGTTGTCTGGTTCTTACGTCATTGTATTGTTTGTACAGGAAATGTGCAGGAAATGTGTATTGTCATTGTGGATTAGTGTGAAGTGAAATATTTTATTTTTAGTTGTGATGTGTGATTTAGGTGTGACGTTTTTAGTTGTAGTGTGTGGGTGTCAATTGTGTATTGTCATTGTGAATTAGTTTGAAGTGTAATGTTTTTAGTTGATCGTTTGCTTGTATTGTGAATAAGTCGTTTGTAAGGTGCCGGTAATTGCTGTGATCTGTTCAGGGGGGTTTCTTCCAAGTTGGTATACCAATAATAGTGTATAGAATGATAGTGTTCAGTACCACGACCACCTAGACTATACGGACTACCAAAACTTCACAAACCACAAATACCCATGCGACCAATTGTATCATTATGTGGTTCGCCTACTTACAAACTTTCAAAGTACTTGACAAACATACTGCAACCACTTATAAACAAATCAAAACACAAGCTACAATCTACTGAAACTTTCATTACAAAACTGTGCACTATACAAATACCGGACAACTATATACTAGTGTCTTTTGATGTGAAATCACTGTTCACCAGTATTCCACTTAATCTGGCACTTGCTTGTACCAAAACCCTCATTACAAACACCACGGACGTACTGCCATTACCGACAGAAGACATTATGGAGTTACTAGAGCTCTGCCTCACCTCGACTTAATTCCAATACAAAGGAACACACTTCAAACAATTACATGGGACAGCAATGGGCTCGCCCGTTTCTGTTGTAGTTGCTGAAATTGTAATGCAATCTATAGAGGAACGGGCACTCACGACTTACAAACATGCACTACCTTTTTGGTTTCGCTACGTAGATGACACAATCACAGCACTACATGCAGACGACATTAATGACTTTCATACTCACATCAACAAACAGAACAGCCACATACAATTTACCAAAGATGTCGAAGAAAACGGAACTCTTCCTTTTCTCGACTGTTTGGTAAAACATGACAATCAAAAACTAGGAACAACAGTTTATCGCAAGCCAACACATACTGACCGACTACTAGACCAATCATCTTACAACCCTACATCACACAAAGCCACCACAATCAGAACATTAACAAGACGTGCACAAATCATATGTGATTCACCGGACGCTCTACAAAACGAAAACAACTATCTCAAACGTGTTTTTGACAAAAACAACTATAACTCTGACTTTATCAAACGCAACACTTACAAACCCAACGAACCCAACGAACCCAACGAAACGAACAACTCAGTGACAACAGCAACGATACCTTACATCAAAGGTACGTCTGAGACTATCTCGCGTATCTTACGACCATACAACATACGTCTCGCACATAAACCAATCACAACGTTACGACAAGTACTAACGAACATAAAGGACAAAGAACAACCCAACGAACGACAAGGTGCAGTTTACAAAATAAACTGCTCCGACTGTCACGCCTCCTATATCGGGGAAACTGGCAGGAACTTAAACATAAGACTTACTGAGCACAAACGAGCTACTAAGAAACAAGACAAAACTAATCACATTGCCGAACATCACCGAATCACAAAGCACAACATTGACTGGGACTCGGCAAAATGCATCACTTACAGTACTGACTATAGACAACGGCTTACATTAGAAAGTTGGTATACCAACTTGGAAGAAACCCCCCTGAACAGATCACAGCAATTACCGGCACCTTACAAACGACTTATTCACAATACAAGCAAACGATCAACTAAAAACATTACACTTCAAACTAATTCACAATGACAATACACAATTGACACCCACACACTACAACTAAAAACGTCACACCTAAATTACACATCACAACTAAAAATAAAATATTTCACTTCACACTAATCCACAATGACAATACACATTTCCTGCACATTTCCTGTACAAACAATACAATGACGTAAGAACCAGACAACAAATACGGCTAACCTGACGTTTACTTCTCATTTGACTCTGAAGATGACTACCGCTAAGGTTGTCGAAACGTCAGTCAACAACAACAAAAACAGTCCTTCTCAGGACTTTATTAACCTGGACGATCATCATTTACAAACATATAATTTATGTACATACAAACCTGAACATTGTACACCAGCATCTTCATTATGTCCACAATTATGGGATCCCCATCCTCTATGTGAACAACTCGAAATATTGTTTTCATTTCCTACACAACGAACGTTGTCCAACCATATTCGTCCTCTGCCATCAGGAACATGACTTCCTTGTAAAGCACTGACAGCATAGTCATAACCAAGTTGACGACAAACAACTTCAGCATCTTTTAAATCCCAGCTATCATCACAAATTGTTCCCCATTCTCCATTGTAAAATACTTCCACACGACCTCTGCCACTAGAACTTCTTGGTCCCCGAAGTCTAACAGAGTTGACAACTGATAAAAAAAGAAAACATATAGATATTGCAAGACATAGAAATCTCAAATTCAAAAGATTTGGGGTTACATGTACATGTAAAATATCTTAATGCAAATATTAGAGCCCAACTGATAATTTTTGAAATAGCCATAAGCAATTTGGTTTTATAAAATTTATTAAAAGCGACGTACGTTTCGTCTTGACTGAAGACATCTTCAGACTAATAAGGAAGTTTACAAATATTTTATTTATAGTTATTTAAATAGTTTAAGATATCAGATTGCCGTGGATGTGCAAGTGTGATGTGGTGTGTAGCTTGGCGGAGGTGTTATGACCAGAAAACTCGAGAGGGATGGTGCTTTCTTGACACATGGACACAACCTTGACACATTCGACCTTATGATACGCAAAGCCTCTTTATCTCTAAACTAAAGTCATTATTGCACGCCAAAGGAAGCTCCATCCCTCTAGCTAGGCTTAATATCTCACCCTTGCTGTACACCACACCGTATTGGACATCCACAGTAATGTGATACATTTAACTATGTTAATAAAAAATATAAAATAAAGCACAGTTCGAAAAAGGTCATTTTGTAAACTTAGATTCAAGTTATCATAACAAGACAATTAGAAGTACAATGTTTCGGTTTTATTTCTAAGCCCTTATATATGAAATGATCATTTGAAATAAAACCGAAATATTACACTTCTAATTGTCTTGTTTTGATAACTTGAATCTAAGTTTACAAGGAGTCCTTTTTCGGTTTGTGCTTTATTTTATAATTAATGAAACTGTCGTCTGGTCAATAAATGTAAATAACAATGAATGTATTTTTTATAAACTTCCTTATTATAGTCTGAAGATGTTTTGATTTAAAAGGAAATGTCACTCGCTTTTAATACATTTTATAAAACCAAAGTGGAACAAAATATGTTTATTTAGTTATTTTACGTCCGAAACTGTGTTTATTCTTCAGGCATTTGTCAATATCTGGTTCAATATTATAAAATTATATTAAATGTTTTAATTAATAATTGAGGTTCCTTAAATAATCCAGCTTGTCATCTTTGTGTAAAAATCTTCCAATTTTTAAGATAATTTATGTAAAGTAAATGGTTTGAACCCGGGAGTATCGTTATATGTTTGTAAATGATGATCGTCCAGGTTAATAAAGTCCTGAGAAGGACTGTTTTTGTTGTTGTTGACTGACGTTTCGACAACCTTAGCGGTAGTCATCTTCAGAGTCAAATGAGAAGTAAACGTCAGGTTAGCCGTATTTGTTGTCTGGTTCTTACGTCATTGTATTGTTTGTACAGGAAATGTGCAGGAAATGTGTATTGTCATTGTGGATTAGTGTGAAGTGAAATATTTTATTTTTAGTTGTGATGTGTGATTTAGGTGTGACGTTTTTAGTTGTAGTGTGTGGGTGTCAATTGTGTATTGTCATTGTGAATTAGTTTGAAGTGTAATGTTTTTAGTTGATCGTTTGCTTGTATTGTGAATAAGTCGTTTGTAAGGTGCCGGTAATTGCTGTGATCTGTTCAGGGGGGTTTCTTCCAAGTTGGTATACCAACTTTCTAATGTAAGCCGTTGTCTATAGTCAGTACTGTAAGTGATGCATTTTGCCGAGTCCCAGTCAATGTTGTGCTTTGTGATTCGGTGATGTTCGGCAATGTGATTAGTTTTGTCTTGTTTCTTAGTAGCTCGTTTGTGCTCAGTAAGTCTTATGTTTAAGTTCCTGCCAGTTTCCCCGATATAGGAGGCGTGACAGTCGGAGCAGTTTATTTTGTAAACTGCACCTTGTCGTTCGTTGGGTTGTTCTTTGTCCTTTATGTTCGTTAGTACTTGTCGTAACGTTGTGATTGGTTTATGTGCGAGACGTATGTTGTATGGTCGTAAGATACGCGAGATAGTCTCAGACGTACCTTTGATGTAAGGTATCGTTGCTGTTGTCACTGAGTTGTTCGTTTCGTTGGGTTCGTTGGGTTCGTTGGGTTTGTAAGTGTTGCGTTTGATAAAGTCAGAGTTATAGTTGTTTTTGTCAAAAACACGTTTGAGATAGTTGTTTTCGTTTTGTAGAGCGTCCGGTGAATCACATATGATTTGTGCACGACTTTTTAATGTTCTGATTGTGGTGGCTTTGTGTGATGTAGGGTTGTAAGATGATTGGTCTAGTAGTCGGTCAGTATGTGTTGGCTTGCGATAAACTGTTGTTCCTAGTTTTTGATTGTCATGTTTTACCAAACAGTCGAGAAAAGGAAGAGTTCCGTTTTCTTCGACATCTTTGGTAAATTGTATGTGGCTGTTCTGTTTGTTGATGTGAGTATGAAAGTCATTAATGTCGTCTGCATGTAGTGCTGTGATTGTGTCATCTACGTAGCGAAACCAAAAAGGTAGTGCATGTTTGTAAGTCGTGAGTGCCCGTTCCTCTATAGATTGCATTACAATTTCAGCAACTACAACAGAAACGGGCGAGCCCATTGCTGTCCCATGTAATTGTTTGAAGTGTGTTCCTTTGTATTGGAATTAAGTCGAGGTGAGGCAGAGCTCTAGTAACTCCATAATGTCTTCTGTCGGTAATGGCAGTACGTCCGTGGTGTTTGTAATGAGGGTTTTTGTACAAGTAAGTGCCAGATTAAGTGGAATACTGGTGAACAGTGATTTCACATCAAAAGACACTAGTATATAGTTGTCCGGTATTTGTATAGTGCACAGTTTTTTAATGAAAGTTTCAGTAGATTGTAGCTTGTGTTTTGATTTGTTTGTAAGTGGTTGCAGTATGTTAGTCAAGTACTTTGAAAGTTCGTAAGTAGGCGAACCACAGAATGATACAATTGGTCGCATGGGTATTTGTGGTTTGTGAAGTTTTGGTAGTCCGTATAGTCTAGGTGGTCGTGGTACTGAACACTATCATTCTATACACTATTATTGGTATACCAACTTGGAAGAAACCCCCCTGAACAGATCACAGCAATTACCGGCACCTTACAAACGACTTATTCACAATACAAGCAAACGATCAACTAAAAACATTACACTTCAAACTAATTCACAATGACAATACACAATTGACACCCACACATTACAACTAAAAACGTCACACCTAAATCACACATCACAACTAAAAAGAAAATATTTCACTTCACACTAATCCACAATGACCATACACATTTCCTGCACATTTCCTGTACAAACAATACAATGACGTAAGAACCAGACAACAAATACGGCTAACCTGACGTTTACTTCTCATTTGACTCTGAAGATGACTACCGCTAAGGTTGTCGAAACGTCAGTCAACAACAACAAAAACAGTCCTTCTCAGGACTTTATTAACCTGGACGATCATCATTTACAAACATATAACGATACTCCCGGGTTCAAACCATTTACTTTACATAAATTATCTTAAAAATTGGAAGATTTTTACACAAAGATGACAAGCTGGATTATTTAAGGAACCTCAATTATTAATTAAAACATTTAATATAATTTTATAATATTGAACCAGATATTGACAAATGCCTGAAGAATAAACACAGTTTCGGACGTAAAATAACTAAATAAACATATTTTGTTCCACTTTGGTTTTATAAAATGTATTAAAAGCGAGTGACATTTCCTTTTAAATCAAAACATCTTCAGACTATAATAAGGAAGTTTATAAAAAATACATTCATTGTTATTTACATTTATTGACCAGACGACAGTTTCATTAATTATAAAATAAAGCACAAACCGAAAAAGGACTCCTTGTAAACTTAGATTCAAGTTATCAAAACAAGACAATTAGAAGTGTAATATTTCGGTTTTATTTCAAATGATCATTTCATATATAAGGGCTTAGAAATAAAACCGAAACATTGTACTTCTAATTGTCTTGTTATGATAACTTGAATCTAAGTTTACAAAATGACCTTTTTCGAACTGTGCTTTATTTTATATTTTTTATTAACATAGTTAAATGTATCACATTACTGTGGATGTCCAATACGGTGTGGTGTACAGCAAGGGTGAGATATTAAGCCTAGCTAGAGGGATGGAGCTTCCTTTGGCGTGCAATAATGACTTTAGTTTAGAGATAAAGAGGCTTTGCGTATCATAAGGTCGAATGTGTCAAGGTTGTGTCCATGTGTCAAGAAAGCACCATCCCTCTCGAGTTTTCTGGTCATAACACCTCCGCCAAGCTACACACCACATCACACTTGCACATCCACGGCAATCTGATATCTTAAACTATTTAAATAACTATAAATAAAATATTTGTAAACTTCCTTATTAGTCTGAAGATGTCTTCAGTCAAGACGAAACGTACGTCGCTTTTAATAAATTTTATAAAACCAAATTGCTTATGGCTATTTCAAAAATTATCAGTTGGGCTCTAATATTTGCATTAAGATATTTTACATGTACATGTAACCCCAAATCTTTTGAATTTGAGATTTCTATGTCTTGCAATATCTATATGTTTTCTTTTTTTATCAGTTGTCAACTCTGTTAGACTTCGGGGACCAAGAAGTTCTAGTGGTAGTGGTCGTGTGGAAGTATTTTATAATGGACAATGGGGAACAGTTTGTGATGATAGCTGGGATTTAAACGATGCTAAAGTTGTTTGTCGTCAACTTGGTCTTGGTGCTGCTATTAGAGCTTTACAAGGAGGTAATGTTCCTGATGGCAGAGGACGAATATGGTTGGACGACGTTCGTTGTGTAGGAAATGAAAACAATATTTCGAGTTGTTCACATAGAGGATGGGGATCACATAATTGTGGACATGATGAGGATGCTGGTGTACAATGTTCAGGTTTGTATGTACATCACTTATCTTAAAAATTGCAAGATTTTTATAAAAAGATGATGAACTCGATTATTTGGGAACGTTAATAATTAATTTAAACATTTTATATGATTTTATAATACTGAAAGAGATATTGACAAATGCCTGATGAATAAACACAGCTTCGGACGTAAAATAACTAAATAAACATAACCTATTCCATGAGGACATCATTAAACATAACCTATTTCATGATGGCCCAGAAAAAGATTAGATAATGCAGAGCTATAATCAGTTTTAATCGTTATAATCAGTTTTGTTACGATTGTTTACATTCATTAGAGCTTCTTGAAGCTGTAGGCTGTAGCCTATGAAGCTCCCTTAAAATTTATTTTTTTTTGCATATTTAAAAGGAACATCTCCAAATATACACTACAGTGTAACTTTAAGACTTGTAATGGCGTGTTGTCCATCTTAAAAAATGCGTTTTTAATTTCGTTTCTCACTGACCGTTAAGGTTTAGCAGAAGACATGCCTAGAGAGCACTAGAAACGTATTTATGAATAATTAAAAAGACAGTTATTATAAAAATACGATAAAGATTCTCACGTTGTAAACGACGAGTCTATGTGAACAATTTACTGTTTATTATTTGTTTATTTCAACAAGTTATGGGGCATTGTTGCCATATGGCAACAAAGTAAACGATTGAATGGAAAATAAATGGGAAAATTCGCAAGTTAAAGGGTTAAGAAGTTATTTATATTACATAAAGAAATAAGAACTGGTCTAAATAAAATTTTTTTAAGACTTATGAAAGTCAAATAGTGTCTAATTGTCCAAAACGTTTTGATATTGGTAATTATATAAGTTTTTTTTATCATTATTTTGTTACTAATTTAAATCATTAATTTCGCCAAAGAAGATTTTGCAATGGGATCTAAAATAACAGGATACTTTATATGTATACATGTAACTTAGAATATGTCGGAATTGAGACTTCTATGTTTTGCAATATCTATTTATTTTCTTTTCTTATCAGTCGTCAACTCTGTTAGACTTCGGGGACCAAGAAGTTCTAGTGGTAGAGGTCGTGTGGAAGTATTTTACAATGGAGAATGGGGAACAATTTGTGATGATAGCTGGGATTTAAAAGATGCTAAAGTTGTTTGTCGTCAACTTGGTTATGACTATGCTGTCAGTGCTTTACAAGGTGGTGATGTTCCTGATGGCCGTGGAAAAATATGGTCGGACGACGTTCGTTGTGTAGGAAATGAAAATAATATTTTAAGTTGTTCACATAGAGGATGGGGAACACATAATTGTAGACATCATGAAGATGCTGGTGTACAATGTTCAGGTTTGTATGTGCATATTTATCTTTTTATACAAAGATGATAAACTGGATCATTTGAAGGATCCTCGATGATTAATTTAAATATTTAATATGATTTTATCATAAAGTAAATGGTTCGAACCCGGGAGTATCGTTACATGTTTGTATATGTAGATCGTCCACGTTAGTATAGCCTTTAGAAGGACTGTTTTTGTTGTTTTGACTGACGTTTCGACAACCTTAGTGGTAGTCATTTGACTCTGAAGATAACTACCACCAAGGTTGTCGAAACGTCAGTCAACAACAACAAAAACAGTCCTTTTCAGGACTATACTAACCTGGACAATCTACATCTACAAACATGTAATGATTTTATCATAATGAAACAGATATTGACAAATGCCTGAAGAATAAAAGTAGCTTCGGTTTAGATTAAAATTTTTTAAAGGTTTAAAAGGAGCAATTCCAAATTCACACAACAAAGTAATTACTTTTAATTCAACCCTTTCTTACACCGAAAATTTAAAATTGAGCATGCCTTTACGTCGTGTATTGGCGTGTTGTCTATCTTAAAAAATGCATTTTTACATTCGTTTTGTCAATGACCGTTTGAATTTAGTTAATAACATGCCTAGAGAGCACAGGAAATGTATTTTTCAATAAATAAAAAGACAATTATTTTAAAAATACCTTAAAGAGATTCCCACTGGGTGAAAGGACGGTCTATGTGAAAAATTTATTTTTATTTCCTTATATGAATAAAGTAAGTAACGCCTGGTCTAAATAAACAATTTAGGGAATCATAAGAGTCAAATAGGTCTAATTATTCCTAGACTTTTTGATATTTGTACTTATGTAAGTTTTTTCCTAAGTATAATTAAGTTCTGTCATCAATTATAAAACATCAATTTCGTCCCAGAATATTTTACAATATGATCAAACACAATTGGATCCTCTATTTGTATACATGTAACTCAAACAATTTTAGAATTGAGACTTCTATAGATCGCACTATCTATATATTTTCTTTTTTTATCAGTTGTAAACTCTGTTAGACTTCGGGGACCAAAACGTTCTAGTGGCAGAGGTCGTGTTGAAGTATTTTACAATGGCATCTAACATAACAGGATACTTTATATGTATATATGTAACTTAGAATACTTCGGAATTGAGACTTCTATAGATCGCACTATCTATATATTTTCTTTTTTGTCAGTTGTAAACTCTGTTAGACTTCGGGGACCAAAACGTTCTAGTGGCAGAGGTCGTGTGGAAGTATTTTACAATGGAGAATGGGGAACAATTTGTGATGATAGCTGGGATATAAAAGATGCTAAAGTTGTTTGTCGTCAACTTGGTTATAAGTATGCTGTCAGTGCTTTACAAGGAGGTAATGTTCCTGATGGCAGTGGAAGAATATGGTTGGATGACGTTCGTTGTGTAGGAAATGAAAATAATATTTCCAGTTGTTCACATAGAGGTTGGGGAACACATGATTGTGGACATGATGAAGATGCTGGTGTACAATGTTCAGGTTTGTATGTACATAATTGGAAATAAATTCAACACAGATAATAAACTGGATTATTTGGTGGAGGGTGGTCAAAGAAAAAATCTAAACACTTAAAATGATTTTATGTTATTCAACAAATACTGACGAGCGCCTCAATAATAAACATAACTGCAGACTTAGGATAACTAAATAAACATAACTTGTTTCATGATGGCACATGAAAAGATTAGCTAATACCGGATCTAGAGGGCAGCCCATAGATTAAACTTTCCGTGGAAGGATGTGATAATCTTTATTATCAGTTTTGTAACGATAGTCTACATTCATCACAAATTTTTGAAGCTGTAGCTTATGAAGCACCGTTTACATTAAAAATATTTTTGCAGGTTTAAAAGGAGCATCTCCAAATTTACACTATAATGTAAATAATTTTATTTGACGCTTTCTCCGAACGAATAATTTATTACGTTTTTACAAAGAATTTACAATTACGCATGTCTATATATTATGTATTGGCGTGTTGTATATCTTCAACAATACATTTTTAATTTCGTTTCCTCAATGACCACTTGAGTTTAATTCATGAAGTGCCTACAGAGCACCGGAAACTTTTTTTTCAATTATTACAAAGATAGTGCTTTTACAATATAAGATAGAGATTCCTAGGCGGTGAGGAAACAGTCTATGTGAATATTTTATTTTTATGATGTCCTTGTTTCAACCTCTTATGAGGCAGTGTTGCCATATGGCAACATTATCAAACGATTGTTTGGAAAACCAAGTGGGAAAAATTTCCCAGTTAAAGGATCATAAAAATTATTTATGTTGATTGAAGAAATAAGGCTGGTTTAAATAAACGATTTTTAGACTTAAGATAGTCAATGAGTGTCTAATTATTCCAAAACTTTTTGATATTGGTAATTTTGTAGGTTTTTTATTAATATAATTAAGTTTTTTCTGTTACTAATTTAAACCACCAATTTCATCAAAGAATATTTTAAAAACGGATCTAACACAATGGAATACTTTATATGTATATGTAACTCAGAATATTTCAGAATTGAAATTCTATAGTTCGTACTAATAATATATTTTTTTTATCAGGTTTCAACTCTGTCAGACTTCGGGGACCAAAAGTTCTAGTGGCAGAGGTCGTGGAAGTATTTTACAATGGAGAATGGGGAACAATTTGTGATGATAGCTGGGATTTAAAAGATGCTAAAGTTGTTTGTCGTCAACTTGGTTATGACTATGCTGTCAGCGCTTTAAAAGGAAGTTCTGTTCCTGATGGCCGTGGAAAAATATGGTTGGATAATGTTCGTTGTGTAGGAAATGAAAATAATATTTCGAGTTGTTCACATAGAGGATGGGGAACACATAATTGTAGACATCATGAAGATGCTGGTGTACAATGTTCAGGTTTGTATGTGCATAATTTATATTAAAATTTAAAATATTTTTACACAAAGATGACAAACTGGATTATTTAAGTAACCTCAATGATTAATTTAAACATTTAATATGATTTTATAATATTGAAACAGATATTGACAAATGCCTGAAGAATAAACACAGCTTTGAACATAAAATAACTAATAAACATATTTTGTTCCACTTTGGTTTTATAAAATGTATTTAAAGCGAGTGACATTTCGTTTTGAATCAAAACATCTTCAGACTAATAAGGAAGTTTATAAAAAATACATTCATTGTTATTTACATTCCTTGACCAGACGACAATTTCATTAAATATAAAATAAAGCACAATCCGAAAAAAGACTTCTTGTAAACTTAGATTCAAGTTATCAAAACAAGACAATTAGAAGTGTAATATTTCGGTTTTATTTTAAATGATCATTTCACTGATGAGGGTTTGGAAATAAAACCGAAACATTATACTTCTAATTGTCTTGTTTTGATAACCTGAATCTAAGTTTACAAAATGACCTTTTTCGAATTGTGCTTTATTTTATATTTTTATATTTACATAGTTAAATGTATTACATTACTGTGGATGTCCAATACGGTGTGGTGTACAGCAAGGGTGAGATAGTAAGCTTAGGTAGAGGGATGGAGCTTCCGTTGGCGTTAAATAATGACTTTAGTTTAGAGATAAAGAGGCTTTGCGTATCATAAGGTCGAATGTGTTAAGGCTGTGTCCATGTGTCAAGAAAGCACCATCCCTCTCGAGTTTTCTAGTCTTAACACATCCGCCTAGCTACACACCACATCACACTTGCACATCCATAGCAATCTGATATCTTTAACTATTTAAATAACTATAAATAAAATTTTTGTAAACGTCCTTATTAGTCTGAAGATATCTTCAGTCAAGACGAAACGTACGTCGCTTTTAATAAATTTTATAAAACCAAATTGCTTATGGCTATTTTAAAAATTATCATTTGGGCTCTAATATTTGTATTAGGATATTTTACATGTACACGTAACCCCGAATCTTTTGAATTTGAGATTTCTATGTCTTGCAATATCTATATATTTTCTTTTTTTATCAGTCGTCAACTCTGTTAGACTTCGGGGACCAAGAAGTTATAGTGGCAGAGGTCGTGTGGAAGTATTTTACAATGGAGAATGGGGAACAATTTGTGATGATAGCTGGGATTTAAAAGATGCTAAAGTTGTTTGTCGTCAACTTGGTTATGACTATGCTGTCAGTGCTTTACAAGGAAGTCATGTTCCTGATGGCAGAGGACGAATATGGTTGGACAACGTTCGTTGTGTAGGAAACGAAAACAATATTTCGAGTTGTTCACATAGAGGATGGGGATACCATAATTGTGGACATAATGAAGATGCTGGTGTACAATGTTCAGGTTTGTATGTACATAAATTATCTTAAAGATTGGAAGATTTTTATAAAAAGATGATAAAATGGATTATTTCGGAATGTCAATGAAACATTAAACATTCAATATGATTTTATAATACTGAAAGAGATATTGACAAATGCCTGATGAATAAACACAGCTTCGGACGTAAAATAACTAAATAAACATAACTTGTTTCATGAGGACATTATTAAACATAACCTATTTCATGATGGCCCATAAAAAGATTAGATAATGCTAGAGCTAAAGGGCAGCCCATAGACTAAACTTTCCGTGGAGGGATGCGATAATCGTTATAATCAGTTTTGTTACGATTGTTTACATTCATTACATTCATTAGAGCTTTTTGAAGCTGTAGGCTGTAGCCTATGAAGCTCCATTAAAATTTTTCTTTTTGGCATATTTTAAAGGAACATCTCCAAATATACATTACAGTGTAACTTTATGACTTGTAATGGCGTGTTGTCCATCTTAAAAAATGCATTTTTAATTTTGTTTTTTACTGACTGTTAAGGTTTAGCAAAAGACATGCCTAGAGAGCACCAGAAACGTATTTATGAATAATTAAAAATACGATAAAGATTCCCACGTTGTCAACGAAGAGTCTATGTGAACAATTTACTGTTTATTATTTGCTTGTTTCAACAAGTTATGGGGCAGTGTTGCCATAAGGCAACAAATCAAACGATTGAATGGAAAATAAATGGGAAAATTCGCAAGTTAAAGGGTTAAGAAGTTATTTATATTACATAAAGAAATAAGGACTGGTCTAAATAAAAACTTTTTAAGACTTATGAAAGTCAAATAGTGTCTAATTGTTCAAAACTTTTTGATATTGGTAATTATATAAGTTTTTTTATCATTCTTTTGTTACAAATTTAAATCATTAATTTCGCCCAAGAAGATTTTGCAATGGGATCTAACATAACAGGATACTTTATATGTATACATGTAACTTAGAATATTTCGGAATTGAGACTTCTATGTTTTGCAATATCTATTTATTTTCTTTTTTTATCAGTCGTCAACTCTGTCAGACTTCGGGGACCAAAAAGTTCTAGTGGTAGAGGTCGTGTGGAAGTATTTTACGATGGAGAATGGGGAACAATTTGTGATGATAGCTGGGATTTAAAAGATGCTAAAGTTGTTTGTCGTCAACTTGGTTATGACTATGCTGTCAGTGCTTTACAAGGAGGTAATGTTCCTGATGGCAGAGGACGAATATGGTTGGACGACGTTCGTTGTGTAGGAAATGAAAATAATATTTCGAGTTGTTCACATAGAGGATGGGGATCCCATAATTGTAGACATCATGAAGATGCTGGTGTACAATGTTCAGGTTTGTATGTACATAATTTTACTAAAAATTAAAAGATAATTCAAAAAAGATGACAAACTCTATTATTTGGGGTTCGTTAATATTAATTTTTCAAAATTACTTTATGTCATTTACACAGGAATTAATGCAAACTGCAACTTTGATAGTGGAAACATTTGCAACTTTCGCAATGGTGGGGGGAAATTCAACTGGACGATTAATACTGGACCAACATCGAGTTATGGCACAGGCCCCAGCAATGACACAAGTGGATCTGGTACAAAAAAAGTCCCTTTACCTGTTACTTAAGATTAAAGATTTTCATCAAAACTTAATTGTGCATCTTGATAACTATCAAAAACTCCTAAATGTTATCAAATTCATCTAACTTCTTTATGTCTTACAAATTTATTTTCATTCAATTATTGATATTCACAATCTTTTTGTTTTAGGTTACTATCTCTACATTGAAACATCAAGTCCACGTCAATACGGAGATAAAGCAACTGTTTTAACACCATACTTAAGTGGTGAACAATGTATGAAGTTCGCTTACCATATGTACGGTAGAAGTATTGGTTCTCTCAACATTTACGCTGGTAGTCAAATGATTTTTAACCAATCAGGAAATCAAGAAGATATTTGGGTGTTTGTGGAACAATTCATTCATTTAAATGGAAGTTATATGGTAAGGACATTGATTTTGTACGTGCAACAACTATATTTTTAAAATCAATGTTGGGTATTGTGTGTTGGAGTATCGTGCGTTTGGAATTTTGCGTTCTAGTATAATAAGATATGTTGCAAGATACAAGGTGGTATGATACAAGCTATGTTGCAAGCAGAGTGTTCAAAAAAGAGATAAACTTAAATAATAATGTTAAACAATATGGCAAAGTTATGCATACAGCATGTAAGGTAAATGGTTTGAACCCGGGAGTATCGTCTCATGCTTGTAAATATAGATCGTCCAGGCTGGTATAGTCCTGAGAAGGATCCGGATCTACATTTACAAAAAAACAGCATGTCTTGCATGTGCGGAGAAAACGCTGTTGCGTGCGTTGTAAGTAGCATCAACTTTGTATCTATGTTTAAACCAAAAGTTAATACATAATTTACATTTTGCAGCTCATGAAGATTACAACTAAAAATTGTGTTTCTTTTGCCAGTGTGAATGATTTATTAACTGCATGATACGCAGACTGGTCACTTACTAAGTGATTTGTTGATAATCTGGCAATAAGAGTTTCTATTATTAAAACGAGAGGTCGCAGCTCTTTAAGCCTATTATTCAATTCTCTTCTTTACGTATAGGTAAAATTTGAAGGAGTTCGTGGTCTTAGTTACCAAGGCGACATTGCTATTGACGCAATTAGTTTTAAACCGGGCAGATGCTCTTCAAAAACACCTAAGCCAACAACAGCAACAACAAAAAACCCGGCAACCTCATTGGCAGAGACAGGTATGATAAAAGATAAAATTACATAAAAATGAACTTAATTTATGCATGTAATAATTTAAAATATGAGTAGTCTTATAAAGGCCTGTATAAATAGTGTAATTTTAATTGTTTTACAGTTCAATGCAATTTTGACAATGGTACGATGTGCTTATTTATAAACGAAAAGAATGATGAATTTGATTGGACATTGCAAAATGGAAAAACAGCAAGTGACAATACTGGACCTTTAGCAGATGTGTCTGGATACGGTGCGTTGACGAATAATTTACAATCGAGTTTGACTTAAAAAATAAGATTTATTGAAACTGAAAAATTCTTCCGTAGATCTAACTTCGCTGTTTTTAAAAAGTGCGTTAATATTACAAGGCAAGCATCGCTTTCGGTGAAGTAGCGCGCTTTGATGGGCTCAAAAACAATTTTGATGTTCTTATTTTTACAAAATAAACTAAAAATTTCCTAAATGAAACAACAAAAGTTTTGTAGAACACCAAGAGGGAAATAAAAATGCATTTGGGAATGCGAGAAGGGGGTAGAACACTTGGAAAGTGAGCGGTTTTATTATGAGTTCTACGTTTCTATTATACGTAAGCATTTCAAATATTACACCTTTATCTAATATTTCGTCGCGTTGTAACTATTACAAGGTAAAATTTACAAGGCATTTACGAGCTAAATCATACGAGATTGTCATGCACAATGAGCGACGAAATGACGTGTATTAAATACGAAAATTTTCATAAACAATAAAATCCACAGTTTGTATCAACTTCATTCAGGTTTTATCCTCGGTCGATAATAACAAACGTCGGCTTGAGCATATCCTTAAACTTCATAAAACATACAATCTCCTTTAAAAATTGTCAATTAAACATGCTATAAATATTACAGGTTACTACATCTATAGTGAAGCATCACACCCTAGAAAACAGGGTGATAAAGCAAATCTTGTTAGTCCAAAGCTCAAGAGTGGTCAGTGGTGTTTAACATTCTCCTACCATATGTTTGGTAGTGATACTGGAAAACTAAATGTTCATAACGACAACATGGGTAATTGGCAAACGATTTTTACGAAATCTGGTAATCAAGGAAACCAATGGAAAAGAGCAAAAATTGACGTAAATCTTCTAAACAGCTCTTCTGTAAGTAAATTATAACATTGAAACTTGATATGGAACCAAATGAAATAACTCATTTCTGTCCTACTCAATTCCCAATTTGAGCCTCTCAACAAACGGATCCTTTTTAATCTTCAGCAGGTGATGCATAATTTTTAATTATTTGTTTTGCTAGTGGCAGAAAATTTGATTATAGTGATGGCCCTAACTAATGTCAAATTTGATTGCAGTGAAAATCTTTCGAACTTGGAAACACATCAAAATGTACCTATTAATGAAGTGTAAAATACCTTCCCACAAAAAAGTTTTAAATAATTTTTGCCAGAAAATATTGCGATAAGTTCCAGGAAAAATGCTATTTACATACGCATCCACAACATTTTATGTTTGCTTATAACTAGAAACACGAAATTAATTATAAAGTAACAAATTAAATGGGCTTGTAATTTTCTTATAGTTTGAAAACTTTTTTACTCAAGATAATATTTAGCACCACGCGAGGAAATGGTTGGCAAGGAGACATTGCTTTGGATGAGATCTCTTTAAGTTATAACAAATGCCCAACTACGCCAACACTTCCACCAGGATCATGTGGACAAAAAGGACCAGGTCTAAGTGACATAGCCAAGATCGTCGGAGGCCAAAACGCCCGTCCGGGTGAATGGCCATGGCAGGTCGCTCTAGTGAAAAAAAACTTCTTGACCTGCTGTGGCGCTTTGGTATCCAATCAGTACATTATCACAGCAGCTCACTGTGTCAAGGCTTCTGATTGGAGTCGAGTAAAGGTGATTTTGTTTCAACGGTGCATAAATATTTATGAACTTTCATTGTAATGTGACACGGGACAACTGCTTTTCTCAGCTCTTAATAACTCAATAATTGGAAGTATGTCGATTTTATACTATATTTGAAAGCATTCAGTCCTCTTTACCAATGAATTATGACAGTTTTTATGTCTATAGGTAAGACTAGGGGAGCACAACACATACGTTCGAGAAGGACATGAACACGACATGGACATAATGATAAATGGAATCACAATTCATCCTCAGTACAGCAAAACAACATTGGATTATGATATTGCAATTATTAAACTGAAGAAATCAGTTAGTTTCACAACAAAAATAAAACCCGTCTGCCTAAATACAGGAATCGATTTTATAGGTAAGAAAAGAAAATAATACTTTAAAGTTGTTGCTTTGACAAGTTACAAAAATGCTTAATTGACTGTTAACGGTCCCGTGTCATAACTCTCTGTTTTATACTAAGTGAGAAATAGAACAAATATTATCGCCTCACTGAACATTTAACCATTAAAAAGATTTTCTGAAACCCACGTTAGTACAGATATGAATGCAAGTAATTCAAAGTTTAATTCAAGTCTCTTTGCCCAAGAAAACGTACCTATACTATAGAAATCACACAAGTTAATACACTTACTATGTACTGGTGTTATGCAAACAGGACAAAGATGTTACATTACTGGTTGGGGAAAACTTCGAAGTGGAGGATCGACACCAAAGATCTTGCAAGAAGCTCAAGTTCCCATTGTGACAATAGAAGAATGCAAAAGAATTTACAAAAGCAAGATAACAGATAGAATGTTATGTGCAGGACTTGCCAATGGAGGTGTTGACACATGTGCGGGAGACAGTGGAGGTATGAAAGTACATAACATAAATCTATTTGCATTGTGGAATTGACAAAAACCATTGCATTATCGGCAACGTTTCAAACTTAATTTGAAAATGACATGGAATACTAGTAAAACACAATATATCGTTGTCTTTAAAGGTCCACTGGTCTGTGAGCACCGTGATGGTTCATGGTATCTAACTGGTATCACTAGCTGGGGACGAGGTTGCGCTAAATATTACGGAGTCTACACTCATGTTGCTAATCTTTATTCCTGGATTACACAAATTACTGGACTTTAGACTCCTTTAATTTGAGCAACTTTAAATGGTAAAAGATCTACCCTTTAAGCAAAGACGAATATCAAACTGCAATTAAAAAACGTTGAACAAAATTAATGTGATTTATTTCTGTTACAATTGTGCTTTTTGGTGAATAATAATAATATTTATGAAGTATATGAAGTATTTGCAGAATTTTCTGTATTTTCTGTAATATATATTAATATATCTGGAACACGTGGTCATCACTAATTTAAGTATTTTGCCATTTGTTTTATAATTTTGTACCATTTTTTATAAAAAAAATATGAATAATTTAATATGAAGGTTTGTGATATGGTCATTCAAACAATGATGAACATATTGTGCGTTAAGATTTATCAAACGTTCAAACCAATCAAAAACCTGATCATACTGGTAAATACCAACACTTGCGTTTATGAAAAACCATTTCGTTAGAATTATTACTTGTATGCATTAGGGTAACTGTTATATTTTTTCAAAAATTGAAGCTATACATAATACGGTACTTTATGGTTCATCGCTCGCGTCATTTTTTCATCACTTTTCTGATTATTTCAGCGTTGCTATATTTTTGAAAAAAACGGTATGTAATTCCCAGAATCTATTTAAGGTCTTTCAGTTCTTTGTGAACTGATTAGCTTGGTGATGTGCTTTTGATAACTCAATAGTATAAGCACTACAAAATACATTACTGGAACCATGCAATCCTCCAGCCTTACTGACTTCAAACCTATTTTATAAAAAGAGCAAAAATTAAAACTGCTGGTTTGGGAAAATTTCAAATGGGCCCAGAAAAGGTCAACACTTAAGGTCTAGCAGGAAGTTTGAATTCCCATTTTGACTACATAGAAATCCAGTCATATGAAAGTATTATGAAAGCATTGCAGACAGAATGATTTGTGAATATTTTAATTGTTGTTGACAATAAGAACACAAATTGAGCTAGGATAAATAAAACTCGAAATGAAGAAATGACTTTACTTTAGGTTACCTTAACTTAACAGGGTGAAATAAAATTATCAAGTATCAAGTGAACAATCCTTGATATAGAGTGAACGTTTTTCCATACATTGATTTTACATGATTTATCCTGTTGATCAATGAACCGAAAGCACTTATTTAGCATTTTTGAGCAGTGAAGGGTGACCAAGGTTATATTACTGATAAGTCTTCCATATATGCCAAAATCTGTATAAATATGTGAATAAGCATGTTAGAGACCCTGCTGTGAGCAAACACCCACGTAAACATAAAATTAAAGATCATTTGATGGTCTTAAAAAATGTTTCTCTGCTGTAAGTGTTGAAAAAAATGGAACTTTCTATGTATGGGGTAATTCTGGTGAACGTAGCCCAAATAAAGAAAACTACTTTTGCATTACTTTAATGTCGACAATGCTATCAAGGAGACATTAATTAACATGTTGAAGATTTTTAAGTCTACGTCAAAATTGTCTAAGACAATTGTTTAAGCTTTTGGTCTGCATTAAAAATAAAAATTTTTGCATTACATGCAATTACTATCAATTATAAATCAAAAATAGAATTTTCAAGTATTGTATTTGCTTTTACGCATGACTACCTCCCTGTTTCACATTGTTTAACTGGAAAACAGCAGGATATTTATGTCAAATAATTAGAGAGTCTACAGTGATTTTTGCTATTTTGTAATAATATTTTTGTTGATGGTAGTACAATGTGGCTATACATGCTTTTTAAATTTGCCAGCAGCGTGGCGTGCGTAAATGCAGAATTTGGCTTGACTTTGTTGTGGTTTAGCTTTTATTTTTGTATGTACAAATTAACTTCCTCCTTGATTAAGTTCTCACCACAGTCCTTTTACTCCAATTTGTTACTAACTCCACAATGACCTAAGAACAGAAATTGAGCTAGGATAAATAAAACTCGAAATGAAGAAATGACTTTACTTTAGGTTACCTTAACTTAACAGGGTGAAATAATATTATCAAGTATGAAGTGAACAATCCTTGATATCGAGTGAACGTTTTTCCACACATTGATTTTACATGATTTATCCTGTTTTTGCAAGCTGACAACTTTTTGAGCCTTGAGGCCAGGATTGAAACTAGAGTTGATCAATGAACCGAAAGCAGTTATTTAGCATTTTTGAGTTGTGAAGTGTGACCAAGGTTATATTGCTGATAAGTCTGCCATATATGCCAAAATCTGTACAAACATGTAAATAAGCATGTTAGAGATCCTGCTGTTGGCAAACACCTACGTAAACATAAAATTAAAGATCACTTGATTGTCTCAAAAAATGTTTCTTTGCTTTAAGCGTTGGAAAAATGGGACTGTCTAAATATGTGGTGATTCTGGTGAACGTAGCTCGAACAAAGAGAACTACATTTGCATTGCTTTAATGTCAATGTTTTATCAAGGAGACATTAATTAATATATCAAAGATTTTTAAAAAAATATAAGTCAAAATTGTTTAAAGCAAATTGGGTTAAGAATAAAATTTTTTGCATTATTATAAGCAAAAATTAAAAATCGAAAATAGAATTTTGAAGTGTTGTATCATAAATGTTGTATAGGTAGAATTTTCAAGTGTTTTTTGAAAACATGGCAATCTTATGGTTTCACGTCGCTTTCCTTTAACTGGAAAACAGCAGGATATTTATGTAGTAGTAATTGTAGAATTTATGTAGTATTAAGAGTATTTTCAAAGAAACGAAAAGAGAAGTGTTGCCGTTTATAATATAATCAAAAAACAAAATTATTTCTCGATGATTATTTCTTTCTTACTTTACATTTTCTGTGTTGTACAGATAAGTAACAGTTTCTCAACAAAACAATGACAACATAATTCTTAGAATTTAAAGTTCCGCTTACGCACCTTGAAGCGTGCAATAAACGCATGCTGGATCATACACATCTCACATGAAACTCATAAGTTTATCATAAGAGTATCATAGAGCAGAATTATGCATATATTTTCCCTCGATTAATATGATTGCACCATTTCAAGCTGCACCATGGCACAAGTAACTTTTCTGGTGTGTCTACTTTTGATCAAACATTTCATACAAATTCAAGGTACGTATTTTTACATTATATTTGAAATAGAATAAAACTATATTGTTTTGTTTTAATAATGTTTAAAATCAAGAAATTAAAAAACCTTCTGCTCCACGTATATGTCTACTTCACTTAGATCCACTTTATAAAAGAGTAACTGTACACATAACTTAGTTTGTAGCCTTTAAACCCCTTGGCTATTACGTATGATCTAAGAAATAGCGTTTTTTACCCAAACTGCCGTTGTTGCCCAGGCAAAGGTTTTTCAATGTTTTACACTTAAACATTTTTATTGAATAAATTGTATTGTATTGAGATGAATATGTTTTAATTTACTTTTCAAGTTAATAATTTACTTTTAAGGATTTCCATTTGTCATGCGCTCGAAAAACACTCAATTTATTCATTTATGTTCAAAATGATATTAAAAACTCGTGTGCTGTGTCACGGTTTCATCTTAATCAAAGCATGTAGGGTCAAGTCAAACTAATTTTAATAAAAATTTCAATACCTTTGTGAAATTTCAAAGTCACGTGTTGAAAGTCTCTTTGAAAGAAATGAATATCAAAATACTGTCCTCGCGATACTAATGTGGCACTTACTTAAAATGCACTGCAAAAATAAACCTTGGCTGCAAAGTAACAATAATTTAAAACTACAAATGCTGATTACAAACAGCTGACAAATTGATTAAATGTCGACTGAAGATAAATATTGTGTACGTAGAGCAAATTTCATACGAGATATATTTTAAATGAAGATATGATCTTCTTCATACGAGATATATTTTCTTGGTAAAACATAAATTACTAAGTAACCATGTATAGTGTTATGTAAGCTTAGGTTTGAAATTTTATGCGATGCAGCAAATTGTTTGGAAATGAGGAAACATTTGTGTTCCTGTTTGCAGTCGCGCGAGTGGCACCACAGTGGTCCCATGCTGGGTGTAGATAAAAGGTTGATGGAGTAAAGTTGAAACCATTAAAATTCTGATCAACACATGCAGTTATAGAATTACTGTGGCTAAAGTTTGTGTTGTTCAAATGATTGTGCTCTTTCTACAATGAGTACTATTACTGTTAGAGAAATATTTTTAACTTTGACATTGGATTGCAATATAACATTATCAACATTTAAAAGTTCTTGTAATTACGGCTAAAAATTTTAGCAAACTGCAACTTTAATAAGGGAAACACCTGTAATTTTCAACATGGCAAAAAATAAACATTTTTTGGGTGAAAATTGTTTTATCGATAAGCACTTTTGAAAGAGTTTAGCAACTAAAAAGCAATTAAAATACAACGGGTTAAAATTTTGCACATGCGTGTATTGTGTTACTGATATTGAAATCTCTTCTTATTAGTTTTTAGTCTCGGGTCAACAAAATACAATTCGTGTGTTTTTCCAAAATTTTAAGTCTAAAACAACGGCTCCTTTTTTAAGAAAGCGACACTTACGCACTTCACACTCACAAAGGCAATACTTACTGTCTTATAGGTATTATAGTTAATATAATTAACTTGTTTTTTTTTGTAGCTAATTAAGCCATCGATTTCGTCCCCGAATATTTTACATATTTTCTCTTGAAAATGATGGCAAGATAAAATTGAAATGATGAAATCATAGTTTTTAAGGAAACTTTTTACAGTTATTTTATTTATTACAGTTTATTCAGTTATAAATATTTTGTCTTTTTCATTCATTGTGAAGAAAGTACCTATAAAAGGCCAAAAATGATTTAGATAGTTTATATTTTTATACAACTAATTCAATTGTGAAGATAAAGATTATGAATTTTATCAGAATATTTTAGAAATGAGATTTCTTTATATTGCACCGTCTAACTTTGAAATTATATTAAAATAAAACTTGAAATTGCACCATCGATATATTTTCTTTTTACCATAAGGTTTCAACTCTGTTAGACTTCGGGGACCAAGAAGTTCTAGTGGTAGAGGTCGTGTGGAAGTATTTTATAACGGAGAATGGGGAACAATTTGTGATGATAGCTGGGATTTAAACGATGCTAAAGTTGTTTGTCGTCAACTTGGTCTTGGTGCAGCTATTAGAGCTTTACAAGGAGGTAATGTTCCTGATGGCAGTGGACGAATATGGTTGGACGATGTTCGTTGTGTAGGAAATAAAAACAATATTTCGAGTTGTTCACATAGAGGATGGGGATCACATAATTGTGGACATGATGAAGATGCTGGTGTACAATGTTCAGGTTTGTATGTACATCACTTATCTTAAAAATTGCAAGATTTTTATAAAAAGATGATGAACTGGATTATTTGGGAGCGTTAATGATTAATTTAAACATTTTATATGATTTTATAATACTGAAAGAGATATTGACAAATGCCTGATGAATAAACACAGCTTCGGACGTAAAATAACTAAATAAACATAACTTATTCCATGAGGACATTATTAAACAAAACCTATTTCATGATGGCCCAGAAAAAGATTAGATAATGCAGAGCTAAAGAGCAGCCCATAGACTAAAATTTCCGTGGAGGGATGTGATAATCGTTATAATCAGTTTTGTTACGATTGTTTACATTCATTAGAGCTTCTTGAAGCTGTAGGCTGTAGCCTATGAAGCTCCCTTAAAATTAATTTTTTTTGCATATTTAAAAGGAACATCTCCAAATATACACTACAGTGTAACTTTATGACTTGTAATGGCGTGTTGTCCATCTTAAAAAATGCATTTTTAAATTCGTTTCTTACTGACAGTTAAGGTTTAGCAAAAGACATGCCTAGAGAGAACTAGAAACGTATTTATGAATAATTAAAAAAACGATAAAGATTCCCACGTTGTCAACGAAGAGTCTATGTGAACAATTTACTGTTTATTATTTGTTTATTTCAACAAGTTATGGGGCATTGTTGCCATATGGCAACAAATTAAACGATTGAATGGAAAATAAATGGGAAAATTCGCAAGTTAAAGGGTTAAGAAGTTATTTATATTACATAAAGAAATAAGGACTGGTCTAAATAAAAATTTTTTAAGACTTATGAAAGTCAAATAGTGTCTAATTGTCCAAAACTTTTTGATATTGGTAATTATATAAGTTTTTTTATCATTCTTTTGTTACCAATTTAAATCATTAATTTCGCCCAAGAAGATTTTGCAATGGGATCTAAAATAACAGGATACTTTATATGTATACATGTAACTTAGAATATTTCGGAATTGAGACTTCTATGTTTTGCAATATCTATTTATTTTCTTTTTTTATCAGTCGTCAACTCTGTCAGACTTCGGGGACCAAAAAGTTCTAGTGGTAGAGGTCGTGTGGAAGTATTTTACAATGGAGAATGGGGAACAATTTGTGATGATAGCTGGGATTTAAAAGATGCTAAAGTTGTTTGTCGTCAACTTGGTTATGACTATGCTGTCAGTGCTTTACAAGGAGGTAATGTTCCTGATGGCAGAGGACGAATATGGTTAGACGACGTTCGTTGTGTAGGAAATGAAAATAATATTTCGAGTTGTTCACATAGAGGATGGGGAACACATAATTGTAGACATCATGAAGATGCTGGTGTACAATGCTCAGGTTTGTATGTACATATTTATCTTTTTATACAAAGATGATAAACTGGATTATTTGGAGGATCCTCGATGATTAGTTTAAATATTTAATATGATTTTATCATAAAGAGAGTATCGTTACATGTTTGTATATGTAGATCGTCTACGTTAGTATAGCCCTGAGAAGGACTGTTTTTGTTGTTTTGACTGACGTTTCGACAACCTTAGTGGTGGTCGTTTGACTCTGAAGATAACTACCACTAAGGTTGTCGAAACGTCAGACAACAACAACAAAACAGTCCTCTCAGGACTATAACCTGGACGATCTACAAACATGTAATGATTTTATCATATTGAAACAGATATTGACAAATGCCTGAAGAATAAAAGCAGCTTAGGTTTAGATTAAAATTTCTTAAAGGTTTAAAAGGAGCAATTCCAAATTCACACAACAAAGTAATTACTTTTAATTCAACTCTTTCTTCCACCGAAAATTTAAAATTGAGCATGTCTTTATGTCGTGTATTGGCGTGTTGTCTATCTTAAAAAATGCATTTTTACATTCGTTTTCTCAATGACCGTTTGAGTTTAGTTAATAACATGCTAGAGAGCACAGGAAATGTTTTTTTCAATAAATGAAAAGACAATAATTTATAAATATGTTAAAGAGATTCCCACTGGGTGAAAGAACGGTCTATGTGAACAATTTATTTTTATTTCCTTATATGAATAAAGTAAGTAACGCCTGGTCTAAATAAACAATTTAGGGAATCATAAGAGTCAAATAGGTCTAATTATTCCTAGACTTTTTGATATTTGTACTTATGTAAGTTTTTTCCTAAGTATAATTAAGTTCTGTCATGAATTATAAAACCATCAATTTCGTCCCAGAATATTTTAAAAACGGATCTAACACAATGGAATACTTTATATGTATATGTAACTCAGACAATTTTAGAATTCAGATTTCTATGTTTTGCAATATCTATTCATTTTCTTTTATCAGTTGTCAACTCTGTTAGACTTCGGGGACCAAAACGTTCTAGTGGCAGAGGTCGTGTGGAAGTATTTTACAATGGAGAATGGGGAACAATTTGTGATGATAGCTGGGATTTAAAAGATGCTAAAGTTGTTTGTCGTCAACTTGGTTATAAGTATGCTGTCAGTGCTTTACAAGGAGGTAATGTTCCTGATGGCAGTGGAAGAATATGGTTGGATGATGTTCGTTGTATAGGAAATGAAAATAATATTTCCAGTTGTTCACATAGAGGATGGGGATCCCATAATTGTGGACATGATGAAGATGCTGGTGTACAATGTTCAGGTTTGTATGTACATAATTGGAAATAAATTCAACACAGATAATAAACTGGATTATTTGGTGTAGGGTGGGGGGTCGTCAAAGAAAAAATCTAAACACTTAAAATGATTTTATGTTATTCAACAAATACTGACGAGCGCCTCAATAATAAACATAACTGCAGACTTAGGATAACTAAACAAACATAACTTGTTTCATGATTGCACATGAAAAGATTAGCTAATACCGGAGCTAGAGGGCAGCTCATAGACTAAACTTTCCGTGGAAGGATGTGATAATCTTTATTATCAGTTTTGTAACGATAGTCTACATTCATCACAAATTTTTGAAGCTGTAGCTTATGAAGCACCGTTTACATTAAAAAATATTTTTGCAGGTTTAAAAGAAGCATCTCCAAATTTACACTATAGTGTAAATAACTTTTATTTGACGCTTTCTCCCAACGAACAATTTATGACATATTTTACAAAAAATATACAATTACGCATGCTATATATTATGTATTGGCGTGTTGTATATCTTCAACAATACATTTTTAATTTCGTTTCCTCAATGACCACTTGAGTTTAATTCATTAAGTGCCTACAGAGCACCGGAAACGTATTTTTCAATTATTACAAAGATAGTGCTTTTACAATATAAGATAGAGATTCCTAGGCGGTGAGGAAACAGTCTATGTGAATATTTTATTTTTATTATGTCCTTGTTTCAACCTCTTATGAGGCAGTGTTGCCATATGGCAACATTATCAAACGATTGTTTGGAAAACCAAAGGGGAAAAATTTCCCAGTTAAAGTATTATAAAAAATTATTTATGTTGATTGAAGAAATAAGGCTGGTTTAAATAAACGATTTTTAGACTTAAGATAGTCAATGAGTGTCTAATTATTCCAAAACTTTTTGATATTGGTAATTTTGTAGGTTTTTTATTAATATAATTAAGTTTTTCTGTTACTAATTTAAACCACCAATTTCATCAAAGAATATTTTAAAAACGGATCTAACACAATGGAATACTTTATATGTATATGTAGCTCAGAATATTTCAGAATTGAAATTCTATAGTTCGTACTAATAATATATTTTTTTTATCAGGTTTCAACTCTGTCAGACTTCGGGGACCAAAAAGTTCTAGTGGCAGAGGTCGTGTGGAAGTATTTTACAATGGAGAATGGGGAACAATTTGTGATGATAGCTGGGATTTAAAAGATGCTAAAGTTGTTTGTCGTCAACTTGGTTATGACTATGCTGTCAGTGCTTTACAAGGTGGTGATGTTCCTCATGGCCGTGGAAAAATATGGTTGGATAATGTTCGTTGTGTAGGAAATGAAAATAATATTTCGAGTTGCTCACATAGAGGATGGGGAACACATAATTGTAGACATTATGAAGATGCTGGTGTACAATGTTCAGGTTTGTATGTGCATAATTTATATTAAAATTGAAAGATTTTACACAAAGATGACAAACTGGATTATTTAAGGAGCCTCAATGATTAATATAAACATTTAATATGATTTTATAATACTGAAACAGATATTGACAAATGCCTGATGAATAAACACAGCTTCGGACGTATAAACACAGTTTCGAGCTTTTTTTACAAGGGGCGAGTGGCTGAATGGTTAATGGCCTGAGCTGTAAGCCAGACGGCGCGGGTTCAATCATTTGGAATGTGTCTGTAAACCTAGCCCGGGTTGACCAAAGCCATGTGAGGGAAATTTGGTAGAGGAAACTATGTCCTCGGATGGACTGTACCTGCATCTGCAAGGTTGCAGCCTTGTCACACTGTGTCACGCTTATATCAGCGTTGTAGTTGCGTGAAGGGTACGAGTGATTGTAGTCTGGTCAGCTGCCTTCACTATAATTTCAGTAACCAGGATGTTCCACTTCGTGGAACCCTCATACGTCGAAATCGACGGAGGCCATTACTTACTTACTGGACGTAAAATAACTAAATAAACATAACTTGTTTCATGAGGACATTATTAAACATAACCTATTTCATGATGGCCCATAAAAACATTAGATAATGCCAGAGCATCTTTAAATATACACTACAGTGTAACTTTATGACTTGTAATGGCGTGTTGTCCATCTTAAAAATGCATTTTAATTTCGTTTCTTACTGACCGTTAGGGTTTAGCAAAAGACATGCCTAGAGAGAACTAGAAACGTATTTATGAATAATTAAAAATACGATAAAGATTCTCACGTTGTCAACGAAGAGTCTATGTGAACAATTTACTGTTTATTATTTGCTTGTTTCAACAAGTTATGGGGCAGTGATGCCATAAGGCAACAAATCAAACGATTGAATGGAAAAAAAATGGGGAAAATTCGCAAGTTAAAGAGTTAAGAAGTTATTTATATTACATAAAGAAATGAGGACTGGTCTAAATGAAAATTTTTTAAGACTTATGAAAGTCAAATAGTGTCTAATTGTCCAAAACTTTTTGATATTGGTAATTATATAAGTTTTTTATCATTTTCTTGTTACTAATTTAAATCATTAATTTCGCCCAAGAAAATTTTAAAATGGCATCTAAAATAACAGGATACTTTATATGTATACATGTAACTTAGAATATTTCGGAATTGAGACTTCTATAGATCGCACTATCTATATATTTTCTTTTTTTATCAGTCGTCAACTCTGTCAGACTTCGGGGACCAAAAAGTTCTAGTGGTAGAGGTCGTGTGGAAGTATTTTACAATGGAGAATGGGGAACAATTTGTGATGATAGCTGGGATTTAAACGATGCTAAAGTTGTTTGTCGTCAACTTGGTCTTGGTGGTGCTATTAGAGCTTTACAAGGATGTTATGTTACTGATGGCAGTGGACGAATATGGTTGGATGATGTTCGTTGTGTGGGAAATGAGAGAAATATCGCCAGTTGTACACACAATGGATGGGGATCACATAATTGTGGACATCATAAAGATGCTGGTGTAGAATGTTCAGGTTTGTAAGAAGTAGAAAAGCCAAGCCGTTTATTCCTCCTACAATGCCAATATTCTTGAGTTTTAAATTTTAACAAAGCAATTTTTACTCAAATGTGTGAATAATTGTTAGATATTGATGAATGTTCTCTTTCTATCGACGATTGTCATGAAAATTCAACCTGTGTGAACACAAATGGATCGTATCTATGTAATTGCAATGTTGGTTATTCTGGAAATGGAACAGTTTGTGAAGGTCCGTTTTATAAACTCTATAGTTCTTAAAGTGGTCTTTTGAATTAAGTTTAAGAAGTCTAATGCTATATATATATATATATATATAATTAATAGATATTGATGAATGTTCTCTTTCTATTGACAATTGTCATCTAAACTCAACCTGTGTTAACACAAATGGATCGTATTTATGTAATTGCAATGTTGGTTATTCTGGGAATGGAACAGTTTGTAAAGGTGAGTTATACAGTTGTACTTTACATTCGCTCGTTAAAGGTTTAACAGATTATTTATGATAATTAAATAACGCCCAGTCTAAATAAACAATTTTTAGACTCAACAGAGTCAAATAATGTCCACTTATTCCATTACTTTACGCTATAGATACTTATATGAATTTCTTAATTAATATAATTAAGTAGTTTTTTGTAGCTAATATAAACCATCAATTTCGTCCCAGAATACTTTATCCTATTTTCTCTTGAATATGATGTAAAGATAAAATGTATCGTAAAAGTTATTTCTTCGATGCATGTGTTCTCCTATATACGTTACTTCTGCTGTTGAGTCATTTACTTCTATGCTCGTAACCCAACAAAGATAACAATTTTGTCCTATAAAATTGTAAATGTTCTTAAAATCAATTGAACTATGTAAAGAAGTCATTTCCCTGACCCTGATGTAGGTAAAGCCTATCATAAAATGCGTTGAACAGCCATGATAAAGACGAAACGCTAGTCCTATAAAGTTTCCTATTGTAAAAAACTCTATGTATATTACAAGAGTTTCTACTGTTGCGCCCAGACAGTTTACAGCTCTTTTTAACCAGTTTCATTAGTATTTGCAACTCTGATAAGTTATTCTTTCTCAATGTATATTACACTCATTTAGCAAATCTTCTGCGCTAACTGCAATTTTTTCACATACATTAAAAGAATCGGTACAAGTTTTTTTATGTCATAATTACATGGGGTTTAATTGATTCTTATTATGTAGTTATAAAGAGATGTTTTGCGTTTATAATAGCTTAAGTTTTTCAAATATTTATGAAGCTCCATTTACATTCAAACTATCTTTCTTAGCAGGTTATACAACAGCATTTACAAATTTACATCAAAAAATAAATAATTTAAATTTAACGCTTTCTACAACCGGAAATGCAGATTAATTTCTACGTGCAATAATTAGCAAATCGAGCACATGTTAAGTTATTAGCTAAAAACATGGAAATGAAAATGAGGGTCACACAGCTAGACAACATTTTTTTTAAATTTCTATAAAAAGGAAAAACAATTTAGCTTGCATTGTAGGAGTATGAAAGATGGGATTGGCATTGCAACTTTTTGTTACTTATTTCAAGAAAAAACTCACAATAACTTAAAGATTTTACACAATTTTAAGAATCAACCGCAGAATAAAATTATATTCAATACGGTTTGCTCAATGTACTTATGTTCGTTTTCATTTACATAATTTTCATTAACGTGTTTGTTTTGTTGTTATTGAAGTCTACGTAATTTCTAACTATGACTTTTGTCTGAGAATATTTTACTTGTAGTTTTTTAAAATGATGCACGTCAATTGGTTTGAAATCTTGGGGTAGTAAAATGAAACCCAAATTTTCACAGTTAAATTATTTAGTACAGTTATTTCACAAATGAATTTTCATAATTTTGGTATTTTTGAAAAAATTAAGAGCAAACGATTCAGTCATTTCATAAATTTTACGCTAACTTATTTTATTGAATTTATTGGTTGTCCGTGTGTTTAGACATCAACGAATGTTCTTTTCTATTGATAACTGTCATCAAAATGCAACGTGCATCAACACAATTGGATCCTTTACATGTAAATGTAACCCAGGATATTTTGGAAATGGAACAATGTGTACAAGTAAGAAAAATTTATTTTGATTTATAATTGACATGAAATAAGCAGAAAAATTACAATAATATACAATTACATAACCTATATATATATATATATATATATATATATATATATATATATATATATATATATATATATATACAAAGTATAAAAGATAAAAGTTTCTCCGGATTTAAAGTGAGTTTATTGAGCTTTCGACTCGTTGCTTCGAGCCTTCATCAGAATGAGGATATTTATTTACACGTGCTTTTAGCTTGGAGACGTTTAGAGCGTCTAATTGGATGAGAGGGTGGATTAATGTGATTGGATGGGGTGAAATGCGTTGCCATGGGTTTTGGTGTATTGTTAATATGATTGGTGGTGTTAATAATATTAGAGTGTAGTATTTTAGTTTTGGTGTTGTTTGTAGCTTCCTCATTCTGATGAAGGCTCGAAGCAACGAGTCGAAAGCTCAATAAACTCACTTTAAATCCGGAGAAACTTTTATCTTTTATATATTAAATGCCTGGATTACAACTTTTCAAACTTATATATACAAAGTGTATAACAATGTGCCCTCCCGGCTATCACCATAGTAAAATGGTGACTCCTGCACTTGGGACACAGGACGTACGGTTACACATTGTATGGATTGTATTGTAGAGTCACCAGAGCGCTCAAACCTATATAGGTGAGCAATGCATAAAGCGAATGCGGTGAACGTCTCTTTATGAGACTCTCTACGCAATCCGAGAGCGCTCAAACTGCGCAAGCGCAGCGAGCGTAATATACAAAGTGTATAACAATGTGCCCTCCCGGCTATCACCATAGTAAAATGGTGACTCCTGCACTTGGGACACAGGACGTACGGTTAAGTACTTACTGCGTAAGTACAGTGCTCGCTGCTTAAGAGCAGAGCGTAAACATTGATAACAAGAAGAAAATACTATTAAAATATTATACCCTGAAGAGTGAGAAATCACGAAACAGGCTTGTCGGGATGAAATTGTAGTTTTTGTGTATTTTCTTCTTCTTATCAATATTTTTTATATACATACATATAATAGAAAACCCACCACCAGTCAGACTTCAGGGACCGAGAAGTTCAAATGGAACTGGTCGTGTGGAAGTATACTATAATGGAGAGTGGGGAACAATTTGTGATGATAGCTGGGATTTAAGAGATGCTGAAGTTATTTGTCGTCAACTTGGTTATGACTATGCTGTCAGTGCTTTACAAGGAAGTAATGTTCCTGATGGCAGTGGACGAATATGGTTGGATGATGTTCGATGTGTAGGAAATGAAAGTAATATTTCAAGTTGTTCACATAGAGGATGGGGATCACATAATTGTGGACATCATGAAGATGCTGGTGTACAATGTTCAGGTTTGTATGTGCTTGCTTTATCTTTTTATACAAAGATGATAAACTGGATTATTTGGGGGATCCTCGATGATTAATTTAAATATTTATTATGATTTTATCATAAAGTAAATGGTTTGAACCCGGGAGTATCGTTACATGTTTGTAGTTGTAAATCCTCCAGGTTAGTATAGTCCTGAGAAGGACTGTTTTTGTTGTTGTTGACTGACGTTTCGACAACCTTAGCGGTAGTCATTTGACTCTGAAGATGACTACCACTAAGGTTGTCGAAACGTCAGTCAACAACAACAAAAACAGTCCTTCTCAGGACTATACCAACCTGGACGATCTACATCTACAAACATGTAATGATTTTATCATATTGAAACAGATATTGACAAATGCCTGAAGAATAAACGCAGCTTCGGTTTAGATTAAAATTTCTTAAAGGTTTAAAAGGAGCAATTCCAAATTCACACAACAAAGTAATTACTTTTAATTCAACCCTTTCTTCCACCGAAAATTTAAAATTGAGCATGTCTTTATGTCGTGTATTGGCGTGTTGTCTATCTTCAAAAATGCATTTTTACATTCGTTTTCTCAATGACCGTTTGAGTTTAGTTAATAACATGCCTAGAGAGCACAGGAAATGTATTTTTCAATAAATGAAAAGACAATAATTTATAAATACGTTAAAGAGATTCCCACTGGGTGAAAGAACGGTCTATGTGAACAATGTATTTTTATTTCCTTATATGAATAAAGTAAGTAACGCCTGGTCCAAATAAACAATTTAGGGAATCATAAGAGTCAAATAGGTCTAATTATTCCTAGACTTTTTGATATTTGTACTTATGTAAGTTTTTCCTAAGTATAATTAAGTTCTGTCATCAATTATAAAACATCAATTTCGTCCCAGAATATTTTACAATATGATCAAACACAATTGGATCCTCTATTTGTATACATGTAACTCAGACAATTTTAGAATTGAGATTTCTATAGATCGCACTATCTATATATTTTCTTTTCTATCAGTTGTAAACTCTGTTAGACTTCGGGGACCAAAACGTTCTAGTGGCAGAGGTCGTGTGGAAGTATTTTACAATGGAGAATGGGGAACAATTTGTGATGATAGCTGGGATATAAAAGATGCTAAAGTTGTTTGTCGTCAACTTGGTTATAAGTATGCTGTCAGTGCTTTACAAGGAGGTAATGTTCCTGATGGCAGTGGAAGAATATGGTTAGATGACGTTCGTTGTGTAGGAAATGAAAATAATATTTCCAGTTGTTCACATAGAGGTTGGGGAACACATGATTGTGGACATGATGAAGATGCTGGTGTACAATGTTCAGGTTTGTATGTACATAATTGGAAATAAATTCAACACAGATAATAAACTGGATTATTTGGTGGAGGGTCGTCAAAGAAAAAATCTAAACACTTAGACTTAGGATAACAAATAAACATAACTTGTTTCATGATGGCACATGAAAAGATTAGCTAATACCGGAGCTAGAGGGCAGCCCATAGACTAAACTTTCCGTGGAAGGATGTGATAATCTTTATTATCAGTTTTGTAACGATAGTCTACATTCATCACAAATTTTTGAAGCTGTAGCTTATGAAGCACCGTTTACATTAAAAAATATTTTTGCAGGTTTAAAAGAAGCATCTCCAAATTTACACTATAATGTAAATAATTTTTATTTGACGCTTTCTCCCAACGAACAATTTATGACGTATTTTACAAAAAATATACAATTACGCATGCTATATATTATGTATTGGCGTGTTGTATATCTTCAACAATACATTTTTAATTTCGTTTCCTCAATGACCACTTGAGTTTAATTCATTAAGTGCCTACAGAGCACCGGAAACGTATTTTTCAATTATTACAAAGATAGTGCTTTTACAATATAAGATAGAGATTCCTAGGCGGTGAGGAAACAGTCTATGTGAATATTTTATTTTTATTATGTCCTTGTTTCAACCTCTTATGAGGCAGTGTTGCCATATGGCAACATTATCAAACGATTATTTGGAATACCAAAGGGGAAAAATTTCCCAGTTAAAGGATTATAAAAATTATTTATGTTGATTGAAGAAATAAGGCTGGTTTAAATAAACGATTTTTAGACTTAAGATAGTCAATGAGTGTCTAATTATTCCAAAACTTTTTGATATTGGTAATTTTGTAGGTTTTTTATTAATATAATTAAGTTTTTCTGTTACTAATTTAAACCACCAATTTCATCAAAGAATATTTTAAAAACGGATCTAACACAATGGAATACTTTATATGTATATGTAGCTCAGAATATTTCAGAATTGAAATTCTATAGTTCGTACTAATAATATATTTTTTTTATCAGGTTTCAACTCTGTCAGACTTCGGGGACCAAAAAGTTCTAGTGGCAGAGGTCGTGTGGAAGTATTTTACAATGGAGAATGGGGAACAATTTGTGATGATAGCTGGGATTTAAAAGATGCTAAAGTTGTTTGTCGTCAACTTGGTTATGACTATGCTGTCAGTGCTTTACAAGGTGGTGATGTTCCTCATGGCCGTGGAAAAATATGGTTGGATAATGTTCGTTGTGTAGGAAATGAAAATAATATTTCGAGTTGCTCACATAGAGGATGGGGAACACATAATTGTAGACATTATGAAGATGCTGGTGTACAATGTTCAGGTTTGTATGTGCATAATTTATATTAAAAATTGAAAGATTTTTACACAAAGATGACAAACTGGATTATTTAAGGAGCCTCAATGATTAATATAAACATTTAATATGATTTTATAATACTGAAACAGATATTGACAAATGCCTGATGAATAAACACAGCTTCGGACGTATAAACACAGTTTCGAGCTTTTTTTACAAGGGGCGAGTGGCTGAATGGTTAATGGCCTGAGCTGTAAGCCAGACGGCGCGGGTTCAATCATTTGGAATGTGTCTGTAAACCTAGCCCGGGTTGACCAAAGCCATGTGAGGGAAATTTGGTAGAGGAAACTATGTCCTCGGATGGACTGTACCTGCATCTGCAAGGTTGCAGCCTTGTCACACTGTGTCACGCTTATATCAGCGTTGTAGTTGCGTGAAGGGTACGAGTGATTGTAGTCTGGTCAGCTGCCTTCACTATAATTTCAGTAACCAGGATGTTCCACTTCGTGGAACCCTCATACGTCGAAATCGACGGAGGCCATTACTTACTTACTGGACGTAAAATAACTAAATAAACACAACTTGTTTCATGAGGACATTATTAAACATAACCTATTTCATGATGGCCCATAAAAACATTAGATAATGCCAGAGCATCTTTAAATATACACTACAGTGTAACTTTATGACTTGTAATGGCGTGTTGTCCATCTTAAAAGATGCATTTTTAATTTCGTTTCTTACTGACCGTTAGGGTTTAGCAAAAGACATGCCTAGAGAGAACTAGAAACGTATTTATGAATAATTAAAAATACGATAAAGATTCTCACGTTGTCAACGAAGAGTCTATGTGAACAATTTACTGTTTATTATTTGCTTGTTTCAACAAGTTATGGGGCAGTGATGCCATAAGGCAACAAATCAAACGATTGAATGGAAAAAAAATGGGGAAAATTCGCAAGTTAAAGAGTTAAGAAGTTATTTATATTACATAAAGAAATGAGGACTGGTCTAAATGAAAATTTTTTAAGACTTATGAAAGTCAAATAGTGTCTAATTGTCCAAAACTTTTTGATATTGGTAATTATATAAGTTTTTTTTATCATTTTCTTGTTACTAATTTAAATCATTAATTTCGCCCAAGAAAATTTTAAAATGGCATCTAAAATAACAGGATACTTTATATGTATACATGTAACTTAGAATATTTCGGAATTGAGACTTCTATAGATCGCACTATCTATATATTTTCTTTTTTTATCAGTTGTAAACTCTGTTAGACTTCGGGGACCAAAAAGTTCTAGTGGTAGAGGTCGTGTGGAAGTATTTTACAATGGAGAATGGGGAACAATTTGTGATGATAGCTGGGATTTAAAAGATGCTAAAGTTGTTTGTCGTCAACTTGGTCTTGGTGGTGCTATTAGAGCTTTACAAGGATGTTATGTTACTGATGGCAGTGGACGAATATGGTTGGATGATGTTCGTTGTGTGGGAAATGAGAGAAATATCGCCAGTTGTACACACAATGGATGGGGATCACATAATTGTGGACATCATAAAGATGCTGGTGTAGAATGTTCAGGTTTGTAAGAAGTAGAAAAGCCAAGCCGTTTATTCCTCCTACAATGCCAATATTCTTGAGTTTTAAATTTTAACAAAGCAATTTTACTCAAATGTGTGAATAATTGTTAGATATTGATGAATGTTCTCTTTCTATCGACGATTGTCATGAAAATTCAACCTGTGTGAACACAAATGGATCGTATCTATGTAATTGCAATGTTGGTTATTCTGGAAATGGAACAGTTTGTGAAGGTCCGTTTTATAAACTCTATAGTTCTTAAAGTGGTCTTTTGAATTAAGTTTAAGAAGTCTAATGCTAATATATATATATATATATATAATTAATAGATATTGATGAATGTTCTCTTTCTATTGACAATTGTCATCTAAACTCAACCTGTGTTAACACAAATGGATCGTATTTATGTAATTGCAATGTTGGTTATTCTGGGAATGGAACAGTTTGTAAAGGTGAGTTATACAGTTGTACTTTACATTCGCTCGTTAAAGGTTTAACAGATTATTTATGATAATTAAATAACGCCCAGTCTAAATAAACAATTTTTAGACTCAACAGAGTCAAATAATGTCCACTTATTCCATTACTTTACGCTATAGATACTTATATGAATTTCTTAATTAATATAATTAAGTAGTTTTTTGTAGCTAATATAAACCATCAATTTCGTCCCAGAATACTTTATCCTATTTTCTCTTGAATATGATGTAAAGATAAAATGTATCGTAAAAGTTATTTCTTCGATGCATGTGTTCTCCTATATACGTTACTTCTGCTGTTGAGTCATTTACTTCTATGCTCGTAACCCAACAAAGATAACAATTTTGTCCTATAAAATTGTAAATGTTCTTAAAATCAATTGAACTATGTAAAGAAGTCATTTCCCTGACCCTGATGTAGGTAAAGCCTATCATAAAATGCGTTGAACAGCCATGATAAAGACGAAACGCTAGTCCTATAAAGTTTCCTATTGTAAAAACTTTATGTATATTACAAGAGTTTCTACTGTTGCGCCCAGACAGTTTACAGCTCTTTTTAACCAGTTTCATTAGTATTTGCAACTCTGATAAGTTATTCTTTCTCAATGTATATTACACTCATTTAGCAAATCTTCTGCGCTAACTGCAATTTTTTCACATACATTAAAAGAATCGGTACAAGTTTTTTATGTCATAATTACATGGGGTTTAATTGATTCTTATTATGTAGTTATAAAGAGATGTTTTGCGTTTATAATAGCTTAAGTTTTTCAAATATTTATGAAGCTCCATTTACATTCAAACTATCTTTCTTAGCAGGTTATACAACAGCATTTACAAATTTACATCAAAAAATAAATAATTTAAATTTAACGCTTTCTACAACCGGAAATGCAGATTAATTTCTACGTGCAATAATTAGCAAATCGAGCACATGTTAAGTTATTAGCTAAAAACATGGAAATGAAAATGAGGGTCACACAGCTAGACAACATTTTTTTTAAATTTCTATAAAAAGGAAAAACAATTTAGCTTGCATTGTAGGAGTATGAAAGATGGGATTGGCATTGCAACTTTTTTGTTACTTATTTCAAGAAAAAAACTCACAATAACTTAAAGATTTTACACAATTTTAAGAATCAACCGCAGAATAAAATTATATTCAATACGGTTTGCTCAATGTACTTATGTTCGTTTTCATTTACATAATTTTCATTAACGTGTTTGTTTTGTTGTTATTGAAGTCTACGTAATTTCTAACTATGACTTTTGTCTGAGAATATTTTACTTGTAGTTTTTTAAAATGATGCACGTCAATTGGTTTGAAATCTTGGGGTAGTAAAATGAAACCCAAATTTTCACAGTTAAATTATTTAGTACAGTTATTTCACAAATGAATTTTCATAATTTTGGTATTTTTGAAAAAATTAAGAGCAAACGATTCAGTCATTTCATAAATTTTACGCTAACTTATTTTATTGAATTTATTGGTTGTCCGTGTGTTTAGACATCAACGAATGTTCTTTTTCTATTGATAACTGTCATCAAAATGCAACGTGCATCAACACAATTGGATCCTTTACATGTAAATGTAACCCAGGATATTTTGGAAATGGAACAATGTGTACAAGTAAGAAAAATTTATTTTGATTTATAATTGACATGAAATAAGCAGAAAAAATTACAATAATATACAATTACATAACCTATATATATATATATATATATATATATATATATATATATATATATATATATATATATATATAAAGATAAAAGTTTCTCCGGATTTAAAGTGAGTTTATTGAGCTTTCGACTCGTTGCTTCGAGCCTTCATCAGAATGAGGATATTTATTTACACGTGCTTTTAGCTTGGAGACGTTTAGAGCGTCTAATTGGATGAGAGGGTGGATTAATGTGATTGGATGGGGTGAAATGCGTTGCCATGGGTTTTGGTGTATTGTTAATATGATTGGTGGTGTTAATAATATTAGAGTGTAGTATTTTAGTTTTGGTGTTGTTTGTAGCTTCCTCATTCTGATGAAGGCTCGAAGCAACGAGTCGAAGCTCAATAAACTCACTTTAAATCCGGAGAAACTTTTATCTTTTATATATTAAATGCCTGGATTACAACTTTTCAAACTTATATATACAAAGTGTATAACAATGTGCCCTCCCGGCTATCACCATAGTAAAATGGTGACTCCTGCACTGGGACACAGGACGTACGGTTACACATTGTATGGATTGTATTGTAGAGTCACCAGAGCGCTCAAACCTATATAGGTGAGCAATGCATAAAGCGAATGCGGTGAACGTCTCTTTATGAGACTCTCTACGCAATCCGAGGCGCTCAAACTGCGCAAGCGCAGCGACGTAATATACAAAGTGTATAACAATGTGCCCTCCCGGCTATCACCATAGTAAAATGGTGACTCCTGCACTTGGACACAGGACGTACGGTTAAGTACTTACTGCGTAAGTACAGTGCTCGCTGCTTAAGAGCAGAGCGTAAACATTGATAACAAGAAGAAAATACTATTAAAATATTATACCCTGAAGGTGAGAAATCACGAAACAGGCTTGTCGGGATGAAATTGTAGTTTTTGTGTATTTTCTTCTTCTTATCAATATTTTTTATATACATACATATAATAGAAAACCCACCACCAGTCAGACTTCAGGGACCGAGAAGTTCAAATGGAACTGGTCGTGTGGAAGTATACTATAATGGAGAGTGGGGAACAATTTGTGATGATAGCTGGGATTTAAGAGATGCTGAAGTTATTTGTCGTCAACTTGGTTATGACTATGCTGTCAGTGCTTTACAAGGAAGTAATGTTCCTGATGGCAGTGGACGAATATGGTTGGATGATGTTCGATGTGTAGGAAATGAAAGTAATATTTCAAGTTGTTCACATAGAGGATGGGGATCACATAATTGTGGACATCATGAAGATGCTGGTGTACAATGTTCAGGTTTGTATGTGCTTGCTTTATCTTTTTATACAAAGATGATAAACTGGATTATTTGGGGGATCCTCGATGATTAATTTAAATATTTATTATGATTTTATCATAAAGTAAATGGTTTGAACCCGGGAGTATCGTTACATGTTTGTAGTTGTAAATCCTCCAGGTTAGTATAGTCCTGAGAAGGACTGTTGTTGTTGTTGACTGACGTTTCGACAACCTTAGCGGTAGTCATTTGACTCTGAAGATGACTACCACTAAGGTTGTCGAAACGTCAACAACAAACAGTCCTTCTCAGGACTATCCTAACCTGGACGATCTACATCTACAAACATGTAATGATTTTATCATATTGAAACAGATATTGACAAATGCCTGAAGAATAAACGCAGCTTCGGTTTAGATTAAAATTTCTTAAAGGTTTAAAAGGAGCAATTCCAAATTCACACAACAAAGTAATTACTTTTAATTCAACCCTTTCTTCCACCGAAAATTTAAAATTGAGCATGTCTTTATGTCGTGTATTGGCGTGTTGTCTATCTTCAAAAATGCATTTTTACATTCGTTTTCTCAATGACCGTTTGAGTTTAGTTAATAACATGCCTAGAGAGCACAGGAAATGTATTTTCAATAAATGAAAAGACAATAATTTATAAATACGTTAAAGAGATTCCCACTGGGTGAAAGAACGGTCTATGTGAACAATGTATTTTTATTTCCTTATATGAATAAAGTAAGTAACGCCTGGTCCAAATAAACAATTTAGGGAATCATAAGAGTCAAATAGGTCTAATTATTCCTAGACTTTTTGATATTTGTACTTATGTAAGTTTTTCCTAAGTATAATTAAGTTCTGTCATCAATTATAAAACATCAATTTCGTCCCAGAATATTTTACAATATGATCAAACACAATTGGATCCTCTATTTGTATACATGTAACTCAGACAATTTTAGAATTGAGATTTCTATAGATCGCACTATCTATATATTTTCTTTTCTATCAGTTGTAAACTCTGTTAGACTTCGGGGACCAAAACGTTCTAGTGGCAGAGGTCGTGTGGAAGTATTTTACAATGGAGAATGGGGAACAATTTGTGATGATAGCTGGGATATAAAAGATGCTAAAGTTGTTTGTCGTCAACTTGGTTATAAGTATGCTGTCAGTGCTTTACAAGGAGGTAATGTTCCTGATGGCAGTGGAAGAATATGGTTGGATGACGTTCGTTGTGTAGGAAATGAAAATAATATTTCCAGTTGTTCACATAGAGGATGGGGAACACATAATTGTGGACATGATGAAGATGCTGGTGTACAATGTTCAGGTTTGTATGTACATAATTTAAATAAATTCAACAGATATGATAAACTGGATTATTTGGTGGAGGGTCGTCAAAGAAAAATCTAAACATTTAGACTTAGGATAACAAATAAACATAACTTGTTTCATGATGGCACATGAAAAGATTAGCTAATACCGGAGCTAGAGGCAGCCCATAGACTAAACTTTCCGTGGAAGGATGTGATAATCTTTATTATCAGTTTTGTAACGATAGTCTACATTCATCACAAATTTTTGAAGCTGTAGCTTATGAAGCACCGTTTACATTAAAAAATATTTTGCAGGTTTAAAGAAGCATCTCAAATTTACACTATAATGTAAATAATTTTTTTTGACGCTTTCTCAACAACAATTTATGACGTATTTTACAAAATATACAATTACGCATGCTATATATTATGTATTGGCGTGTTGTATATCTTCAACAATACATTTTAATTTCGTTTCCTCAATGACCACTTGAGTTTAATTCATTAAGTGCCTACAGGCACCGGAAACGTATTTTCAATTATTACAAAGATAGTGCTTTTACAATATAAGATAGAGATTCCTAGGCGGTGAGAACAGTCTATGTGAATATTTTATTTTATTATGTCCTTGTTTCAACCTCTTATGAGGCAGTGTTGCCATATGGCAACATTATCAAACGATTATTTGGAATACCAAGGGGAAAAATTTCCAGTTAAAGGATTATAAAATTATTTATGTTGATTGAAGAAATAAGGCTGGTTTAAATAAACGATTTTAGACTTAAGATAGTCAATGAGTGTCTAATTATTCCAAAACTTTTGATATTGGTAATTTTGTAGGTTTTATTAATATAATTAAGTTTTCTGTTACTAATTTAAACCACCAATTTCATCAAAGAATATTTTAAAAACGGATCTAACACAATGGAATACTTTATATGTATATGTAGCTCAGAATATTTCAGAATTGAAATTCTATAGTTCGTACTAATAATATATTTTTTTATCAGGTTTCAACTCTGTCAGACTTCGGGGACCAAAAAGTTCTAGTGGCAGAGGTCGTGTGGAAGTATTTTACAATGGAGAATGGGGAACAATTTGTGATGATAGCTGGGATTTAAAAGATGCTAAAGTTGTTTGTCGTCAACTTGGTTATGACTATGCTGTCAGTGCTTTACAAGGAGGTAATGTTCCTGATGGCAGAGGACGAATATGGTTGGATGATGTTCGTTGTGTGGGAAATGAAAATAATATTTCGAGTTGTTCACATAGAGGATGGGGATCACATAATTGTAGACATGATGAAGATGCTGGTGTACAATGTTCAGGTTTGTATGTACATCACTTATCTTAAAAATTGCAAGATTTTTATAAAAAGATGATGAACTGGATTATTTGGGAACGTCAATGATTAATTTAAACATTTAATATGATTTTATAATACCGAAACAGATATTGACAAATGCCTGAAGAATAAACACAGCTTCGGACGTAAAATAACTAAGTAAACATATTTTGTTCCACTTTGGTTTTATAACATGTATTAAAAGCGAGTGACATTTCGTTTTGAATCAAAACATCTTCAGACTAATAATGAAGTTTATAAAAAATACATTCATTGTTATTTACATTCCTTGACCAGACGACAGTTTCATTAAATATAAAATAAAGCACAATCCGAAAAAGGACTTCTTGTAAACTTAGATTCAAGTTATCAAAACACGACAATTGGAAGTGTAATATTTCGGTTTTATTTCAAATGATCATTTCACTGATGAGGGTTTAGAAATAAAACCGAAACATTATACTTTTAATTGTCTTGTTTTGATAACTTGAATCTAAGTCTACAAAATGATCTTTTTCGAATTGTGCTTTATTTTATATTTTTTATTTACATAGTTAAAGGTATCATATTACTGTGGATGTCCAATACGCAGTGGTGTATAGCAATGGTGAGATAGTAAGCCTAGCTAAAGGGATGGAGCTTCCATTGAAGTTAAATAATGACTTTAGTTTACAGATGAAGAGGCTTTGCGTATCATAAGGCGAATGTGTCAAGGTTGTGTCCATGTGTCAAGAAAGCACCATCCCTCTCGAGTTTCCTAGTCTTAACACCTCCGCCTAGCTACACACCACATCACACTTGCACATCCATTGCAATCTGACATCTTTAACTATTTAAATAACTACAAATATAATTTTTGTAAACTTCCTTATTAGTCTGAAGATGTCTTCCGTCAAGACGAAACGTACGTCGCTTTTAATAAATTTTATAAAACCGAATTGCTTATGGCTATTTTAAAAATTATCTGTTGGGCTCATGAAAGTCAAATAGTGTCTAATTGTCCAAAACGTTTTGTTATTATACTTATGTAAGTTTTTTTTTATCAATTTTTTGTTACTATTTTAAACTATTAATTTCGCCAAAGAAGATTTTACAATGGGATCTAACACAACGGGATACTTTATACGTATACATTAAACTCAGAATATTTCGGAATTGAGATTTCTAAGTTTTGCAATATCTATTCATTTCCTTTTTTTATCAGTTGTCAACTCTGTTAGACTTCGGGGACCAAAAAGTTCTAGTGGCAGAGGTCGTGTTGAAGTATTTTACAATGGAGAATGGGGAACAATTTGTGATGATAGCTGGGATTTAAAAGATGCTAAAGTTGTTTGTCGTCAACTTGGTTATGACTATGCTGTCAGTGCTTTACAAGGTGGTGATGTTCCTGATGGCAGAGGACAAATATGGTTGGATGACGTTCGTTGTGTAGGAAATGAAAATAATATTTCGAGTTGTTCACATAGAGGATGGGGATCCCATAATTGTGGACATAATGAAGATGCTGGTGTACAATGTTCAGGTTTGTATGTACATCACTTATCTTAAAAATTGGAAGATTTTTATAAAAAGATGATAAAATGGATTATTTCGAAATGTCAATGATTAATTTAAACATTTAATATGATTTTATAATACTGAAACAGATATTGACAAATGCCTGATGAATAAACACAGCTTCGGACGAAAAATAACTAAATAAACATAACTTGTTTCACGAGGACATACACATAACCTATTTTATGATTGCCCATGAAAAGATTAGCTAATACCGGAGCTAAAGGGCATCATACAGACCAAATTTACGGTGGGGTAGTGTAATAATCCTTATTATTAGTTTTATTGCCATTGTTTGCATTCATCACAACCTTTTGAAGCTGTAGCTTATAAAATTCCTTTTAGTTTACAAAAGTTTTTGCAGGTTTAAAACGAGCAACTCCAAATTTACACTACAACGCAAATAATTCAAATTGTATGCTTTCTCCGTCGAAAAACGCAAAATTTAGAACGTATTTTATAAATTTACAATTGGGCATGTCTTTTTATAAATTAAGCACAATGAAACGCGCGAGCTGATTGATCTAGAGCTATGTTTGCATTGGCCTGGGAAAGACACATCCGAGCTCAACCAATCAAATCTATTAGAACAGGGGTCTCCAAACTACGGCCCGCGGGCCAGATGCGGCCCGTTGGGCCTCTCAATCCGGCCCGCAAAGGCACTTCGCAAAGGAAAAAATAATATTATTAAACAAAATAAATTTTGTGCAGAAAGTTCACGTTATGTCGCAAGCCAACTAGCAAGAGTGGCTTACGTCAATTTTTCTCCCAGCTTCCTACTTCCGTTTCAAGCACATTGTGAAATTTAAAAAGCTGAAGGATAACGTGGAAATTTTTTATATTCTTCGGCCCTCAACATGCTGGATGAAAGTTCATGTGGCCCTCTGGCTGTAAAGTTTGGAGACCCCTGTATTAGAACAATCAATCAGTCGAAGAGAATTTGCAAATCGATCATGAATACATTTTAGGGGAAAAATTAAAATGTTTGTCTGTTTCGCATTATTGTTATTTTATAAAAAAAATAAAAGATGTTTTTCGTGTTTGCACTGGCTTATGCAAACCTCGGAGATGTTTGTGAAACTCTCGAGCATGTGCAACCCGCGACCTTCGGTCGCAAATGGCAATTTTAAAAACTATCTGCTGGGCTCTAATATTCAACATGGATATTCATATGTACATGTAACCCAGAATATTTTGGATTTGAGATTTCTATAGATTGCACTATCTATATATTTTCTTTTTTATCAGTTGTCAACTCTGTTAGACTTCACATAAAATAAACAGAAAAAATAACAATAGTATACAATTACATAACCTTATCAATTTTTTTGTTACTATTTTAAACCATTAATTTCGCCAAAGAAGATTTTGCAATAACAGGATACTTTATATGTATACATGTAACTCAGAATATTTCGGAATTCAGATTTCTATGTTTTGCAATATCTATTCATTTTCTTTTATCAGTTGTCAACTCTGTTAGACTTCGGGGACCAAAAATTTCTAGTGGCAGAGGTCGTGTTGAAGTATTTTACAATGGAGAATGGGGAACAATTTGTGATGATAGCTGGGATTTAAACGATGCTAAAGTTGTTTGTCGTCAACTTGGTTATGACTGTGCTGTCAGTGCTTTACAAGGAAGTAATGTTCCTGATGGCAGAGGACGAATATGGTTAGACGACGTTCGTTGTGTAGGAAATGAAAATAATATTTCGAGTTGTTCACATAGAGGATGGGGAACACATAATTGTAGACATCATGAAGATGCTGGTGTACAATGTTCAGGTTTGTATGTACATAATTTTATTAAAAATTAGAAGATAATTCAAAAAAGATGACAAACTCTATTATTTGGGGTTCGTTAATGTTAATTTTTCAAAATTACTTTATGTCATTTATACAGGAATTAATGCAAACTGCAACTTTGATAGTGGAAACATTTGCAACTTTCGAAATGGTGGGGGGAAATTCAACTGGACGATTAATACTGGACCAACATCGAGTTATGGCACAGGTCCCAGGAATGACACAAGTGGATCTGGTATAAAAAATGTTCCTTTATCTGTTACTTAAGATTAAAGATTTTCATCAAAACTTTATTGTGCATCTTGATAACAATCAGAAACTCCTAAATGTTATCAAATTCATTTAACTTCTTTATGTCTTACAAATTTATTCTCATTCAATTATTGATAATCAAATTCTTTCTGTTGCAGGTTACTATCTCTACATTGAAACATCAAATCCGCGTCAATATGGAGATAAAGCAACTGTTTTAACACCATACTTATATGGTGAACAATGTATGAAGTTCGCCTACCATATGTACGGCAGCAGTATTGGTTCTCTCAACATTTACGCTGGTAGTCAAATGATTTTTAAGAAATCAGGAAATCAAGGCAACATATGGGTGTTTGTGGAACAATTCATTCGTCTGAATGGAAGTTATATGGTATATTTTAATTTTTTATTAAAAGTTCTTTGGTCTGGATTTTTAATGCGCTTTTCCTTTTACTTTTCAGAACAATAAGCTTTTTAGAACAATACATCTTATAAGAATTAGTGGTGTTAAGTAGAGGTAGTACTAACTATAGGGTAGATTATAAACAATTTCAACTTAACATTACACGAAGATTATAGTGTCAAGTGTCTAATACAACAGAACACATAATTATATAACATTTTAGTTTTCTTTGATTAGTAAGTGTGAGTTTAACTCAAACAATAGTTCCTACTTTTTAAACTTATTTTATATTATTTTCTATACACAGGTGAAATTTGAAGGTGTTCGCGGTCTCAGTTTCCAAGGTGACATTGCAATTGATGCAATCAGTTTTACACCAGGCAGATGTTCTTTAAAAACATCAAAGCCAACATCACAATCTACACAAACACCGACAAGACCTTCGGTGCAAACAGGTAATGTAAACTTAAAGAAAAAAATCCAACGATTATTTGAAAACAGCGAATAAAACGTTATGTCTGTGCCATATTGAAAAAAAAAATAAAAACAATAATTTTTTAGCAAAAACATGTAAAAAAAGAATAAGCATTGTTTTATCTTACTATGAAAATCCTTATTACAAACTTAAATTAAAAAAAACAAATGTCACATGCAAAAAAAATAGTCAGTATTAATAAACATGGTAGAAAAAGAGAGAAATTCGTGGTAAAAACCTGAATTTCAATTAATAAAACACTTATCATTGTTGCCTTGTGTCTTTTTTCATTATTAGCAAACTGCAGTTTTGATAATGGAAATATTTGCAACTTTCGCAATGGTGCGGGGGAATTTAATTGGACAGTTTACAGAGGTTCTACACCTAGTTGGCATACAGGTCCCAGGAATGACACAAGTGGATCTGGTATAAAAAATGTCCCTTTACCTGTTACTTAAGATTAAAGATTTTCATCAAAACTTAATTGTGCATCTTGATAACAATCAAAACTCCTAAATGTTATCAAATTCATCTAACTTCTTTATGTCTTACAAATTTATTCTCATTCAATTATTGATAATCAAATTCTTTCTGTTGCAGGTTACTATCTCTACATTGAAACATCAAGTCCACGTCAATATGGAGATAAAGCAACTGTTTTAACACCATACTTATATGGTGAACAATGTATGAAGTTCGCCTACCATATGTACGGCAGCAGTATTGGTTCTCTCAACATTTACGCTGGTAGTCAAATGATTTTTAAGAAATCAGGAAATCAAGGCAACATATGGGTGTTTGTGGAACAATTCATTCGTCTGAATGGAAGTTATATGGTATATTTTAATTTTTTATTAAAAGTTCTTTGGTCTGGATTTTTAATGCGCTTTTCCTTTTACTTTTCAGAACAATAAGCTTTTTAGAAACTAGTTCAAGCACATATAAATAATGATAAAGTCAAGGCGTACAATACATCTTATAAAATTGTGCTGTTAAGTAGAGGTAGTACTAACTATAGGGTAGATTATAAACAATTTCAACTTAACATTACGAAGATTATAGTGTCAACTGTCTAATACAACAGAACACATAATTATATAACATTTGGTTTATTTGATCAGTTAGGGTGAGTTTAACTCAAACAATAGTTCCTACTTTTTAAACTTATTTTATATTATTTTCTATACACAGGTGAAATTTGAAGGTGTTCGCGGTCTCAGTTTCCAAGGTGACATTGCAATTGATGCAATCAGTTTTAAACCAGGCAGATGCTCTTTGAAAACATCTACGCCAACAACACATTCTACCCAATTTTTTACGAAACCCTTGGTACAAACAGGTAAAGAAAAATAAAAAAATGAGACAAATCCGTTGATTATTTGAAAACAGTAAATACGTTTCGATGAGTGTTGGCCACATTAAAAAGGAAAAGAAAAATGATAATTTATGAACAAACAGACGTAAAGTTAAAATTAAATAAAACTCAGCAAATCTTAAGTGCAAAAAAGCCAGCTATCTATGAACATGCTATACACGTGAAGAGACGATTTTTTATAAAAACCTCAATTTAAATAAAAACACACTTTTTATAATTGTCTTTATATTTAGCGAACTGCAACTTTGATAGTGGAAACATTTGCAACTTTAACAACGGCGCAGGGGAATTCAACTGGACGATTAACACTGGACCAACATCGAGTTATGGCACAGGTCCCAGCAATGACACAAGTGGATCTGGTATAAAAAATGTCTCTTTACTTGTTATTTAAGATTAAAGATTTTCATCAAAACTTAATTATGCATTTTGATAACTAACAAAAACTCCTAAATGTTAACAATTTCATTTCACTTCTTTAAGTCTTCCAAATTTATTCTTATTCAATTATTGATAATCAAATTCTTTCTGTTGTAGGTTACTATCTCTACATTGAAACATCAAGTCCGCGTCGAAATGGAGATAAAGCAACTGTTTTAACACCATACTTATATGGTGAACAATGTATGAAGTTTGCCTACCATATGTACGGCAGCAGTATTGGTTCTCTCAAAATTTACGCTGGTAGTCAAATGATTTTTAAGAAATCAGGAAATCAAGGCAACATATGGGTGTTTGTGGAAAAATTCATTCGTCTAAATGGAAGTTATATGGTATATCTTAATTTTATCTTGAAAGTTGTGTAGTCTAGCTGCATTTTAATGCGCTTTGCTTTTGTTTTAATAACAATAAGCTTTTAGAAACTAGTTCAAGCACATATAAATAATGATAAAGTCAAGGCGTACAATACATCTTATAAAAAGTGCTGCTGTTTACGTAGAGGTAGAACAAGTACTAACTTGAAGGCAAATTATAAACAATTTCAACTTAACGTTATGTCAAGACTGTCAACTAACTCATACACCAGAACACATAAGTATGTAGTGTTTGGTTTATTTGATCAGTTAGGGCGAGTTCGCACTCAAACAATAATTCCTACTCCTTAAACCTATTTTATATTGTTTTCTTTACATAGGTAAAATTTGAAGGTGTTCGCGGTCTCAGTTTCCAAGGTGACATTGCAATCGATGCAATCAGTTTTAAACCAGGCAGATGCTCTTCGAAAACATCTACGCCAACAACACATTCTACCCAATTTTTTACGAAACCTTTGGTACAAACAGGTAAAGAAAAATAAAAAAATGAGACAAATCCGCTGATTATTTGAAAACAGTAAATACGTTTCGATGAGTGTTCGCCATATTAAAAAGGAAAAGAAAAATGATAATTTATGAACAAACAGACGTAAAGTTAAAATTAAATAAAACTCAGCAAATGTTAAGTGCAAAAAAGCCAGCTATCTATGAACATGCTATACACGTGCAGAGACGATTTTTTATAAAAACCTCAATTTAAATAAAAACACACTTTTTATAATTGTCTTTATATTTAGCGAACTGCAACTTTGATAGTGGAAACATTTGCAACTTTAACAACGGCGCAGGGGAATTCAACTGGACGATTAACACTGGACCAACATCGAGTTATGGCACAGGTCCCAGCAATGACACAAGTGGATCTGGTATAAAAAATGTCTCTTTACTTGTTACTTAAGATTAAAGATTTTCATCAAAACTTAATTATGCATTTTGATAACTAACAAAAACTCCTAAATGTTAACAATTTCATTTCACTTCTTTAAGTCTTCCAAATTTATTCTTATTCAATTATTGATAATCAAATTCTTTCTGTTGTAGGTTACTATCTCTACATTGAAACATCAAGTCCGCGTCGAAATGGAGATAAAGCAACTGTTTTAACACCATACTTATATGGTGAACAATGTATGAAGTTTGCCTACCATATGTACGGCAGCAGTATTGGTTCTCTCAAAATTTACGCTGGTAGTCAAATGATTTTTAAGAAATCAGGAAATCAAGGCAACATATGGGTGTTTGTGGAAAAATTCATTCGTCTAAATGGAAGTTATATGGTATATCTTAATTTTATCTTGAAAGTTGTGTAGTCTAGCTGCATTTTAATGCGCTTTGCTTTTTGTTTTTAATAACAATAAGCTTTTTAGAAACTAGTTCAAGCACATATAAATAATGATAAAGTCAAGGCGTACAATACATCTTATAAAAAGTGCTGCTGTTTACGTAGAGGTAGAACAAGTACTAACTTGAAGGCAAATTATAAACAATTTCAACTTAACGTTATGTCAAGACTGTCAACTAACTCATACACCAGAACACATAAGTATGTAGTGTTTGGTTTATTTGATCAGTTAGGGCGAGGTCGCACTCAAACAATAATTCCTACTCCTTAAACCTATTTTATATTGTTTTCTTTACATAGGTAAAATTTGAAGGTGTTCGGGGTCTCAGTTTCCAAGGTGACATTGCAATCGATGCAATCAGTTTTAAACCAGGCAGATGCTCTTCGAAAACATCTACGCCAACAATACATTCTACCCAATTTTTTACGAAACCTTTGGTACAAACAGGTAAAGAAAAATAAAAAAATGAGACAAATCCGCTGATTATTTGAAAACAGTAAATACGTTTCGATGAGTGTTCGCCATATTAAAAGGAAAGAAAAATGATAATTTATGAACAAACAGACGTAAAGTTAAAATTAAATAAAACTCAGCAAATGTTAAGTGCAAAAAGCCAGCTATCTATGAACATGCTATACGTGCAGAGACGATTTTTTATAAAAACCTCAATTTAAATAAAAACACACTTTTTATAATTGTCTTTATATTTAGCGAACTGCAACTTTGATAGTGGAAACATTTGCAACTTTAACAACGGCGCAGGGGAATTCAAATGGACGATTAACACTGGACCAACATCGAGTTATGGCACAGGTCCCAGCAATGACACAAGTGGATCTGGTATAAAAAATGTCTCTTTACTTGTTACTTAAGATTAAAGATTTTCATCAAAACTTAATTATGCATTTTGATAACTATCAAAAACTCCTAAATGTTAACAATTTCATTTAACTTCTTTACGTCTTACAAATTTATTCTTATTCAATTATTGATAATCAAATTCTTTCTGTTGTAGGTTACTATCTCTACATTGAAACATCAAGTCCGCGTCGAAATGGAGATAAAGCAACTGTTTTAACACCATACTTATATGGTGAACAATGTATGAAGTTTGCCTACCATATGTACGGCAGCAGTATTGGTTCTCTCAAAATTTACGCTGGTAGTCAAATGATTTTTAAGAAATCAGGAAATCAAGGCAACATATGGGTGTTTGTGGAAAAATTCATTCGTCTAAATGGAAGTTATATGGTATATCTTAATTTTATCTTGAAAGTTGTGTAGTCTAGCTGCATTTTAATGCGCTTTGCTTTTTGTTTTTAATAACAATAAGCTTTTTAGAAACTAGTTCAAGCACATATAAATAATGATAAAGTCAAGGCGTACAATACATCTTATAAAAAGTGCTGCTGTTTACGTAGAGGTAGAACAAGTACTAACTTGAAGGCAAATTATAAACAATTTCAACTTAACGTTATGTCAAGACTGTCAACTAACTCATACACCAGAACACATAAGTATGTAGTGTTTGGTTTATTTGATCAGTTAGGGCGAGGTCGCACTCAAACAATAATTCCTACTCCTTAAACCTATTTTATATTGTTTTCTTTACATAGGTAAAATTTGAAGGTGTTCGGGGTCTCAGTTTCCAAGGTGACATTGCAATCGATGCAATCAGTTTTAAACCAGGCAGATGCTCTTCGAAAACATCTACGCCAACAACACATTCTACCCAATTTTTTACGAAACCTTTGGTACAAACAGGTAAAGAAAAATAAAAAAATGAGACAAATCCGCTGATTATTTGAAAACAGTAAATACGTTTCGATGAGTGTTCGCCATATTAAAAAGGAAAAGAAAAATGATAATTTATGAACAAACAGACGTAAAGTTAAAATTAAATAAAACTCAGCAAATGTTAAGTGCAAAAAAGCCAGCTATCTATGAACATGCTATACACGTGCAGAGACGATTTTTTATAAAAACCTCAATTTAAATAAAAACACACTTTTTATAATTGTCTTTATATTTAGCGAACTGCAACTTTGATAGTGGAAACATTTGCAACTTTAACAACGGCGCAGGGGAATTCAACTGGACGATTAACACTGGAACAACATCGAGTTATGGCACAGGTCCCAGCAATGACACAAGTGGATCTGGTATAAAAAATGTCTCTTTACTTGTTACTTAAGATTAAAGATTTTCATCAAAACTTAATTATGCATTTTGATAACTATCAAAAACTCCTAAATGTTAACAATTTCATTTAACTTCTTTACGTCTTACAAATTTATTCTTATTCAATTATTGATAATCAAATTCTTTCTGTTGTAGGTTACTATCTCTATATTGAAACATCAAGTCCGCGTCGAAATGGAGATAAAGCAACTGTTTTAACACCATACTTATATGGTGAACAATGTATGAAGTTCGCCTACCATATGTACGGCAGCAGTATTGGTTCTCTCAACATTTACGCTGGTAGTCAAATGATTTTTAAGAAATCAGGAAATCAAGGCAACATATGGGTGTTTGTGGAAAAATTCATTCGTGTAAATGGAAGTTATATGGTATATCTTAATTTTATCTTGAAAGTTGTGTAGTCTAGCTGCATTTTAATGCGCTTTGCTTTTTCTTTTTAATAACAATAAGCTTTTTAGAAACTAGTTCAAGCACATATAAATAATGATAAAGTCAAGGCGTACAATACATCTTATAAAAAGTGCTGCTGTTTACGTAGAGGTAGAACAAGTACTAACTTGAAGTCAAATTATAAACAATTTCAACTTAACGTTATGTCAAGACTATCAACTAACTCATACACCAGAACACATAAGTATGTAGTTTTTGGTTTATTTGATGAGTTAGGGCGAGTTTGCACTCAAACAATAATTCCTACTCCTTAAACCTATTTTATATTGTTTTCTTTACATAGGTAAAATTTGAAGGTGTTCGTGGTCTCAGTTTCCAAGGTGACATTGCAATCGATGCAATCAGTTTTAAACCAGGCAGATGCTCTTTGAAAACACCAAAGCCAACAACACAATCTACATAAAAACCTACGAAACTTTCGGTACAAACATGTTATGCAAAAATTACAAAAAAAAGACAAATCCACTGATCACTTAAAAATAGTAAATAATAATAATTTCTGTGAAAGTTTTCTCATACTTTAATATTTCTTAAAATGCATCGTTCTTGTAACTTAACAAAAAATAAACATATTTTGTGAAATAAATATTTTTGCTCAAAATAATTTTAAACTCTCTCATTTTTTTAAGCTGGAACAATTCAGCTTACGTAGCAATTTTTTGCACCTAATAATGATGGTAGAGTCAGAAATGTAAGAAATGGATGAACCCAAAAAATCTGGTGAAAACATTAAACTAGCTCAAATTAAGAAACCAAGGGAAATTGGCACTCAAGCCAATTAATCTAATAGAAATAAAGTATGAAAATAACCTAAGTAGAGGCACTTCTATACTAGTACAGTGTTCATTGTGGCACTATGTAGATAACTTGATTTAGCTGCATAGAACGTGATATTAACTACTGCACTTCTATAGTACAGCATATTACCTAACAGTGATACTATGTAGGTAACTTGAAGTACCACAGTAGTACAGCATATTTGTTAACTGTGATACTACGTAGGTGACTAGAGGTACCTCTATAGTACAGTATATTACCTAACTGTGATACTATGTAGGTAGCTTGAAGTACCACTGTTGTACAGCATATTTGTTAACTGTGATACTACGTAGGTGACTAGAGGTACCTCTATAGTACAGTATATTACCTATCTGTGATACAATGTAGGTGACTTGAAGTACTCCTATAGTACAGCATATTAGTTAACTTTGATACTATTTAGGTGACTTGAGGTACTTCTATAGTGCAGCATATTAGCCAACTGTGATACTGTGTAGGTAGCTGGAGGTACCTCTACAGTACAGCATATTAGCTAACTGTGATAATGTGTGGATAAGTTGAGGTACCTCCTTCGCAAAGTATATTTGCTAACTATGATTATTTCAAGTGTAATAAGTTCAAATTGGTTTGCAATCATAGTCAAGTTTTGCACAACTGTGATTGACAATTCAAAAACAAACTGTACGTAAGTAACAACTCTTGTCAACAACTCAAATGTAAATGCATTGAAATTTAATGCCGTAAATGGGTACATTACGTATATTTTTCACTGATTTTGAAGCTTCTTTTTTCCAGCATTTTCCATAAAATACGTATGAATCGAAGATACTATCCATATATCCTACTCTACACATACTCACAGATGTACTTTACATATTCAACTCAAAAATTCAATTGCAAGCATGCAGATGAAGCCAAACTCAACATGCACTGATCATAGCGCAGTTTTAGCATTATTATGTTAAATTGCCTGTGTCCCAATCATGAAACACCAAGTGATCACGTTCGTTCAAAAATTTAAGTCATGAATACAAAAAAAACACTTGCCATGTCTTAGCCATGATTTTTGTGATGTTTTCCGCATTGAATATAGAATTAATTGTTATAACTTACGTACTTGCAGAGAAATAATTTATAAACATATTCTACTCACGTAGTTGTGTCCATTGAACCAATTTCTTTTTCGTTGTTATCATCCTCACTGTTTTCACCAGCGTCATTATTTGAAAAGAAATCTTTGTGGTCGTTTAATTTCTCCTTCACCTCCAGTAACAGTTCATTAATATGCTCTAGCAATGGTTCATCATCACATTCAGATTGACTGAAAAGCTTGAAATGAAGGTGAATTAATGCATTGGCGGATTTGGTGTTGGACAAAACACGTGAAAACGGCATGGTGAATTAATGCATTGGCGGATTCGGTGTTGGACAAAACACGTGAAAACGGCATGTTCATTTTCAAATATAACTGTATTTCAAAAAAAGTTTTTCAATCGGTAAGATTTTTATTCCTAGGAAAATTAAAACCAGTAGCAATGTTGCGCTGGGATGAATCCAGGAAGATTTTGCAAATCGGTCACTCCAATTTAGATTAAAATTTGGTGACCACTTTGTGGGTGTCGCCATGTAATGTCAAACTTTTTTGATCAGTTACATTTATAGCATGGAGATAATACTGTAAAAGTGCTCCATTAAACACAAATCTCCACAGCTTTTCCTTAATTGTTTGGTAGCTATATCACTTTCGTAGGGAGATTGCCACCCTTCTTGGACCCGAGTAAATCCATTCCTGATGCTAAGAGAGTTGAAATATAAAAACGCTATAAAAGACAGCGTCTGTTATTTGCATTTAGATTTGAACAAGGAATTCAAGGACATAAAAGCCTTTTGCCATCACAAGATATAATGGAATTCAACACTCGTCATTTCATGCAGTGCACTGTTCTACTCATGTACTAGGAGTGAACTTTTACTACACTTACAATGTACAATTTAAGGAAACCATGATCACTTTGTGATAAATTATTGTAAAAAAGACTATTAAATCTTTTTTCACAACTTACACTAACTACATATATGACTATCGAAATATCATTACATGGAAAAATATAACTACCTTCTGTGCCATTTCTAAGTAGTAAACAACAGAATTGTAATCCTGCTCCTTGAGATATTCATTCCAGCCAAGTAAATACCAAACCTAAAGATTTCAAAGTCCAGCCTTCATTTAATAGTTTTAAGGTAAAAACTGACAGGAAAAATAATAATTGAAAAAAATTTTATACACGAATAAATCGCCAAAACATTAAAGCATTCAGGACGGTTTTGTCAGCTCACTATCGTAAATCACCCACTGAAGTCTTTAAACTTTGTAAAATAATCAAATAGCAAAAACTTTCTATTTTATTTGTTTTCCTCATAGAAAACAAAGACTATAAAAGATCATAAAGATTATTGGAGTATAAGGACTATGAAAATAAGAATATGTTCATACAAAGTTTCTATTCGTAATTTCCGGTTTTTCTTTGAATACCCCAAATGATACATTAAATGCCCTGTCAAATAAACACCTCGTATCTAATAAACGCCTCCTGCCTGAGTTTTTCACACTAATAAACACTTCGTCTCTTATGAACGGTAAATTTTCTCATTTTTAAGGCTATCAAATTGTATGAAATAGTGAGCAAATATTGAGTTTTCAACAAAAAAGAATGGATAAACAGAAGTTTTAATGAGTTCATATAGAATTAAGAAACACGATGGCGTTATAGCCTTGAGAGTTATCGTAGAAACTAAAATAAAATGAAGAAAGTGTCATGGAAAATCCATAACCTGAACAACTTCATCATCTTCAGAAAGAAGTTCCCCAAGCACATCAGCAGCAGTCTAATAATAACAAATTGTTGGTATCTTCTTAATTCAGATGATTTTTATGCAACGTAAAACAAAATAAACAACAGATTGGCTACGTGCAAGTTGAGTTGAATTTGGGTTCGACTAACAAAGCAAATGAAAGAACAGTGTAAGATCGTTTTGTCCGTCTTTCATGCACAAATAATTCCTGAATGTATCCAGGCATTAATTCATTTAAATATACCTACATCAAATTCATTTATTTCAATCAGCATCTTTGAGAGCGATATTCTCGAATCGTACGACGGAATCCGTGATGACTAAATCATTAATTCAAAAGTCAGTTCCAGCATTAAATACATAGCTAATGGCATTACACAGTCTTTCGTCACTATGGCCCCGTCCACACGTATCCGGAGTTTTTTGAAAACGGAGGTTTTTTCCTCCGTTTTGCACTTGCATCCACACGTAAACGGCGTTTTCGCCTACCAAAACGATGCTTTTAAATACGGCTTCCAGAGTGGATTTTTTGAAAACGCCGGTTTCACAACTACGTGTGGACGGTTAAAACGGAGGTTGTCTAATCAACCTCCGTTTTAAAACTCCGGATACGTGTGGACGGGGCCTATGACTACTTCAAAAATATGCAACACAAATTCAACCTTCAAAACTGGATCGTCAATACCACGCCACAGATTCATCCCTTTAACAAAGCCTCTCTGGCTTCCTATTAAACCCGAGAGCCAATAAAAGTTAATAATGCTAAAGTTGACTAAACTTCAATGCAAAACGTTAAATAACTTTGAGGTTTTAAAACGTTATAAAGCAGTGAAAGTGGCCGCAAACGTCAATACTAGCGTGTTTAGCATTCATATCTTCTACATGTAAATGGTCAAAACCAGCGGTCAAATGCGTGTAAAACATTTACAATACCAGACCTCGTTTTTCTGCTCGCTAAGTAAACAATTAGCCATAACTTGATAGGCATCGGGATTATTTTGATCATGTTGTATTGCTTCATTGCAGTATGATTTACAGGACGCTTCTGCATCCTCAGCCAAACTAGAAAATAAATAATTCAACAGAATATACACACGAAATACGATGTTTGTCAGTAAGTACAAAAAACAAAACAAAAACAAAACAAAAAAATGTTTTTGGACATACCAAAAATCAGTGAGATATATCTCAGCTAACGAACAGAATGCGTTTGAAATATCTCGATCTGTTATTTTTTCAATGTCGCTATTTTCACAAGGATTGTCAGTATCTTCCTAAAGAAATCGCAATGTGAATCAGATATGATGCGCAAATTTAGTTGGTAACGAAAACGAAATCATGAACGAAATATCGGACTTTTCCTAAATCTAAAATGCAACAAATCGTTTCTCTCTTTTTTATAGTACTTTCTTATGCGCTTGCTCGAAAACAAATATTTCGTCCATAAGTTTATTTTTCTGGTTGAAAACCAACATCACTTTTTCTAGGTGTCTTTTCTAAAACTTTCTCTCAGTCCAAACTCAAACGCACAGAAACATTATTTCTCTGAAATTGTTGCACTGCAACTGTCGTCTTTCTCTTTATACTTTTTTATCAGAAAAAGTCTTATCCAAAAACAGAAAATTCGTCTTCTTAAAGTTGTATTAAGAAACATTGTTAACCACTCAATTTCTTGAACATCCAGTCACTCAAACTTCTACTTCTTCATTCGTAGTTTCGTACTTCTGCTATAAGGCTTGTTGCTTGCTTTCGCACGAATCAAATCATTTCAGTTTGAATCAATAGTCGTGTATATGTACGTCATGCATAGCATCCATTTTTGTCCAATCAGAAACCGTCATATAAAGCTGAGATCTTCTACCTCACAGCAACATTGGGTATGTCGGCTCTTATGACAGGCGAGGAAACATAGGTGCTATTTTATACCAATGCTGAAAGTTTGATTAACTTGCACTCTACTACAGAACAACGTTAAACAGAATATCACAATCTTTAACTACGTACGTAATCTTATTTATTACAAACTACAATCAGGAGCCTCTAATGCAGTTACACGTGCATACTAAACTCTCTGAAAATTCATAACCCACTGGCTACACACAGAAAATCTTGTCCATATATCTTCCTATCAATATGTCACAGCACGAAAATGAGCTTTTTCATGAAGTAAGAATAAAAATTACATGCATTTCAAAACAATTTACTCTTTGTTTTGATAATTGATCATGTATGCGTTTATGATCATAACATACGTCATCATTACTTCCATAAATATGTACCTTTTCAAAACATTTCTTTTCATTTATCATTAATTCAACACCTTTCTTTAAGTATTCAACAGCATGCTGTCCTTCAAGAAGTTCACCAAGCGTCATGTATTTGCTGAAACCTTTGTCAGGTTCAATTTCTACAGCACGCTTCAAGTACTTAATTTGATGAAGGAACAAAACTTGCCAAAAACATCCGCTACATAGCTGGCAAAAAATTAAATATAAAAATTCACATGCACAAGGACAGATTTTTCATATTTTTCGTCGGGGTGCCCGAAATTCGTGGTGGCTGGGAAGGTGATAATTATTTTATCTCAAGTTTGTGCCTTCGCAGTTTGTAGCTTTACCTCAAGTCAAATTTTACTGCTTTATACATTTCCCTTCACCTGAAAATTTAATGATCATAAAAACAGAACAACATTTTGCCTGATGTATCGACTTCTGTTGCTAATGCGTAAGCAATAGAAAGTAACACAACCAGAGGAAGATCCAATGTATGTAAAATACTCCTCAAACCTAAGTATTCCTAAAATCTCCAAAACAACAATGTTGATTATAAACTTCGAAAGAACAAAATTTAATCAAGTGGCCTTTCTGGTATTTGAAAATGTAAATATATCGAAAAAGCAGCTGTGAGTAACTTATTTGATGTACTCTAGATCTGCCACTGAATATAACTGGTAAACAAGCGTGGTGTATAATGAACGAAACTAGCTCTTTTTGTAAAGAGCAGGCACACAAAGCTATGACCTTTTTTTTCACAGTTTACTTCTGTGAGCAGTGCACACCCTCGTCAAGGGAGATTTGAAAGTTTCGAGGGGAGTTGACAAGTTCAAAACATTCTAGAGAGAGAGGTAGTGCACCCCAATTCCCTCTGAAGAAAATCTGTCCTTGCACGAACATAAATAGACATACTATGTATATTAAACTCATGTGCCCATATTTTATTTTTTACTGCACAAAAGATTAAATGAAAGGATACGCAAATGGCTTCGTCTGTTTTACCAATTTCCAAACAAGCTGCAGCAACCATGTTTAATGCACGAACATTGTTCGGAGATGTTTCGAGAATTCGTACGCAAAATTTTTCCGCCATCTCAAAATTAAAGTTTTCTATGTATTCCTCCACCTATGGAAAAAAGTAAAATATGCGATAAAGTAAAATTTGCGAGCAAAGTTCAGTGAAAAAGGTTACTTGAACATTGCACAAATTTTTGTAAAGGGAGAGTAGTAGGCGACTGACTGGAACTTTGCAGTTCATCAATCAGGTAAAACTAACTTTTTTATGCATATTGAGCTGGAATCCAAGGACAGTGCAAAGTTTTCAAATCCATGCATTTTGATCTCTTTCCACTACTGTTAACTAGCTTGCTTGGTCAAAATTTATAGGAAAATCATCTGAACTAGCACTACAGCGCAGTAACGCAGTCCACTTAACAAACTGTTCAAGTTCATACTTCATACTCCATGGTCGTAGCAGGAGACACTGAACTATGGTCACCTTTTTTAATCATATAGCTACGTAGAATTTATCTTAATTATTGTAAAATGCAATAAAAGCGCCAAAATATTTTCCTGGTGGTGTAAACAATGAATAAACGTGCGCGTTAAATCGTCAATTCCAACAACTACCTCACTAAAACATTTTAGAAGTTATTTCTACTTTTCTTGTTACTTTTCTACTCGCAGTGAATTTAAATTCATCATGGACACTAAGTTGAATTGGAATTGTCTTAAATTTTATGTTTTAAGTTTATAAAAAACTACTGTCTTCTTGCTTTAGGCTAAATAAAACAAGTTCATATCATTCTGTTCATCCAACTAACTGTTGACGACAATGCGTACCTTTTGAATAAGATCATCAATAGTGAATTTTTGTTCACTATGCTGATTTGATTCTTCTTCATTGTCTCTTGAAGCATCAACTTAAAAACATAAATTTTTCCTTTAAAGAACACCACCTCAGACAAAAACTTATAAAAAAATCAACAAAATCCAGAATGCAAATTTAAATACATTTCCTCCTGCTTCACTATTAAAGACACTGCTAAGTCTCCACTCATCTTCAAACTAAAACAACAATACTATAATACGCAAACACAAACTTGACCTGTACAAACAAGTTCAACATTCTAACACTATTTTCAAACTTCCTAATTTTATCATCACTATACACATTCTGTCACTAATCTCAAAAAAATATAAATAATTAATCTAGGTATTCATTCAGTATCACCTCACTTGTACAGTAACATATCTCTATATTATATATATCACATTGTATTTAACATATGCATCACACTGAAGATGACTAACAGTTAAGTCAAAACTCAAAACACGTTTTTCATCAAAAATATAAAACTGATAAACACTTTCATTTATGTAAAATGTTTATATTGTTATAAGCTTTTATTTCTAAAGATTATTTGAAGATAAACTAAAATAATAGTTCTTTACTATGAAGTGATCCATTGAAATCTTTCTTCAAGTAAACATGTACTTTTTTATCCAACCCATTTTTATCTAAGCATGGTTTTGACTTGCAACATAAACATAAAAAATACAAGACAGGAAAAATTAAAAAGATGATTTCCAAGCTTCTGACACAATCATCAAAATAAGAATAAGCACAAGCATGGCCACTTGACATAAGAACTTGAAAGATTATCCACATATCTTTCACATGTTCATATTTAAATATTGTTTTGCTCATATTTTGACAATTATATAAAAGTTTTTCCAGCTTTTCTTTAAAGAATAACCAGAAAACTAAATGTTTTCATCAGGTTAAGAATTAACACCAGTATAGGAATAATTTTTGCAGTGCACATTTTTACATTTGAAAATACCATAAAAGCAACTTTAAAAGGTTAAATAGTTGGAATGTTATTAAACAAAAAAAATGAAAGCATAATGCTTTATCCAACTACAAACAATAACGACCTTATCTAACAACATTTGAGCCTTTCATCTTTTAACTCTGCTATACCGGTCACATTCCCGAGACTTGTACCATATAAGGCTCTCTGCTTTTGAGTAGACTGGTCTCGTTTACAAGGAAGAGGAGTGGAAGATTAATTTCACAAATGTTGTTAGATAAGGTCGTTATTGTTTGTAGTTGTTGGATAAAGCATTATGCTATCATTTGTTTTGCTTAAAAGGAACTTTATTGGTAAAATTCTATCCTTTAGCAATTGAAAACAAATAGTTTTGTTTAGAAAGTACATTTTAATTTAATAAAATATACTTAATTTTGACTAATGCTGGATTCGCCATTGATTAAGACTATTATAAACTGGTAAGAGAAGATTCTCCAAGTTGCAGAGGTGGCATAGTAGGAAGGTAATGTGTGAGAGTGAGACTGAGTGAAAGCATGAAAAAGGTTCTCTTTGGAGACTTTGCCAGTGGATAATATTCACCAGTCCTTAAACATCAATACCATTGATGCATTTGAAAAATTTAATTTTAAACAGTGGGTAATGCCTTCTTTGAATCTTGACTCACTGTCAGGTATTTAGGAGTAAAATAATTATCAAACAGAACACCGAACACAAGGATAGGATGAAGACTTAGAGATAGTTATAGTAAGATATATATACCTTTCATTCTTGTTTTCTTTCTTTTACCCATAATTCTAAATAAATTCTACCTTTTTGTGTTCAAAGTTCTAATCCTCCAGTTGCAATTTTATTTCAATTTTATTTAAAAAGAACTATAGTATAAGAATAAACTTTAAAAAAAAACGAATATCACATGCAAAAAACTCAGCTCAGTTATTGATAAATTTGTTAAAAAAAGAGAAGAATAAAAACCTACATTTCAATAAAAAACATTTTTGACTAATGACTTTTGTCTTTTTACATCATTAGCAAACTGCAGTTTTGATAATGGAACTATCTGCAACTTTCGTTATAGAGCGGGGGAATTTAATTGGAAAGTTTACAGAGGTTCTACACCTTGTTGGAATAAGGTCCCAGCAATGACACAAGTGGATCCGGTATAAAAAATTTGATTTATCACTTAGTCATTTTCAATCACAACTTAATTGCGCATCTTGATAACTACCAACTGAAACTCATATAAATGCTTACAAATTCATTTAATTTATTCATGTCCTACAAATTTAATTTAATTCTGTACGATTGATATTCGTGATGTTTCTGTTTTAGTTACTATCTCTACATTGAAACATCAAGTCCAGGTCAATACGGAGATAAAGCAACTGTTTTAACACCATACGTAAATGGTGAACAATGTATGAAGTTCGCCTACCATATGTATGGTAGAAGTATTGGTTCTCTCAACATTTACGCTGGTAGTCAAATGATTTTCAAGAAATCAGGAAATCAAGGCAACACATGGAGGTTTGTGGGACAATATTCGTCTGAATGGAAGTTATAAGGTATATCTTAATTTGCTTTTAAAAGTTCTTTGGTCTGGATTTTTAATGGGCTATTACTTTTACTTTTAAGAATATTACACTTTTTAGAAAGTAGTTTGAGCACATATTCATAATAATGATAAAAACAAGGCGTACAATACATGTTATAAAAAGTGCTGCTGTTCTTCTAGAGGTAGATACAGAACTAACAAGAGGGCAGATTATGAACAATTTCAACCTAACATTACAAGAAGTGTATACTATGAACTAACTAATACAACAGAAATTATAAATATATGGTATTTGGGTTATCTTGATCAGCAAGTTTAAGCTTAACACAAAAAATAATTCCCACTTCTCAAACCTATTTAACATTATTTTCTCTACACATGTAAAATTTTAAGGTGTTCGTGGTCTGAGTTACCAAGGTGAAATTGCAATTGATGCAATCAGTATTAAATCAGGTATATGTTCTTTGAAAACACCAAAGCCAACATTACAATTGACCCAAACACCGACAAAACCTTCTCTGGTACAAACAGGTAATGCAAAAGTTAAGAAAAAAGAAATCCAATGATTATTTGAAAACAGTGAATAAATTTGGATATCTGTTTGCCAAAGTGTAATGGATTGCTTTGTCTTATTTTACTCGGATATAAGAACCATAATATAAATTTAAAATTTCAAAAAACCGAATATCACATGCAAAAAACTCAGCTCAGTTATTGATAAATTTGTTAGAAAAAGAGAAGAATGAAAACATACATTTCAATAAAAAACATTTTTGACTAATGACTTTGTCTTTTTACATCATTAGCAAACTGCAGTTTTGATAATGGAAATATCTGCAACTTTCGTTATGGAGCGAGAAATTTAATTGGACAGTTTACAGAGGTTCTACACCTAGTTGGAATACAGGTCCCAGCAATGACACAAGTGGAACTGGTATAAAAAAGTTATTTTATCACTTAGTCATTTTCAATCACAACTTAATTGCGCATCTCGATAACTACCAACTGAAACTCATAAATGTTTACAAATTCATTTAATTTATTCATGTCCTACAAATTTAATTTAATTCTATACGATTAATATTCGTAATCTTTCTGTTTTAGGTTACTATCTCTACATTGAAACATCAAGTCCACGTCAATACGGAGATAAAGCAACTATTTTAACACCATACTTAAGTGGTGAACAATGTGTGAAGTTCGCCTATCATATGTACGGTAGAAATATTGGTTCTGTTAACATTTATGCTGGTAGTCAAATGATTTTTAACCAATCAGGAAATCAAGAAGATATTTAGGTGTTTGTGGAACAATTCATTCATTTAAATGGAAGTTATATGGTAAGGACATTGATTTTGTACGTGCAACAACTATATTTTTAAAATCAATGTTGGGTATTGTGTGTTGGAGTATCGTGCGTTTGGAATTTTGCGTTCTAGTATAATAAGATATGTTGCAAGATACAAGGTGGTATGATACAAGCTATGTTGCAAGCAGAGTGTTCAAGAAAGAGATAAACCTAAATAATAGCATGCATGTCAATGTGAATGGTTTGAACCCGGGAGTATCGTTACATGCTTGTAAATATAGATCGTCCAGGTTGGTATAGTCCTGAGAAGGATCCGGATCTACATTTACAAACATACAGCATGTCTTGCATGTGCGGAGAAAATGCTGTTGCGTGCGTTGTAAGTATCATCAACTTTGTATCTATGTTTAAACCAAAAGTTAATACATAATTTGCATTTTGCAGCTCATGAAGATTACAACTAAAAATTGTGTTTCTTTTGCCAGTGTGAATGATTTATTAATTGCATGACACGCAGACTGGTCTCTTACTAAGTGTTTTCTTGATAATCTGGCAATAAGAGTTTCCATTATTAAAACGAGAGGTCACAGCTCTTTAAGCCTATTATTCAATTCTCTTCTTCACGTATAGGTAAAATTTGAAGGAGTTCGTGGTCTTAGTTACCAAGGCGACATTGCTATTGACGCAATTAGTTTTAAACCGGGCAGATGCTCTTCAAAAACACCTAAGCCAACGACAGCAACAACAAAAAAACCGGCAACCTCATTGGCAGAGACAGGTATGATAAAAGAAAAAATTACATAAAAATGAACTTAATTTATGCATGTAATAATTTAAAATATGAGTAGTCTTATAAAGGCCTGTATAAATAGTGTAATTTTAATTGTTTTACAGTTCAATGCAATTTTGACAATGGTACGATGTGCTTATTTATAAACGCAAAGAATGATGAATTTGATTGGACATTGCAAAATGGAAAAACAGCAAGTGACAATACTGGACCTTTAGCAGATGTGTCTGGATACGGTGCGTTGACTAATAATTTACAATCGAGTTTGACTTAAAATATAAGATTTATTGAAACTGAAAAATTCTTCCGTAGATCTAACTTCGCTGTTTTAAAAAGTGCGTTAATATTACAAGGCAAGCATCGATTTCGCTGAAGTAGCGAGCTTTGATGGGCTCAAAAACAATTTTGATGTTCTTATTTTTACAAAATAAACTAAAAATTTCCTAAATGAAACAACAAAAGTTTTGTAGAACACCAAGAGGGAAATAAAAATGCATGTGGGAATGCGAGTAGGAGGTAGAACACTTGGAAAGTGAGCGGTTTTCTTATGAGTTCTACGTTTCTATTATACGTAAGCATTTCAAATATTGCACCTTTATCTAATATTTCTTCGCGTTGTAACTATTACAAGGTAAAATTTACAAGGCATTTACGAGCTAAATCATACGAGATTGTCATGCACAATGAGCGACGTAATGACGTGTATTAAATACGAAAATTTTCATAAAAAATAAAATTCACAGTTTGTATCAACTTCATTCAGGTTTTATCCTCGGTCGATAATAACAAACGTCGGCTTGAGCATATCCTTAAACTTCATAAAACATACAATCTCTTTTAAAAATTGTCCATTAAACATGCTATAAATATTACAGGTTACTACATCTATAGTGAAGCATCAAACCCTAGAAAAAAGGGCGATAAAGCAAATCTTGTTAGTCCAAAGCTCAAGAGTGGTCAGTGGTGTTTAACATTCTCCTACCATATGTTTGGTAGTGATATTGGAAAACTAAATGTTCATAATGACAACATGGGTGATTGGCAAACGATTTTTACGAAATCTGGTAATCAAGGAAACCAATGGAAAAGAGCAGAAATTGACGTAAATCTTCTAAACAGCTCTTCTGTAAGTAAATTATAACATTGAAACTTGATATGGAACCAAATCAAATAACTCATTTCTGTCCTCCTCAATTCCCTATTTGAGCAACTCAACAAACGGATCCTTTTTAATCTTCAGCAGGCGATGCATAAATTTTAATTATTTGTATACATACGCAAATTTCCCTATTTGTTTTGCTAGTGGCACAAAATTTGATTATAGTGATGGCCCTAACTAATGTCAAATTTGATTGCAGTGAAAATCTTTCGATCTTGGAAACACATCAAAATGTACCTATTAATGAAGTGTAAAATACCTTCCCATAAAAAAAGTTTTAAATAAATTTTCCAAGAAAATATTGCGATAAGTTCCAGGAAAAATGCTATTTACATACGCATCTACAACATTTTATGTTTGCTTACAACTAGAAACACGAAAATAATTATAAAGTAACAAATTAAATGTGCTTGTAATTTTCCCATAGTTTGAAAACTTTTTTACTTAAGATAATATTTAGCACCACGCGAGGAAATGGTTGGCAAGGAGACATTGCTTTGGATGAGATCTCTTTAATTTATATCAAATGCCCAACTACGCCAACACTTCCACCAGGATCATGTGGACAAAAAGGACCAGGTCTAAGTGACATAGCCAAGATCGTCGGAGGCCAAAACGCCCGTCCGGGTGAATGGCCATGGCAGGTCGCTCTTGTGAAAAAAAACTTCTTGACCTGCTGTGGCGCTTTGGTATCCAATCAGTACATTATCACAGCAGCTCACTGTGTCAAGGCTTCTGATTGGAGTCGAGTAAAGGTGATTTTGTTTCAACGGTGCATAAATATTTATGAACTTTCATTGTAATGTGACACGGGACAACTGCTTTTCTCAGCTCTTAATAACTCAATAATTGGAAGTATGTCGATTTTATACTATATTTGAAAGCATTCAGTCCTCTTTACCAATGAATTATGACAGTTTTTATGTCTATAGGTAAGACTAGGGGAGCACAACACATACTTTCGAGAAAGACATGAACACGACATGGACATAATGACAAATGGAATCACAATTCATCCTCAGTACAGCAAAACAACATTGGATTATGATATTGCAATTATTAAACTGAAGAAATCAGTTAGTTTCACAACAAAAATAAAACCCGTCTGCCTAAATACAGGAATCGATTTTACAGGTAAGAAAAGAAAATAATACTTTAAAGTTGTTGCTTTAACAAGTTACAAAAATGCTCAATTGACTGTTAATGGTCTCGTCTCATAACTCTCTGTTTTATACTAAGTGAGAAATAGAACAAATATTATCGCCTCACTGAACATTTAACCATTAAAAAGATTTTCTGAAACCCACGTTAGTACAGATATGAATGCAAGTAATTCAAAGTTTAATTCAAGTCTCTTTGCCCAAGAAAACGTACCTATACTATAGAAATCACACAAGTTAATACACTTACTATGTACTGGTGTTATGCAAACAGGACAAAGATGTTACATTACTGGTTGGGGAAAACTTCGAAGTGGAGGATCGACACCAAAGATCTTGCAAGAAGCTCAAGTTCCCATTGTGACAATAGAAGAATGCAAAAGAATTTACAAAAGCAAGATAACAGATAGAATGTTATGTGCAGGACTTGCCAATGGAGGTGTTGACACATGTGCGGGAGACAGTGGAGGTATGAAAGTACATAACAACATAAATCTATTTGCATTGTGGAATTGACAAAAACCATTGCATTATCGGCAACGTTTCAAACTTAATTTGAAAATGACATGGAATACTAGTAAAACACAATATATCGTTGTCTTTAAAGGTCCACTGGTCTGTGAGCACCGTGATGGTTCATGGTATCTAACTGGTATCACTAGCTGGGGACGAGGTTGCGCTAAATATTACGGAGTCTACACTCATGTTGCTAATCTTTATTCCTGGATTACACAAATTACTGGACTTTAGACTCCTTTAATTTGAATAACTTTAAATGGTAAAAGATCTACACTTTAAGCAAAGACGAATATCAAACTGCAATTAAAAAACGTTGAACAAAATTAATGTGATTTATTTCTATTACAATTGTGCTTTTTGGTTAATAATAATAATATTTATGAAGTATATGAATTATTTGCAGAATTTTCTGTATTTTCTGTAATATATATTAATATATCTGGAACACGTGGTCATCACTAATTTAAGTTTTTTGCCATTTGTTTTATCATTTTGTACAATTTTCTATCAAAAAATATGAATAATTTAATATGAAGGTTTGTGATATGGTCATTCAAACAATGATGAACATATTGTGCGTTAAGATTTATCAAACGTTCAAACCAATCAAAAACCTGATCATACTGGTAAATACCAACACTTGCGTTTATGAAAAACCATTTCGTTAGAATCATTACTTGTATGCACTAGGGTAACTGTTATATTTTTTCAAAAATTGAAGCTATACATAATACAGTACTTTATGGTTCATCGCTCGCGTCATTTTTTCATCACTTTTCTGATTTATACAGCGTTGCTATATTTTTGAAAAAAACGGTATGTAATTCCCAGTATCTATTTAAGGTCTTTCAGTTCTTTGTGAACTGATTAGCTTGGTGATGTGCTTTTGATAACTCAATAGTATAAGCACTACAAAATACATTACTGGAACCATGCAATCCTCCAGCCTTACTGACTTTAAACCTATTTTATAAAAAGGGCAAAAATTAAAAGTGCTGGTTTGGGGAAAATTTCAAATGGGCCCAGAAAAGGTCAACACTTAAGGTCTAGCAGGAAGTTTGAATTCCCATTTTGACTACATAGAAATCCAGAAGTCATATGAAAGCATTGCAGACAGAATGATTTGTGACTATTTTAATTGTTGTTGACAATAAGAACACAAATTGAGCTAAGATAAATAAAACTCGAAATGAAGAAATGACTTTACTTTAGGTTACCTTAACTTAACAGGGTGAAATAATATTATCAAGTATCAAGTGAACAATCCTTGATATAGAGTGAACGTTTTTCCATACATTGATTTTACATGATTTATCCTGTTGATCAATGAACCGAAAGCAGTTATTTAGCATTTTTGAGCTGTGAAGGGTGACCAAGGTTATATTACTGATAAGTCTGCCATATATGCCAAAATCTGTACAAACATGTGAATAAGCAAGTTAGAGACCCTGCTGTTAGCAAACACCCACGTAAACATAAAATTAAAGATCACTTGATTGTCTCAAAAAATGTTTCTCTGCTGTAAGTGTTGGAAAAAATGGAACTTTCTATGTATGGGGTAATTCTGGTGAACGTAGCCCAAATAACGAAAACTACTTTTGCATTACTTTAATGTCGACAATGCTATCAAGGAGACATTAATTAACATGTTGAAGATTTTTAAGTCTATGTCAAAATTGTCTAAGGCAATTGTTTAAGTTTTTCGTCTGCATTAAAAATAAAAATTTTTGCACTACATGCAATGACTATCAATTATAAATCAAAAATAGAATTTTCAAGTAATGCATTTGCTTTTACACATGACTACCTCCCTGTTTCACATTGTTTAACTGGAAAACAGCAGGATATTTATGTCAAATAAATTTTGTAATAATATTTTTGTTGATGGTAGTATAATGTGGCTATACATGCTTTTTAAATTTGCCAGCAGCGTGGCGTGCGTAAATGCAGAATTTGGCTTGACTTTGTTGTGATTTAGCTTTTATTTTTATATGTACAAATTAACTTCCTCCTTGATTAAGTTCTCACCACAGTCCTTTTACTCCAATTAGTTACTAACTCTACAATGACCTAAGAACACATATTGAGCTAGAATAAATAAAACTCGAAATGAAGAAATGACTTTACTTTAGGTTACCTTAACTTAACAGGGTGAAATAATATTCTCAAGTATCAAGTGAACAATCCTTGATATCGAGTGAACGTTTTTCCACACATTGATTTTACATGATTTATCCTGTTTTTGCAAGCTGAAAACTTTTTGAGCCTTGAGGCCAGGATTGAAACTAGAGTTGATCAATGAACCGAAAGCAGTTATTTAGCATTTTTGAGCTGTGAAGTGTGACCAAGGTTATATTGCTGATAAGTCTGCCATATATGCCAAAATCTGTACAAACATGTAAATAAGCATGTTAGAGACCCTGCTGTTGGAAAAAGCCTACGTCAACATAAAATTAGGGATCACTTGATTGTCTCAAAAAATGTTTCTCTGCTTTAAGCGTTGGAAAAATGGGACTGTCTAAATATGTAGTGATTCTGGTGAACGTAGCTCGAATAAAGAAAACTACATTTGCACTACTTTAATGTCGACAATGCTATCAAGGAGACATTAATTAACATGTTGAAGATTTTTAAAAAAATATAAGTCAAAATTGTTTAAAGCAAATTGGGTTAAGAATAATAATTTTTGCATTATTATAAGAAAAAATTAAAAATCGAAAATAGAATTTTAAAGTGTTGTATCATAAATGTTGTATAGGTAGAATTTTCAAGTGTTTTTGGAAACATGACAATCTTATGGTTTCACGTCGCTTTCCTTTAACTGGAAAACAGCAGGATATTTATGTAGTAGTAATTGTAGAATTTATGTAGTATTAAGAGTATCTACAATTTCTTTTATGTTTTTTTTATATTTCACAAAAGGAAAGTAACAATTATAGAATGAAGATTTATACAAACTGTTTATTTACAAACTTATTTGTTTGAACTTTTTTTGCAAGTTGTTAACTTTTCATATTTATTGAAGAGTGACTTTTCAGTGTTCAAAGAAAGGAAAAGAAAAGTGTTGCCGTTTATAATATAATCAAAAAACAAAATTATTTCTCGATGGTTATTTCTTTCTTACTTTACATTTCCTGTATTGTACAGATAAGTAGCAGTTCCTCAACAAAACAATGACAACATAGTTCTTAGAATTTAAAGTTCCGCTTACGCACCTTGAAGCGTGCAATAAACGCATGCTGGATCATACACATCTCACATGAAACTCATAAGTTTATCATAAGAGTATCATAGAGCAGAATTATGCATATATTTTCCCTCGATTAATATGATTGCACCATTTCAAGCTGCACCATGGCACAAGTAACTTTTCTGGTGTGTCTACTTTTGATCAAACATTTCATACAAATTCAAGGTATGTATTTTTACATTATATTTGAAATAGAATAAAACTATATTGTTTTGTTTTAATAATGTTTAAAATCAAGAAATTAAAAAACTTCTGCTCCACGTATATATCTACTTCACTTAGATCCACTTTACAAAAGAGAAACTGTACACAGAACTTAGTTTGCAGCCTTTAAACCCCTTGGCTATTACGTATGATCCAAGAAATAATATTTTTTACCCAAACTGCCGTTGTTGCCCAGGCAAAGGTTTTTCATTGTTTTACATTTAAAAATTTTTATTGAATAAATTGTATTGTATTGAGATGAATATGTTTTAATTTACTTTTCAAGTTAATAATTTACTTTTAAACATTTCCATTTGTCATGCGCTCGAAAAACACTCAATTTATTCATTTATGTTCACAATGATATTAAAAACTCGTGTGCTGTGTCACGGTTTCATCTTAATCAAAGCAAGTAGGGTCGAGTCATACTAATTTTAATAAAAATTTCAATATCTTTGTGAAATTTCAAAGTCACGTTTTGAAAGAAATGAATATTAAAATACTGTCCTCGCAATACTAATGTGGCACTTACTTAAAATGCACTGCAAAAATAAACCTTGGCTGCAAAGTAACAATAATTTAAAACTACAAATGCTGATTACAAACAACTGACAAATTGATTAAATGTCGACTGAAGATAAATATTGTGTACGTAGAGCAAATTTCATACGAGATATATTTTCTTGGTAAAACAAGAAATTACGAAGTAACCATGTATAGTGTTATGTAAGCTTAGGTTTGAAAATTTATGCGATGCAGCAAATTGTTTGGAAATGAGGAAACATTTGTGTTCCTGTTTGCAGTCGCGCGAGTGGCACCACAGTGGTCCCATGCTGGGTGTAGATAAAAGGTTGATGGAGTAAAGTTGAAACCATTAAAATTCTGATCAACACATGCAGTTGTAGAATTACTGTGGCTAAAGTTTGTGTTGCTCAAATGATTGTGCTCTTTCTACGATGAGTACTATTACTGTTAGAGAAATATTTTTAACTTTGACATTGGTTTGCAATATAACATTATCAACATTTAAAAGTTCTTGTAATTACGGCTAAAAATTTTAGCAAACTGCAACTTTAATAAGGGAAACACCTGTAATTTTCAACATGGCAAAACATAAATATTTTTTGGGTGAAAATTGTTTTACCGATAAGCACTTTTGAAAGAGTTTAGCTGCTAAAAAGCAATTAAAATACAATGGGTTAAAATTTTTGCACATGTGTGTATTGTGTTACTGATATTGAAATCTCTTCTCATTAGTCTTTAGTCTAGGGTCAACTAAGTACAATTCGTGTGTTTTTCCAAAATTTTAAGTCTAAAACAACGGCTACTTTTTTAAGAAAGCGACACTTACGCACTTGACACTCACAAAGGCAACACTTACTGTCTTATAGGTATTATAGTTAATATAATTAACTTGTTTTTTTTTGTAGCTAATTAAGCCATCGATTTCGTCCCAGAATATTTTACATATTTTCTCTTGAAAATTATGTCAAGATAAAATTGAAATGATGAAATCATAGTTTTTATGGAAACTTTTTACAGTTATTTTATTTATTACAGTTTATTCAGTTATAAATATTTTGTCTTTTTCATTCATTGTGAAAAAAGTACCTATAAAAGACCAAAAATGATTTAGATAGTTTATATTTTTATACAACATATTTAATTGTGAAGATAAAGATTATGAATTTTATCAGAATATTTTAGAATTGAGATTTCTATATATTGTACCGTCTAAACTTGAAATCATATTTAAATAAAACTTGAAATTGCACCATCGATATATCTTCTTTTTGCCATTAGGTTTCAACTCTGTTAGACTTCTGTTAAACTCAACCTGTGTTAAAACAAATGGATCGTATCTATGTAATTGCAATGTTGGTTATTCTGGAAATGGAACAGTTTGTGAAGGTGAGTTATACAGTTGTACTTTTTGTAAGCATTACATAGATTTAAGTCAAATAAAGTCTTATGCAAAAACGTAAATTATT